ACGCTTTGTGCTTTTTCCTCGCGCTCTACACCGTCAGCCTCTTTGCTCTGATTCCTGGCCGTCACCGAGCAGCACTCCCCCATCGCAGTAACACCGTCGCAGAAATCATCAGCTGGGTCTACCAATCGCCCATCCTCGCTGACCGCGCATTTTCGCGTCCCCAGACCAAGCATGAGCTTGTTGCTCGCTTGATGGGCTCCGCATACCTAGAAAACACATGGACTCGCTCCGTGGCCTCGCTCGTTCGGCCTTCGAGAAACAACCTCCGGGACGACTCCCCCACCGATCCGGCACTGCTCGCCAACAACACCAGCAAGCAGCCCACTCAGGAGAATCACGACTCCGCCACCGAGCCCGGCACGATCAAGTACGGCTTCGGCATCCACGTCGGCAGAGACGGCCTCGAGCATCTGGGCATCGACCGCGTGCGCCGCGGCGGCGACCGCAGTGGCCGCGAACTCGTCATTTACGAAGAACAAGCGAAGAAGAAGCGCAAGAGCTGGACAGACCAAGTTTGAGCGCCCCTCGGACGATTGGTAGAATATGTTGATTGAAGATGAGGCCTATACGTTTTTTTACCACGTCTTATTGCAATATGCAACGCACTCGTCTCGCATCCTACACACCGCATATACTACTACTCACCACCACATATTGATATTCTCGCATTTTTTTTTATATAACCCTGGCAAGGGGTTCATTTAGCATCGGCGTAATTTGCTTTTATTTTTCATCGGAGGCGAGATTCTAGCATTTGATTGTGTTGTGGGAGTACGGTTTACGGTCTCTTTTTTTTTGTTGTTGCCTTTGCATGCGTGCACAGGGCATGGTATGCTGCATCTGGCGTTTTGGTTTGGACGTGATGATGAGGGATAGAGATGGGGATGAAGATGAAGGTGTGGAGGTTACGTTGTTTTATGTCTATGGTATGATGGATAACGGGGATATGAGTTGAGATGAGATGGTTGTATGTGTACAACGTGATGATGGTGGTGTACAGACGAGATGAGATGGATATGGCTTCATGTAATTATGATTTCTGACAAAGGGAGGGGGTGAAAACTACAAGGTGGTTGATAATGAAGACTGTGACAGAATTGCGAAGATTCGGAATATGTGTATTGAATGAGTTGGTCATGTCGTGGATGCTGGTCAGATAGTTTACCCGAATCAAGTCACCATCTCAAGTATATGTACCCCCCCCCCCAAAAAAAAGCACATGCTCGCTCATTCACACATGTATTCAACCATATGCTCATCAGATCCCCCATCTACATCGCAACCCCCACCTTACCCACTAGATCCGCCAACTCGCCCTCGGCCCCCAAATTATCCAGTCCATGAAATCCCTCCTCCACCACCCACCTCTGCTCATACTTCATAAGCACCTTGCACGCATTGCCCACGACCAGCAGTCCGGGCGGCCTACTCCCCTCCTCCTCGACGGCGGCGCAAACATGTTCCAGACTGGTGCGTATCACCCTCTGATCCGGGCAACTTGCGCGTTCGAGCACGGCGACGGGCAAGTCCACGGGGTATCCCTTGGCCACGAGGCTGTCTACCAGCGCGGAGAGACGGTGCAGGGACATGAGGAGGACGAGGGTGCGCGAGGCGAGGAATTCTGGGGGGTCGAGGGGTGCGCCTTTGCGCCCTGTGCCTGTGCAGATGAGGACTTGGTCTGCGATGCCGCGGTGGGTGGCGGGTATGGCTGCGAAGAGAGGGGCGGAGAGGGCACTGGTGATGCCGGGGAGTACACTGGGAATGTACCCATGTGCGCGGAAGAAGTCGTATTCCTCGCCGCCGCGACCGTAAATGTATGGGTCACCTTGCTTGATGCGGACTACGACTTTTCCGGCTTTGAGCCCCGCGAGACCGAGTTCCAAGAGCTCCTCTTGCGCTTTGTCTGCGTTGCCGGGGAACTTTCGTGCAATGTGGACGGTTGCGCGGCGGGGGACGAGGTCGAGGATGGGCGAGGGAACGAGTTTGTCTGCGAGGATGAGGTCGGCGGAGAGGATGGCTTTATGTGCTGCGCGGGTGAGGAGGTCAGGATTTCCGGGGCCAGATCCAGCGAGGATGATGCGGCCTGTCCTCCTGTCGGGGTTTGTGGCTGTAGGACCCATCTTCGCAGGACTGCTGCTGGCGAATTCGCGGAAGAGCATGTCTACGTCGGCATCTGTAATAGCGGCAAGGCGGCGAAGAGGCCAGTATTCGCAGATTTGGGAAAGCCAGCGCATGCGTCGACCTCGTGCTGCTTCTTTGCTTTCTTCGAGAATGAGTTTGTTGAATGTGGCGGGCTGGCCACTATCCTCTTCTTCGGCCTCGAGATCTTGTGACAGCTCAGCGGCGTGGTCTTCCTCCCATATCCGCCTTCGTAATGTGCCCAGTCTCTCTACTGCGTCGCCGAGGTTTGGTGGAAGCGAGGAAGCGATCTCGCGTCGTATCCTTGCAGATAGTTTACAACCCTTTCCAGAGGTTGTGATGCCAATTTGCAGAGGACCGTCAGAGTGTGTGGAGAGAAGTGTGAAGGAACACAGATTGGGAGCGTCGGCGACATTGACTGGGATTCGTAGTTTCCGGCAAAGACTGGAGATGTGAGTTGCTGTGGCGAGTTAGCAAGGGCATCGCGTTGGTAGACGAGAAAACAAACCAGAACCATGCTTGCCGCCTGCAGTGATGAACACCGCGTCCACCACGCCTTCCACCTCGGCGCGGCCTAGGGTTGTCAAGTCCTCGTCCGAGAAACTTCGCTGCAGCCACTTGACTTCGCCTGCTTCGATTCGTTTGGCCAGGCCATAATGTAACGTGGCGTCCTCTGGTGCAAGCAGGATGGGTTGCGCGCCGACCTCGATCGATTTCGAGCAGCGAGCCCCCGCCAGTGGGTTGGATCCAATGATCAGATGGATATGAGAAGTCGCATCGACGGCAGTGAGTAAAGCCGGAGGAGCCATGAGGAAAGGTTGACGATGGCGGCCAACTTGTCGAAGATTTTTCCCAGGCTTGAAACCCAAAAGGAAGAGCAAGAGAAGAAAGTATACCCTGCTCTCTCTCTCTCTCTCTCTCTCTCTTATCAGATGCGAATATGTATCCCCGCGGCGGCGGCGAGGACATCGACCCTAATGCGCGTCCACAGTTCCTGTTCCGATAGCGAATGGCGACAGGCCGAACATGGCGCGATCCACGCTAACCCCATACGGACTCCCGCGGAAAAAGCTGGACCAGCGCTTCGTCGTTAGGCGTGCTTTCCCCGCCAATGGGACAATCTGCAATTGATAGCAACCAGTGTTCTGCTGTCACGACTTCAGCATGCGCGATAGTGCGCGGACTTGGCTAGTCGACTTGGTCATCCCGGCCCATCACGATGTGGAGGGCTTTGCGGCTCAGCATCAGGCTGTGCTCGAGGGCATTGAGTTTGGCCGACGCAGATATCAGCGCTGGGTCTTGGCTCTCGACTCGTATCTTCTCTTTGACACGCACATCATGGCCGTTGAACTTGAAGATGCGGTCGGCTTCATCGTGAGCGGGTGCACGTGCGCCGCCGAGTGCTGATGCTAAGCTGTCGCGGAGACTGAAGCCGCTGAGAGACGACTGCCCGCCAGCTTGGTACGGCTCGAGAGTGCGGATCTCGAGAACGAGGGCTGCGTCGAAGAGGAAGAGGTGAAAGGAGACATGGGGCGGTAGTGGTGGGTCGAATGTCTGGAACGTCGTCGGTCAGCACACTTGGGTAGTGGATGGATACAGCGCATCGTTACCTTTGCGTCGACTGGGTTTTCCCACCATGGCGATTGCACATTCGAGTACCCTTTCAGTGAGGCTCGTGCTTCGAGTATGTGGTCATGGAGCAACTGCAGTTGTCCAGAGACAAAGCTGGCATTGGTTGCATCACCGCCCCATGTAGCCACGTCAATAGCATCCAAGCAGCTGTTGATGGAGGTCCGGATGGCGGTGAGCTGGGGCACAACGAGGGTTGGCGCATGCGGTGCAGCAGAGATGGACAGGTCGTATGTCAGGGAGCCCTTTGGTGGTGGGAGGCTGGCAAGGCGCAACTTGATGTTCTGTGTCGCACGGTGAGCTCAAGGCAACGGCATTAGGCAAAGCAAGGTACAAAAGGTAGCCAGACGCATGGGAGGAGGGAGGAGGAGTACCTACGCCCTTGGTGATGCGCGTCCCAATGCGAGTGATGAGGCCCTTGAGACTCTCTGAGCGCACGGATGAGAGGACCAGCGTCGAGCCATTTTCCGAGGGTGCCAACAGGGCAGCGCACTCTTCTAGGCCGGCCTTGAGCGACTGCAACGTGTCGCGCAGCTGGAGCAGCAGCCATTCAAGCTCACGGGCTTGCGACGCCGCCTGCTCATCGGCGAGGCGGTCATGATCGATAGGCGGCCATACGGCTGTGGACATGGCAGAAGACCACCCAGCTAAACCAAAAGCAAAGCGGGAGTGTTCCAAGGCAGGCGGGATGATGTTTAGATGGAAGTAGGTAGGTATGCAGAGAGCACTTGGATGCCACGTCAAGTATGTCTGTGATTTGATCGAAGGGGAAAAAAAGCTTGTTTGCGACGTGCCCCGATGGCTGGGTCTGTTGGTCGTGCAGGCAGATCAGATCAGATCAGATCAAGGAGGAAGACGAGGAGCGTGCACCCCGGCCAAACCCATAACGTTAAGCAGCAACAGTAACCACATCAGCAGTGACCTTGCTTTGTCTTTCTTGACATGCAGAGAGGAAACAGAGGAAACACCAGCTTCGATCCAAGTCGGAGGGTTCCAGGCCAAACCCCCAAACTCCGGATTTGGCACAAGTCCCAACCCGATCGCAAGTGAGGATGATGCAAAGCGCGCGACTTGGTTGACCCCCAAACGCTGAAGCTGGTTAGCGCCAGCCATTGGACGGGCTCCTCTCCCCCTACGTCACCACCTCTCCCCTACTGGTAGAGTAGCAGTAGCCTCTCTCTCTCTCTATCTCTCTCTCTCTCTCTCTCTCTCTCTCTCTCTCTCTCTCTCTCTCTCTCTCTCTGGCCGGGGCCGCCTCATAAACAAGCTGCAAGGCCGTCTTTTGTGTCCAATCCCAAAACCCCAAACCTTGTAACTGCGGTCTTTTCTCTTCTTCTCGCACACACACACACACACACACACACCTTTCTACTACATAAAGCACATCCATACCCATAATAGTAATAATATCCCCCCTCCCCCAAGTTCTGCTCAGACTCAAGTCAAGATGGCTGGCCCTGCTAGTAAGTCACCTACCGTTCTTCCGCTTTGGGAACACCATGCATTCACCCTCGAAAGCTTGCTCGAAGCTCGACAAGACAAGACAAGACAAGACAACTGATGGCGTTGCTTCACACAGGACCCCTCCTCGCCTTTGGATCCCTCATCCTCCTCGCCGGCGGAATCGTCCTGCAATTCTTCATCATCCTCAGCGGCGCCGTCAACAGCTCGCCCATGAACCTCTTCTACTTCCTCCAGGCCTCGACAAACAACATCCCCGACGCCCGCAACCCCTCGCGATGGACCTTCTTCTCCATCTGCGGCGCTGACCCTTCAACCGGCCACAATGCAAACTGCGGTGCCGTCGTCCCGGCCCTGCCCTTTGACCCGCCCAGGAACTTTGGTACCACGGATGGGATTCCCGAGCAGTTTATCGGCAACCGTACTTACTTTTATCTGTCGCGCTTCATGTTTGCCTTTTACTTGATTGCCCTCTTCTTTGCTGCGGTGGCGCTCGCATCTGGTGTCTTGGCGCTTTGTAGTCGTTTGGGTGGTTACCTCTCTGCCCTGACTACATTGGTCGCCCTCTTCTTCCAGACCCTTGCTACAGCCCTGATGACGTAAGTTCCTCCATCGCATCCCTCTCCTTCTCCCTCTCCCTCTCCCTCTCCCTCAACTAACAACAACCCTCCAGCGCTTGGGTCGTCAAGGGCCGCAACGCTTTCCGCTCCGCTGGCCAGCAGGCTTCCATTGGCAAGTACCTCATGGGCTTTGCCTGGGCCACCGTGGCCGCCTTCTTCCTTGCCACCCTCATGTTCTGCCTCGGCGGTAAGCTGGGCGGTGACGGCTCCTCTGGCATGCGTCGCACTCGCTCCACAAAGTCTACGCGCAGCCGCGCCAGTTTCATGGACACTGACTCTCAGCGCCGTGTCAAGGACGACTACGCTTAAACAGACGGCAAGGCAGTCGACGAGGGAGAGTGTAATGTAACGAGGCTTTAGGGAAGACGAGTGAAAATCTCGGCAATGATATCCACAATCTGTTTCCATGTACAAGAAAAATAAAATAGTAATACACACGCCTATAGTATATGTAGCACGCAAGTAAGCACGACAGCAAGAAAATGTTAATGAAGCCATGTAAATACAATACTACGTATAAATGCTTTAATTTGCAATAGAAGACTCGCTCTTGAGATGCATCCTCTCTCTTTCCCCTGTATCATCCATGTCGCGCCGGCAATCGTACATTTCCATCTATCCTCTGTGCCCTCTCGCTCATTGCCCACTCGTCGAATACATTGTCCAATTCGCCTGCAAACTGGCCTTTGTCCTGCTTGCTCTTCTTGCTCTCGACGACGCTCCACATGTCGAACCAGCCGTGTAGTTCATCCTCGACAATCTCTTCTTCCATGTCTTCGTCGGAGTCGGCTTCGTCTTCGTCCTCTTCTTCTTCTCCTTCTTCTTCTCCTTCGTATCCATCCTCCTCCTCCTCTTGTTCTTCCTCTTGTTCTTCATCATCTTCTCCGTCATCTTCTCCGTCATCTTCTACCTCCTCCCCCCCATCTCCCTCCTCCTCCTCCACCTCCTCCTCCGGAAACCCACTCTGCGCCACATACGCCTCCTCTCCCCTACACAACCCCACACACTCATCTACCGCCGCCAAATCCGGATCATTATTCCGCATATCCCAATCCAGCAGCCCAGGCACCCGTCCCACTGGCGGCGCCCCATTCACCAACCTATACCGCACCGCCCTTCCCTGCACCGACGTATACGCCGCCGTCTTTCCCGTCTTGGGAAACCGCAGACTGTGCGCATCAAACACGGCCATCTTGTCACGCACCGTCTCCGGCTCGCGCGACGCAAGATGCAGCGCCCAGCCCCGCGCCCGCTGCGTGTGTTGGTGGATTATGGCAACTGCAGACATGGGCACGTGGCGGAGCGTCTCGCCCTTGTCTTCATCCACGGGGATGACCGAAGGAGGGGCTGCGACACCGGGACTCCCAGCACATAACCATTGCTGCCATGGCTTGAGACCCGATATCCACGGCCCGGTCTCGTGCTGGCCCGGTGAAGGCCCCGGTTTCACGCCGTCTGGGGGATGAATGACATCTTCACTTAGTTTGACGCTGCCGCGCGCCATCATCTTGGGTCCGTAGATGATGGTTTCAAAGAGCTTGCGCGTGAGCTCAAAGTCCCGCTTGAATTGCTCGGCGTGAACGATGTCGTGTGCGCAACGCCTGGACTGGGGCGTGTGGAAGGCTTCGTAGAGGGTGTCGGTGTGGCCGAGCCAGAGGGCAGCGGATTGCCACATATCGAGCAGGTGGAACCAGAGACTTTGCATGTTTGCGTCGTCTTTGGGGAAGAAGTCGGCGAAGTAGTCGAGCAGAGTGGCTGTGGCGTCCCAGAACCGATTTGTGAAGCTGGTTTCGCAGACTGGGCAGGGCCAGCGTGATTCGGCAATATTGCGGTGGGAGCATTCTGGGTGCGCGAGGAGTTTTTTGAGGAGCTGGTAGGTGGCGGTGAAGGAGACGACGTTGGTGCCGTTGGTGTAGGTAGTGGTTATTGGAGCTGGAGTGGAAGAGTTTAGGGTGGTGTCTGCAGTCTGAACGGGAGCGTCCTCCATAGTGATAGTTAGTTTTTCAACGAATATAGACTACTTAATTTTGTGGAAGAGAAGAAAGCAGAAAAGGGTGAGCAATAAGGTCGATCAAAAGAGTATGGATACAATGCCAAGACAATCTCGTGGCCTGGTGATATGGATTACAAACAAGTGATGTGACCCACCAAACGCCTGTTTACTATTGTTCCCAATCAAGCACTCAATCTCACGAAATATCCCGTCAATTTTAGAATAGGTTTAACCCCCACGCGCTTCAAATGAATCTTGACATGCGACTCAACGTACTCATCCTTCCATGCTGCATATTGCTGAGCAAAGCTTCCTCCAGCGCCGATTGACTAATTCCCGCATCATCTTTCCCATATGTCAGTCCTTACTACCCTATAACTTAGTTTAAAACTTACCGATATCACTGAAACTGCTGCCCATGCTCGGCGTGCCTTCACTACCTTCCTTCCTCGATCGAGGTCTCCTTGACTTTGGGCTTCCCAATCTAGCCAACTCGGCGCGATGGTTATCGGGAGGGCTCAATGGACTCCTTGCGGCAGAGTGCAGACCGCCAGAACTAGTCATGGACGATGCTGTTTCTGTAGTAGCCTGTGACTGCTGATCTACAGATTTCTGCCTTAAGGGAGGCAAATGTATTCCACGATCAGATTGTTGATACTTTTGTTTGGGTTTACTGCTAGCTCGAGATGGTGTACCTTGTGCATATCTATTGCCTGTTCCTGGCCTCCTGGGAGCAGAGGCAAAAGGCAGGATTGGTGATCCTTGAGACTCAGAATTCTCTGTTTCAAGTGGACCATCACCTTCTTCAAATGTGTCCAGGTCTCGTGGTCGCTGTGCTTTGAACCGCGGTGGACGCTTGAACAGCTGACTCCGGTGAGCTGGATGGTCAGTATCAGACAAGGAAGATGAGCTAGACGAGGATGATTCAGGAAAATCGGGGGATTCTGCTTGATCTTTGCTGTAATTAGGAGGAGCGGCAGTCACAGGCGGCTGATCTTCTGATTTCCGGGTGGTCAAGCTTGGACGATGGGTGGATCGTATGGATTGTGTCCGAGTTGGAGCCTGGACTTGTGTTCGTGATTGAGTAATGGTGGTTGTCGAGGGTGTCCTCGAGAGTGAAGGAGCTGCAATATGTCAATCGACCAAGCCTTTACGCACGCCATGCAACGCTTACCAGGTATGATTTCCCCGCCCCGAAGATTTGGACTGTCCTTCGGTCGCCCTGATAGCGCCGATTTCGTCCTCCCCGCTGCAGCCTATTAATAATTATCTAGCATACACATGGAGATACTAACCGCCGGACCCAGCACTGCCTCCACGACGCATAGCAACACCACCAACCGCAGTCAGCGTGCTACCACCCGTTGGCGTTGGCGAATTCATGTTGGAAATGCTGACCTTCTTCATCTGATTTCGTACATGGTCAAGATGACGTTCGTATAACCATGCTGCTTGCTGTAGAAGAAATGTAGGTGGGACTTGAAACTTGATCGCTCTACCACATGTTAGCAAGGCTGCAGTGCCTCCATTCTAAGAGCGCAACGCGTACAACTCCGCCCCTATTCGTCGTTAGCTCTCGTCTGATGATTTCCCCCGCATTTCTTTACTAACAATCTAAGTCGCTTGTTTTCGAGGACTTGGATATGATCTTCCAAAGTTGCCGGTCCTTCTCTGCGTCCCATTGCGCCTGTGCTAGTCAGTAAGCATGTCGAGAGTGTGGTACGAGCCGCTTGTACCTGGGGTGGATCTTCAAAGTTTCCTCGAACAAACGGTAGTCGTATGATGGCAGTGAACTGATTCAATGACATACTGCTGATGATAATATGCTGCCTGAAGATGGAGTTTAGAGGATGGTTGGAGCACGTCTCGAAGCTCAGCTAATCACTCGAGGCCTAAGCGTTATATGCAGTGACTGATTCGCATTCACAAATAATGTTATAAGATGTGCAACTTAGTCTAGGAAGACTGAGGTGTCTTGACTTGATCCCAGATCCGCAGGAGATGAAGAAGACAAAGGTGTCGCGATATGGAAGATGACTACGCACGGCTTCCCTAGTTCACCGGACCCAGTGAAACGGTTGTGGCGCAGCTAGTCTCGTTCAAGCCACAGTACGCCCCACTATATCCCAGCGATCGCGCAACCCGCAGAACATTTCTCCAAGATTGAGTCGAACAAAACTCAATTCGCTCGAATCAATCTAAACAGCCAGAAATGTCTTCCGAGGCAATCGTCAACATCGACATCCAGGGTAAACTGCCCAAAGTCGCTTCTGGCAAAGTCCGCGATCTGTATGCGATTGACGATGCGACACTTCTTTTTGTCGCAAGTGATCGAATTTCAGCTTACGATGTGATCATGGAGAATGTAAGTCCTTGTACCTTGCTTATCGGAAAGGCCCCAAAGAATGAAAAGAAAAATGGAATTTCTCCAGACTAACACAACAACAGGGTATCCCAGGAAAAGGCGCACTCTTAACCGCAATGTCAATCTACTGGTTCAACTACCTACCCACCCAAGTCCCAGGCCTCAAAACCCATTTCCTCAGCAACGACCTCCCGGCCCCCCTTTCTTCTCTCCCTGAAGCAGCATCGCTCAAAGGCCGAAGTATGCAGGTTCGCCGTCTCCGCATTCTGCCCATTGAATCCATTGTCCGTGGCTACATCACGGGATCGGGCTGGTCCGAGTACAAAAAGTCGGGCACCGTAAATGGAATCGCGCTACCCAAGGGTCTCCTCGAGGGCCAGAAACTGCCAGAGCCGCTGTGGACACCGAGTACCAAGGCAGAACTCGGGGGAAAAGATGAGAACATTTCTCCGGAGCAGGCGCGGAAGACTATTGCAGATGAGAATGTTGCTGCCAAGGTGGAGGAGCTGTCGTTGGCGATTTACAAGGCTGCTGCGGCGCGCGCCGAGGCGGTGGGTATTGTGCTTGCCGATACGAAGTTTGAGTTTGGTCTGGATGAGGAGGGCCAGGTAGTGCTTGTTGATGAGGTGTTGACGCCAGATAGTAGTCGTTTCTGGCCCAAGGATACGTGGGAGCAGAATCTGGGACGCGCGCAGCCAAGCTTCGACAAGCAGTTCTTGCGAGACTGGCTGACGAGCAATGGCTTGAAGGGTAAGGAGGGAGTAACGGTGCCGCAGGATATTGTGGAGAAGACCGCGGCGAAATACCGCGAAGCGTATGAGAAGATCACTGGACAGTAGACATAAGATGCTTTGATAGCAAGAGGAATGATGTTGCATATGTATATTTTGTGCATCCTTCTCCGCAGAATCTATACTTCAGCTGATGTATTGGGCATAATTTGCGTTTGACTTTACTACCTTCTACCCGAACCTTTGCTATGCATGAGCGCATGCCATGTATGACTATCCATAATCATCGGAGCGCGACAGTCCACTCACTGGTGACCTTACGCTGCGTCATTTTTTACTTTGTTGTTGAATGCCCATTCAATCGATCATGCAATGATACCAAATATGCAAGACAAAAGAAAACCCACACAACACCGGCCTAATGCAATGTCTGACATGTCATGATCATAGCAATGAAACCAGGAAAACGCCATCCGCTCGCTTGATGCATTGTATCCTTTAATAGCGGGAAACATGATAGAATAGACATAGGAAATAAAATGTGGCTAGTGAAAGAGAACGTGAAGGAAACAACTGTGCCGTTGATCAAACTTTGCGAGCGCCAAAAAGACTCAGGCTGATGGCAGTCTCGTTGGCGTTCGGGTTGCCAGAGCTATCGGCGAGAATCTCCCATCGGGGCTGCACGAACGGGTATTGTCGCATTTCTTTTTCGTGCCTGATTTGTATTTTTCCTGGTGCTGCACCACTGTGTGAGTTTTGTGAAGTTGGCGTGGGGCGCTGTGTATAGACAGGGGAAGGTTGGGTGGCACGCTGCTGTGCAAGCCCTTGCATCTGCTGCATCTGTTGCATCTGTTGAAGTTGCGATTGTGAGTTTTGGAAGGATGGGTTTCGTTGCAATTGCGCCGGTAACATCTTGTTCGGGTGTTGGGGATATTGTTGATATTGACGTTGTTGTTGAGCCTGTTGAGCTTGTTGAGCCTGTTGGCCCTGTTGCGCTTGCTGGTTTTGAAAGTGTTGCTGTTGCGGGTGTCGCTGCTGGTTGAGATATCGCTGTTGTGGTATTGCCGGGCCTGCGGCAGATGTTTGTGAGCTCTGATATGGTTGAGGCTGACTTTGAATAGGGCCTGGGGTCGAAGACTGTGACGAAGGCTGGGTCAAAGGATCAAGAGGCTTTGTGAGTACCAGCCACCCATCGACTGGAGCTGTAGCCCCCAACATGAACAAACAGCGTGCATCGTCTGTCGGTCTGATGTTGTCGAGGCGGGCGACCTGATGGCGCACATCATCGGAGATGTAATCAGACAGGAAAATTGCCACATCAAAAATGTGCTCTGTTACGGACGGGTATAACGCCAGAAATGGATGCGTGATAAGAGACTTCATGGCAGACATCAATACAGATTGATGCTGGTGAGTGGCGTTGCGTAACATTGCTGGACAATGCGCAATTGCGAGACGAAGTAAGGCGTTGAGCCTGGCAACGTTAGCTATTAGGATAAAGATGACTTGAGAATATACACACCAGGCATATAGGCTCAGGACTACAGCGTCATTCTTCTGACCAGTTTGTGCGACCAGAGCTTCGCAATGACCAAATACTTGCGCTATACCCTTCAGCCGCTCCGCCAGAGCAATCACCATGGCAGATTGATCAGTGTCCTCGACACCTTTACTGCACGTGAGATCAATAACCGTGAGGTATTTCTGTACAACTGCAGGCGAATGCTGATAAATTTCATCGGATTTGACACTCGAGCCTTGAGCCAGGAACGCAGATGCGTTGAGAATCTCACGTTCAGCATGTTGTCGTACCTGCTTGTCGTCAGCTGATTGCAGTTGCATTACGATATCTTTTAGCAGCTTACCTGGTCTGTGAGACTGGCTTCGAGGCTAGCTAATAGCTCGAGACCGGCCGATCGATCCTCCTCTACAGCTGTTTTGATTGCACTCAGCAGTGCTGCCGGAAGGGCATCGATTGTCTCCCCAGAAAGCGCAGATTGGGAAGAGAAGATGTGTTCGATAACCGCTTGACAGATTGGCAGTGAGAGATCGCTAGCTATCTCAAACACGATAGGGACTTTCTCTGCAGGGCTGACGTTGGCGATTTCTACACTCTTTGTCAGCTGAGATTTGTCTGCAGAATGATGCTGAAAACTTACGGAAGCTGCCAGATGGATCCAGCAAGACATCCAATAGTGGCGTAACAAACAATCCTTTCGTTTCGCGACTCAGGTTTGATAGGTTTCCCGGATCGGCCACGACGGATTGCTTCATGAGGGCCAACATGGGCTCGCTCATGAGCAGTAACGAGACCTGCCCTTGTACTGTCTGTGACGAGTTTGCCGAGAGCAGCCCAACGATATCACCAACGCAGCGCTGAGTGCGACCTCCTAGCTTGCGCTGCTCTAATCGGTAGCGATAGGCGTCTTGTGGAGGGCAAGATGCAGCTAATGTATCGCAAGGTAGCAAAATGCGTAGTCCCTCAACGGCAGCCTGAACGCCTATTTCCGTAGGACTATTCTTCAACCTGGCAACGGAAGCTTGTAGCGTATCTAGGAAGGTCTGTAAAGCCACGCAACCGGAACCAACCAGTGTAGGTAAAGCCACTCGTAAGACGTCGATTTGGTGAGCTGTCAGAGTGGAGCTCAGCCATTCACCTGTAACCATCTCGAAAGTCGGTTCATCGAAACTTCTCAAACGATGAAACCAAGCAGGGTAACTTTCGAAGTGTGCTTGTCCTTTGTGCACCTGTTCCTGGTGATTGTTGATAATCTTGCGAAGAACCCGTGCCATCATTTGCTGATCCATGCTGGTACCGCTTGAAAGTACTCTTTCTATCTCGTCATCAGAGTAGGAGCTTGTCTGCATGACCTCGCCCATATTGTCTGAAGCAGGCGAACATGCAGCGAGTGAATTTTTCTGATCAAGCCGGCTAAGGTCATAACCCAATAGTTGTAAAAGTTGGCCATCCGCATGCAAGACTCGGGCCAGGTTTGAGAGGCTTAGCAACAACTCGCGCTCAGGAAAGCGCATGGTCCTCAAGGCAGCATAGCGTGCGGCGATCCTGCCAAACAAAGGATCACATGCACCCATAGCTCGGAAGGCTTTGACATGGTAATTGATTGTGTCTGCTGCTGCTGCAAGGACAGAAGGATCGAGCGACGTAGCCGCAATACCTACCACATCTGCAAGTATGGCTGGGTCGCCGAAACGCTCGAGGTACGATCGCACAATGTGAAACTCAAGAGGGCTGATTAATGATACCGCAGCGGTCTCTTCAACAGAAGGGTCCTTGGTAGGCACTCTATGTCTAATTAGCCTGTAACATGGTGATCCAATAGAGACAATTTACCGTTCGTTGACTTCTGCGTAACTGGCGACATTTCCTCGCAGCCAGATGCCTAACTCAAGCTTGATTGTAGGGCTGAGGCTGTCGAGCTTGATATCAGGCGACTTGACTTTTATATTGTAAAGACCAAACATGGCAGGCAAGGTGTGCGATATCTGTTGCTCGGCGCGTAGAAGTGTCTCCCGTTCCACTTCTGCGGCGTGAGCAGTTCCTCGCAACAGTGTGCTCCGTAAAGTGCGTATCTGATCCGGCAGCCCAGTAAGTGGTATTTCTGTGATGAGTCTGACAGGCCACGCATCAGGCTATCTCGAGGTCAGCAGACGATTTGCCTAGAAGATGAGTATAACTCACAGAAGAAAGATCTGAGTCATGTCCCAATGACCCCGTGGCGATGAGCCATTGAAGATAACGGCCGGTCGCAAAAGTCTTGGAACGGACCAATTCAGCAATAATTCGGAAGATAATGCTGAGATCACCAGTTCCCACCCAAGACATATCTCGCAAGTAGGATATGACCCCATCATAAACATCTGCACCTTGGTGACTCCATCTGCGAAGTAACCGAGTTATGAGATAGGTGCGATGGACCCCTTCTCTGTAACACGAGCAAGCCCACTGTAGGACGGTTGCAATCAATAGTGTAGCATCTGGTATGATCTCCATGCACTCGAATGACAGGTCTTCCACTCGATAAGGATGAACATCACTTGCAGTGTCTAGTAAGCGATATATACGGCCGGCAGGACTTTGCATGGTTGATGAGCGGGTCTTCGCCGACTGCAGAAGCCGACTGTTTCGTTGCTCAATTCTCTTGATTGCTTGCTTCATCTGAGGATGGGTCCGTCTTTCAGTCAGCCTTCTGAGCTGGGCACTGTGTTTGGCCCAGGTGGTAGGGAGCAGCAAACACGCAGGTCGGGCAATCAAAAGCTTGGTCAGCGTATTCTCAAGATATTGCAGCACGACAGATTGGGGGCCTGAATCTTCCAATCGGTAGATCTATTGCGAACGTCAGCGCTTCGATGGTGATCCAAAAAGGGCCGATACTTGCGTACCTTGTCTAGATGGTTGAGCAGCGACTCGGCTAGGCGCCTTCCGCGACGGCGGCAGGAGGTTATGTCGGTCCAATAATGAGAGATTTGGATTATTAGAAGCCAAATGAACAAGCGCTCTGACGGACAAGTGTCCAGTCCATGAATGATCCAATCCAGAAAGTGATCGTCATCCAGGAGATGTTCCTTGTAGAGGTGAGTGGCAAGCTGGAGCCTGGACACAGTTAGCATACTGTCAAGGGGAGGGAGGCTACTGCACTGCGTACGCATAAGTAACTCGGGGCTTCCAGTCGCCTTGCCCTATGGCGCCAATGACACTATCCATGAATTGCTCAACAGAGCTGGTCCAGCCTCTGCCCCAGGTAATAGTACCAGCCTGGCCCTTTCTCTTGTGAGCACGCAGCTCGTTGATGCCCACGCACTTGGCAAGCCATAATGCTCGCGGTAGAGGTATGTTCTTGTTTAGACACTGTTCAAGAAGGACCTTGCCGGTGAGCCCATGAGGAATCGTGCGACTCAGCCTCCGGAGGCTGGTTCCAGGGTTCGATAGATCGTGCAGCCATTGTTCTCGGGTAGAATCGCGCAGCGTCAGCCGTGGGGGAGGCTTGAAGGTGTTGGGGACCTGGAGGCGGCCGCTCTGTTGTCTCTTTTCCAGCACAGCCACGAACAGTGTAGACAATGTCGTCAGCCCCGACTTGTTCTTGAGGTTCGACCACAGCGAAGGGCGGGCCGTATTCGTCTCATTCATAATCTGGGGCTTGTTGCTGATGCCAGCCTTGACCAGCGCCTCCGATAGCGTGTCTTCGGGATTGTTGCCCGTCCACGGAAAGACATCCGCAGGTTTTCCGAGGCCAACGTGGACCGGCGATGGGACAAGTTCATGCACATTGGACTTGGGGTAGTCCTTGACGCCGGTACCCCCTGGCTGTATGCGGCGCTGTTGTGAGGCATTTCTCAAATGCACTGAGCCCGGTCTTGGCGGCGCAGGCAGATTCGCGGCCGGCTGCAGGGGAAACGCGTGGATGGGAAGTGCCAGTCCGTTGCTCGCGTTGGTGGTGTAGAAGAGTTGCGGGCGACCCTTGGGCGGTGGGCGGCTGGCGTCGGGTGCGCCATTGTGGACGGGTGGGCGCTCGTCTTCGAGGGTGGGATCGATGCAGTCGGGCTGTATAAGAGGCCGCGAGGGTCGCCGCCGCGCCTGAGATGAAGGAGGCACGGCGCCACCACGAGATTGCAGAGATTCGTGGAGCGACGGGCCAGGACGGGGATTCATCGCATAGGCGGAATCATTGTTGAGCGGCAGCGCAAAGGGAGGCGAGGCAGCGGAGGTTGCGGCGCGCAGGTGGCAGAGGCATGTGCGAGGACCGCAGCACACCACACAAGCGCAGAGAGGGAGAGAGAGAGAGAGAGGGAGAGGGAGGGAGGGAGAGAGGAGGGAGAGGTATAGAGAGAGAGAGAGAGAAAGAAAGAGGTGGGGAGAGGTGGGGAAAAGACTGCAAAAAGGTTAGATAAGGGTAGCTGCTGCTGCTGCTGCTGCTGCTGTTTCCTGGCCCCGGTGGACGTTAGTTGGTGGGGATAGAGACGATACAGTACAGCAAGTGCAGCAGTACTGGTGATGGTTATCGAACGTCGTTGCAAGCAGCGGAGACAGACAGACAGACAAGACCGACCAGCCCGACAAAGCCAGCCAGACAAGCTCGGCCGGCCAGACGTGCCAGGATCAAGTCAACCAACAACTTCTCGGCCGGCCGCCGGGCTATTAGGCTATTAGGTACCTAGCCGTCACCGTCCACCACAAGCACCACTCTCACACCATTCGCCGCCGCCCTGCCCGAGGATCCCCATCATCAATTCCCTGTTCGCTCCCAAACGACGGAGAGTACTCGGCAAACGGCCTTTGTCGGATTCCCTCTTCAGGCATCAGAGAACCTCCCAGGCCTGCTGCAACTTGCGCCTGCGCCTGCGCCTGCGCCTGCGCCTACGTCTGCACCCACGCCCACACCCACGCCCACACCACCAGCACGCAACTGGTCCATCATGGCTTCTCATAAAAAGGATATGCGCCGCGCCGACCTCAGTACGTCAACTGCCTACTTGCCTGCTTGCCTGCCTGCCTGTCTGACGCTGCTGCGAAGAGGGGGCCCCCTTTCCTTCGAACTATGCTTCCGTCACGTGCGCTAACCTTGGACAGTCGTCCCGTACGCCGAACCCACCAAGAAGGGCGACGAGGCAGACATGTCGAGTATGTGACAAGACTTGTTTTTTATTTTGTTCAATGGATAGCTGGCACCCCCTCTTCAGATGTGCTGATACTGCTGCGTTGCTCAAGGTACCATGGCCAGCACACTGCCAATGGCCGCCGTAAGTGCCACTCTGCACTCCCATGTTACACAGCTGATATTGTGCCCCAGATCTTCACTCGAAACAAGTAGGCGCCTCCGCTGGAACGTATGACTACAGAACAACTGACATCACATGTGCTGTGCAGGATGATCGGCTGGTGAGCCTTCTCCCCTCCCCAAACGGCCTCTGGTATCGCCCCCATTCTAACCCCTTCTAGGGTCGCTGTGGTCTTCGCTATCCAGTCGTGGCTCGCTGAGACACCTGAGCAGAGGAAAACTTCGACTTCGCCTGCCTACTTCCAGGTGGGCATGGCCGGTAAGCCAACTCGTCTTTGCGGCCTACAATGCATGCTAACCCTGTTGCAGCCATGTCTCTCCTCGTTGTAAGTCTTGTCCCTTGAAATACTTGAAATACAGGGCAAGCCAAGGGGACGCAAGCTGACAACACGGCGTGACACAGAGTTACTCGTCCTTGTTCCTCCCGCCCCCACCTGGAACGGCGGGCAGAGCGTCCGGGACAGAGGCACCGGGTCCAGTGCCATTGTAGAAGGAGTGAAGCGAAAGTGGGAGAGGACTGGGTTAAGGTGGTGGTTGCTCGTACGCGCAGCGATGGCGCACACAGTTGGATAATTCTGTAGCATGACTCGGCGTCTATATATGGTTACAATGTAATAGAGTACCATCAACTAGCAAATTCGCTGTCGTCATTTTCCATGGCCAGAAGTCATCACCATGTCCATGTCCGTGCATAGGCAGAAAGGCGGGCGGCGGGGCATTGCCGCCTACCTATAATAGCCTACGATTGCAGCACCTTCCCCACCACTCTCCCCCGACCCACCTACAAACACACGCACACACACACACACACAACCAGACAACACTCCCCTCCACGTCACTCCAACCTCCCATTCCCCCAACCCAACGCCCCCAAACCAAAACCCAGCGCCAACATCCCCCCATCCATACCACAACCACCTGGCAAACCACCACAACACAAACCCACCATCACACCCCTTTCCCCGCGCACCCAACCAGCTCTCGTATGTCCATCGAGAACCTCAAGACCTTCGACCCGTTCGCGGAAGCGGATGAAGATACCGGCCAGGTCAAGCAGTCGCAGCAAGACTACATCCACATTCGGATCCAGCAGCGCAATGGCCGCAAGACGCTGACGACGGTCCAAGGCCTGCCCAAGAAGTTTGACCAGAAGAAGATTCTCAAAGTGATCAAGAAGAAGTTTGCCTGCAATGGCACCATTGTCAGTGACTTGGAAATGGGCGAGGTCGTCCAGCTGCAGGGCGATCAGCGCAAGGATGTCCAGGAGTTCTTGACCGATAAGAAGGAGGGCCTGGGGCTTGATGCGAAGACTATAAAGGTGTGTTCTTTCCCCCCTTTTTTTGTTGCTTTGCCGTTGGGGGAGGTACTTTTCGGGCGGGAGAGCTGACTTGGTACTACAGGTCCACGGTTTTTAAACTCGTTGCACAAGACACGAAGACCCCCTGTCGGCTATGCTCCAGCCGCGCAGTTTCTTCTCCCGCAGATGCTCACGGCAAACCTTTAGGAGGAAGTACAGGGGTAATCCGAGTAGTATTCAGTCAGGGTTTTTCACAGAAGGGAACATGGGAAACAGATGTATACACTGCGTATGTGCGGCTTTGGAGGAAGGGCACCTCTCGAATAGAGACTTCTAGAATCTGATGGCCTTTCTTTCGACCTTTGGCGTGTCCTTTTGTCTACTGCCATATGAAACCCCCAAAGTGACATGTACAACAAACATCGCGTGTCCCACACTGTCGTGACAACTGATATGAATGCCTAACACCCTCTTCTCTCCCTTGGATAGAAGGCTAGATTACACAATGTCTGACGGACATATGTACAAGTATGTTTTACAGTAATTCTCCGTCTCCGACCACTTATTCTTCTTCTTCTTCTTCTTCTTCTTCTTCTTCTTCTTCTTCTTCTTCTTCTTCTTCGTCGCCGTCGTCATCATCATCAAAATCATGCTCGACTATGCTTAGCAGCCTGGGCAGTCAACTGCGAGCCCCAGTACTCTTCATCGCTCTTCAATGTCTCAGGCGTAGACTCTTCGGTGAAACCCAGAATCTTCCACCCCTCCTCGGTTCCGCGAATCGCCCGTTTCTGCAGAACCAAGTACTCGACAACCCTCTTGATCTCGCCATTGCCCGCAAACTCCTCGTGACTTGAAGTTTCTGACTTCTTCTTGTTCTTGTTCTTGTTCTTCTCCGCCCCCTCCGCCCCCTCCACCCCCTCCTCCTCCTCCTCCTCTTCCTTCGAGTTCTGCTTCAGCTTCTGCCGTGCCTCTTCTGGTATCCAGGCTGGCTGCTTTTGCAATGTTCTCACGCCCCGTGCTTTCACGGCTGCGCTGATGGCATCGTCGATTTGTTTCCGGGTGACGCTTTGGAGAGAATCGAGGCGGATGATAGCTTGTCGGTATGCGGTGTCGACCTGGTCTCCTCCAAGCGCGGCGGAGCGATGGGAGACTATCTTGACTGACTTCCACTCGTGAAGTTTCCATGTGACTTTCAAATTGCCTCGTGCCGTAATGCGGTCTTGAAACTGCCGGGCGAGGGGCGGGAGACAGATCTTCTGTAGCGCTTCGTGGTCGCCTCTAATTGATTAATGTATTAGTAGTGCTTCTACGTGAGCGTTGGGAGGCACGTACTCGGCAAATTTCGTGTACATGTGCGTGTACATGTTCTTTGCGCGTCCTTTCAGTTCCTCGTTCTTGAAGAAATCTACGGGCAGAAATCTCGACAGGTGCACTTTCTGTATCATTCTCCGATGGACCGATCTCCTATGAGTGTCGTCAGCACATGCAATCGTCTTCTCGCTCGTCATGACAATTTTGCCCATCACAAGTCCACTTCACTTGTCTAACCCCGCTCCACCTTGCACTCTGCTGAAGTAATGCGACTTACGACCAGAGGGACGTGCCCTTCGACTTAAGCAATGCCCAGTAATATTCCCAAAATGCCTTCGTTGTGATTTTCGGGAGCTTGCTCACTGGCGCCCTCACAATTGTTCCCTGCAAGATTCCAATGTCCTCAACCAAAGCCTCCTCAATTTGTTGCATTCTCTGCAAATCGGCTCCAGGCGTCCGCCCTACTTGGCTTCTTGCAGCTGCCCGAAACTCATTTGGGTTCCCGATCTGAAAAGATTTTTTGGCCGCCTGAGAGGGTGTCGAGGAAAATGCGCGAGAGGCAGCGGCCGCAAAAGGTCGATTGAGGCGTTGATGGCGCAGAAAAAGGCACTGTCGCTGCAGCGCAGGTATCCGGACGCTGCGAAGTGGTATTTGGGTCGACATTCTGACGGTGGCGCGCTGGGTGGCGCCGGTTGGGATCTCCACAATGGAATGAGATGGTAGAAGGTATCAAAAGTGACGGATGTGCAGGCAGTCACTAGCGCGACTTGAGCGGACCACCGAGATACTCAACTGCCGATGGAGTGCCCTTTACCTGCCTGCAAACACTACGAATAACAGATACAAGGCTGATTAGCCAAAAGAAGATTCGTGATGCAAGCCACAGAATTATTTTGATGGTTTGTCAGACAGTAGTTTTGAGCCAGAGATGAGAATTCGCGTATGTACTCTCGTCCTCCGCACATTACACAAATCTATCTAAGCCTGACCTCGAGGCTCATGCTAGTCCGCACAAAACTACTACTGTCATGCCAGATTTCTACCCAATCCCTTCATAGTATACATACATCGCGTTCAAAATCTAGTCCAAGTTTTCATGAGATTCGTGTCGGCCCTTCCGCATGATTTTCCAAACGCCAATTCTATGCGATTTGAGATGTTGTACAAGTGATTCCAGCTCTTACATATTACTGCTCTCTCCCAGGAGCTTCAGTACCCCTTCGTACGTACCAAACATGATGGCAGCACTGGGAACGACGCGCATCATGTGGGGTACAAGTCCGCCATATAGTGCGGCCATGCCTTCTTCTTTCCATATGAGCCGGAAACACTGGGCAAGCCCGGTGTACTTCTGACGTCCATCTTGCTGAGGGGCTTGACGTAACCTTGTCCGTATAACCTATAAGAACATTAGTGATCAATTTTGCCTTTGGGAGCCAATAAGCTTACCTCATGGGGATAAGTGATCAAAGCAGCGACAAACTTCGCAGCTCCAGCAGCCCCAAGTTTTCCTGTCCAAGCCACAGTCTGATCCCATGCTGTTGGCGGTTTTCCACTGGCCGCAACACGTTCTTCTCGTCGTGCCAAAGAGAGCTTCATCTGCTCGTACATCATCCATTGCAGCGTGCTCTCTGTCACGCCCAAATAGCTGGCAGTCAAGCCGCGGTATAGGCCTTGGATACCTTCCTTTCGTATGGTCTGCATTGTACAGTCTAATGCGTTCTTGTATTGGCGTCCCCGACCGTCAGCGTGGGTGTTCTTGTCCAATTGTAACCGTGTCTTGACAAGCCAGATGGGGTTTGTTGCAGTGCCAGTCACAAGGCCCGCAGCGGCTGCCGAACAAAGATGAACCCATGCCGCTTCCTTCCCATCGTTGAAGTTGTTGCTGATGATTCTTTTCCCGTTGCCGTATGCATAGAAGTTGATTGCCCGTGCAGGCACCACTCCAATCAAATTTGGACCAAGACCCTTGAACAGTGCGCGCCAGCCCTCGATCTTTGGTACTTGCCACAAGATCTCTCCAGTCTCTCGAATGTGAAGTAGTGAGCTGCGTGCAAAAGACATGGTCTCAATCGGGGGAAGGCCACGGGCGGTGCGCATGGCGGCAAGATGCTGTTGGTAGTAGGTCGATTGGAGGCGGGTCTTGAGGACATCGAGAGGAGCCGTCAGCGTCGCAGAAGCCATGCCACCAAGACTATGCGAGGTTAGCAATCCAATACATCCCAGGCCAGTCGCGATGTGTCGTACCCTCCAGCAACAAAATGCGCCCATGATTTGCCAAATTTGAACTCCGCTGCCGCTACCGGCGCGCCATTGGGCTGTTTTGGGGGTATGGCATCGCCCAACTCGCGCGAAGAGGGTATTGGTGGCAGGGACTGAGCAGTGTTGTCTCGAATGGTACGAGTGGCGGGTGCGGCGTGTTCGAAGGTCATCGAGGGACAAGAGTCGCGTGGCGGGTGTGAAGATAAGTTTTTTTTCCAGAGAGGGGGGGATGGTTGGGCAATCGGTTCCTGTGAGCAAATCCTGTACTGTTTACGCGTATAGCATTGGTAGAATTAGGAGGGTTTGAAGTGTGCGTAGAGTAGGTTGGGTGTTGAATCTTTAATCGTGCTTGATGGTGGCTCCCAAAATTTACCTAACAGACGCTAGTTAGCGGCTGGCCCTCAGACGGCGGTGTCGTCACGTCACTAATGCATTGCATTGATTCATCCATGCGAAGACAACACCAACAATTGCGCCGCTTGCCCTACCATCGCCAATTCTTGCGACAACCAAAGTCCCACAATGCACCCAACTGCAACATGTCTTGCGCCCGGCTTCATGAAGCGGAGTGTGGAAGAGTTCAAGCGACTCTCGCTCTATGGTAGGTAGCCTTATCCATGTCTCCCTACTGTATCGATGCGCCCAGGCTAACACCCTTTAGCCCTTAAGTTTGAGGGCATCAGATCACCGACGAAGCCTCTCCCACTGCTTATGATCAATTCCCCCGGAGACTTGGAGCAATGCAAGCGAATGAGCGACAAGGATATCGGAGGCTTTTCAACCTCAAACTTCGACTACCATGCGGCCACACCAAAGGAACCCTCGCACTTCCGATGGCACGGCAAGATATCCACACAGCTTCCACAAAATCAACCACACATTCAGAGAACAGGCTATGCGGGCTGGAGAACACATGATCGGGGCTCTTCCATATTTGGCAAATTGCTCTGGGATGTGAGTACGTACAGCCACCTCGCAATCCAGTTCAAGTCGGATGGACGAAAATACTTTGTCAATGTACAGACGGAATCTATTGTGCCTACCGATATCCACCAACATTTACTACACTCAAAGACACCCGGGGAATGGGAAACAATCTTGATCAAGTGGGGCGAGTTTGTGCGGACAAATCATGGGCAGGTTGTTGAACCACAGCGGGAAATGCTGACACAAAAGGTGCGCACAGTTGGGATATCACTGATAGATCGAATACAGGGACCATATGATTTGAGCATTAGCAAAATCTGGGCGACAAACGTGACGAGCGAGGATGACATTCTAGAAAACGTTTCGGGAACTGTTAGTGGTCTACCGAGGTGGCATCAGAAGCAGGGGGATTATATGAAGAACGTCGTCAGGAAAGATTCTGGGATCTCAACGACGGAGCGGACGAAGATTGAGTAGATTTCACGTACATTATGAAGTTGAAACTGTGTTTTACAACAGACATCATGCTTTCGTGCTTTCGCAATTTCCATTGTAGTTCAGACCTTGACAAATGAGCCAATTCGAAGATGCTAGGTTACTTACATTGTGCATAGAGCAAACCTGTGGCATGCCATCTAATGTCGGTTTCCTTGATCTCATGGATGTTGTCCGAGTCGCGTCTTGCACGTGAACACGCGCGCACTCGGTTATTCTTGCCCTCTTACTACCAACAAACTCGCGATATTCGATTTCAGGAACAGGACAAGCATAGTATACAGATGCAAGATTTTGCATCGCCTGAAGCCTACTGATTTCACAACGAAGAAGAGATTTCGATAGCACGCATGCAGTGGGGCCTACGAAGCCTCTCCTCGTGCTCCTCGTCAAGACTGCTCCAGGCGACACTACAGCGTCCCGCTGCGATATGCAGTAATGGCAATGCCTCGTTATCTTACAGCGCAGAAGATCAGTCTTCTCGTCTTGACACGGCTATATTGTAGCTCTACCCTTCCATCCTCTGCAACAATACCCGTTCTATCATTCATTCTCGCAAGCAACATACCTGCGGCATCATCTAGCGCGCGGGCTCGACGATCTTCAATCCCGGCTCGACAAGATGCTTCCATGTCAATAGACGAATTTGAAGATGTTCTTCAGGGCCACGCTTCCAGTATGCCTGGTCGGACGTTGTTGGATATCTTCCTCAAGCACATGTGGGAAATCAATTCCTTCGACGCACTGCACACCTTGTTTGACAGTATCAAGGAATTGATTGAGATGCCGCCATCGGAGTCCCAGGATGGAGAGGCACCAGATCGGATCTATCTTTCCAAGACATCTCCACTAGGCGTGTTTGTCCGCAGGGCCCATTTGGAATTCACCAGGCTACAATTTGACGATTCGATGAAGCTATGGTCCTCTTTCATCAGATATAGAGCACCCACAGCGCAATGGACGAAGAGATTGGCAGGGCTGGCCTCAAGTGGAGTAGACACTGTGGTATCGGAGATGGGCTTGAGTTCTGGCGATCCTGTTTTCGAAGTTGCATACGGACATCTGCAAGATGAGGAGGAGCACAAAGAGGCGACCAGCACAGATGACCTGGACCGGATACTGGACTTCCAACTCGAGCGACTGCAGAAATTTGGTAATCGCGTTCCGGAAACCATGAAGATTCAGCTTCGTAAAATGGTCAACTCATCAGGCCTCGTCCATCGCCAGGCGCATCTGGTACAGTTCTTTGATGCATGGAAAGCTGGAGACTACACTTCGGCATTTGACCATCTTCATCGCTACTACGATTACGCCATGCATACTCGCGAGAAGATTCATTACCAGTATGCACTACTCCATATGGCAATCTTGCAGGCAGACTTTGGCTGCTTCGGCGAAGCTATAGCAGCCATCAACGAGACTATTGCTACAGCTCGAGAAAACCAAGATATGACGTGTCTGAGTTTCAGCTTAAGCTGGTTGAATCACATGGCCAAAGCATATCCCAAACAAATGAAGGGCGCAGGATACATGAGTATGCTCGGCAGCGAGAGAGATGCCTTGACATTCCTCAAGGCAAAAGCGAAGGAGAACAAGATGTGGACACTGTTGAGCGCAAGTTTGCTAAACGAAGCCAAGTTGGCTCTTTCAACAGTAAGTCGACCGGGGTGTCGAGTTCATTCCGTATCTAATAAGTCATCCAGGGCGACTCTGTGCCGCGAGCGCTTGAGCACATTTATCAAGCATCCCATCTTACCATCAGAGAGAACGTCAACATCTTCGGCAGCCAGATGTTACTTACATCCACGCTCTACTCCCGTCTTGGTATACCACACATGTCCCATGTACACTGTGAGCTTCTCCTCGACTGCTACGACTACTCATGTCCTGTTGACGAGCGCATTCGGGCTATCGGACGACGAGCTTTCATCATCAGTCAAGAAGGTCGCTACAATGAGGCAATAGCTACACTAGAAGCCATCGACCCGTCGCTACGCAAGTCGCTCAAGTTTCACCAATATATTCTTCATTGCATCGGTCTTATGAAGCTGAAGCGAGCTATCCGGAGGTACCCATCTCTACATCAGTTTATTTCCACAAACGAACTCACTAACGGTACTAGATCGGACTGGGCAACTTGCACTCATCTCCTCGAAACCCTCAAACCCCCCTCCGATCCCATCGCAGACCCTCTCGACCCGGAGCTCTCGTTTCTCCAACATGAGATCTACATCGACTACCTCATCTCCCGTGGCTCCTACTCCGAAGCCTTCAGCGCCATATCCACTCTCGCGCAGTCACTCAAGGAAGACAATGCGGACACGCTGCAACGCGTGGCTGTCCTGCTCATGAAAGCGATTCTCTTTGCAAATATTGGAAAGCCAGAGAAGGGCTTTAGCGTTGCGCTTCGAGCGGCGAGCGTTAGCTACAGGGCCCGCCTGATGCCGAGTCTGTGGAATAGCGTGGGCCTGTTGGGGAATATACTGAACTCGCTGGGGGAATGTGAAAGCGCGAGACGCTTGATTGAAGGCGTGCTGCCGCAGGTTTGTTCTTTGCATCCTTGCTCGGGTAGTTTGGAAAGAAAAGAAGAAATTGTACTAATACTGCTACAGGCCCTCGAAGGTTCAGACCACATGCTCGTTGCCACTCTCTACTCTCATCTCGCCGACTCCTACATGGGCCTTGCCAGTCCAGATCCCAACCCAGATCCCAGTCCAGATGAACAAAAGGCTCCAGCTACTCCTTCCTCTCCCAAGACGACACGGTCCCGAGCGGGCAAGATTGCAAAGGCGGAGCTGTACATTGATCGTGCGCGGGAGTACTACAAGAAGTGCGACTACCTGGATGGCGAGTGCGAGCAGCTGATGAAGAAGGCTATTATTGCGAAGTTGAGGGGTGATGAGAAGTTGGCGGAGGAATGGGCACAAAACCATAATCGGGTGTGGGAAGAAGGGATGCGGAGGATTGAGGTGGATGTGTGACTGGGCAGACCAATACAAAGAGAAGTTAGTCACAAGAGGGTTGATGAGTAGAAGCACCGGAGTCAATCAAGAGACATATGAAATGAATTGGTGGTCTACGTGCTTCCCCAGCTTGCGCTCGTACTATATACACGACCAATCTTGCAGGTATCTTCCCAAAAGTCGATGAATCTAGAGTTAAGCCAGTGCTCTGCAGTCGGTTGGAGGGTGCATCTACTAGTCCTTCTTGTGGTAGTTGACCTTGTCGTTCCAGAAAAAAGTCTACAAACCTCATCAGCATGCCAATTTCGCCGTTCAAGGAGGCCTTTGAGAAGGCGAGGGATAGGTCATACCTTGTCACCATCTCCGAAGAAGAAGTTCTTGGTGCGGATGTTCTGGTAGGAGTACTCGGGCCTCTCGGATCGGGGGTGCACTTCCTCCTCGTGGGCGACGTGCTCCCAATGGGCGTCCCATCTGATCTTTGCGTTGACCGCGGCGACGATGATGCAAGGAACGGCGACACTGTCTCTCCGTCAGCCAAGATTCTTTCTTCTTCTCCGTCTTCTTTTCCTGCATGCCCCAATCTCCTCGCTCCGATACACACATCGCCCTGCCAACTCTCTCTCGATCCCGACGAGTGTTCTTTACATCGTTCTCCCCTCACACCAGCCTCCTCTCCCGCGTGGTTCAGACTTACTAAAGCGACAACTTGCGCCAGAACTCGCCAGACTCCTCGGCGTGCTGGGCAATGCGGGCACGCTCGCGGTTGAACTCGTTGTCCTCGGCACCAGCAAACTGCTTGGGGGTCTCGGAGCTGTAGTTGCGGCGGCCGGCGCGGAGGGGTGCGCGGGTAATGGCCATGCGCTGCGACGAGCGGGCAAGGATGCGTTGGGCGAACATGATTCCGTGGTATGGGTGGAGTGGAGAGTCGAGTCAATTGAGTGTGTCCGGGGACGGTGGGGGTTGGGGGGGATTCAGTCTGACGCTGCGAGAGAAGAAGCTCGAATTGACGAAACAGAGGCTTGGCATTGACATGCGAGAGTTGGATTGGGGGTCAGGCCACGCGGAATGTTCCGACAGCCGGCGCATGGATTGTGTGTGTTTGCATCATTGGCGCGGTTTGCACAGTCATGTGACGTCGTGACTTGTCCCCTGCTCACTGCTCACTGCTCCCCCGTCCCGTGGCGCGTCCTCTCAACTGTGTCGAGGCGAATCAAATAGAACCACAGAGACAAGGCAGAACGGGAGGTGTCATGGTTTGCATCCACGCCCATCCAACGACGCCATGGTCCGCATCACGACGTGGAATGTCAATGGCATTCGCAACCCTTTTGGCTACAAACCATGGAGCACCAATCGGACGTTCAATGCCATGTTTGATATCCTCCAGGCGGATATCGTCATCATGCAAGAGCTGAAGATCCAACGCAAAGACTTGACTGATGACATGGTGCTTGTGCCCGGCTTTGACTGCTACTTCAGCTTGCCCAAGCATAAGAAGGGTCGGTACTACTCACTTGGGCAATCTTGGACCGCGCATAGACATCACGTGCTGATAGGTGTAGGATACTCTGGTGTGGGAATATATACTCGCCAATCCGTATGCGCCCCAATACGGGCTGAAGAAGGCCTCATGGGCGTTCTATGTCCACCCAACTCATCCACACCCTACCGCGAACTTCCTGAATCGACTTCCATAGGCGGCTACCCTACGCCCTCTCAAGTAGCCGATATTGGTGATGTCGACCCAGCAGCCCTCGACGCAGAAGGTCGATGTCTCGTTCTTGAATTTCCTGCCTTTGTTCTCTTCGGCGTGTACAGTCCAGCAAACAGCAATGGCCTCAGGGACGACTTCCGGCTCGGCTTCCTCATGATGTTGGACGCAAGAATCCGCAATCTGAAGAAGATGGGAAAAAATCTCATCCTCACTGGCGATCTCAATGTCTCCCGGGATTTAATCGACACGGCAAAGGCAGATGATCATATGCGAGCCGAAGGCATGACGCACGAAGAGTACCTCAGCACACCAAACCGCCGAATCTTCAACCAGCTTCTTTTCAATGGGAAAGTGCCTGGAAAACGAGACAAGGGACGGGAAGAGCCGGTTCTTTACGATCTCTGCCGCGAGTATCACCCCGATCGCGAAGGTATGTTCACACACTGGGAGCAAAAGATCAACGCACGGCCGGGTAATTTTGGATCACGGATCGACTTCATACTATGCAGCATAGAGATCAAGGATTGGTTCATGGAGGCCAACATTCAAGAAGGCTTGATGGGCTCAGATCACTGTCCAGTGTACGCTGTGACGAAAGACAAAGTGTCAGTGGGGCGCAGTCAGGAGGCCGCAGCTGAAGCTGAGCATCCAGAAGAAGAAAAGCACATTCTGGATTCGATGAACCCTACTGGCATGTTCCAAGGTGGTGTTCGGTTACGGGAATACGATCCGTCCAGAGACATGCCGGCATTGAGTGGAAAGCGGCTTCCCGAGTTCACAAAGCGAAGAAACATCCGAGACATGTTTAGCAAAAAGCCAGCACTATCCAAATCCGCTTCGACAACTCGGTCCACGCTCAATGAAGGAACAGCGCCGTCGAGTGCCATGATCGCGGACCCTTCATCTACTGCTACCACCGAGGCGAACAAAGCACTTGCGCCACCAACATCCACTGCGAACGGCGACAAAGCACCCCTTGTAACCCCCCTGAACTCTCCCGAAAAGAGACGTGCCTCTGCTTCCGCCTCACCCGGAAAAACCCTCAAGCGATCCAAATCCAACAACCCAGTCGCCGGATCCAATCCCACCAAAGGCCAACAATCACTCAAAGGCTTCTTCCTCACACGCAGTAAACCAACCGAACCCAGCCCAACCAAAGACGAAGCACCTCTGTCGGTGCCCTCCACTCCCGCTGTCCCCACCGGCGATCCTTCATCCCAATCCGCTACCGGCGCCCCCGACCTCTCCGTCTCTCAAACGTCCGAGACCTACGATCCCGACCCGCTCGCCACACAAGAAGCATCACGGGAATCCTGGTCAAAGCTCTTCTCCAAGAAACCGACGCCACGGTGTGAGCATGGCGAGCCGTGCATCACGCTGACGACGAAGAAGCCGGGCATGAATTGTGGGCGGCAATTTTACATGTGTCCGCGGCCCATTGGGCCGAGTGGGCAGAAGGAGACGGGGACGCAGTGGCGGTGTGGGACGTTCATCTGGAGTAGTGATTGGAAGGGCAGCTGAGAGGTTTGGTGAGGTTGGAGGAGGAATAGTAAGGCGTACACATCGTTTGTGTTCGCGGGTTGTACGGGGGATGTCTGATACAGAGTTCAATTGCGAATAGCATGGACGGGGTAGAGCGCGCATCAAGGACTGGAATAGCTCTGATAGTATCAAGGGCTTTCAAACGGTGGCTACATTTGCCATTGTAGCAAGCAAACGTGAAATACTAAAGTAATAACAGACAGCTTCCCGTTTGATTTGGCGAACAAACATGGAAGTCAACATGACACACCTTTCACGACTCGAATACAAAGCCCATCACCGTCAAACAACACACACAAACACATACGGCGAACTCAACAAAATCAGCTTGTCAGTCACCAGATGCAGAAGCTGCATTTCTCAGCACGCAGAATGCTGGATCGTCATGCTGAAATCTTTCACTGCGCCAGCACGCATGGCGTTTTCTCAACACCGGCTTTGGAATCGGCGTGTGTCTGGTGGCGAAAGATGGTAACGTTTTCGCGCGGGTTTGGATGTCCTTGGTTGAGGGGATGTGACGGTGCGATGTTTGGGTGATGTGATGGTTTGGGGGGGAAGATGTTTTGTGTGCAAGGGGCTGGGTAGCATATATACCTATAGCAGCATACGGTAAAAGGTGAAAATGTACAGGTTGGATATCTTCTCCTTATTACAGTACCGCATACCAACGATTCTAACATTAATACATCTTTCCACCATCCCAGCCTCAAAAGTCACCTCTTCTCCGCTGTTACTCACATCTCTAAGTCCCATCCACCACGCATCCCTCAGGTCCATACCTCAACCTTGGTCCGAACTACACCCCATTCCCCAGCCTCAATTGCGGTTGAAAACGGCCCGATTACGAAGCTCGTGACCCCTGTCGCCCTTGCCGCAACGTGGTATCGCGCGGGAGATCTTGGTGTTCCGGAACAGGGGGTGGGCGGAGAGGAGTCCGGTTGTGTGACGAGGTTATTTGGACATCGGTTGCTGAAGAGGGAGAATGGGGAGAGGGTGTAGTGGTGACTGAGCACGTTGTGATGATATTGGGATTGCTTGTAGGAGGAGTTTGTGAGTTGGTGTGTGTTTTGAAGTGAGTGTATGTGGATTGGGGGGTGCGGTTGGGCGGTTTTGGCGGAGGGATGGGGGAGAGGTGGTGAATTGGGAGGGGGCATGGTTGGAGAAAATGATCATTGGTATATGAATTTACTTTTGTGATTCTACTGCCAGGCTTGCCGCAAAGATGCACTGTTGAGACTTGGCCATGCCCATGCAGTCTGCGGAGTGTGTTCGAGATTGCGAAAGGGGCACAAGTTGCACGGGCCCTGGGCGGGGATATGGTAGGTAACTTGCAGATATGTTTTCTTGATATATAAAGAACGTCCTGTATGCGTCCTGCCACTCTTGACGGGGATTTGCACATGTTGTTGGCATCAAAAACGCCGCTGTCCAGACAGTTACCATGCCGTGAAGCATGATACAATTCATCTTAGCGAATATCTGAGGAAGCTAAAAGTTTCCTTCTACCTCAAAGATGCTTGGTTCAATCGTCTGCCAGGCCTGCCACAAACGTGTCATGCGTTTCACTTCAAACGGCCATGTCCGTGCCCCTGGGCTGCGGCGTACCAGACCGTGGAAAGTTTCCGGGCATACGACCGAGGGGATGTTTGCATTGTAGGAGCTGTTTACAATACTTACAAACTATCTCCTCCGGTATTGCTGCCAGACCTGCCACAATAGCCGGCCAAGCGTGATGGTCATCGCTTGGCATTCACCTAAACCAAAGACACACCACCACACCACAACCACTTACCCACCGGCCCCCAGACATTACAGAAGTCTTCATCAACACTATACGCAACTACAGTAACCAGCCTGCCACGCCTGCCGCGCTCAACGTTGAATAATACGCCACTTTCACCTCCGCCTCCACACCCATTCTGACTTCTCCAACCCCAACCCACCATTCTCCAAACCCGCTGAAATTTACGGACCTGTACCAAACACACTCGAAAGGTCAGACCCCAACATCCTGCCAGGCCTGCCAAAAAGCCGCGCATATGGCGGCGCTCATCCAAACTCATCCGCCATTGTTCACTTCGACTTTCAGAGAAGTTTCCTCCATGAGCATGGGTGCCAGCAAGGTCCGGTGAGATAAAAATGTTCTTGTATATGTAAATAAGGATCAGGAAACACCTTGCCAGGCTGACCGCAAATTTGGTGGGTTGGCGTGAGATAATGTGTGGAGGGAAGTGCTGGGCGGCGTCTCGTGGGGCGAAAACACCGTGGAATGGATGGATATGGGAAACCCAGTGTTAAGATACATGAACAGATTTATTAGAGATATCTTACGAAGTAACTTACAAGTATTACAGAGATTCAAGTCAAGTGGGTCGACATTCACGGCTGGGGACTTGGGCTGCACCGCGTATCCATAGTCTCAACACCACAGATACATCACCACCAGTAAGCACTAGAGGACCCATTTAGTACGAAAGAACTCATTATTCATCCATATTGATTTAGCTACACTATGCACTGCCCGAAGAAAACTCAATCACTGTGATACCGCAGTACCACCAGTGTCCACCCATCAAAGCCATAGGCTCGAGCAAAATGCTGCTAGGACAAAAATCCTCCGCAAAAACGAATCCGAAAACGCCATTTTTCTCTCGCAAAGATGAGCCTGTCGATAGGGCTATCCATGTATGCGTGTTAGATGCTCGATGCATTTCATGCCAGTCGTTGCTCTCTTCATCGTGCAAATGTAATGAAGGGTATGCGCATACCATAACGCCATGACAATGTTCAATAGAGAGCCTCCAGAAGTACGGTAATGACCAGCCGGTCGGGGAATACCGCATGGCGAATTAAGGGATTGCTGTGATAGGCGAATTCGTAAGTAAGGGTCATAACTAAGGGGTATGCAAGGGTATGCCGAAGAAGAATTGCCAAAGGAGCCAGCAGAATGTCAGGTGACCAAAATTCAGAATTCCGAAGTAAATGAGTCTTCATCGCAACTGGACTGACAACAAGTATGTTGGTGGGGGGGCCGCCAGAGAAGGTGCGCGACTCCAGAAATATGATTTGGAGCTTATCACAAGAGATCGCTAGTGAAAAGTGACATGGTGGCATTGCCATCAGCGCCGTCACGGAATGTGAGAAAGTCATTATCGAAAGTATCGAGCTGAGAAGTTATCTTGTCGCCTTCCTCAAGCTCATCGAACTGAAGAAATGTGTCGGTTACGTCTTCGGCGACATCGAGCTGATGGAATGCTTCGGCTTCGGCTTCAACTTCACCTCCGAATTCATATGAAAGAAGGGCATGACGAAGAGCTTCAGCATCGTGGAATTCGTTGATGGCGAACGGCTCCTTAGGAATGTTACTGTTGAACTCGGCCGGCTCATTGAAGTTGCCAGAGCAATTGAAGTCGACAGAGCCGTTGAAGTCATCAGCGCCATTGAAGTCATCAGCGCCATTGAAGTCAACAGTCGCGTTGAAGTCAACAGTCTCATTAACGAAAGAGTGGGCCATGTCGCCATGGTGAGTGGTCGCTGGAATGCTGTAGTTGCGCCGCAATTCAGGCAGCGGCATCTGAGATTGCATCATACTGGAGTCTGGGGTCATCTGCACATCAAAGAACTCGGTGTTGACTGTAGAAGCTGCCGCATACTTGCATTGCTTGGCCTTGCGCGACTGGCGCTTCTTCTTCTCACCAGGCTTGCGAGGGCTATACTTGTAATCAGGGTGCTGGCGAGAGTGCTCCTCCTTCGCATTCTTGGCAGCAGTCTGCCAGACCTTCTTCTCGTCGGGAGAGAAAGCGTGCCAGATCTCGGAGCAACGAGTCGCTAGGAAAAGTTAGGACATATGAAGAGGAATTGAGGTTAGAGAGGCAATACTTACATATCTGCTGTACAGTGAGAGACGGATTCTCCGACTTGAGCTTCTTGTGCATGGCATCCCTGAAGATGATCCAGCAGTTCATGGGACGAGGTGCCCTCTTTGCGACGGTGCCACCCGAAGCCTCGACACGAGGGACTTCCGCAGTAGTGTTAGGGGCAGAGAGAGTCTGAGCAAGATTGATCTCCGGCATTGTGACAGCTGTATGAACACGGGGTCCAGCATTGAAGAAGGTGAAGACGACAGGCCCACCGACTTGTTCGCTCAGGTTACGCTTGAAGTACTGAAGAAGCAGCTCGCCAAAAAGCTCTTGAATGTTGTACTGGAGTATGACAGTGCGCTCACCACGCTGCCATCCACCAATGCAAATGTTATGGACGGCGTGAATATGAGCCATTGTAGCAATTTTGCGGCCCACAAACGAAGTATTGCTAATGGGCGAGGTGGTGGAAGAAGTGGCAACGATCATATCTCAAAAGCTCAGATTAATTGGGAAGTTGGGAAGTTTTGAATTCGTGAATACTGATTGAATAGAAGAGAAAAAGGTGTGGTGGAGGTTTAGTGAAAAAGGTCGGTGGGTTGGGTGAGAGGATGCCTCCTTCCTGGTTGCAGGCGCCAAGGCTTGAGGGTAGAGCGTCAGCGCATTCACCGGGTCAGTACTTTCATCGGGATATTCACCTGCTATTACTCAACTGTGTCAAATAGACTGGTCTCTGTAACGAGACCTGCACAGTGTGCTGCCTGTTAGGCCTGCAATCTGGTGTGGAAGTTGTGGAGCTATAGACAGGATCTCAACAGCTTCCAGATATCCGGTTCAAGTGGATATCTCTTGAGCTAAGGGTGTATCTGTTGAGCTTCACGAGAGGCTTTTGTATTGGAGAATTATGATCAATAATCATGAATCAATGTTCGTCCAATCGCGAGTGACCGGTAGTCTTTGAGTTATCAGCTAGAGAAGTTCAAACTATCATTCAGACGCTTCTTTCGAGTGGAGCCACCTACATCGCGTGTGCTATCATATTCTGAATTGTGATAGACGACATCGGCCTTCACTTTGCAACCATAGTAAAGCTTTCGTACAATGAGAGTGAAGAGGCAGACAGCGCCTTAAGTAAAGCATGAAATCAATATTGAGTTCTTTCGCGGATTGCACAAAGAATACAGATCCAGGAGAAAAGCCGGATGTTGCCTTATATGTGAAGTCATGGCCTGAGACAAAGGAATTGGCGTAACGCCACAGACGGAACAGTCCTGGAAAAACGAGATATGTTTCGACAGAGTAATTTTTATGGACATCGAATGCACCGTAAAGAACTATTCTTTCCTTTACATATCGACAAAGTAGCGGAATGCAGCCAGGCCTATCATGCACCTTTCTGGTCCATTGTAGGTCTCTTGCACATGCACAGTATATGTGTAGACCAAGAAATATTGTGAAACGCATCTTCATGATCGCTGATTACGGTAAAATTGGAAAGTGAATGTGTATTTCTGGATCAGAATGCAGGATGGAAAGAAGGTATGTCCAGAATCGCTACGGCTGTCTAACATTATACCTACTACCGGTAGAGTCCTGACGCACGGTCCACACCAAGCCCTCACTCTGATTCCAAATGCGATATAGTACAAGTGCAAAGAAAATTGTTGAATACTGCAGTACTGTCTACAAATAAATAAGCCTCCATTTAAAAGTTCAGCAGTAAAGATATAGATCTATGAACATCTATGATACCCCATTGAGGGTGGCAGCAGCCTCTGTCGAAAGTCTCCAGTCCCGAACCTGACCCTTCCAATCCGCTATTCTTCCATCTCGAACCTTGACCACCACCACTCTGACCTCATCACCTTCTACATAACATTTAGTACCTCCATCACCCTCCCTTAGACCGTATTCTTCAGTTCCTAGGCCCCCTCCGCCCCACAGCCCCATTGATGCATTCGAATTCGCACTTTCTTCGCTAGATTCGAATGTATTGTTCGCCAAGTGTTGAGCCTTGTACCAAGATTCCTCATCAGATCCCGAAGGTATCAGCTCGGCGATCCCGTTGATCGTGGTACTGATCCTGCTGAGGGAAGCAGTGTTCATGCCAAGAAGTAACTCAGCGAGAGAGCCTGAGCGCGGACTTGGCCGGGCAGGTGACGGCGACCGACCAGTTTGGTTCAAAGTTGGGGGTCTATGTGATATCCAATCATGTACCAGCAGGGAGACAAGTCTGTTGGCCTCGAGGTTGCGGGTTTTACGGCTCGATGACGGGGTGGTCATGATTATAATTGGTGTCTGACAGTAGGGTGTGGTAGGCAGATAGGTGTAATTCATCAAAGAAACATGAGGAATATTGTCCGCACATGTCGCCAAGTGAAGCTATTGAATGAAGTTAGATCCGCTATCAGCTATGTGCAGAGGTCATGTATCTCCATCCAGATGTCAAAGAAAAACCTTTTCCTCGGCATAACATAAGTGAACATGGATGTCAAGCTCGGGAAGGAACGATGACGAGGAAAGAGCGGAACAGATGATGAAGAAGAGTGGAAGATAAGATGCATTCGACTACCATCATCCTTGCCTGCATGATGGACATGAGCAAGAATTGATCATGTGGAAGAACTTACAAAACGGGCGTTTTGGAGGCATGTAACCACCTCGTCAGGTAGATGAGCTGACATGATAGACGGTGTGAACGAATAAGTTTCATGCAGCGAATGCATGCACGGCAGAATTACTCAGTCAAGGCGCAGATGAGTACCAGGGCACCGGTTGAACGATGGCCTAGTTGATGAAGAGTTGTTTGATGGAACTGATTGCGCCAAGGCAGCAGAGGGGAATCATCGGTAGAATATGACGTTGACGTTGACCTCGGGAAGCTGTCCGTGCAGAACCCAAGCAACTCGGCCTCGCAATAAAGATACATAAGAAACGACGGGCCGCAATCACCACGTTGCCCACAATGACAACTCCGCCCTCTATTCCCCCTATTGATAGCTCCGACGGATTCAATCCAGACTTGAACAGCGCCGCTGCAGCGACAGAAGAGGGCACCTCGGGTTTACCCGGCGATGGGCCAGCTGTATCTTCACCACACCAGCAGACTACTCCGCCAGATGTGCACACACAACAGCGGGTGCATGATGTCCTACACTCTGATGTTGGCGTCGCAACGCTGCTCAGTCGTTTGAAGGCCAGCATCGCGAGTGCTAGAGTAGGTGTGGATCAGCCTGGCGCTGCGCACATAGACGCTTACGCATCCGCAGGACTTCTCCAATTTCCTTAAGCGTCGCGGCGCTCTTGAAGAGGAGCACGCTGGTAGCCTTAAGAAATTGAGCCGCCTTACTCTCGATGCCGTGCGCAAGTCAGAAGCTCGCCACGAGAGCTACCAGGCGCAGTTTGAGCAGGTCCTTCACGCCAACGAGCGCATTGCAGAGAATGGCACCCAATTCGGTCTCGCCCTTCACGCCATGCACGACAATTTACTGCAGTTGGCCAACAAAATGGACGCAAATCGCAAAACATGGAAACAACAAGGATTGGCAGCAGAGAACAAGGTGCAGGAAGCGGAGAGGCTGGCCGAGAAGGCCAAGGCGAAGTATGACCAACTGGCTGAAGACCTTGACCGCGTAAAAACAGGTGACACAGGTGCAGGCAGGAAGTTCGGTCTCAAAGGGCCTAAATCAGCCGCCCAGCATGAAGAGGATCTGCAGCGCAAGACTCAGGCAGCAGATCAGGATTATGCCAGCAAGGTACAGACAGCTCAGACGTATCGCAAGGAGTTGGTCACAACTTTACGTCCACAAACAGTTGCAGCACTATTGGACCTCATCAAGGAGACGGATGCTGCCTTGACAATGGAGATGCAGAAATACGGTATGTGCATCGCATCAAGTATCCCATATATTCACTGACATGATTAGCATCTTTCAACGAGAAGCTGGTTGTGAACAACGGCCAGGTAGTTAGCCCACAACCGCTCAAAGATAGCAGCGCCCATCTTCCCCCAAGCATGAATCAACTCATCTACCAGATCAATAATGATAGGGACTTTGATGAGTTCATATTGGCAAACGCCTCAAAGGCTCCTCTAGCCAAGTCTGAGCTACACTACGTCAAGCATCCGACCCAAGCTCCAACACAGTCCCATCCAACATCAGTCCCGACCGTGGCGGGAGGGGAACGCCCGTCTATACAAATTCAAAGCCAACCACAGACAATATTTCCTATTCAGCAAACAGACGTGCAACCTACACCAGCATCCTCACACATCGAGTCTGCACAGCAGCCACATATGCCTGGTTACTCACAGGAGCCGACAATGTCTTCGCAGACAATCCAAGCCCAGGCGCCACCCCATAATAATTCTGCTCAATCTCCGGTCATGCAGAATCAATATTCGCAAGTTGAATATCCTCGAGGACCAATTGGTCAGGCTACAGCGCAGCAGACCAGTGGCGTTCTCTATAACAGCTCCCAACCCCCTGTAAACCCTGTCTTTGGTATAACTCTTGAGGATCTGTTCCACCGTGATGGCTCACCTGTACCTATGGTCGTGTATCAGTGTATACAGGCGGTGGACCTATATGGTCTGGAGGTAGAGGGTATATACCGGATCCCCGGCACCTCGTCTCATATTCAGCAAATGAAGGCGCTGTTTGACAGTGGTATGTAAAACTGATGATGCGCCATGTTGAACAAAATTTAATCATACATAGACGCATCTCAGGTTGACTTCCGGAACCCTGAAGCGTTTCAACATGACGTGAACAGTGTCGCCGGTTTACTGAAGCAGTTTTTCCGCGAACTGCCCGATCCGCTCCTTACTCGGGAGTTCTACAGTAAGTATATCGATGCCGCACGAATCGACGACGATACGATGCGCCGAGACTCTATGCATGCGTTAATTAATGCACTGCCTGATCCAAACTACGCTACACTCCGCGCACTTGCCCTCCACTTACATCGTGTTCAACAATCTTCGGAAGTTAATCGTATGAGCACAGCGAATCTCGGTATCTGTTGGGCGTAAGTCACGTCGTTTCCTCCATCATCCGCCAGCACTAACAGGATGCAGACCATCTATTATGGGCCCACATAAAGGCAACATGGCAGATGCTGGCTTACAGGCTAGAGTGATCATTACCATCTTAGACAACGTGCTACAGATCTTCGATGAGGATTAAGATTATATTTGCCATACACCCAAAATGGCAACTTCTAACCAATGCCACATGTGACCCGATTTAGAAAGTCGTCCCTGGAGCGTAATGGCAAGGCTACAGATATTATCTCGGAACAATGATTTATGATATACTTGTGTGGCGATGTCAGTGGTGAAATTGTATTCGTACGTCGAGAATGGAGGCGAAACTCCTGAGTAGGATAAAACGAAACACTCTCTGGAATGGTAGAGGAAGTCTATGTCGCAGTGGTTGTGAGAAGCTTGGGGCATGTCAAATAGTGTAGGCTGCGGTCATGAGCCAACCCAAGTGCAATCCAGATATCAAGGCCCAGATTGACGACCCCTCACGTGATTCAACGGGCTAGGTGCGCCAGTGCAGCATGTGTGGGGCGAGCTTGCCCCAGGTTCCAATGTTTCCCCTTCGGGTAAAGCGTAGGAAGCGACAGGGGAGCTACACGTACTGTGAGGGGAAGCTCGCTCCAACCCGCACGTACCCCAGGCGAGCGTCTACGCAGATAAACGGCCACTTCTCCCGCTACCCGTACCTGTTGTTGACACGGCCGTCATTGCGTTTGTTACGGCTGACACAACATTGCATATTTTCAAATTCACCTGCAGTCATTGTGCACCGTCCAGCATCACCAGAGTCAACAGCAAGACACCTTGCGCCAGCCATCCCATCATGCTCACCCAACGAGCGTGCGCCGGTGTGCGTAGTCTAATGCATACACAGTATGCCCCAGGTACTTTCGTACGGGGCTTCGCGGCCAGTACTGCCCTGCAAAAGTCATCACGAGCCCCAGCACTCGCAGATATCACGCCAGAAAGCGTCGCGAGCTTCAATGCGAAGCAAAAGGAGTTCCGCGATGGCCAGAAGCGTAAAGAACAAGAAGAAAGTGCGTTGTACCTGCATGACCAAGTCTCCGTATCTATCACCTTCAGAAGCAGCCCAACCACTTGCTAACAATCAGGATTGTAGGAGAGGCTCGTGCTCGTGAGCACGAGAGTGGCCAGAAGAAAAGTGGAAAGCTCTCGTCGCTCATATATGGTACGCCCGAGGGACGTGAGCTTGACAAGGATATCGAACGCAGCTTCTCCCAAGTCTTAGCTCGCGGAAAATATGTGCACTCAATCGTGTTCCACCAGGTCAAGCCAGACAAAGTTGACCAATATACCGAGCTTGTGGGCAGCTGGTATCCCAAAATGGCGGCAATTCCTGAGAACAAAGTTCATCTAGTGGGCAGCTGGAGGACTGAGGTCGGGGACTGTAACACGTTTGGTAGGATAACACTGATGGAGAACGAGATTAGTTTGCTGACACCTAGTTCACACAGTACATATCTGGGAGTACCAACGATATGAAGGCTACCACCAATCTCTTCATAATATCCAATCACAACCCGGCTTTCCAGAGTTCGACGCGAAACTCAAAGGATTGATCAGCTCGAAGCACACCTCACTTATGCAAGAGTTCTCATTTTGGCCCACGACTCCGCCGCGCCAACTAGGTGGAATTTTTGAGCTTCGCTCGTACACTCTACACCCAGGGAATTTGCTTGAATGGGAGACACACTGGCGACGAGGTCTGAAAGCCCGTCGAGAGGTCATGGAAGGTGTTGGGGCATGGTTCGTCCAAATCGGAGATCTGAATACGGTTCACCATTTGTGGCAATTTGCCAACCTCGAAGAACGGAAAATCAGGCGCGAACAGAGCTGGAACGTAGAAGGATGGGGGGAGACGGTGCATAAAACCGTACCGCTTATCCAAACGATGAAGAGCAGAATTCTCATACCTTGCTCGTGGAGTCCTGTAGCATGAGCTGACTTCGGAAAAGTCTCTACACTATGGAATCTATCTATGTGGCTGGGAAAACACTGCGGAAGGAAACATTTTCTGGGTAGAGTCGTGTCGGATGGATGGTAGGCTTCTCTTTCTCTGTCTATCAGGAGGTCGAAAGACCGTGCCTCTGTTGTCTTTTAGCATGTACGATTTCTATGTGGCACAATGCATGCGATCATTCTAAGTCATATTGTAAGTCACAATAGAACCTATGAAGACTCTGTTCAATGGTTACGTTCGTAAAGCTAGATGTTGGCTAGATGTGACTTCGCGACCAAAACAGGCTGCAAAGTGGACTGACTGGAGGTCCGACGTCATTCGAGCTCGGACCAAGTATCCAGAATCACGCACATGCAACGATACAAATGTCCTTTCTGCATAATGCAGCAACAAATATCACACGTCAACAACACCACTTCTGCCCTGTCGCCACGAAAGCTCAATAGTTATGGTGTACATTCGCCAGGACAAGCTGCCCAGGCTCAAGGAGTACAAATACTCGGGTGTCGACCATAGTCTACTCTCGCAATATGTTCTCAAGCCCTTCTACAACAATGTTGTCATCAAGTGCTTTCCCATGTGGATGGCGTAAGTTTTACCTGAGCAGTACACAAGAACGCAGCTAACATCAAATAGGCCCAACCTTGTAAGTCACAACGCGTTCAACATAGCTATGTTTGCGGACGCCTTTCCTTCCAAGCGCTCACCCCCATAGATCACACTCTCCGGGTTCGGATTCGTCGTTGTCAACTTTCTCACCATGCTTTGGTACACTCCGACACTGGACCAAGACTGTCCACGGTGGGTGTATGTCAGCTGGGCGATCGGCCTGTTCCTTTACCAAACATTTGATGCTGTGGATGGTAGCCAGGCGCGGCGAACTCACCAGAGTGGACCCCTTGGCGAGCTCTTCGATCACGGCGTTGATGCGATCAATACCACACTAGAGGTGCTTCTGTTTTCCGCCACTATGAATTTGGGACAGGGTTGGAAAACCGTGCTGACACTTTTTGCCTGTATGTTGAGAAAATGTGCCGACGACGATTACCTGGTTTAACACTGAGTAGCCTCTTTGACCTTTTATGTACAAACCTGGGACGAATATCACACTCACACTCTCACGCTTGGCGTGATATCCGGGCCTGTGGAAGGCATCCTGACGCTCTGTATTGTCTATGCATCGACGGCCTTTCTTGGTGGAGGTAGCTTCTGGCAACGTTCAATGCTTCAGAGCATTGGGGTAGCGAATCATACTTACGTCCCGGATATTCTGTATAGCCTCGCCTGGAATCAGTGGCTTATGGCTTATGGCGGTGTTGTGCTTGTTTTCAACACTGTTTCAAGGTGAGTGCAAGGTAACAAAGTGATTAGGCCAAATGCTGACAGTAGCGCAGTGCTCAGAACGTCATGAAGGCACGACGAGCCCGAGGCCAGAAAACGCGCTCAGCTCTTGCAGGACTGCTCACCTTCTTTGCGGCCTGGATACTTATCGTGGCGTACCTATACCTCCAGCCCATTATTTTGCATCATCATCTGGTGCCGTTCATCTTCTATGCTGGGCTTATCAACGCATATTCCGTCGGTCGTATGATAATTTCGCATCTTACCAAGTCACGTTTCCCTCGTGGTAATGTGCTTATATACCCCCTGATCTACGGTGTGATTGACTCTCTTGGTCCATGGCTGCAGGAGCACATCGGTGTTGGGTGGCCTAGTGCACTAGGTAATGATGTTTACCAAGTCGCCTTCGTCTTCATGTGTCTTGGCCTAGGTGTAGGCGTCCACGGCAGTTTTGTGGTAGACGTTATTTGGACGATCTGCGATTATCTTGACATTTGGTGTCTTACCATCAAGTATCCACACCAGCCAGATGGTGCCAAGAAAGATCAATAGCTGGGTGAGGCGCGCGCGAACTACTGGGTAAAATTGTATCATTATGTTCAATTGCTGACCAGTGTTTTCCTTTAATAAACGAAGAAAGATGAAGATAAAAGAGAAGCTGAATGATATAGTTGAAATGTATCTATGCGCTGGTACACACGTGCCAAGACATCTCTCCACATCCCGAGCGCAGCTGACTGAGCTAAGTCTTAATCAGGTAGACCTCCGCGAACCTCGCCGCAACTTTACCTACGAGTTGGCATACAGTTTGGAATGCGCGCATGGCGAGCACACACAAGAATCTGGCTGTCACCAGAGAAGGCGAGACATACAACAAGCTCTCTCGTCCGAGCGATTATCTCATCTCAACTACTCCCCTATTACCACCGCTCTCTCCTGCAGCTCGGCCCAGTGCACCAGCCAATAAACGAAAGCGCGGGCGAGAAGGCACGACAGGTAGCAATGGCAGCAAGCGCATAAAAGACGAAAAGGCCTTTGGAAACCTGAATGATGATGCGGCGGTGTTGGACGAGTCATGGTCGGCAAAAAGTTACGGTATGCGCACCATTCTCCCTGGAGGAGAAGACGAGGTGGAGTTGACGGGGGAATCTACAAACGAAGCGATGGCATACCTCCGTAGCGTCCGGTAAGTAAACTGGTTCGTTGGAAGCTCCTGAAGAGCTCCCACTGACATGGAAACTCAAGCTGACAGCCATAATTCAGATCGGAGGCATCGAAAATTCCGCCTTTGCTCGTTGCTCAGACTACCAACAAGGTTAACAATACGGATGACATAGCCCTGTCTCGCAATCAAACTGGCACAGAAGATGGTGTCTTCTATAGAGATGGAGTCTGGGTAGCTGTGGATGGCGGGCTACAGGAAAGTGGTGTCGCAGTAGATCCGGATGGGCGCCGTTCTTCGCTTGAGCCACAGCAAGGCTATTACGATCTGATACTTGCACGTTTCCAAGCTCTACGGATCAAGCTTCTCGATGCGGGCTTTCCAAGCACGAAATTTGCTGCTTCAAGGTCTCACCGACAACCACGCAACAGGGGGGCTTGGCTGGATGTGATCGATGTGAACCTTCCGACTTCAGATTATATCTGTCATTTGGATCAGTCGAGCCTGTTTCACGCCCTGGAAGCGTGTTCTGCATCGTTGGGTCGGTCTGCGAGCATATCCCGTGAAAAGAGCTGCTGGATTTGGACCTTGCTGGCCATGACAAGCGATGCTGGCACCATGAACAGCCAAATGGTTGGTAAAATCAGATATCTAGGGATGCAGGCCGCGCGGCTCAGCGCAAGGCTTCAACAGGAAGACTTTGATCAAGACACGCACGAGTCCAACGTTGGCATTCTTGACGAAGGTAAAGCCGCAAAGGATAACCAGGAACACAGCATGCAGGCTACAGACAATGGCGTTGTGTGGAAAGATGAGGCGATTGGGACCGAAGCTCCTCAGTCCCCACCACAAATGCCGAAAAAGGAAGATGGACACGAAAACCAAGGCGTCGCATCAAGTTGTAAGGGTATAGAAGCTCCGCTGTCTGACCCTGAAGGCGAGCACACCCAGACCCTTGAGCTCGCTCGCGCACGGCTGCTTGCGCAACTTGGAGACCGTCTGGTACCACCGCGGGGTTGTCCTTTAGAAGAGGAAGGGGATGCCAGAAAGGGCTTTGAGAAGCCATCAGTCGATGATGCCATTGACTGGAACACAAAAGCCACCATCGACATGATATTGACAGTGGTCGCGGAACTATATGGCCAGCGGGATTTGCTCAAATTCCGCTTGGCGTGGTGATGGCGGGCTGCCATTGGTCGTAATACGAAGCATTACCAGATAGATAACCCATGTAGTGAACAGGCAGAATTGATATCCCCCTTTGCGCCCAGTTTTTGCTGTGATCTGGATACCTATGCACGGACCATGATAAGTAGCGCTCATCTATTAGGTAGCCCTAGACATTTGCACCCGCAAGCTTGGTGGCTTGAGTCACCTTCTGCTCATGCGTTCACCCCACTTCCGCCCCGCGCTCCTCCAAAAAGTTCTACAACACACCTTTGCCGACTGCAAGAGCACCGCCGCGCCCGCACTCGTCAGTATTCGCCATCCCATACCCCGACGCCTCCTCTACGCCCGCTCCCTACCCTTGATTCATGACGATATGGGCAAAGAAGACAAGTCCAGCAAAGGTTTCAACCTGAAGGTGCCAAAGGGCACGCGCGATTGTACGGACTCCACTCCTCTATGCTCTCCAGGCTGTCTGCTAACTACTTCAGGGACTGGCGAAGATGCTGCCCTCCGCGACCGCCTGTTCCAGACAGTGACCGATGTGTTCAAGCGCCACGGTGCCACAACGCTCGACACGCCCGTGTTCGAGCTCAAGGAAATATTGAGCGGCAAATATGGGGAGGACTCGAAGCTCATCTATGACCTACAAGACCAAGGCGGAGAGCTCTGCTCGCTGCGCTACGATCTGACGGTTCCTCTTGCGCGATGGCTTGCTATGAATCCAAGTGTGCAGAACTTCAAGCGCTACCAGATTGCAAAGGTTTACCGCCGCGATCAACCTGCCATGACCAAGGGTCGCATGCGCGAGTTTTACCAGTGCGATTTCGACATAGCAGGTTCCTACGATGCCATGATCCCTGACGCAGAAGTGCTCAAAATTGCCACTGATGTTTTCGATGCGCTCAGCTGGGAATCATACACTATCAAGATCAATCATAGAAAAATCCTCGACGGCATCTTCAAAGCCGCTGGTGTTAAGGAGGAGCTGATCCGCCCCATTAGCTCCGCAGTGGACAAGCTCGACAAGGTACCCGTCGCAATGTTCATCCCCCAATGACGTGCTAACCTGTTGCAGCTGCCATGGTCCGAAGTAAAGAAGGAAATGGAGACCAAGGGTTTACCTTCAGACATCGCAGATAAAATTGGCAGCTGGGTGCAGCGAAAGGGCGGCGATGACATTATCGAGTTTCTCAAAACAGAGGAAACGCTTTCTCGATCTGAAGACGTTGTCAAAGGTGTCAACGATATGGAGTTGCTATTCGCGTACTTGGATGCCTTTGGTGCTCGAAAGAGGATCTCATTCGATCTGACTCTTGCTCGCGGACTGGACTATTATACCGGGGTCATCTACGAGGTCGTGACAGAAGGATCGGCGCCCCGTACAGATGGCAAGCAACAAGAAATCGGTGTTGGTAGCGTAGCAGCTGGCGGCCGATACGATGAATTGGTCGGAATGTTCAGTGGCAAACCCATTCCTTGCGTTGGCATTTCTTTCGGTATCGATCGCATCATCAGCATCATGAAAGCCCGTGGTCAGTCTACCCAGCGTGCCAAGGATGTTGATGCCTTCGTCATGGCTTTTGGTGGCAAGGGCTTTACTGGTATGTTGACTGAGCGCATGCAAGTTGTCCAGGAGCTGTGGGCTGCTGGGATAAAGAGCGAGTTCTCTTACAAACTCAAACCGAAACTTCCTCAACAGTTCAAACAAGCAGATGTGGCTGGTGTTCCGCTAGCCGTCATTCTAGGTGAAGAGGAACTGAAGGAAGGAAAGGTCAAGATCAAGGTGCTAGGAATCAAAGATGAGAACAACCCCGAGAAAGATGGTGTGCTGGTCGAGCGGAGCAACATGGTCGCCGAAATTCAGAAACGACTGGCTGACTCCTCTTGAACGCCTAGCCAGGCATGATTAGGCTTTGAGAGGACACAAAATAAAAAGATACCCCATAGAGTTCTCCCTCCTACTCTTTTTCCGAGACTGGCTGATCTCTCGCTGAAGTATGAAGACGTTTCGGCCACAGAATGAGCTGGTGGCTCCGCAAAATCCTCGCAGTCCATCGTCATTACAAATGCTTGTTCACGCACGACGGACAGCGCTCCAGATGTCGGTTCAAAGCATCAAAGACATCTCAGGTGACAAACGGTCGGAAAACTTCGGTAGATAGGATACCCTACAACATAGAGAGACGAAGGGCTGGGCGTTGAGCTCCGGAGTGGCATGTCAAGGTACTTGCCAGTAAATTCATGGCTTAACCAATGCCAAATGGGCCAGGGCACGGTGTGGAACCTTGCTCCAGAAAATGCAACATGATTCTTGTGAGATGTGAGACTGTTTTTCTTGCGATGGAATTTGCAAAGCTACTAGAAGAGATACTGATTGAGACATGACATGTTGATGGGGGCCTGAAATCTATATCGCACACCAACATGGACTTGATATACAGATGACAGGAACGGTATGGTATTGAGAGCTTTATGTCTACATGCCCAAGTTGAGAAGGAAAAGTTATTGTGCATTTAAAGCTTAGTAACCGTCTTTACCCCACTTGTTGTAGGTGTCGTGGAGTTCCTGTCGCGGTCAGTACTGCTGCATTGGCCCTTGAGACATGATTAAGCCTACCTTGGGAAGAGTAACATTGGGGATGACGACGACGTTCAAGGCTGAAGGAGCATCCTTCTTGATACTCGTGTCACCGCCTGGGTGGTATTGGTAGGGGCCCTCACCACCTGACTGCTTCCACGGCTCGCTGTGCTCTGCCTTGGAAACGGATCGCTCAGACGAAGCACTGGTGGGAGAACGAGCTAGTAGATGTCAGCATAGGACGGTGTACAAGCTCGCAGCCAAGGAGAATCTGGCCGGCCTTGGGGAGCTTACAGAAGTGCCACCCTGCAAGGCCAAAAACGCCGCTCATGATGGCCATGAGTACCTGGGAAGCCAATTAGCCTTCTGTTCCTCGAGTCCTATGTGGCGAACCGGCAGCCTACGTAGAGTTCGGGGTCGCGCTTCGCTCCCGTCTTGAGGGCATCTTTGCCGGCCTGTCGCTCGCCCTCGCCGGCGGCGCTGGCCCAACGGCGGAGGGCGGGGGCACGGGACACACGGGGGGCGGCGCGGAAGACTGAGCGGGCGATGATGGAGGACATGGTGGAGGGCGGGTTGTAATTGCGGCAGGGGAGATGTTGCGACGGCTGTTCTGAGCGTCTCGTTGCGGGCGCAGTGGTGGTTCGATAGATGTCGAATCTCGCACCCTCGCCAAGCTTCAGCGTGCTGCGTCACAAAGCGCGCCCTAGCCCGAGTCGGACTGGCGTCGAACGAGAGAGACCTTGCTACAACCACCACATCAACCTTATGCACCCCTTTCGCGATATCCTCGCCAGCAACGCCCCAGACCCGCCCATCTACCTGAGCCACCCTACCCTTGCCCTTGCCCTCGCTCTCATCCTCACGCTGCTTCGACCACCATCGCCCCTTCTCTTCCTCCTGCGCACACCGCCGCCAGACCGCGCCCTCCGCAGCCGTCCTCCATCGATGTCATGCAGCTGGTAAAGACTGGACCTGCGCCCACGACTTGCACCTGCCAGCCATGACCACGCCCGATCAGAAGCGCAGCTCGACCGGCAGCCGCGTGCTGGGCATGACGGGCCCGCCTGGAGAGCCCGGCCTGCCGCCGTCGCGTCCGTCGTCGATTGCGACCGCCAACTCGGGCAGCCAGAACCGCTGGTCGCAGGCCAGCCCTCCACGACGAGGCGGCGGCGTTCAGAGCGGCATCAGCGTCGCTGGCAGTCTGGGGCATCAAAGCCGCCCCACGACGTCTGCGAGCAGAACTCACGTGCCGCTGGCTGCCCACGGCTTCTTCCGCCCCATGAGCTCACAGCGACTCCAGCAGCAGCGCAACCAGCGACCGACCTCACTTCTCGGCCACAGCTCTGTCTACTCGCAGGCCACACACGAGTCCGGCAGTAATCCATACCGCCAGAGCATCGGCTCCACGACGCAGACGATCCGTAACGGGCCCATGCTTGGCCTCCACCACGAACTGGACCAGCACCCCCCACCCTCGCGCGGCACCGACATCACCGACAGAGACATGCCAGACCGGACTACGGCCAACACTACGCCAACGGGCGCAGAGACAGTGCGCAGTCGCGGCGAAAGCATCACCCCACTGCAGCGGCCTCGGCCTCAGCACCTCGACCTGACGAATGCCCATGGCCACGATGTTGGCAATCTGCCCACGCCTGGCAAGTCACCCCGGTCCTTCTCCAGCTTCATGTTGTCCAGTCGTGATGGCCGTGCTGCCCAGATACGACCCCATCAAGGTCACGAAAAGCTTACATCAGCGGAATCATCCCCCAGGCTCGGGCGCAGACAGCCCGTCAAAGAAGCTGTCAAGAGTGGCTTGGGCAAAAATTACCAGTACTTCTCCGGCAACACCGTCTTTTGTCTAGGCGGCCGGCTACAGAATACACGTGATCGACCTGTGAACGTGGCTACGGCGATAATGATCATTCTACCTGCCGCTCTTTTCTTCGGTTTCTCGTATGTATATTCTCACCTCTTGGTCAGGTCTGACTGCTAACCAAGTCCTAGAGCGCCATGGTTGTGGCTCCATGTTTCTCCATCGATACCCATTCTCTTTGCCTACTTGTTCCTCGTCTCAATATCTTCCTTCATCCATGCTTCAACTTCTGATCCGGGCGTAAGTTCCACTCGTAGTCTATGTGTTCTCCTCGCTAACCCTGCCAGATACTCCCGCGCAATTTACATCCCTTTCCCCCACCTAATCCTAATGAGGATCCCTTGAGTCTGGGACCTCCCACCACAGAGTGGACCATGGTCGTATCCGCGACGGGTGCTAATGCTGCCATGGAAGTTCCGACCAAATACTGTAAGAGTTGTAATATCTGGCGCCCCCCACGTGCGCATCATTGCCGTGTCTGCGATAACTGCGTCGAGACCCAGGATCACCATTGTGTTTGGCTGAACAACTGCGTCGGACGCCGGAACTACCGCTACTTCTTCGTCTTCGTTTGTGCTACAACACTACTAGGACTGTTCTTAGTTGGGGGTAGCTTGGCACACATTCTAGTATGGCGTGCGCAGAACAGCGCGTCCTTTGGTGAGGCAATTGATCGATGGCGTGTGCCATTTGCAATGTGTCTTTATGGTCTCCTGGGCTGGATGTATCCTTTCAGTCTTGGCGTCTATCATCTATTCTTGGTTGGGCGGGGCGAAACAACTCGGGAGTACTTGAATTCGCACAAGTTCCTCAAGAAAGATCGACACAGACCGTTTACTCAAGGCTCGGTTTTCAAGAACTGGGTAGCAGTCTTGCAACGACCGCGACCACCGACATATCTACATCTCAAGCGGCCATATGAAGAGGGCGACCAAAGATTTGGCCCACGGAACGGGAAGCGCTCGGCTCCTCTAGCTGCAGAGCAGCAGGGAGGCGGAGTGGAGATGCAAGATGTGCGAGCTTCGGATGGTTTCCAAGGACCGATGGGTAGGGCTGTTCGGAGTACGACTGGTCCGATTGTAACGTAGTTAGCATCAGCGGTGCATACAGTATAACGGGCCTAATATAAACCTGGCCCGCGCCCACCCAGACTCTCTTGCAAGCGATCAGTATAACAGAATACCAAATGTGTCGGGAATCCGCACCCCTCTACTGCCCCCTGCACAAAGATGCAGTGTCGTTTGAGTAGGTGCCCAGAGTCCAATATGACGATCGCGAGCCCCTGGTGAGACCGCCATGGTGACGGTGATGAGACTTATATAGGCGTGCAATTATGCAAATGCTGCATGTTTGTGGAAACAAGTGTAAGAAACAAAGCCGCAATGGCCAAGAATCCCGTCCTAGGAGGTGGATGGAATGCGCGGGTGGTGACACTGGACCGATGAGGAACAGCCTAATTGGTTGACAGGGTTAGTGTTTACCTCCTCTCCAAGCCTCCTACCTTACCACCCTTCAGTCAACCTTCTCGTTTCCAACACCCTATCGCACGCTGATGCATGCCCGCCAATCACTGCCGGTCTGATTGATAATTTTTGCGCGTTCCCAAGGCTGTAAGCAGTGTGCTGCGCGTGCACTTTGCCAGTGTTGCTGCGCGAACGCTACACCCGCCCTAATCGTCGACCTCGTCCGTCCGCGCGTCAGTGGCTCACCTTTCAACACCACACGCGCGACGCGTTCTCCAACCTTGTGTCTTCGCTATCATGGCGGAGCGAGATCTCTCTCCGGACTCGACATCGTCGACGCTGTCCAACATCACCGTCCAGACGGACAAGCAGGCCGACGTCCGGGCCATGTCTAGCGCATCGCCCTCCAGCTCGACGCCTCCCACGAGTCTTGACGACGGAGCCAGCGTCCTCTCCGAGATCACTAAGGTAGAACAGACGGTCGAAGTCCACGAGGAAGCTCCACTTCCGACGCCCTCTGGAGGGACACCTGGCCCGGCACACTCCACCCCGGTCGCACCCGTCAGCGAAAGCCGGAGACCGGCCAGGAGCTCGCGCAAATCCGTTACGACCTACAACGTGCAGATTCTCGCCGGTACGGCCATCCACACACCGACAAAATACCTCGAGAAACATCATAAGAATGTTGTGCATGGTTCTCTGGACGCCCTTGCTCTCCAGGAGAGGGTCACATCTGCAAAGAAGAAGAAGAAATCAAAGCCACTCAAATCTGAGCAGGCTGACGCCAATGACCCGGCCGAGGAGCAGCTTGCCACAGAAACAGCCCAGGCCGCACGTCGTCGCACCTCCTCGAGAGTCACCGACCTTCGCAGGGATGTCCTGCGCAACCAGTCTAGCATTGTCGATGCTAGCCCCTCAACTGCGTCAGACCAGCGAACATCACTTCACACCAGCCTTCGCAAAAGTGCTTCGAAATCTCACTTAAAATCTAGTCAAGTCTCGACGTCGGCGCTGCCACTGAAACGTCAGCGAGAGGATACCGACGCTGAGCCCAACGCTCTGAGGGACCCACTAGAAGAGAAAGGACACCTCAAACCAAAGATGAAGGTCTGGCTCAAACAGGGCCTCTATGTCGGGCAACATCGTGACTTTGACCCTCGCCTCTCAGAAAGCCAGAATCGTGCCAAGAAGAAGACAAAGAAGGCGAAAGACAACCATGCTGCTCTTCCACTCCCCATTTTTGCTTGCGATCGTCTCTTGAACGAGGACCCTCGACATGTGTTTCGGGACTTCAAGTTACCTTTCGACGTTTACAGCCCATTACCAAGAAAAGTCAAAGTGGATGGGTGGGTCAAACTAAATAAGAGTAAGCGCTCATGATTAAACCCCATATTCTTCCTAACATCCTATAGATAGATTCATCGGCGATGCTAGGGAATTCTGGAAGCCCGACAAGCAAGACTCGTCCCAGTGCTACTGTGGTCCTGAGGATGGTTGTGGAGAAGCATGCCACAATCGAATTATGGCGTACGAATGCGACAGCACAAATTGCCGACTTTCTCCGGAGCAGTGCGGTAATCGTCCATTCGCGGAGCTCAAACGACGAGCCAAAGGAAATCGGTACGACTATGGTGTTGAGGTTGTAGACACTCATGACCGTGGCTTTGGTGTAAGAGCTATGCGTACGTTCGAGCCACATCAGATTATAGTAGAATACGCCGGCGAAATCATCACTCAGTGGGAATGCGAACGGCGGATGAAGCAAGTCTACAAGAAAGACAAGGTAGGACACCAGCCGACCCCTAGCACTATACAGCATCTAATCTCTCACAGTGCTACTACCTGATGAGTTTTGATAACAAAATGATCATCGACGCAACTCGTGGTACGATCGCACGCTTTGTGAACCACTCCTGCGAGCCCAATTGCGAGATGATCAAATGGACGGTTGGTGGGGAGCCTCGCATGGCATTATTCGCCGGCTCTCGTGGGGTCATGACGGGAGATGAACTGACATATGACTATAACTTTGAGTACGTCTATTGCAATGTGGATAATACAAAGAATGCTAACAGCGACAGCCCCTTCTCGCAGAAGAACATTCAAGTGTGCCGCTGTGGAACGGAGTCTTGTCGCGGTGTACTCGGGCCGAAGCCAAAGAAACCCATTGAAGAGAAGTCGATAATACCTGTCTCCCTTGCAGGCGGCAAACGCAAATTCTCGGATGTCACGCGTGTTGGTAAAGCAGGTTCGAGGAGCAGCCAAAGTTCTCTTCTGAAAAAGCGAAAACTTAATACTACAAGTACCATTACGATGAAAACACAAAATGCGGTTATTCGATCCACGGCTGCTCGCGAGCGGGCTGAGAAAGACGCAAGCGAGCATTCACGCCAGGTTGCTTCTCGCGAAAGCCGTGCACTAATGCGCTCTGCTTCAGAAAACCCAATTCATCATGCACGTTCCGCCAAATTGCCAAGGAAAAAGTCATGTGTGGTAGGACCTAAAGTTGGCTTCTTACGACGGGCACCAAAGGCAGGTGTCTCAAGAACCGTAAGAAGTTCTTCCACTCGGCAGTCGTCATCACGTGTTACGACTTCAACCCTCGCTACTAGGAATACCCGCAAAGCCACGCAGCGGCCAAGCACTCCAACACAAATTACAGGTGCTGATTCTTCTATGTTGGATGAAGAGGCATCGCCTAATATCACACCTGCCTCTCTTCGTAGTGCTTCGAAGAAATTTGCGCAGTCAAGTCCCATGCACATGCCGCATTCTCGAGTACAAACGACTAGTCAGGGCGATGGTTCTGCCATGCGTGTACTGACTAAAGTTGGAACGGAAGTTGAAGACATCGTCATTATGCGGAACATTCACCAGCATACGACTTCGATTGCAGATACCAAGTCTTTTCTAACGAACAGGACACGCAGTGTACGAGGAAGGTGAGTTGCAGGTCTTTTTTGGTGCCTAACTGTGGCACCTGCTCCAATAGTTCGCTTCATAGTGCTCGAAGGTGTACTGATAGATGCCAATGTCAATGCTTCAAGTAAAAACAGGCCTACTGGGTATTTTCAAGATCTGGTTTAGTTCCTGAGCTAGTGTAACTTATGATCCTACGTGCCTGTCGGATGTGCTAGTTGGACGGGTCGGTTCTAAGGGAACACAGTCATATAGTGTGATATACACAGTAATTTACCTGGGGCGGAAAGCAAGCGTGGACCCAGATGTAGTAACGTCATCTTGCACTGGAAGTGCATCATCATCCCACGCGAATAAGGAATGTTTTCGTAAATGTCAGCTCTGCGGGTTATGGTGCAGCATTTATGATTCCAATATCTACCCATTACGGCTTATTACGACTTTTAGCACTCATGAATTGAAATGGAACATGGAGCTAGTCTGCATGTCTTAATATCTTCTGATATATACTGCAAGACTGTTTATGTAAACATCGTATAATAAACTGTTTTAGTTCGTATACTAGCTAGTAGTCAAAATTTGCATGTAGAAAAACGAAACTTTATTATTTGTCCAGCTCTAATAAAATGTCTCCATCAATCCCAAGGTACAAGGATTGAATATCGAAAGTCCTCCATCAAGAACTGGCTGCACTACCCACACATTGTAATATATGTGTCGTGTTCAAAAACAAAAGGCCTTGCTCTCCAATGTGTACATACAACATCTTCTCCCAGGACCGCATATAATGTGAATAGCAATGGAGTCGCTGTTTGTATTGATGTTGTTCGTGTTGACCGTTTTAAAAGAGAATAGGGCCGCGAGGAATGGCATGCTCATCCTCTTGTGGTATAATAGTTATTGGTTGAATAGAAGTACGTTGAAACTGGATGGCTCCTTAACTCGTGGTCGTCCAGTGTGCACAACCCCGAGTTATTACTAGAATTGGTTTACAACATGCGCTGAACAGTGCATGGGGGGACGGGAGTCACACCACGCTGGCGCTGGACAGTACAAGGGGGGACCGGGGTGACACCACGTTGGACAGTGCAAGGGGGCACTGGGGTGACACCGCGCTGAACAGTGCATGGGGGAACGGGTGTAACACCACGCTTGACGACGATGATTCCGGCCATTTTGATTGAACTTGAAGTGGATAGATTGTTTAAAGAGTGTTGAAAAAGCTTGATAGTAAAGATTGGATGTTCTGATGGATGGAGAATAAGACGAAAGTCATTTCGACGAATATTTATACCTAAAGCTGAGCAATAAAAGACAAAGGTTGAACACCAAACTTCATCAACACACCTGCCGATAAGCCACAATTCAGTGAGCATGAAAGCCCATTACCCTGTTTATGAACCTTAGCATTGTTCTAAGCAAGGGATGACTCGGGCGCGTGATTCGCTTAGCCAAAATGTTCAAGGCCCTTCCTTTCACTTCAACAGCGTCTTTGTTCACACTGCAATCTAGACCTTGAAAATTCTGGTATTATGCATGGAACCTTCCATTGGAGGCTGTCTGTTGGAAAGCCCGGAGACGGCCTCCCACCATTCATCACCTCTGTCGTGTGACCCCTTGGCATAGGTATTGGAACAAGCAAAGCAAGCCACCTAGGAACTGAATCCGATAGGACATCCGATGGGTCAACCAATGGAGGCTCTGTTGATCCTAGACTTAACATAGTGTCAATGGTTTTTGTCGTCGGGTTTTTGTCGTCATTCATCCTCTAATAGTATTAGGCGGAAACTGAATGACAGTAGTCTTGACTCTTAGCAAGCTCTCTGGCCCTGAGAGACTGTATTCTGGGATTTAAGTCCAACTGAATGTGACTGAAATATGCTGTTGGAAATCCCTATTGGCATATGCCATGACATACCTTACGAAGATGTGTCCCTTCAGAGCTGTGCGCTTCGAATATAAAAGTAAATATAGAGTATCAAAGGCCGGCAGCCCAAAAGTAGAAGGCTGTAATGAGAAGGAATAATAGAGGTGCAGAAACGAGCTGACTAATGAAGTTCGGGGCACGCCATGATCTTGGTATCCAGAACATTGCTGAAAAACAGTCACACAAGTAGTCTCGGACTGAAGCTTGCCATTGCCAACTCCCAGGCCAATGAACTAGGACTAATATTCCAACAGTGGGGACAGATCGTGGTGTTCGGAGGTTGATTCGGAGCTAGTACGCAAGTGGCATGAGCTTTTGCAGCATCAACGAATCTCTCTCACATCACCTTCGTAAGATGGCAACAACTACGCTCACCAAATCTTTGCTCGGATTTCCGAAACGGATCACTCACGGATCTTATCAGATCCGCACCTTACAAAATGTATCGCCTCCGCCCCGCCGAAATGCCGATTTCGCTTTCGCCTTCGAGTAAGCCACTGCGGCCCGCCATCCCATACCACCGCTGACGGTTGTCAGTATTGATGGCGTATTGCTTCGGAGCTCTGATGCACTCCCTCGTGCACAAAAAACCCTATCGTATCTTCGGGAACAGCGCATCCCTTTTATCCTTCTCACCAATGGTGGGGGCAAGCACGAATCGGAACGTGTAGCCGAGCTTAGCATCAAGCTCAAAGTTCCCATTGATACTAGCATGTTCGTTCAGAGCCACACACCCTTCGCCGACATGGAAGACCTTAAAGGCAGGACTGTGATGGTTGTGGGAGGGGAAGCAGACAAGTGCAGGACAGTCGCCGAGGCGTACGGGTAAGGAATCAGTTGCTCGTTGACGCTCCGGCTCCGACTCACATTCTACAGGTTCAAGACGGTCGTTACCCCTGGCGATATCTTGGCCGCCCATCCAGAAGTATGGCCTTTTTCCCAGCAGCTGCTTCCGTATTACAAGACCTTTGTACGCCCACTGCCTGCGCCCATTGATCCTGCCTCACCGTCAACTTCACTTCGTATCGACGCCATATTTGTCTACAATGACCCGCGAGATTGGGGCTTGGATGCGCAAATTATCAAGGATGTGTTATTGTCTGAACAAGGTATTCTTGGAACGTTGTCGGCAAAGGTAAGATTCAGTTCAGATGTTGCAACCGCGGTATCCGCTGATCTTTGCTGCACAGAATGGTGATGCTAGTCTGCCCAATCGGGGCTATCAACAAGATGGACAACCGCCTCTGTATTTCTCTAATCCTGATCTCTTGTGGGCAGCAAAGTATCATCTCCCCCGGCTAGGTCAAGGCGGATTTCGTGAAGCCCTGGAAGGGATATGGGCAGCACTCACAGGAGGCAAAGCGCAGGGCATCAAATTGCAGAAAATCATTATGGGAAAACCATATCAGCCCACCTATGAGTTTGCGGAAAAGCTCCTTATTGCGCACCGGCAACAATTGTTACAACAGCCGCAAGATGCGCTTGGCCATCTAAGACGCGTCTACATGGTTGGAGATAACCCTGCTAGCGACATTGCTGGTGGTAACAATTACAAAAGTCCTTTCGGGACGGATTGGGCCAGTATTTTGGTGCAAACAGGTGTATACAAAGCTGGCACGACACCAGCCTATCAGCCGCGGAAGATTGTAGGCGACGTATGGGATGCGGTCAAGTGGGCTACTATGGAGGAGAAATGGGAAACCTGAGGAGCCCTAGTCTGAATTATCGCGAAAGCTTCTCAATACCCGTCTCCTCGTATCACTCATGCTACAGCAATCATCTGAGACCGCATTACGCCTCTAGCAGGAGTTTGGTCCTTCGATCAGACTCTTGAGGCAGTTCCATCCACCGTTATGTAGGTACTATTCATTCGGCCCTCTTGTCCTCGGCTTAGGGAAGAGTGATCGACTGTGTTAGTCTACATTCAGTCGTCGTTAGACGTTTTACATGGTCATTAGTGAGGTTCTTGTGAATTCTGCACGCTGACGTTAAAGGACGACAGTCGCGACTTCCAAAATGAGCCGCGACCCCAGCTTCACCAACTCGATCTCACCGGCAAGACGCTACTTCTCTTGCCAGACATCGCTCTGTTTGCTATTTTCCTGCTCGTTTTCTCGCATCTTTCTTCCCGCGCCATATCCTTCGGCAACTTCCTCTGTTTTCCTACCACACAGCTTCATTCCAAACTGGCGACGAAAGCAGGGTCCCGCAGTGGCCGGCGTCGTAAGTATTGCACAACTCCCAATAGCGCTCCAAAACTGTTAACACCCCCCTCGCTCTGTAAAAGAAGATCTAAGATGAGAGCAGATCGCCGTGCTCCCGCGCCCGCTCACACCACGAAGGGTAGACTTCCACCACGCGCGTCAATGCAGAGCAGTGGCGTTGACCATTCACACATCCGTGTGATTCCCCATCGCGGCAATAGTGGCAATACCGAGGACAAGTACGATGATGGCATACCGACATTCCGCTCGCCGTCTCTACAGTACGCCTCTTTACTTACTCCTCAAACACGTATCTACGAGAATTCCACGGCAGAGTCGCTGTCACAGGTCAAGACGTTCGCAGATATGGCTCGACGCTACCATAAAATAGACGATAAGTTCGACAGTGAGCAACTGCTTTCCAACCCTGGACCTCTCGGTAGCATCCTCAAACTTCAGTCACATCGCAAGACCTGGCAACCAATGCGCACGAGCGATTTAAGCCACTGTGAGAACGCTGAAAATGATGCTTGTGAACCTTCATTGGAAGTTCATACGTCTACCCATGAGTCTGGCTACAATCACATTGATCTAGCTCTGCCTGCGAAGCCTTCGTTGCACTCTCAGATCCAGTCGATGCTCGATAATAGCACGGCTACCTCTCAAGCCTCCGACACATTCTTTGGGGTGACGGGTGATGAGAATCACATGAAAGCATTACATGCTATACCTGGCCACAGCTATGAGAGACTGTTTGGAAAGCTCCCTGATCTTATCCGCCTTCACGAGCAGACTGGTGACTTCGATGGCCAAGTTGTTTTCATTGGCCACCCGAATAGAGATGTTTCAGCCCATCAATGGTCATCTAATTCATTTCAATGGATTAACATTGGAAAATATGCTCATGTCCGTGGAAAAGTGGAAGGTCCACTTAGTTCGGATTGTCTCAGGCAGTACGATGTTTCTCATCACCCCATTGAATTCTTCAAGTGTGCTGCAAAGAACCGAGAAAGACATGTTGTCGAGAATGGAAGACAGGATATAATCACTCAATCCAGCATGTCAGCGTCTACGTACGCCGACAGGGCAGCCAAAACAGTCCCGATAGACAGCTACCCGTCGACACCAGAATCGTCACATAATACAATCACAAGGGAACAACTGGAGGACCCATTTATCGCGCATAGCAAATCTCTTATCTCAGGTCAGACCTTACTCGACCGCCCCAAAGCAAGCAAAGTGAAAATCAACGGCTCATTGGATTTCAATTATGAGTTCCCTTCGAGAGCAAATACATCCGTAACCCCGGGGCGCACCAACACAGAACACCACGGAAGCAGTGTGCCAGAACATTTGCTGCAGAAAAAATTGCAAGAAGTTACCTTTGGCGAGGATGCCGGGAGTTACATGGGAAACAATGTGGGACGCCTCCCTACGCAGCAGCAAACCTCAAAATACGCTTCCCTACACAATGTAGAGGAGCACTGCATACTTGAAGAAAATGTCGTTAAACCCGACTTACCGGTCTCATATGCGCGTGCGTCAATCGCAGGTCATGTCGCAACTCTGAACGTACCGAATTCCTATGCAACGGCTCGGTCTCTGTTCCCTGCGTCGGGACTCACAGTGGCGAATCCACGGCGAACGGGGCTAAATGTTGCTAAAATAAAAGGTTCTCAATCGAAGATGCATGCTGCAATTCCAGAATCAGAATCTTCTCACTCAGAAACGGCCCCTATTAGCCCGGTCGCTGTCGCGCTCATGTTCAGCGACCCTGATGGTGTGAAACAGTCTCAGGATTACGAGATAGCAAATGGGTTCAGCAAGCAAGCACCTACTGTTCAGAACCTGAAAGGACCCTTTTTCACGGACACGAAACCGACTACCATAGACCCCACTGCGCAACTATCGCTGCATATTGGGGAAGAAGAAAAACTCTCTACTTGGTTTCACGATGGACATCGCCCAGCACGGCAACAAGCATATGCTAAAAGCCTCATGTTAACAGCGGTCTCGCTCGGAAGAGTTCGAGATCGTGGAGCTGTTGGGGAAACTGTGGATTCCGAGCCGTTCGCTGAGTACAGAAACACGCCTGCTTTTGTTCGTCTTTATGAAAATCTCTTGGAGTATGTTGACGAACGTCGCAATTGTACAGAAAGTCCCTACTTCGCGCGCGCCTGGAAGAAAGAATCACAAGGCCCTGGCATCAAGTGCGGCAGCAGCTATGTCGACAAGTCAGCCCCTGGACAAACTAGAGCAGAAGGGAGAGGAGGCTATCAGGCAGCACGATACGGGAACCGCAGCAGAGGTTGTGTCTAGTTCTTACATTACAAAGCACTCTGGCTCGTCTGTGTGATAGCATGAACTCCAGTCAACCTGAATGATGGATGAAGGTAGAATCGCGTAAGGCTGTTATTTCCATGTCATCCACAGCACCCACCACCATTGGCGACTCCCCCCATCCCAGGTTAACCGGGATACATCCTAATAGGGACTAGCGGGTAGGGTAGATATAGCCATCTCCAGGTTCTTCTCCTATGGATTCTTCAATCAATACTGTCTCCTCACATCAAAGGCCACTGTACCTTCTACAAGATAGATGCACGACCACACATGATATCAAATCTGCAATCAGTGTTGCGCTAGGTATGGCGGATGCGTGCAATATAATCTGGATGTATATAATCTCATGTTCCAATGCACACCCAGCTGATAGTAATAATATGGAACAGTGAGACAGTGTGAAGTCGCTCGGGCTTATCGGCGTTACTGGTACCGGTAACCTTAGATCGAGGCCAGTGGCGTCATGCACACTGGTACCTTCACCTCAAGCCGCTGCTCACCAGCACGGCCAGCCTCGACTTTTACGCGAGCGGGCGCCTGCTCCGAGGTTTTCTTTAGCTGCTGTCGTCATGTCACCCAACAGCTATCTACCTGATGAGATATTGCTGGAGATTGTATCTCACATCGAGAGGTGGAATGTCCGCGAAAGGCAGGCTTCGCTTGCAAGGTTCTGTGCTGTGAACAGGTAATGTGGACCTTCAGACGTATAGTTGTGGCTGTGTGTACTAATACTAGCAGGCAATGTTATGATGTATGTGGAATCATATGGGATACTGTTTCTCCCAGGAACCAGACCTTAACAAGAATTCTCATTGACAGACACGATCTAGGTTGCCATCCGACCACTGTACCAATCACCCTATCTCTCAGGCCGCGCCTACGAACTCTTCGTGCGCACAATCTGTCCCTCAGTACTTGCACACATAAAGGTGAATACATTCATGTCAAATATCCCGCACCATCGCCTCATCACGACAATCTCATACTAATACCCAAGCCTCCAAGCCAACATCCCTCTCCTCCCTCGTCCAGACCTTAGACCTGTCAACCATCGTTCACCAAGGCACAAAATCCACCACCGCACGGCTCTTAAACCGCACAAAGGCCTCTCTGACTACCTTCATCGCACCGCAAGCTTCTTTTGCCATAAATTGCTGGGCGTCCCTGTCAAAATGCACACATCTGCGTGTTCTGGACCTCTCCCTCGTCAGCGAGCAAATCAACTTTCAATCCCTGAACCAGACGCTCCGCCGACTCAGTGATTTGCGCGAACTTTGTCTACCGCGGTGCAGTTCAAACTACGAGGAAGGCAGCGGGACATTGAACGTACGCTGGCCGCCACGGCTAGAACGCCTAGCCTTGAGCGGCAGCGTGAGCGGGAAATTCCTCTGGGACATTCTGCGCCAGCCCGAAGCCTTCCCCCCATTCTTCTACTCCCTCGGCATCCTGCACTGCCCCGGCCTCGACCACATCAGCATCCGCCAGCTCACCTCCAGTCTCGCCGCCAGCCTCACTACCCTCGAACTCCGCAACCTACCTGCCATCAAACAGGGCCGCTTCAACGCCGTCCTCGATTGGTGTCCCCGGCTCCAAAACCTCACCATCGCCCTCGATTACATCGACACCCGCTTCGGCCATATGCCCCCTTCCTTCTCCGCACACACCCACTGGCATCTCGCTCGCCCGCTGCAACACCTCACCCTCCTCACCTCGGGCAAGTCTGGTGACCCAGATCGCAGCTTCACCGCAGACGACCTGTACACGCTAATTGACGAGCGCTTCCTCGGTCGCCTGCGCTGGCTGCACATTGCGCGCAGCACCGAGTGGGAGGCTGAGAACGAGGGCGCCGAAGTCGCCGCCCTCGAACACTTGTTGTGTGCCGAGCTGGATAGGGAGAATTGGGAGCTCAGGCGCTGGCATTACGAGGGCTTGGCGGGCGTGCCGGAGGGAATGGGGTATGAGCAGTGGATTGAGGAGACGGGCATGGGGAGGCGCATGAGGCCACATTTGAAGATCTTGACAAATCGTTGAGTGTGGTAGGGTATGAGTTCCTGATTTCTTTTTGCATATCCTCGGGAGTACTTGTAGATGGATCACTCTTTCATATTTCATGACTAGGATGGTCCTGCCACGGATGCTGATCATCGACATCATCATCATCATCATACCAACCCGAGAAGAATTGGCGCGAAAGCGTATAAAAATTGTGGGCAAAGAATATTTCCCCATCTAATCCCATGCCACCAGAGAAAGATGCCGCATTACCAAAACACCAAAAGCATGGTTGTTACAGCATCTCACCAGGTAATATCTAAAGTACTAGTGTAGTAATTCATCAATGATCATTACATCCAAACAAAAACCCTTGCACCGCCATTTTTTCTCAAGCGCTACCACTGGCCTTGCTACCCTGAACGGCACCGCGTACACCTCCCTTTCCGCCAACCTCACGGATAATCGTGTTTATGCTCAAGTCGGCAGCAATGTTGATTTGGACCTCGACCTTGGCGCCCTTCTTGACGCCACGGATAGCAGCCTCAGCGAGCGTCTGGCCCACCTTCCAAGTCTTTTCCCGGAGTTCCTCCTCCTCTTCCTCGCTGTCGTCGTCGCTGTCCTCACTATCATCCTCGGCCTTTTCGGCCTTGGACTTGGGCTCAGGCTTGGTGACCTTGATGTGTCGCGAACCCTCGACAATCTTGATCAAGACATCGCCGCCTTCTCTGGGTGTCGCGATCGTGGCTGTCCGCCTGACGGGTAGCGAAGTCTCGGCCTCGACAACGGCGTGGAAAACACCGTGGGAATCGTCGCCGGATATGCAGAGGACGCCGACGGCGGTGGAAAGGTGTGGGGTGACGGTGACCATGGGGTGTGTGCTCTGCTCAATGTCCTCGAGCTCGAACTCTTGAATCAAGCTGGCCTGGATCGCAGCACCGCGGACAGGCAACTCAGAGGGGTTGATAGCGGTAGACGATGTCGACGGGGAGAGGACTCTAGTGCTCTCTGGGAAGGCAGAGCGAACCGCAGATGCGACCTTGGGGGTATGCGAGTTTCCACCGGCGAGGATAATCTCGGAGATGTCCAGAGGATCGAGGTTAGCCTTTTCGACAGCGTGTGTAACAAGACGTGTGAAGGCCGAGAAGAGCTTGTTGCCAAGCAAATCGTATCGCGTGCGGTTGATGGTCGCTGTGAAGTCAACACCACCGAGCAAGCTCTCGACGGAGAAGCTGGCGGAAGATCCAATGGACAGGGCCTTCTTGACTGCCTCGCACTCAAGCTTCATCTTGGCCAGGGCACGCTCGTCCTCCCGGGGGTCGCCAACAGTCTTGTGCTTTTTGAGGAACTCCTTAGCAAAGTAGTCCATCAGGACCTGGTCGAGCTTGAAACCGCTGACCTCGTAGTCGTGGAGGGTAGCGAGGATGGTGTAGATGCCACCGCGCGAGGCCAAAACAGCCACATCAGAGCGAGTGCCACCAAGATCAGCAACAACAATGATCTTGTCTGCCACCTTCGCACCAGGACGGGCGTCATATGCAAGGACTGCGGCCGTGGGCTCATTGATGAATTGCAGGACTTCCATGCCAGCATCCTTTGACGCCTTCTTCAGTGCCTCCTTTTGTGCGTCTGAGAAGTTTGTGGGAACCGTGATGACGGCGGCATTAACGTCTTTTCCGAGATAGGCAGAGGCAGAGCTGCGTAGTCTCTTTAGGTGTCGTGTGGTGATCTCTCCAACGGAAATGGTGTTCTCCTGGTCGGACTCGGTGTCGCGCAGGGTGAAGGCTACATCGCTGCCGTTGTCTACGGGGTGGGCTGACTGGTGGCATGGCGAGGGGTCTATTGACTTGAAACTGGAAAGTGTCAGTCTTGCAGCGCGTAAGGCGAGGGAGATTGAGGGTCTCACTCTTGGCCCAAGAAGTCGCGGAAATAGGCAGCCGTGTTCTTTGCATTGCGAATCATTTGGCTCTTGGCCTGGTTGCCGTGTAGTTCCTCACCCTCGACATATGACAGCGCGGAAGGAATTTGGCGGTCTGGACAGTGTTAACATTGCGAGGCCAGCCTTTGTTTGGCGGGGTTGATGGCGCACCTCCGTCTTCGTTGGCAATGACTTCTGCCTTGCCATCCTGGGTTGTCTTAGTCTCTATAAGATTCCCGAGGGAGAAGAATCTGAATGACATACACTAGTGGTGAAAGCAATGGAACTGTACGAGTTGCCAAACGAAATTCCGATTGCGACCCGCGACGCGGGGTCTGTCTGTTCACTCATCGTGTCTGTGGGCGACTGTGTGCTCGAATCGTCTCCGAGGGTTCGTGTGTATAGTTGGGTGTTCAAGAAAATTGGAGAGAAAACAAAAGATCTCCAGTTGCACTTGAAATGCTCTCAATTTGGACTGTTGGTTGTGTTGTGTGGCAGATGTCCAGGTTTCGTTCTCCAAAAAGCTAAGAAAATTAAAAGTCCGCGCGAAAAGCCTCTCGAACACAACGGCGCTAAGTCGACTAGTGGGGAATCCCCAATCGATTCCATGTTGTAACTTATGAGCTCATGTCCAGCGACAGTTTTCTTCTGCGCAACACTTTTGCTTACGACAACCATGGCGACGACCATTGTATTACCGGGCGACGTCATCCCGAAGAGCTCATTACCCTCAGGCACAGGCAAGAAGAAGACGTTGAAACTCGGTCCCGGCCTGCGACACATCCCACCAAACACAGTCGTGACCACCATCGCCGGCGCATTAACTATAGACAACAAGAAGAATGCCGCCGCCGTCGAAGCCAACACCGGTCGGGTATGTGACTGGCTCTTCTTTCCACTCTTGGCTCATCTCATGCTCCCGAAATGAACTGTGCTCTAACATCTGCAACAGTACACTCCTTACACTGGCGACCTAGTAATAGCAACCGTCTCCTCCTCAGCCGCCGAAAACTTCAACTGCCTCCTCTCCCCCCACACCCCCTTCGCCACACTCCCACATCTCGCCTTTGAAGGCGCCACGAAGAAGACGCGGCCCCAACTCCCCCCTGCCTCCCTCGTATACTGTCGCGTCGCAAGCGCGGGCAAAGACCTGCCTCCCGAGCTGACGTGCGTGGATCCTTCCACGGGTAAAGGCGATGGTCTGGGCCTGCTGAAGGGCGGCATGTTGTTTAAGATTAGCTTGGGCATGGCGAGGAGAATGTTGGCGGCGAAGGGCGGGCTGCCGTTGCTGGAAACGATGGGGTCGAAGGTGGGATTTGAAGTTACGGTGGGGAGGAATGGGCTTGTGCATGTTGAGGGGGGCAATGTGAGAACGACGTTGGCGGTAGGCAGGGCGATACAGGAGGTGGATGAGAAGGGTTTGGGTGAGGAGGGGCAGAAGAAGGTTGCTGCGAGTGCACTGAAGAATATCTGAGCGGCGTCCAGCACTCGGAATCGCAAAGAAGAGCACGACAAGTTGCCTAGAATCTGGTACCGTCTCCATGAGCATGACTCATGGGAACTAAGGGGCATTTTGGAAGCCGTAAACCTGAGCATACGAGGACCTCGTGACTTTTCGCTCCAAGGTTGGTCAAAGGGTCGGGTGGCGCCGTTGGGTGGGCCACAGAACCACGCCAAGCAAGATCAAAGCAGAACACAGCGGACAAAGTGTCACCTCAAATGTCAAGTCTGTTGCATCGCTTGAAGACGGCGCCCAGGCTCGCAACCCAAGTTGGCGCTGAACGGGCGATGGTGAACAGAGAGCCAATTGGCGCATGTGGAATCAATGTACTCGTGCTTGGTCTAGAGACAAACATGGAAAGGTAGCAAAAGCACAATTGGATGTATCGGCATCAGCTCTTGAGTTTCTCGGATCTATGACTTTTGTTTACAGTCTCGTAAGCGTTGCCTCGTGTGATGATCTCACATGCCAGCAATCCCCCTCAACCCCCTCAACACAAGACTGAAGAAACTGCTCCTCCGGCCCATTCCATCATTCGCAGTGATCCCTCTACGGCGCCACTCTCGAAGGATCCCTAGGGAACAAACTACACATTCTGATATTCGGCAGGCCCAACCAAAACTGCACAATCCGCTCCAACCCAAACCCACCACCCGCATGCGGCGGGCATCCATACTTGAAACAATCCACATAGTCCTTTGTCCCGGCACCTGCGGGGTCAATTGGCGGGTCGTGCTTGCGCATCATCTCAGCGAGGAGGCTGGAGTCGTGGATACGCTGGGCGCCTGAGCAGATTTCCTGGCCGCGCATGAACATGTCATACGAGTTGGAGAGGGACGGGTCGGCAGGCGAGGGCATGGTATAGGCAGGACGAATAGCGAGGGGGAATTGGTCAAGTGTATAGAAGTCCGAGTTGTACTTTTCGAGGACGAGTTTGCCAAGTTTCTTCTCTTGGGGTGTGCTTTGCATATGTTAGCAATGTGTTTGTGCAGAGGCGCAAGGGGACAACGTACGTCAGGTCATCATAGTCACCGAGTTCTTCGCCAGCTTCTCGCAGCATCTTAATACCCTCTTGAAAGGGGATCCTGGGCACCTTGCCGGATTCCGGTAGCTTGAATTCATCGACGTGGTAGACGCTTCGGACCAGCTCAGTCTCCTTGCGGTATCGCGCGTTCAACTCGCCAAATATGAACAGCATGAGGTCCTCAAGCACGCCCATGACCTCGTGGTAGTTCTCTTGAAACTCCATCTCCAAATCAAGGCCAGTGAACTCAGTCAAGTGACGTGCTGTGTTCGAGTTCTCAGCGCGGAAGACGGGGCCGATTTCCATGACCTTTTGGAAGCGGGATGCAATCAACATCTGTTTGTAAAACTGGGGCGATTGGGCGAGGTAGGCAGGGCGGTCGAAGTACTTGAGCTCGAAGACGTTGGCTCCACCCTCAGATGCGGCACCAAGAATCTCTGTGAAGATGGCATCTCAGCAAGGTGATTTAAAATCAACATCGAATTCAGACTTACTAGGAGTGTGAACTAGGACGAAACCCTTCTTCGACAAGAACTCCTGAAACAGCGCGCAGACACCACTTTTGATCACGAAAATGGACTGGTTGATCTTCGCTCTGAGATCGATCGTCCTATTATTGAGCCTTGTGTTTAGACTGACAAGCGGTCGCTCCTCGCCTTCCTGCAGTTTATCTGCATCCTCGACGACCGCATCACTGGGTAGTGGACGCTCAGCATCCTCAACCTGCAATGGTAGGGGTACCTCGGCCTTGCTCTCGATGAAGAGCTTCTGTACATGAATCTCGAAGTCCTTGATGGTAGCACTCTTGATCGGCTCCTTGACGCGCTTCACCAAACCGGTTACCACGAGGGTGCTCTCGGTACTGATGTTCCCGCAAAACTTGACCATCTGCTTGCTCAGCTTATCGCTAGCAGCAACGACTGCCTGCACAGTGTTGAGATTCTGGCGCAGGTTGAGGAAAGCAAGCTTGGCCGACTGAACACGAGCATTCTCCACCCAGCATCTGAATGTGACTTCCTTGTCTTCGTTGCTCGCGGCATCGGCGAGATTGACGCGCGCAATGTCTGTGGGCTTGAAATCTTTGGATCCACAGAGGGGCAATTCGCCGTATGCACCAGCAGATACGTCGGCAGCGTCTTCGGCCGCCTTCTTGGAACGCTCGGCGAGCTCGCGAGCTTGGGCAGCAGCCTTCTTCTCGGCCTGGAGCGTATGTTAGCAGTGCGAACTGAATCAACTTGCATTGACCCGTCCCACCTTCTCTTTCTCCTTCTGTGCCTTCTTCAGCGCATTCTTGGATGGCGCCTCCTGCTGAGGGGCGGCGCCAGAGTTAGAGGCTGGTGGTGGTGCGTCACTCATAGTCGATCGTAGTATGAAGAGGTTCGTTCAGCCAGTCGCCTGAGAAGTCCAATGCTGTGTGGTGAGCGCGCCGACTTGACAGTTTGTAGTTAGTGGGGCATTCGAATGAATCACAGTTAACCCCGCCAACCCCCGCGGCGTCATCGCTCGGCACAACACCAACATGCATATAAAATTCGACATGCGAGTGGTTCCGTTGGAAGTGCACGATTGCTATGGGTATACGGGAAACTTATGAATGCTTCCTAGTCCGCTGACACCTCCCTCCCTACGATTATTGATCACAACGCCATAACCCCGCCTGAGAATGCAGCCCGCTATGCAATTGTGACCAAACAGTCATTCCTCAGTGAAACCAGTCGAGACGCCCCATTTGAATTAAAACCATAAAGTTTGAAAGTGCTCATTAGTACGACTGTTGGAAAATAGTCAAGTCAGCGAGCATCTGAATGCCCTTAGCCGTGAATAGAAGCCCGACTCGATGATGTCGTGCCTCCCTCCCACAACTTGACCATCTTCACGGTTGACTGCTTAGGCTCGTGACAGGAGAATATGTTGACATGATTGTCGTGTACAGCAGCTGCCGCAATCATCAAACGATGCGGATGGAATGCTGTAGCAGCAATCGGAGCAGAGCGATCACGCAGGAATCCAGAGTAGGGTTCGAAGTGTGATACAGTCTCTCCGTTATGCAAGTTGAAGATCTTGACTCGGTGTCTCTGGGTCCCGCTATAAAAACAATCAGTCAATGATTCGGTCCACTTGGGCAACTGCAGAAAACTTACGTCGCAAACACTGGCGCATGTTCGTGCACACTCAGCGTCCTCAGGTGATCGGTTGTCGCCTGTATAGTCTTGACGCTTCGGTCCATACGTATGTCCCAAAGCTTCACCTCTCCGCTACGGCAGCCGCTCACAAGTTCTCGTTGACCGCCGCGTTGTAGGTGAACGTTTGTGATCCATTGTCTATGCTCTTTCCATACCTTGACCATCGCAGTAGCAGGCTTCTGACGTTGGTCGTATACTCGGATTGCACCGTCACCAAAGCCAGCAACAAAGACGTCGCCCTCGACTTGATCCGAGGTCAAGGACGTGATACATGATCCTGATCTTGCAGGAAGGTCCTAGCGACATCAGCTACGAATGCATAAACGTGGACTCAAAGTGACTTACACTTGTGCACACTTCGGTCCCTGCATTCCATATTCGGATCACCTTTACATCTCCCGCGACCAGAATGGATCCTCTTCCCTGTTGCCAGTCGAAGACTAGACCAGCATTCTTGTTGCTGGGCACAAGATCTGTCAAAGCACGGAAGCCCGTCACCAACTCAGTCTTGTCCTTGTGGTCGTAATTGCGAAAGATCTTGATGACACCGTCCGACGATCCTGTCATTAACAAGGCTTGATCGTCCTCGTTAATGAAACGAACGTCGGTTATCTTTGAATCCGGTGGATTGCCATTCGAGAAGCAATTGATTCTGCTTACCGACTTGGAGTAGTCGAATATGTTAACAGTATCTCGCGCGTCCGTTACTACCAGATGGTCCTCGAATTGATGGAAACACATCTTGTGAGGCTGACTGAGATTGTCAAAGTACCCGCGAGGTACGTCCCACCGATTTGACACAGCGATTTCCTTCATCGGCTGTGTTTCAGCGATGATTTTGTCATTACGATTGCGTCGCCAGAGTCGACCGTTATAATCTGTACTGCCGGGCTCATCGGCTTCCGTTGGCTTCATCTGAGGCTCACGGAAATACTCCACTGACCACTCGAAGAAGACGCTTTTTAGTGGTATTTCCGGCTTCTCCGCTAGACTCCGAGGCTTGAAACCACGAGGTCTTGGTTCTTCCTCGACGTGGTATCTCTCTGGTGTCTGTGGGCGGACTTCGGTCGCAGATGATGATGAGTCCTCCAGCCTGCTTCTTCCTCCAGATCGCTGAGTAGACGAGGCAGAGTCAGTTCCGGTCCACAGACTTTTCAGCGATGCGCCAACGCTCGTAGACTTCCTCATTCCACCAAACAAGGACAGGTAAGAGGAGTCCTTTGTCGATGTGGAAGGATTGGGGCTCTTGGGAGGGGCGACGAGCTCTTCTTGCGGGCGACGAACAGGGCGAGCTACAGGTGCTTGGTTCAGTGTCTCCTCCAATTGAGGCTGAACGAATTTGGCGAGCGACGACTCCATCAGAGCAATCAGCACATAGTCGACCACGATGCCCGCATCCTTTGCGATTTCAGGATGTGGATCGACCGACATCACCAGTAGCTCCTTCCATATAGCCGCATATATGGTATTCTGAGAGCACGAGCTAGATCCAGGAGCGTCACCGGTTGGCGGAGCTCGCTGCTTCTTCATATAAAGCGAGTCTCCACCTCGTTCCTCTGGCGGTGCTGAGGCAAGACTGATCTTCTCATCGCGAATATGTTCAAAAGCTGCGACTATAAAACGTGTCTTGTAGCGAGCAGCAAATGTAGAGAAGAAGATCAGCAGCTCGCGCCGTACCATACTATTACCATCCATAGTCATTACAAGCACCATGGAAGCGATGGATTCCTCGATATTGGCTACCTGGGCGGTCACGTCTCGGATGCCCAGGAAAGATGTGAGTGCATGGAGCATGGCAGCCCGCACTTCAGCCACAGGGTCCATGACAAGTTCGCACAATCTCTCATGTGCCATGCAACGTATACCAACCCATTTTGCTTCTTCGTAATTGACCCACAACTTACTTAAGCAGAGACAGGACCATTGCCTCAACAAAGGATTCTGTATATCTTTCAGATGATCTAAACAGCTCTCCACCAGCTCTGCGCTCAAAGACGCGCGTTGGCCTTGGTTGTAGTCTTTGCAAAACATGGAGACGATGAAAGCGCACATTGCACGATGTTCGCTTGCATTCTGGATCGGAATCCCTGCAAAACGTCAATTTGGAGGGGAAAAATGGAACAAGTAGCGGGGATGAGCACTTACCGGAGTTCGGATTGAAAATGTTGATGAAGTACTGATATCCGTTGTCTTTGAGCAGATCAGCCTGGCAGGATTGGTCGACTGCCAAGATGCGAGCCCAGATAAAAACCATGACAGGCTTGAGCTCATTGGCCTGCGATTGCAATAATTTGAGGACATAGGGAAAGATACCGATACTGAGCGCGAGGTTCACAGCCCATGGACCATGATCCAAAAAGCTCGAGAGAAGAATCAACGCCCTTAGGCGATGTACCTGACTCAGAAGAACCTGAAGCACTATTGGAAGCTGTTCTGGTACTTTTTGCTCGACAGCGCCCTGAGTAAGATAGACCTCGAAGGCGGTTAATTGCTCGGAAAAGAAACTCGAGTGCTTGTACTCATAATCCTTTTCGCCCCGAGCTTCTGCCTGAAGATCTGGTAGCTGGGCTAGGATAAGCTCGACTGCAAGATCCCAACTGCGCCATAGGGGATGGTCATGCGTCTGTGGAATCTCCGGATGCGAGACAGGATGGCAGTGATAGGTACGCATGATGCGCTGAGCCAGTAGATAGTTGCGAAATAGTGCTGCCACCATCAGGTCCTGGCGGAACAGTTTCTTGAACAGAGGCTTAGAAAGAGAATTCCAGGCAATGGTATCTGTGATGGCTGTGAAGATCCAGTTAAGCTCACCAATGGGCGTTCTACGCTCAGAAACCTTGCCGGGAATGTTGTGTGCGTCTTGTACGGTGACCTTGCTCGGCAGTGGATTTTGCAGAATGAAGAATCGCACTGCCATGGTGATCGGGTCTGTCAGGCAGGACGTGAAGATGTCTGCAGGCAGCTCTGGATTTGTAGGAAGGGACTCTTTTTCTCTGCATGCGGCGAGGTGGATGCAGTCACTGAAGTTGACATATTCAACATTGGGATCTCTTCGTCGGGTTTCCTCGAATTCTGCCTGGTGCTTCTCTGCAAACCGGTTGAAGTTGCTGATGATGAGACCGGCATCCGAGCAGTCGTAAACGAACAGACTGGGTGCGCCGATCCAGGTCTGCAAATCGTACAGTGACAGAGGAATGTACTGGGTGTAATTGCGATTGAATACCCAGATCTCGCCGGAAGAGGTTGGCTTGGGAACGCCGTGGCCGTTGTAGTGGAAGAGAACTCTCTCATTGCGGGCATTACGCCGTAAGGTCGAGGTATACTTGCGTGTTTCCTCGGTGGTGGGGTCGAGTAGCAACTTGTAGCGAGTGCGCATGCTGAGCTGCTCATATTGTGTCTGCAGCGCCTTTCCAATCTGATTCATGGGTGTGTGTCCGGGCGTCTGGGAGGTGACGGTGGGATCTATCCAACACTCTTCCTTTGCACAGGGATTGGTCTTGATGACATCGGGTGGATCAACTCCAATGTTTAGACAGAGGGCGAGGACGGCGGAGACGGTCTTGAGGCGATCGCGCATGCGCCATTCCTGGACAGGGGGGGCGGCGTCCTCGTGCTTGGGGTGGCCGCCCGTTTCGTGCTTCTTGTCCGTGTAGTACATGAAGAAGTTCTGCGTCGCATGTCAGCCCGTGCATTTTGCCCGCCTTGCCCGATCAACGCACAGAGGTCAGCAGATTACTGTACTCTTCCGAGTTCAGCTGGTCGTCCCACCCGTGGCGGATCTTGAAATGGCCGTCGACACTGCCCTCGTCGGCCTGGTCAGCGTTGTGCGCGGGATGGCGTAGGCCAAAGTCACTTCTGGCGCGCAGGAAGCTGGGTCGGGCAGACTGCGAGGCTACCGAAGCAGGGCGGGCGTGCCTGGCATGGCCCTCCATGTCGGTGTCGGTAGGTGAGGCATTGGTAGTAGCAGAGGAGCCGGGGCGCGAAGGCAGTGTAGTAGAAGGCTGTGGGTTCTGCAGCTCGAGCGTGGGCGGGACAGCCGTGGTGGCAGTGCTGTTCATGTCGGCAGAGGAAGCAGCAGTAGTAGTAGTAGCAGTAGTAGCAACAGCAGGCACTGTGTGGGAGGAAAGAGGGGTTGGATGGTTTGGACGGGGCTGGCCGCTGATGAGGGGCATATCACTGGCGGTTCTCATAGCGGGCAGTCGCGGGCAGGACGAGGATAGGCAGTGACGAAGTCGACGGCGCCCATGTCGGGAAGGAACAAGGAAGAAGGAAGCGTGATGGTGTGATGGACTCGATGAGGTGTGACCATGCGAAGGCCCAGAGCACAAAACGAGGAGACAGAGAGTGTGTGAGTGAGTGAGCGAGAGAGCGAGAGCTAGGAGCTGGCGGTGAGACAGGCGGGGAGGGGTTCGAGTAGATCGAGTAGATAGTAGTGTGGGTAGGTAGGTAGGTAGGTAGGTAGGTAGGTAGGACTAATAGTCTACGATGCTGTACAAGTACAGTGGACGGAGGGCTGATTGGCGGCGCGGTCAGCCTTTTGGGAAAATGCGTCAACGGTCAGTTGGAGTTGGACGTCCACCAAGGCAGAAGGCACTCGACATGGACTTTGGGGTCCGGGCAGACTTCGCCTCCACGGTAAGCTTGAGTCGGTAGTATGTACTTGTTCTTACTTACTGCTGTCTCTCTCTCTCTCTCTCTCTCTTACTGGCAGTCTGGTCCTAGGTACGGTACCTTATCTACCTCTACCTTGTAGCTAAAGCCTAGCCTGGGCGGCATGGAGGGAGAGCTTTGGGCTTGAACTCGAGGGCTTTCCATCTTGCGGCTGCGGGCTATGCCGCATCAGTACAGCGGTGAGACGGGCCGCATGCACGTGACAGATTATGGGCCAGGGGGGAAGGGCCACTTCAAGTTCTATGGGCTATGAGTGCCTACGTATACCGTGTGTACGGTAAGACTTTAAGTAGTTACCTACAACTGCAGTACATAGCTTAGGGACCGTCAACGGTTAGGTGCATCCACCTAGGCACGGAAGCGGTATCGCATGTATGTACTGTGTGGTACTGGCACGGACACTGTGTATGGTGAGTTGCCCTTGTCGACACAGGCTGGATAACATGGCTACTACAATGCATACCTAGTATTCAAGCACCGGTACTTCAAAACACGCATGGAAGAAAGACGGGAGCCCGGCTTCTTGCCTCTTTACATGTGGATGTGGCCATGCACTTTGTGGCTCCTATGGCTTCTATGGCTCCCAATGCTGCATACCTACTAGGTACTGGTACCTACTACCTATGCCAACAGCCCAGCAAAAGAGCAGCTTGAAATCCTGGATGGATCAGACCTAGTACATACATTAATTACTACAGAATAGTGTACCAGCATCAGCCTCTCTTTTTAGACTCTTGGAACACTTCTCTCCTGCAGCAGTCCGTCTGCATCCTGCCTTGCCGAACCAATCGTCGTCTCCCGTGCCCTGCCGTTTCCCGTTGATCCTGGCCATCTGCCTGTCCTGTCACGTTCAGGGGAACATGAAGACGAACACCGCCAGGACCCGCCAGTCTGCGCCGCACGCCTCTGTCCATTCATTTATGCCCACATTTGCCTGTGACTGCTGCTGCCAACGACTTTGCTCCGTGTTTGACGACAGCAAAGTCTTCTGATCCGCCTGATACTTCTGCGCTCTCGCCTCTTTCAAGCAAAAAATTAAATAAAATACATTAGAAACTCCCCCCCCCCCCAAAAAAGACATCGCAGTACTACCCTGCCTACCTGCTGTTACTGCCCACCGTCATCTTACTCGCGCGTCGATCACTTCGCCAAGATCCCGTACATCGAGACACCCTAGGGCTGTTAGGACTACTGTGTGATTCTTGTCGCACTCGACCTGCCTACTCTACCCTACAAACTCTAATACACCACTTCCCTGGCCAACCTCGCTCTATCTCTACTGCACTACGGCCATCCACTGCGAAATGTGCACGCTCTGCTGCCCTCTTCGCATCTAGAGTGCCCACGTCCCAGTCCGCCGCAGCATACCCTCCAGCCTCCGCCGCCGCGCCGCCGCCCCCCCCTCCCCAGCCGCCAGTTCGGGCCTCCGCCCTTCGCAGCAGCGAACAACTGCACTGTGCAGCCAGACGCGTGCGCAACCAACCTCGACGGCAGGCCGAATGCGTACGTGACAGGCACCGGCAGCCAGTCCAACACCCCCTACTCCACACGCCGCCGCCATGTCCTTTTTGTTTGGCAAGAAGAACAAGCCGTCGCCCAGCGCCCTCCCAGCGGCCACGCGCGAAATCACCTCGTCACACGGCCAGACGCCCCAGCCAGCATCGCTCAACGGAGCAGCTACCCGCGACATCAGTTTTGAGAAGAATCGTGCGGGCGCGCAGTCGCAGACACCTACGCCCGGCGGCAGCGTCAACAATTCGCTCAGCTCGCTGCAGAATCCGGGCCTTTCCAGCACACCAGAACCCAAGGCATTGCGCGAGCGGGCAGAGTCCAACGGTCAGGTGTGTAGTTATGCTCGCTGCTCTTTTCTTCTGGTATAATGGCTGACTTGGGCGCAGAATGCACCTGCCAGAACCACTGCTGCACCCCCTGCCGAATCGCCTTATCCCTGGTCCTCGCGTCGCCTGAACTTCACGGCCGGCAATCCCTTTCCTCGATACGGCGCCGCAATCAACGCTACGGCTTCCAAAGATGGCACCATATATCTCATGGGAGGTCTCGTGGGCGGCGCAACCGTCAAGGGCGATTTGTGGCTGACCGAGATGGGCAATGGTAGTCTGTCCTGCTACCCCATCTCCACCACAGGAGACGGGCCAGGACCCCGCGTTGGCCATGCCAGTCTACTCGTGGGAAACGCCTTCATTGTTTTTGGAGGTGACACAAAATTGGCCGACAATGACGACTTGGATGACACTCTGTACCTTTTGAACACTTGTGAGTTGGTCGCAAACCCCTGGTCCCCTTCCCTATTGACGCCACATAGCAACCAAGCATTGGTCGCGAGCCCTTCCGCAGGGCCCTCGTCCGACTGGGCGATACGGGCACACGCTCAACATACTAGGCTCCAAGATTTACATCTTCGGTGGTCAGGTAGAGGGTTTCTTCTTCAACGATCTTGTCGCATTCGATCTCAATTCGCTGCAATCCTCTGCTAGTCGTTGGGAAGTCTTATTGCCAAATACCAAAGACCAAGGGTCTCTTCCGGCTCGGGCACCACCTGCTCGTACAAACCATTCGGTTGTTACGTGGAACGACAAGCTATACCTTTTCGGTGGCACGGATGGCGTCACTTGGTTCAATGATGTTTGGACATATGACCCGCGCACGAATTCCTGGACTGATCTTGATTGCATTGGCTACATACCGGTGGCTCGTGAAGGCCATTCTGCCGCTCTCGTCAATGACACCATGTATATTTTTGGGGGCCGTACTCAAGAGGGCATTGACTTGGGCGATCTGGCAGCTTTCCGAATCTCATCTCGCCGCTGGTACATGTTTCAAAACATGGGGCATTCACCCTCCGCACGTTCAGGACACAGCATGACTTCGTTTGGCAAACATGTGGTCGTGCTGGCAGGAGAACCGAGTTCTTCTGTGGCTGACAGGAACGAACTCAGTCTCGGCTACATCTTGGACACCTCCAAGATCAGGTATCCGCCCAATGAAAATTCACCTCCTCAGCAGACACAGAATCCGCAGCGAAAGCTCAGCGGGGGTGAAAAAGGCAATTTATCTGGCAAGGCCACATCGCCTCCCACAAGAGAAAGTATGATGGCTGGGCAACAGCAGGCGCGAGCTGCTGACGGTATCGGGGGCGCTGTAGGTGCAGCTGGGTCGCGACTCCCTCGTGCCGCTGGTCAGCAAAACCCTGGTCCTCCCCCGCTACAGCAACCACCTCAGCCTCAGAGAATGAACGGCCAAAATCCGCAAGTCATGGCAAATGGCAGGGCGAAAACCCCAACCAAGAATGATCGTGTTTACGGTCCACCTGTGGATACCGGAGCTGCAGTTACACAAGAACGAGAAAACTTCTCGCCAACGGTCCGAGGGAGCCCATCCGCTGACGTACAACGCAAAACCTCCGATGCAGTCTCCCACCGAACTGCCAAAGAATCAATGGATACCATGCGCTCTGCTAGTACTGTTTCCCGCAATACCAACCGATCCCACCGACAGCATCCCTCCCAGGAGAGTGTGGAACAGGCAGCACAACACGAAGCACAGCATCAGCGCGGCTCGAGTCGTGAGGTTGACCCTGTCCCTGCCGAAAGTGCTTCGGGCGCATCACCTGCTGTCGGACAGTACAACGATGAACTCGCTCGCGAACTCGAAACAGTCAAGAATCGAAACGCCTGGTATGCCTCGGAGCTTGTGCTTGCACGCAAAGCGGGCTACAATCCGGGCTCATCAACGAGTCCGGTTTTTGATGAGCGCTCAGCGGACGCATTCCGTGAAGAGGACAAGCCATTACTCGAAGCACTGCTCAAGATGAAGGCTGAGCTTGAGCGTGTCCAAGCATCTATCACTGCGCAAGGCGAGGATGCTGCCAAAAGGATCGCAGAGGTTGAGAAACAGCGAGACGCGGCTGTGAACGAGGCAATATATGCTAAAACCAAGCTTGCAGCTCACGGTGGCGGCAGTCACAACGGCACTCCGCAACCCGACGCGGTTCCCAATGCTGGATCACCTGAAGTAGATCGCATGCAGGACATGAACCGTCGACTGGCAGCCTCACTGGCAGCGCAAGCGGAGATGTCGACTAAGCTTGAGCAACTGTCGCATCAGATCGAGGCAGAGAGAAAGTCGAAGCAATTGGCGGAGGAAACGGCAGAAGCCGCTCAAAAGCGTGTACAAGAGCTCGATTCGACCCGTCAGAAAGCTACGGCAGAGTCTGAGAGGCTGCGCGCCGAGTTGCATGAAGCTGAACGCATCGCACGAGAAGTGTCTACATCCGCCGCCGAAGCTGAAACATCCTCAAAACTGCTAGCGATTGACAAGCAAGAGCTCACTGCCAAGGTGACTCGTCTCTCTGAAGAGTCCAGGTCGCATGCCAGCGTCCTTCAAAACTTGCGTGACGCCGTGCTGGCATCCTCGGAGAAATCGGCGCTACTAGAGAAGAAGCTGGAGGAGGAGCAGACTCAGAGTGAAGCTCTTCGCCAGAAGCTCGCAAAACTTCGCGCCGAACACGAAGCTCAAGTGGTCGAGCTCGAAACAGCGTCCCAAAGACTTCGTAACGCAGAGGAACTCGCAGAGAGACATGCTCAGGAGGCCCGCCATCACCAACAAGCCGTTCTCTCTGGGCTGGGAAGCATCACCAACAGAGCGCTTGGCGACGAGGATGCTGTTGACGAACGGATCGCCATTCTCCGGCAACAAATCGAAGTCGCCAACGCCATGGCTCGCCGTCATCAGACCGCGGCCGACCAAGCTTCCGAGAAACTCCGTCGCGCTGAGGAAAGGATTGCAGGTCTTGAGGCATACCAAGAACAGTCGAGCCGCGAAGGCTTGACGATTAGGAAGCAGTTGCAGCAATCCATGCGGGACATGCAGGCTGCCGATGCCGAGAAGGTCGATCTTCGCCAGCAATATGAACGACTGCGCCTCGAAAGTAATGCTTTTGAGGTCCAGCTCAAGACGCTCAAGAACTTGCTCGATGAGCGAGGAGTGAATGCCCACGATGTTCGCCGCTCGAGGGGGCTTGACAGTCCAAACTCTAGATTTGGGACTCCAGAACTCAATCGGGTCCGCGAATTGGAACAGCAAGTTGATTCGATGAACAAAACACATGAAGAGCTCCGAGCTGTCTTTGAACAGCGTGAACATGAAGTGAGCAAAGAGTGGGAGGAGAAGCTGCAGGCACTGCACAATGATCATCAAGCCGCAGTGAAATATCTTCGTGGGACAGAGAAGATGCTTGCAAAGATGAAGCAAGAGCTTGATCGTTACAAGACCGCAAACTCCAAGCTCGAGGAAGAGCTCAATCAAGCCAGACAGGACCAAGGCATGACCCGTGAGCAGACTGCAGGATGGGAAGCAGAACGAACTGCATCTCGAGAGGCACAAGACAACATGAAAGCCACTATTGCGCGTCTCGAGGATCAGGTGTCGAGCATGCAGGCTGAACTTGCAACTGCTCGTGAACAGGCTGAGATTGCTACCCAGAACACGAAGCAAGCCGAGTCTGTCGCCAACCAAGCCCGTGCCGACCTGGAAACTCTTCGTCGTCAGTACGCTCTGGTGGAGGATCGCGCTCGTGAGGCTGAGAGCCGCGTGCAAATCTTCCTCGATCAATTCGAATCATCCGTCGACAACTATCGCCGCCAGTCACAGGTGCCAACGGGTAGTATGAATGGAGCTGAGCTCGGACATCGCGCAACGCACGACAGCGTAGCTTCATCAGATTCCTTGTACAGCCATCAGGGCGATTCAAATCATCTTGATGCACCGAACCGCCCATCCTCAGCTACGAACCGCAACTCCGTGGCTCTTGACAACTTAGCTTCCGAGCTAGACGCTCTTAGAAGCCATTGGGAGACCACCAACAAGGCATACCGCCTTAGCGATCGCTTTGACTTCGAGCCCTCTGTAGCAGGCGACCACAATGACGGCAGCGAATCTCCCACACATTGGAAAGGAATGATGACTGAAAATGATAACAAAGCAAAGGCCTTGGAAAAGAAGGATGTGGACTTTACCCGATCTGATTCTTCTACCGTTGGTGGTGCAACAGGACTCCCTGTTGCCTAGATGACCAACTTTTCTTCATGGCGTTGCTCAATAATTTTGAGCATTTTGTTGGCGTTGCGTGATCCCGTAACAAACGGATATCTCTTTGGTACAAGTCTTGCGGGAGGTCATGGTCTTAATGTTGAATACTCCACTGTTGCCTTATGATTGCGGTATGCCTTGTACTATACCACTTGTTTTGCTTGCAGAGCTTTTTAGGTAGAGTGCCATTTGCATTCTCATTTTACTCTTGGAAATCTCCTGCTATGTTCTTTACTTGAAATTCCACTTCCTCTGGTGTCTCGCGCTCGCACCTTCTCACCCTCTCACCCTCTCACCTCATCCCCTCGCCTCATCACAACAGATGGTCAATTTGAGTTGATCGGTATTATACTTGGCCTGTATTCCTAATCTTCGCAAGCATCTTACTTCCTACTATAATTCCGCTCTCTGGTACCGCGCTGCAATCATGGCATCCCCCAGCGGGGTGTGTGGGTGCCCGCCAGGTGAAGGTGAACGCATCTTCTCATCCGGCTCTCACCTCACCATCGCCAGGAATCACGACGCTACAATATCTCCCAATGGACCCACTCATTCAAAGTGTTTCCAGACGCTACAATAGGACGGTAACAAGTCCTGTACCAGAGTGCCGGTACCCATGGTCCACAGCCCAGGCAGACGTATTGTTCACCTCACTACAATGGAGCTCCTATTGTGGGTTTTGCGATTCATCGTGAAAATAGATGGAGCTCACCTCGTTTCTTTTCTCTTCTCCTCTCCTCTCCTCCTTCTTATCCTAAGTCCAATTTCCCGATTACATTCAGTTATACTACTTTCTTCAATTCTCATTCCCATTTGCCTCCCTTCATCGACGCAGGTCGTCTGTGATTTCCCTTCTTCTCCTTTTCTTGTGACCATTCTCCGGCTTTTCAGCCTCCAGTTTCGAGCTTTACGCTGGGCGTTCTTCAAGGCTCTTGACGACGCTTCTCCTCGCTCTCGTGTGCGTTTTGAATCAAGTTTGATACTTGTGTTCGTACATTGAAGCAGCGCCTACTTTACTATCTACGTGCTTTTCTTTACGCCAATTCGACAATTTGGTGGTTCGTCGGTTGGACAACATGTCTCACTCTTACAACTACGCAAACGCTGGTTCTCCAAGCGCACTAAACAATCCTCAATACAATGGCAGCTTGTCAGCTTACCCAGCCACGGAACTCAACAACACATTGCTTCAAGATGCTCCGCTGGGTGCCTGTCTTACTCTGGATTTCGATGGCTTCGATTTTCTGAAATTGGACCCGCTGGCTGCCGACAATGATTATGGAACACAGAATGTGAATTACGAAGAGGGTCAAGATTTTAGTGGGTCAGAATTTCCAGTCTTGAACGCGCTGGTTGCCGAAAATTCTGCTCATGGAACACAGAGCATGAACATCTTGCAGGATCAAGATTTCAATGGCTCGGAGCTTCCAACATCGAACGTTCAGGATGCCCACAATCTTGGTCTTGGAACTCAGAATACCTCGCAGGGTCCAAATTTTGTCAGGCCGGATGAACACAATCTTAATGACCGAGCAGTGGACAATAGCTTGTTGGGTCAAAGGCTCTTCTCGTTCGGTGGAAGCTCCCAGGATCAAGGCCACACAACACAGAACATGGCACTGGCGGATGAAGCGAACGCCAATCATTTCTTTGAAGACGACTCTGGGGGATTCGATGGGAACTCTGATCCCTCCCCTGCCACCCAGGACGACAGCACCGCAATGCCGTCGAACTTTGTTGACCTTTTCCAGGACGATACCAATGAGACACAGATTCCCTTGACCAACACTCCCGCCTCCCCTGCTTCGGCCACTGGCAGTCGCACTGATGAGCAGATCGAGCTCAACCAGGAGATATCCCCTTCACCTCACCTCAGCAATGCTAACCCGCCAGAAGATGGTAATTCCCACCGCATCGACCCAAACGTTCTCGATGAATTCTTCGAGCAGGAGCGCAATCGCAGCCAGGAACCAGCCAGCACATCCCACATCGGCAATACTAAACAGACGCAGGTTTCTCATGATCTTGACAATGAGGTTGAAAGTTTGGAGACTTTTCTCAAGCAGCTGAACGAAGACCACGAAAAGTATGCCAAGGCATCAGCCATTATGGATTCCACATATACCGAGGTTGCAAAGATTTCCGCGCAGTCTGCAGGCATTCCTGCGCCTGATTCAAAGCCATCTGGTGCCCGGAACAAGCATCGACCTGCTCCGATTTCAACGGGTTATCAGGATGTGCACCAGCCAGGTTCAGTTCCCAGTGGTTATCAGAACATGACCCGCCCTACTTCAGGCACAAATGGTTATCAGAATATGCATCAATCTACTTCAATTCGGAAGGGTTTGCAGAGCATGGCACGTCCTGCTTCAGGCACAAATGAATACCAGAACTTCGCCCGTCCTACTTCGGGTACAAATGGTTACCAGAACATGGCCCGCCCTGCTTCAGTTCCCAATGGTTATCAGAACATGGCCCGTCCTGTTTCAGGCACAAACGGTTATCAGAACATGCACCGCTCTGCTTCACACCCAGCTGAATCTCAGGACATGCCTCAACCAGCCTCAAAGCCAATTGGCTCCCAGAAGATGCCCCGGTCTGCTTCGAAGTCAGATGGTGCCCAGAAGATGCCCCGATCTACTTCAAAGCCAGCTTGTTACGAGGACATGCCTCAACCAGCCTCAAAGCCAATTGGCTCACAGAAGATGCCACGGTCTGCTTCAAAGTCAGCTGGTGCCCAGAAAATGCCCGAGCCTTCCCCACCCCTTTATTTACATCCAAACATCTTCCAGCTTGCATATCAATCTGCTCCTCAGATAGACGTCGATATTATCATGACCGAAGCGACCTATTTTCCACTCGAAGATAACTTCAATCCACCCGATCCCACTGCTCCTCTACCCATCTACAAACCCTACGCCGGCCTCTTTGGTACCTCTGAAGCAGCAAAGAGACACCGCAAGAGCACCCGCATTGTTCCCAAGAAGTATGCAGCTGACATTGAACGTGTTATTCGCTTTGGCCGTAAGTACCCATTTACTCTGCACGCTCGCCACAACCACTAACACACATCAAACAGGCGACTACTGGGTCCGCCGCATCTACGAGGCCATGATCGACGTCTCCGACATCTCCGACAGCGACTCGTCTATTCACCGACAGCGCTTCACGAAGCAGGGCATGGACAAGACCTTCACAGCCATCGATCTCGAAGCCGCAGCCCACCACGTCTTCGACAAAGCCATCGCCGTCCACACGCGCGGCTGGCACCGACCCAAGCTCTACCACAAGCTGGCCATGCGTGGCAAAATGTTCGACTTGACCGAGTCGAGCTTGGAGGCCCGCCTCAGCCAGATTTGCAAGTGCCTCAAGCGCACAAAAGCTTCGGTCGACGACGCGGTTCGTGGAGGCGTGACGCTGGCTTTGTTGTGCGATAACCCGGTCGCCAGGGGATTCACCAAGGAGTCCAACAATGCGGGCAACAAGGCGCGTGGGCAGCGGCTGAAGGAGCAGGCTAAGAACACGAAGCAGGGTAAGGCCAGGGCGAAGTCCAAGGGCAAGGGCAAGGCTGAGGCTGAGCAAGAAGCTGAGCAAGAAGCTGAGGCGGAAACTGAGCAAGAGGATGAGTCGGAAGCTGAGCAAGAGGACAGTGGCGACGAGGAGTGAGTTCAGTATGAACTTTGGGACTGGACGAATGACGAATGACGAATGACGATTTCTTTCGCTTTTTTTTTCTCCTGTTTGAAACAACGATACGTCGACGATACTTTCTTGGGGCTGGTCTCCTTTATTTGGTCTGCTCAAGCGTTTGTTTCGATATGGCCTTCTTGAACTAATACCCCGTCTACGACGACATCATCAACTTCTTTTCTTATGAATAGTACAATCGCTTTGACGTTTTCAATGATGCAAGTATCGCTTCGAGCATTACGATGTCGGTAGTATATGGAATAGCGATTGAACATCGATATTCTGAGTACGACTAGTAAAATTTCACGCCATCTAAACTCTCAACCTTGACCCTTGCTTTTTGTTCCTTGACCTCATCACCAGCCTTTTTTGCATCTTCCGCTTCAGCCTCCGCAGCCTGCCGTAGTTCCTGCCTGGTCTTCTTGGTCTCAAATAACGCTTCTTCGTTCTGGAGGTCCTTCAACACTGTCCCATCACGTCAGCACCTTGCACACAAATCACATGCCCGTACTCTGTCCATAGACCAAAAGAAGGAGAAATCATACCTTCAGCCCAAGCCTTCTCACTCTCTGCATCCCCCGTCCCCAACAGTCTTTCCACGTCCACCTTCTCCCCGTTCTGCACCCGCTCAATAACCTCCTTCAGAATCCCAATCTTCGCCTCCGCCTTCCTCAGATTCTGCGCCCGCTCTTGCTTCAGCCACAGCACTTGGATCGCCTGACTACCGACGAGTAAGCTCAGGATGATGAAAGGGGTGGCCGGGTTCCATGTCCGCGATGCCTGTGCAGATGTGGATGTAGGTGTGGGTGTGGGTGTGGATGTTTCGTGGCCGCGGTTTCTGAGGGGCTTGGGGACCATGGAGGCCCAGAAGCTGGGCTGGAGAATGGTGGGGAGGGAGAGATGGCGTGTATGTGTTTGTGAGTGCGGAGGGGATCGGTGTGGGATGGTGGTTGCGAGGCGCGTGCAGTGGATGTGTGGGCGTGCGAGTGGGAGGAGAAATGTGAGTGTGAGAGGCCGTTGTCGGAGGAGTTTCGTGGCTTCCATTGTTGTGTGCAATTTCGTATGTATCTTTCGTATGTGTATCTTATATGTCTGATTCCAGAGGTGTGGGATTGCCGCTGCTTCAATTGTTGACGATGGATCTTCGCGGTCCGACGCACATGCATCCATTCATCGCGAACATTTGACGTGCATGGGCCAAAAAGAGGTTAGTGCCAGGGTCTCGGAGATACCGAGGCACATGTTTCGGGTGTATGTATACAGATGATATCCCAGATGTATCTCCCACTCTCGTTGTACTACTACTGTTGAAGTCTTACTTTTTACACATTTTTTTCCATTTCAAAATGGGGGAATCGCAGGATACTCGGACGCCAGAGGAGAAAGTAAAAGCTTGGTTTGAAAGGACTGGCGTTGACGATTACGAGGTATGAGCACTTTTCGGCTCAACGTCAATAGAGTACATGCTGATGATCTGTACAGTATCATGATGGGTTGGTCTCTAGGTCATTGAAGCTCGAGGAGGTGACTATTGCGCCTTCTGGGGAGGCTATGACGGTGTTTAGCTTTGTTGTTCCTAGACAATTATGCAGGTAACGTACTTCCCCCCCTTGCGACGACTGAGTACCCAATCACTGACATATCCCGGCTCCAGTGAGTAGTAGATCCTTTGTATCGAGTATGTGACTATATGACTGCATATATCGAGTCTAATCACCGCCATTCTATTAGACTACGGTGGCAATCTGCACGGCGGCGCTGTTGCATTGATTTTTGATGTCACGACTTCTGTGACCATTATGGCGCAAAGTCGTGAAGGGTTCTGGGATATGGGTCATGTATCTCGCACTCGGTATGTATTGCGTTGTTCGACCTCGAAGCTGCACATTACTAATATCAGGAACAGTAAGTAAAATCAATTACGGCAAAGGTCACGCTGGTCTAAACTTGGCCTGCGAGAGTATTGTGTTGATCACCAGATACAGTTAATTGCACGTATTTAAGGCCTGCGCCAGAAGGCTCAAAGGTCTTTGTGGAGAGCAGAGTCGTGCATTTGGGGAAACGAATGGGTCAGACGATAGGGACAATGAGGTTAGGCTCGAAAGATGGGAAGACTGCGTACACATGCGAACATGGAAAGGCTAATATGGGAGGCTCGAACTTGTAGGTTGGGGTGCAGATATCTATAGAGAATACACTGGTCAATAACGAGCAACTAGAAAATAGGACAGGCCTGTTGTTATATTGAAGACTCACCCGAGAAAACAAGAGATTTCTTGATGATTGACTGAATGGTCTGTTCAACAATCTGATGCGACACAAAGGAGACGCAAGCACTACAAAGTCTTTGGTGCCTGGTGGATGAACGCTGCATGTGTTTGGAGTCCCGGTAGGCCCCCAGCCCTGCCCCGAACGCCAACTCCCCAGATGTCATGCCAAGCCCAGGATGCGACTACGCGACTATGCGCCTCTGACCTTCCGCTGAACCCGAGCAAATAACCAATTTCCAAGCCGTCGCTTTAGCACACCTTGTCAATCAATGGATCTTGGAGACGAAGGAAGCTCTCCGTGGGGAGGTTTGCACGCCTGCTAAGCCCCGCTGCTGCAATTGCCATGGTTAATGCTATCCTAGATGTGCCCTCGCAGTCGAGCCCAGCCAACGAGATATCCAAGCCAGGCCAGGACAGCAGCGCTGGTACCGACACTCTCGCTCCCTCGAACAAGGCAACGGAAAGCTCGAATCCTAGCGCATCAACGGCAACTCGCTCGCCCGCCGGTCGTGGTCCTCGCAGGCGACAGCATGGCGTCCAGTCTACAAAGCTGGAGGCCGTCGAAGACCCTCTAGGGCCCTTGGGCGCTGACACGCCGCCCACAGTTGCTGAATCAGGGCCTCCAGCGCCGCCCCAGAAGGAGGCTGCCGGCCAGCGCAATACTCGGGCTGCTCCTGGTGCCTCCGCTCCATCGCTACGGAGCATGATGGACTCGGTCGACCTCAACGATGACGATGACGAACAGCCGCGGTCCCAAGCACCCAGAATCCCCCCACCCGTTCAGGCGCAGGCAAATGCGGCACCACAGCGCCAGACACAGCCGAGCGTGAGCGTGGAACAGGCTGCGAAGCCCTCCTTCTCCATTTACGTTGGCGATCCACACAAGGTCGGCGATCTCACAAGCTCACACACAGAGTACTCGGTCACCACCAAGACAACATCCAAAGGCTACCGCAACCCCGAATTCACCGTCTCCCGCCGCTATCGCGACTTCCTCTGGCTGTACACGCAGCTGCACAACAACAATCCTGGTGTCATTATCCCTCCGCCTCCAGAGAAGCAAGCTGTTGGCCGTTTCGATACCGACTTTGTCGAATCCAGACGTTCTGCGCTGGAGCGCATGCTCAACAAAACAGCCGCACACCCCATCTTACAACATGACAGTGACCTGAAGTTATTCCTTGAGAGCGATGCCTTCAATGTCGACATCAAAAACAGGGAGCGCAAAGATGCTGGTCTAGGCGAAAGCAAGGGAATGTTTGGCTCTATGTTGTCCAGTAGTAGTGGCAAGTTTGTCGAACATGACGATGTAAGCTCTTCACATGGTGGCAGCGCGGGAAAAGGCTGACAGATTACAGTGGTTCCACGATCGACGAATTTACCTAGATGCGCTCGAGAGTCAGCTCAAAGCACTACTAAAAGCGACTGACTCTGTGGTCACACAAAGGAAAGGTCTGGCTGAAGCGTGTGGCGACTTCTCAGCCTCACTCCACTCCCTCTCCGCCGTGGAGCTGTCTCCTTCCTTATCTGGCCCTCTGGACAGTTTGTCGGATATTCAGATTCGCATTCGCGAGCTGTATGAGCGACAAGCTCAGCAAGACATACTCACCATGGGCATCGTCATCGACGAGTACATTCGCCTGATAGGATCGGTCAAGACTGCATTTCAACAACGCCAAAAGGCTTACCATTCGTGGCATGCCGCCGAGCAAGAGCTGCAGAAGCGAAAAGCCACACAGGACAAGTTACTGAGGCAGGGTCGATCACAGCAGGATCGTCTCAACCAGCTGAGCGCTGATGTGGCAGATGCTGAGCGCAAGGTACACCAAGCGAGGTTACTATTCGATGACATGGGACGGCTTATGCGTAGCGAGCTCGAACGCTTTGAGCGAGAGAAGGTAGAAGACTTCAAGTCGGGAGTAGAGACATTCCTTGAGAGCGCCGTGGAAGCACAGAAAGAGGTATGCCGATCCATTCATTCTACAATACTTCGCTAACACCCCATGGCAGCTCATTGAGATCTGGGAAACTTTCCTCATGCAACTCGACACGGAAGAAGGCGAGACATTTGTACCGCCAGCTGGTGTCATTGCCGCTGACAGGACGGATAACAACGCGTCGAACGAGGAGCGTGCTGACCAGTCGACCCAAGAAGGGACACAAGCAAGCACCGATGCCGATTCGGACGACCGAAATTGAACATTGCGGCAGGCTTTCTATGATCCCTTGAGCCTGAGTTGGCTTGTCAACGATAGGCATAATAATGTTATAGCTTAATCAGCGACAAATCAAAAATCACGTGCAAAAGTTGAATACATCCAACTCGGCATCTTTCGTGTTACGATTACTCTGCATCTTTTCCTAACTATATTCCATAAACTCCAGACAAGTTCAACGTACCAGGTCCATTGACCAAGCACAGACTACGATGTTTAGTATGGCACTAAGCTGCGAAGGTTAGAGCCAAGAGCTTCACACCTAGAGTAAAGTGTCTTTGACACTTCCACATCTGTACTTACACATCGCCTTATCAATCATGGCGAACTCGGCGCCCGAGTTTGTGGAACCAGGCCGGCATTTGTTCCGAGGTGTACACATGAGAACAGGCTGAGTTCAGCCGGTGGAACAGGCTAAAACCAGAAAGGTATCCCGCCATCGGTCACGCCCTACCGGTACTTAATTCACTCCATGTCAGTGTAATTCACAACGACAAACGAATCGTCTGGCACAGCTTTTCCGAACCATCAAAACCCCCGATATGCCGTTGGTACGCAATCCCATCTTGCCAGGGTTCAATCCAGATCCGTCGATTCTCCGTGTCGAGGATGACTACTACATCGCGACTTCCACTTTCGAATGGTATCCGGGTGTACAGATTCATCACTCGAAGGACCTTGCCAACTGGGAACTGGTGGTAAGACCGTTAAGTAGGGCGTCGCAATTGGATATGCGAGGAAACCCTGACAGCTGCGGCGTATGGGCACCTTGCCTAACCCACGACGGCAAGAAGTTCTTCCTAGTATATACAGACGTAAAGCGCAAGGATGGGTCCTTCAAAGATACACCAAACTATATTGTCACTGCGGACCGCATTGAAGGTCCGTGGTCGGATCCTTACTACGTCAATTCATCCGGATTTGACCCTTCCCTCTTTCACGATGACGATGGCAAGAAATGGTTCGTCAACATGCTGCAGGATCATCGTCGACGTCCAAGAGCCTTTGCAGGCATACGACTGCAAGAGTGGGATCATGCAGCGGGAAAACTGGTTGGACCTTGCAAAACGATCTTCTATGGAACAGATTTGGATCTTGTAGAGGGTCCCCATCTGTACAAGCGTAATGGCTGGTACTATTTACTGACTGCAGAGGGCGGAACAGCGTATAAGCATGCTTGCACTCTGGCCCGGTCACGCAGCATTTGGGGCCCTTACGAGTTGCATCCACAAAAGCATATTCTTACCTCAAAAGATGCGCCCGAAGCTGCTCTGCAAAGAGCTGGTCACGGAGACATCGTGGAAACTAAAACGGGCAAAACATATCTCGTTCATCTCACAGGACGTCCGTTGATGCCGCAGCGTCGCTGTGTCCTTGGGCGAGAGTGTGCGATTCAGGAAGCCTATTGGAGTGACGATGATTGGCTATACATCAAGAATGGACCTGTTCCCTCACTCGATGTCGAAGTACCAGCAGCGCACGATGAGACAGTCTATTGGGCCGAGAAACGGTACTCATTCGACAAATTGAACGGCCTTCACAAGGACTTCCAGTGGCTTCGAACGCCGGAACCTGGGCGGATCTTTTCAGTGGATAATGGCCTCCAGTTAATCGCCCGTGAGGCAATAGGATCCTGGTTCGAGCAGGCTCTGGTTGCACGCCGACAGACTCACTTTGCATATGATGCGGAGACAGTGGTTAGCTTCAGCCCGACCGATGAGCGTCAATTCGCTGGTCTGACTGCATACTACTGTCGATTTAATTTCTTCTACCTCACTGTGACAGCTGATGCAGATGGACAACGCGAACTGCTCATCCTCACATCCGAGGCCTCATGGCCAGACGGCAACCTGAAGTTGCCTTTGGCAGAACCGGTAAGGATTCCGCAGGAAGGAAAGATTAAAATGGCATTGAGTATCAGGCATGACAGGCTCCAATTCTTCTATGCACTCGAGGGAGACACGGATATGAAGAAGATTGGGCCCGTATATGATGCGTCGATATTGAGCGATGAGTGCGGGGGACATCAGGCACATGGCAGCTTCACTGGTGCTTTTGTGGGCATAGCCGCTTCTGATCTTAATGGGACGGCAAAGGTTGCAACGTTTGATCATTTCGTTTACAAGCCTGTGAAGGACTCCCAGGGTATCTGACGGGGCATGGACTCTGGAGACACGACACCGCGGCAGTGCTTACCACCGCGACAATGGACAAGTAGAAAACGCATATCGATCAAGAAATTATATTCCGGTTGGACGGCTCCCAGATCAAACAGGTCATGACACAGGCGCGAACTCTTTCAGCGATAACGCCTCACATCGTGCTATCGATACTCCTAAGAGTGGGGCTTATCCGAAGAACTTCATTAGAGTTCCCGGAATGGAGTTGAGCGAAGGCGTGGCTGAGGCACTGCGGGTAGCGTAACTCGAAGTATAATTTGCTTCGTGGTGAGGCTCACCAGCTTGGCGACTGCAAAGTGTTTCAGGCCTTACTAGCCCGATGTCGTTCACACGTTTACGTCGCAGAACCCCAGTGATGGACCCCTGCGTCTCAAGAGGGTTTCAAAAGGGCAACTGTAGAAGACTACATACATAATCAATGGCAGCAACGTATGGCCTGATCAGAAATCTCGTCCAACACTATTCTAAATTACAATCTTCAATTTGAAGCACAACTTTTTCAGCCGAGTGTTGACACGCCCTGCTCCACTGGCGAAACAAATCGCCAATTGAATCATCACTGTGTTCAGCCCTATCAACGCCGTCAATCAACAAACACAGTTTTGAGATCGAGAAATGTGGGCACCAAACCGGACAGGAACTGGCATGACACGCACACCATCTGTACATTCAGTCGCTTCGATCCACTCCAATAGTCGCATGTCCATTGCCTCATCACAGGTCCAAAGAGCATCGCAAAGTTACGATTCCGACAACTTCTCAGACACTGCTTCAGAAGACAGCCGAGCCAACTTCCGCACCATTCCAGATTCCACGATGCCTCCTATGTGGCGTGAACAGGGCCGGCCGCCAGTGAATGCAAGTGCTCCACAGCGAGGTGGCCATGATCGCGATGACGCCGTGCTCATGAAGCTTCAACAACAGCAACAACGGCAACAAGAGGTTCCACGGACACAACAAATAGATGATGATGCGACATCCAGATCGTCTACGCTGAATGGCAACGAGGATGACTCGTACCCACAAAAGCCACAAAAGTCAGCAGCGCTTGCCGTCCGAAGAAGAGAAGACTCTGGTGATGAGTCAACATCACCCCCTCGTGCGCCACGTGTGCCTGGGCCTCTAGAGTCACAGCTTGCAGCACTCATGTCCAAACTCATCTACATTGAGCAGGAAAATCCAGTTGCGTCTGTGACAGCAGAAGAATACAAGGAGACATTGGCTCGTCTCAAGGCGCTAGAGGAAGAGAAGAAGACATGGTGGAAGCGCCATGAAGCAATTTGGGCGCTGCGGGATGAAGACGTAGAGAACAACATCAAAATCAGAGTACGTTTAGCTATGATTGATTACATACCTATATGAGACAGTCTGCTAATCGTACATGTCCAGGGATTGCTAGCCAAGACTCGAAGAGAGCTAGAAGCCATGAAAGTGCTGCGGGACGAGGATCTAGTCAACGTGCAGATTGTACGAAGCAAGCTGGCAGAGAAGACGAGAGAACTCGATCGAGTACAAGCACAAGCTGGGCGATCGAGTCCCAATCGACGGCCAGGCAGCTATCTCGAACGGCGCGGCACCATCGATCTGTTCACGGCCGCCAAAGTCGCCGCGCTTGAGCAACGCGCGCTCGAGCTGGAAAAGCGGAATTCCGATCTCGTCGCTCAACTCGGCGGTGCACCAGCCGGCTCCAGCATTGATCAACTGAACCGCACGGCCGCCCACGAAGCTTGGAGAGACACGGTGGCCGCGCTGGAGGAAAAGATGAAGGCGAAAGATGGCGAGATTGCGCAACTGCGAAGTAACAGTGGTCTACGCACTGCTTCTACAGCCGGGTCAGCATCCATGGACTGGTTCAAAGTAGAGGCTTTGCTTGAGGAGCACGCCAGCTACCGTGAGAGTGTCGGAGGCAGGCTACAGGCGCTGAGATCGGAGAAGGAGAGCCTGCTCAAGGAACTGCATCACAAGGAAAATGAATGCCAGGCGCTGGAACTCAAGGTGCAGACCTTGCAACGGCGAGCGAGTATGGTGTAGGGTAGGGTAGGGTAGGGTAGGGTAGAGTATAGCAGGAAAGGGCCTATACTCGCATGTGTTGGTTGGTATATGTTGTGTTGCAATGCCCCCCCCCGCCTCCCCTGTCCACAACGTCAGACATGCACGATGCAGTCAGTTCCTTGGAATCCCAATGGGAATAGGAGATGTTCAGGTACACGGGAAATGCCTGGGGTGATTCAGGCTGAATGATGATTGAAATGAGACAGGTTCCTACCCTACAGCCTACCATTGCAGCAAGCAGCGAATCTACCCGCCAACCAACCAACCACCCAACCAGCCAGCCGCCAAGTGAAAGTTGAAATGTGAAGCCTGATTTCCACGCCAACGGAACCCGGCAGCCGCGTGTTCCAAGCTCGGACTAGCTGCCGTCCAAGCTTTCTCCACCAGAAAAGCTTACCTAGGCCTTGCGCAACAACTTCGTCATCCCGCTTGCCTTGATTTCCTTTGGGAGCGCCGGGAAACTTGGTGCCGTTCTTTACTTTACTCTAGTCTAGTCTCTACTAGCCAGTCCAGTGTTGTTAGGACGTGGACGTGCAATCACCCATGTACTCTACATCTACCTGTACAACACAAGGTTCCACCGCTGGTCGGCAAAGTCCAAGCCTGTGTTAGGGGAGGGGGGGGGTATGACATCGCTTGTGTTGTTTTTTGCCCTGGTTGTGATGGAAGGGGTTGTTTAAAGGCGAGGTGGATGCCTGCTTCCTGCGCAGGTACGACTTGCTTCACTCGCTGCTGTAGGAGTTTTAACCATCGTTTTTTTTTAATCACAATACCCGCGGATATGCTCTCTGCTGTCTTTGTGTCGTCTTTCGTTTTGAGTGCTGCTCCTGCTGTAGTGAGTGCGGCGTTTGATCCTTTGCAGCATCTTGCGGGTATCGCGCCATACTATGAGGATCCAGTGTTGGACCCGAAGCCTCCCCAGGGCTGCAATGTTACTCGTGCTGCGTAAGTTGATGCTACGTGTGAGTTCTGCGATGGAGGCATTGGCTAACAATACATATTCATACAGGTACCTAGTTCGCCATGCTGCCATCTACGCAAACGACTTTGATTACGAGGAGTACATTGAGCCCTTCACCGACAAGCTGAAGAACACGACGGCCAACTGGCGAGGCGCAGGACCGCTAGACTTTTTGCGACATTGGGAGTCGCCAATCTCAGACGAAGAGTTGGAGGACCTCACATCGGTTGGCAGACTCCAGGCCTACAAGCTGGGTGTGGATGTACGGCTGCGCTACCCAGGGTTCAAGGACCCCAAGGCTGTATGGACATCATCGGCCGAGCGGACTGAGCTGAGTGCGTCGTCCTTTATCGACGGCCTGGTCGCAGATAGCAACAACACAATGCGCGTCACGGTCTCTGAAAATAAGGCAGAGGGCGCAGACTCTCTGACTCCATACAAGGGCTGCCCCAAGTACAGCTCCTCATACGGTAGCGACATGTCGTCGGAATACCAGGAGAAATACACAGAGCCCATCATCGCTCGCTTCAACGGCTTCGCGCCCAACTTCAACTTCACAGCCGACGACATCGTCGGTATGCAGCAACTATGTGGCTATGAGACCGTCATCCGCGGCTCCTCGCACTTTTGCGACTTCGATCTCTTCTCCCAGAACGAGTGGCTAGATTTTGAGTACATGAATGATCTCATGTACTTTCACAACACAGGCTACGGCAACGAAATCTCTGGTGTTCTCGGCTATCCCTGGTTGAATGCCACGGCTTCCTCTCTGCTAGCTGATCAAGCCGACCAAGATCTCTACGTTTCCTTTACGCACCGCGAACTCCCACCCACAGTCATTGTCGCAATGGGTCTCTTCAACAATTCCGCCCTGTCCGGCTCCAACGACGTAAACGCCACCATGCCAACCCAAACGCAAAACTACCAGCGTGTGTGGAAATCCTCGCGCATCTTACCATTTCTTACCAACATTGCCATTGAAAAGATGTCATGCGATAGCTACGGCTTCGACGCCGGCAGCTATGTTCGTGTGCTAGTGAATCAAGATCCCCAGCCCATGACCTGCGCGGATGGGCCTGGGGAGAGTTGCTCAGCCGAGGGATTTGAGAAGTTTGTGGCGGACAAGGGAGAAGTGTTTGGTGGGTTTACGGAAAAGTGTCAGCCCGAGTATGCGAATTCGACGGACTTTTTGGGTATCTATGAGTCTGGTGGGTCGTCGCGAGCTTGGAAGTAGGAGGAGAGATTGAGGACTACTTATTTGTGGTCTTATGGGAAGGGGGACTTTTTATTCTTTGGAATGATGGCTGTTGAGCGTCGAGGTACTGCTCCGGTCTGTTGATGTTTGATTGCTTTTGGGGGAGGTTATGGATGAGTAATGAATGCGAGATCCCATGCGTTCTCGTTGCCTGTTTTGCTTGCATCCCCCTCGCCATCACAAGGTGTCTGAAGAATCCCCTGCGCCGCAAACACGAGACTCACTCGGACCCAAGCAAAGCATCATGAATCGCAAACATCTCCATGCCCTCGCACCGGCGACCTGACATGTACGGTAACTCCACCTCTCTGGGCCATCGCAGACGTCATGACTGCCAACTCCCCCAACCAAAACCAGCCCCGCTAAGTTACTTGGCTAGGTACCGCTAGTTACCCAACCCACCCGCACCAAGCCGAGCACGCCGCGTCTTCGCCAAACAACGCGCTTGGTTTTAATCTTTTTTATTTTTCTGATTCATTTCGCAAACGATTCGCCGTATCCCAGCATTCTGCAATTCGTGAATTGCTAATTTCCTTTTTCGGGTGTGTGTGTGTTTGTGTTTGAGAGGGACTACTGTACATTGGTTCCATTTGTCTGGAATCCGTCATCACCATATTCGACGCAAAACGCGCAACGGCACGAGGGATTGAGACATGGGCGAGGCTTCGAGTACGCGGCCTAGGGTGATTGTGGTTGGGGCTGGGGTTGGCGGTGTTGCGGTGGCGGCGAGGTTGGCGGCGGCGGGGTGCGAGGTTGTGGTTGTGGAGAAGAATGGGTTTTCGGGGGGGAGGTGTAGTCTGATACATTGTGAGGGTTATGTATGTATGTTTTTTTTTCTGTCTTTTTGGGTTTTGGATGGGTGGTCTTGCTTTTGGATGGTGAGAGGGTTCCTGGGGAGAGAATGGGAGTATTGGTGTTTTATGTTTTTTCTTCGTCTTTCATTACTCATGATACCATATACAGGCATCGGCTTATCAAATGTGTTTGTTGTAGCGATTCGACCAAGGCCCGAGTTTACTCCTCCTACCTCACCTCTTCCACGAAACCTTCCACGACCTGGGAACCTCGCTGGCCACAGAGGGCGTCGAACTGGTAAAATGCGAACCCAACTACAACATCCACTTCCACGATGCAACCTCCATCAAGCTCTCCACCGACATCGCCCTCATGAAGGAGGAAATCGAGCGGTTCGAAGGCAAAGACGGATTCGAACGCTACCTAGGCTTCCTACAGGAATCGCATCGGCACTACGAACTCAGTGTCAAGCATGTGCTCAAGAAGAACTTTTATTCGCTGCTGAGTATGCTGCGCATGGACTTTTTGTGGAATGTCTTGGCCTTGCATCCGTTTGAGAGTATTTATACGAGGGCGAGTAAGTATTTTTATACGGAGAGGTTGAGGAGGGTGTTTACGTTTGCGAGCATGTACATGGGCATGAGTCCGTTTGATGCGCCGGGGACGTATAGTTTGTTGCAGTATACAGAGTTGGCCGAGGGCATTTGGTATCCCATTGGAGGATTCCACAAGGTTAGCAAACTACCTCTCTGAGCATCTAAATGCCTGCGCTGACCCAAAGGAGGTGGTGGAAGCCCTGGTCAACATTGGCCAACGCCTTGGAGTCGACTACAAATTCAACACACCCATCTCCCAGATCCAGCTCTCCGACGACCAAAAGCGGGCAACAGGCGTCATCCTACAAGACGGCACCGTCCTCACCGCCGACACAGTCATTTGCAACGCCGACCTCCCCTACGCCTACAACCACCTCCTCCCAGCCTCATCCTTTGCCCGCGCCCTCCTCAAACGCAAAGCCTCATGCTCCAGCATATCCTTCTATTGGGCCCTCGACCAGCAATTCCCCCAACTCACAGCCCACAGCATCTTCCTCGCAGAAGACTACAAGGAATCCTTCGACTCCATCTTCAAAAAACACCTCATCCCAGACCAACCCAGCTTCTACGTCAACGTCCCCTCGCGCGTCGACCCCTCTGCCGCCCCTCCGAACCGCGACTCCATCGTCGTCCTCGTCCCCGTCGGCCACCTCCAAGACTCCACCACAAACTCCCACAACGGCTCCCAAGCCGGCACACCCACACAAGACTGGCCAACCATGGTCGCCAAAGCCCGCACCATCATCCTCCAAACAATTGAATCCCGCCTCAACATCGCCCTGGGCCCCCACATCCTCCACGAGGAAATCAACACCCCGCCGTCATGGAAAGACGCTTTCAACCTCGACCGCGGCGCCATCCTCGGCCTTAGTCACTCCTTCTTCAACGTCCTTAGCTTTCGACCACGGACTAAACACGCTAGTATTCAGGGCTTGTATTTTGTCGGCGCGAGCACGCATCCCGGTACGGGGGTGCCGATTGTGCTGGCCGGGGCCAAGTTGGTGGCTGAGCAGGTTTTGGCGGGCTTGGGGAGGGGGGATAGGGTTCCGTGGGGGAGGGGGGAGGGGAAGGGGGAGGGAAAGAAGAGTGCGTTGGATAGGGTGGGTGCGGGGTGGGGGTGGGAATGGGTGGTTGTGGTTCTTGTGGCGGTGTTGGCGGCGGTGTTTGCTAGGGGTGGGAGGTAGGGAGTTTTGGGGTTGTGGAAATGGGAGGGTGAGTGATTATAGAGGTGTCGTGTTTGAACGCTTTGAACCTTGTAAGCTTGACAGTTTTATACTCGATATCAACCTACCACTTTGCTGTCCCATGTTGATGATGAAAGGGTCCCCGTATCGAAACTCTTGAAAATTTAATTCAACCACAATGATTCAAAGTCCAGGATTTGCATCACGTTTATATGACGGACGGGGTTTTTTTCATAGATTATGTATTAAGTAGGGTGGTATTGTATCATCGCTTATAGAAGTGGTATCATCAAGGAGAACACCGCATTGCACACGACATCCGCTATCACCTCATTACATCGTTCCCCTTCCGTCATCATCTGCGATACTCTCAAAGTACCATGGCCCAGTCATCTCCACCGCCTCTTTTGAATCTTTTGCAACCTCAGCCGCACCGCTTAAACAGTAGTGGTGGGATTGGCAGTGGTGGCGGTGGTGTTGCTGTTATTATTGATAGGACCATCCTGACAAGCAACATTAGCAGCAAACTTCGAATTCAAGTTTGAAAATTTCTACTCACCGGATGAACAGCCGGCGCCCGCTTCTCATGCACAACCGCATCCGCATCCCCATAATCGCGAATCGCCAACCCCAACCTCGCAGGATCAACATTACGATGTCCCCAAATCAGAAGCGCGCCGAAAATCGGCTTAGCCAAGAAGTCGAGCACGCCGTAGAAGACGGCCTCGGAGTCGGGGGAGATGACGTTGCCGCCCTCGCAGAGGCCCCAGGCAACGGGGTACAGGATCCAGAGGAAGGAGGTGAGGCTGCCGCACAGGAGAAAGGTGCGCTCGACGTCGCGGCCGAAGAATTTGGAGTGCCGTCGGGATTCCCAGACGAGTTGGTAGACGACGTAGACGAGGGCGGCGCAGCCAAAGGCGAAGAAGCCCCATTTGTAGGAGGAGACTACGAGGGCGCCGACGAGGCCGGTGACGACTGTGGTGTGGGTGGTTAGTGAATTATGATTCTCATGAATTTGTCTGGGAACAAGACATACTCATAATCTCATCAATCAAAATGACAAAAATTATCGTCGGCCACGGCATCCCAGCCGTCAGGAGAAGATCGAGCAAAAGCAAAGGCGTAGTAATCACCCAATCGATATAACGGACATAGAAGATTCCACGAAAGTTACCGCGGACAACGGGATCGCTGCGCTTGTACTCGACCTCGATGGGCGTGAAGCCCAAGTTGGAGCCCATGGAGAAATAGGCAATGCATGCTACGAAGACGACGGCCGCGGTTAGGTAGTGGAAGACGCGGTCGGTGCGCTTCCTGCGCGAGGCAAGGAATAAAAAGGCGAAGCCGGATGCGCCCATGACGGCGCAAATGGCAAAGTAGAAACTCGATCCATCACTGGTGATGTTGATGTCGGCGGTCCGGCCGTTTACCGTATTGGCTGTACACAAAGGTTAGAAGGATGAAGAGATGGGGTACGGGAGCAATGATCTGAGAGCTGGAGAATTGAATAAACATACTATTCACGTCAACAGCGTTGTTGCCCATGATTGACTGCGAATGCTCAAACTGTGTCGATGCAGGAAAAAAAACTTTATTTGTAATGTTTTCCCCCAGGTGGCTTTTTACTTGGAATGCTTAATGGTCAACAAAGACTGCCCCTTCGGCGACGGCATCCCTCATATAGGTACTCACCCTACTACGCCATAGAGAACGTATGGGGTCGAAGCCCCTGGTAAAAACAGCAGACAAGAATGACGACATGACGACACACTGGAGACCTCTAGATCGGATGACTGCTCAGATGGAAATCCAGAGCCCTTTTTCTCCCACGGACCCAATATCGGCAGATCGTCGTGCTGCGTGCAAGCATGTGTTGCAAGGTGTGACAAGAGGAGCATTACCCAAGGGATGAGCCAATCATGCCATCACTTGTGTGTGTAGCCCTGGTTAGATGCCGCATAAGCTCCACATCTCATGATCAAGATGATGAGAGCGACAAGATCAGAAAGCCATCGACACTAGGAGGCTTTTAGGTAGTCTGGTCATGGCAATTGTATTAGGTATCCGCAAGGCTCCGAAGGCGTACGAGGTAGTGGTTAGCTAATGCTTAAGCTTTCGTGACGTGGGTCGCCAGAGCTTAGTCCAACGTCGGCATCTTCTCGGTAGTGCCTTTGTGGTTTCGTGTACGTCAGCATGTGCACCGCTGGATCTGGCTTCAAGACGGGCCATCGTGGTTGTGCGATTGGCCCTGGTACGCCGTCGTCAGTTCCATTCGTTGAGTGCGGCCATGTCAGCTGTCTGTTGCGTCGATCTTTCACCGACCCTCTGGTTCCTGCGCGCTGCAATGCAAGGGTGAGGGACGAGGGAGGGTATCCCATACTTGTATTGTCATATGAAGCGGAGAATGCTGCCACGAGATGATCCTCACCCCGGCTACGTGTGGGTATGCAGATCGTGAGGGGAAGGGCTTGGGAGGCTATCACGTTGAGCGATGATCGTTAAAGACACACAATGTACATGCCCGTCTGGATCAGCAGACACCAATAATCAAGCAGAGTCACAGCAAATGTGCAGAACAGCGGTGACAGTACAGTCGAGAAGAAGAACATGCATTGGAAATGGTATATAGAACAGGCAATATTAGCAGCTTCATAAAGCTGGGCAATGATGCATAACACGAAAATGGTCAACCCAGATAACTGTTCAGACTCCGCCTCAGCCGATTCAACCTGCTGTCTTGGCTGGCAACGTCTTTCAGCGACGATCTCAATGTTGTGACTTGGCGTTGATGCTGTATCTCCTCCTCTGTGAACCAATTGCCGTGTAGGCCATACGGTATCCTTGTCGGCAGCTTAACTCTACACACCACTCTCTCCATCGTGCTGGCGTCCAAGACCCATAGTTCGCTCTTCGCATCAGGTTTACATTGCCCCGCTTCGTCCAGCTGACTCTCGTCAAAGACGTAGAAGAGTAGGAAACCACTGTCTTCACGTGCTTCAACCTGGCCTGGAGAGAGTTCATTGGAAGCTCTCTTTGGGATGAACCTGGCTTCCTGGGCATAATGGCGCGGAGGAAGTCGGAAAGCCTTGATAGGGTCCTTGGAATCTTTCGAGTCTAGAATCTGATTCATGGTGCGACTGTCGACACACCCCGTGACAGCAGTCGGTTGTATCTTGGCAGCCTGTGCTAGAAGTGTCTTCACATCCATTTTGACAAGCACATCGATCTTCGTAGCTTTCCCCAATGCAGCGCCGAATGATTCAACCGATGTGCTGCAGCCGTAAATGTATCGTGCAGACTCCATTTCGGTAAGAGGCGATACTGTGGGAAATTCAAACGGGATTGCCGAGAGCGCGAATTGATGTGTAATCATATTGGAGCTTGTACTATTCAATGCAAAGCGGTAGTAGTACAATCGACATTGCTCCTGCTCATCGTACGACATGGGTATGGTCGGGGGTGCACTCGCGGAATTGGAAGGCTCGTCTGGCGCGAGTAATGGGGTTGTTTCGTCTGAAATCTGCTTTTCGGGATCCAGCGTTTCTTCGTCTTCCGCATCGTATTTGGCAAAGAAAGACATGGGTTTCCGGCGTGACAAGTCTTTAGACGCCGGGTGTGGTGGTGGTTCGATATTACCAGCACTAAATACCATGGAAGCAGAAGTCAAACGACAGGCCAGCATGTTGACAGCTGCGACACCATTGGATTCTAGCTCGTCCCATGTGTTTGCTGTATGGAATATACAGCAACCGTCGGTCTCGAACCACCGCACCAATTCGGGATTTCGTCTTGGGAAGACGCCGAATCGGGCAGCCTTTTCAGGTTCGTAGCAGACGATAGGTTTGTTCATGAGTAGGTTCAGGGGAGTGAGGGACAGTGGTAAGTCGAGGATGATGGTGTGTTGTCGTGATACACCAAAGTCATGCATGAGTTTCCCGCCAGAGCATCCAGGCACGGGGGCGTTGAAAATGCACGCTTGATTATCCACAGCGTTTTGTCTAGCCTTGGAGGGGACCAGAGAATAGTGTACATAGGGCGGTGCAAAATCGCAGTGGAACAAGACCATTTCATTGGTGACATGATCGACCTTGGGGTGTCCAGTTGTCCACTCGCCCATCCAGCTAAGGAGACCCGAGCCACCGAATCTATCAGACGGCGATGCGTTCTTGGCCTTCGCGTCTGCACTGGTTGTCGGTTCTCCTTCGGCTGCCTCTCCGTTAAACCATCCAACAGTCTCGAGATCAGGCAATGTGACTCGGATAGGTGGACCACTCTCACACGAGGCCAGTGCCCGTCCATCATGGAAGATGATGCTGGTGTTTGCGACACTAATCCGCTTGATGGCCAAAGGTGAGCCGGGAAGGTGGGAGAGCAGGACGAGGAAGAAGGTGCGTATAATTCTCCAAAGGATGAGGAATAGACTAGATGCTGGATTGACGAGCGTGGAGATGCTGGGTACGATGGGTGTATGTAGAGATCGGTTCTCTTTGGCGGAGAGGTAGACGTCGGTGAGGATGAATTGATTGACGAACTTGACGATTGGTTGTCGTGAATTCGAGCTCGAACGATCGAACCAGACGCCCGAGAGCATGCCATCGCCATCGAACCAGTGAGCTTCGCGCCCCAGGTCGTCATTGGTAACAGGATTGCCTCCATTCCTCACATACATGCCGCCATAGAGCTCCTCAGGTATCTCGCCGGTCCAGGTGACGGGCGTTGGACTCCATGTCGTAGAGAGGGGCGCAAAGTTGCCAGAGAGGTAGGGGTGCGGAGAGGCTTGTTTGGTGCGCTGTCCGGTCTTGGACATGACGAGAGCTTGGTGATGGTGGCATTGGAGGAGCGTGAGTGTGGTGAAGGTGCCTTCACATGGTATTTCCAGTCTGGGTGGCAGTGGGGCAAGCACATGTCAATACATACTGTGCCGGTCGGATCTCTCCACTTCGCGATGGATGACGAGCTACTTCTACTGTACCGTCATCTCGACTGTCACTAGTAGTATTGCCGGCATCTCCGGTCCAACAATGGCAGGGGAACGGGCGCTGGCATGAGGCAGTGAAGTGTTGACGTCACACGATCCCAACCGCCGCACTAGAACACTTCGGGCCACGGCGCGCAAGACCTCACATCGGGTAGGGGGCGGTATCCAGCAAGGTTGAAATCCTGCCCGGCCTGCTTCATCATGGACAAAACAATAAAGTATCTCGTGTGCCGTCTTCCCATAGTAGCAGGCCTAGCCTTTTGCTCCCCCCCCCCCCCCCGCCCACTGCGTTGGGTTGACGCGTTTGACACGGTGCTGTAATCTGCGCGTCTCTCCGCGCACGTCAGACTGATTCATCCCATATGACAGCAGAATGGGCTTCGATTATGCACTTGTGTACGTGCAGCAACTGTAGCCGTGGCGGATGGCTGATTGTGACTGACGAAAGATCCCAGTCATCTCAAGTACACAATTCCACCAGCAGTGCTCCTGACGCTGTTGTACCGTCCGCTCCTCACCAAGATCGACGTCTACAAGGTCGCCTTCTTGGTAACAGTAAGTGGGCTCATGGCTACAAGATCTTCGTGCTAACAAGAGTAGATTGCTGTAGTTGCGACTATTCCATGGGACTCGTATCTTATCCGCAATCGCATCTGGAGCTATCCCGACCATGTCATTATTGGACCGACGCTCTTTGATATTCCCCTTGAGGAGGTCTTCTTCTTCGTTGTGCAAACATACAACACCTCGCTGCTCTATCTGGTACTCAGCAAACCAACATTTCAGCCCGTCTACCTGTGCACGGAACGCGATGAATTACACGGATCCTGGCGCTTGAAGAGGCTCATTGGCCAGGCCATTTTGCTTGGCGCAATTGCGTGGGGTTGGTTTTGTGTTCGGGAACGAGGCCTAGGAACATATACTGGCCTTATACTTATCTGGGCAGGGCCCTTCTTGCTGCTCCTATGGTATGGTAGACGTTTGGTTTATTTTTCAAGATACTAATTCCCAAGCAGGAGTCTGGCATATCAGTTCATCATCGGTCTGCCTTTCACGAATACACTATTACCGATTGTGCTACCTACGCTATACCTCTGGATTGTGGATACGCTGGCCTTGCGTAGAGGTACATGGGTCATCAGCCCAGGAACCAAATTTGGTGTGCATCTCTGGGATGGATTGGAGATTGAGGAAGCCTTGTTCTTCCTTCTCACAAACGTTCTCATCGTGTTTGGACAGCTAGCGTTTGACAATGCTCTCGCTGTTCTCTACGCCTTTCCACACTTGTTCCCTGATCCATCCCTGTTGCCATCACCCGCGACACTGATACGCTCACTACTCACTTCGTGCGCACAGTATGATGAAGCGCGTCTTACTGGTTTTCGGGAGGCTGTCTCCCGCTTGAAGCGCAAGAGCCGTAGTTTCTACCTCGCCTCATCCACATTCCAGGGTCCGTTGCGAATGGACCTTTTGTTGCTCTATTCCTTCTGTCGCGTTGCGGATGATCTCGTAGATAATGCTGCGACTACCGAAGAGGCAAGACAATGGATCGCTAAGCTGCACAAGTTCTTGGACAACGTTTACAGAAAGGATGTTGTATGCTCGTCTGTGACCGATCAGGTCCGCAAAGAGTTCCCACTGGACACGCATTCCGCCCTTCTCCAACTTCCATGTTGCAAGTTATCCGCAGAACCACTGCGGGATTTGCTGCGCGGATTTGAGATGGATCTCGAGTTCAACAGTACCTCTCCAATACAGAGTACTGAAGACTTGGTGCTGTACTCGGAGAGAGTAGCTGGTACCGTAGCCCAAATGTGCATCCAACTCATCTTCCACCTGTACCCGAGTTCGCTTACCGCTGAAAAGCGACATAAGGTTGTTGCCGCTGGAAACAGCATGGGTGTTGCGTTGCAATATGTCAACATTGCACGTGATATAGGCGTGGACGCAAAGATTGGTCGTGTATACCTACCGACCGATTGGCTCTCGGAAGTAGGCTTGAACTGTGATACGGTACTGAAGGATCCCAAGGATCCCCGCATCGAGGCACTCCGCGGGCGACTGTTGGATGATGCCTTCTCGTTCTATGAAGAGGCCAAACTCGCCATCGCGCAGCTACCTATCGAAGCACAGGGACCCATTCGTGTTGCAGTCGAGAGCTACATGGAGATTGGGAGGACGTTGAAGCAAGATGGCTTCATTGTCAAGGCTGGGCGTGCAACTGTCCCGAAGTGGCGGAGAGTTTTGGTTGCATGGAGGACCTTGAATTGAAGGCTATAGATCTTACTATAATTCTATAATGCCTAGTATATAGTTTGGCCAGTTCAATGTCCTAGGGTGAAAAGGAGACGTGAAGGTCGTTCCACTCAGACGACTTCTTATTCGCCCGCTAAATTTAGCGCGCTTTTCCTCGCAACTACTGTCTGGTACCTCTGCTTCATGCCACCTCTCGACAATACACTATTGCCTATGCTCTGGTATGGAATCAGACCGACTTGCCCCTACCGATGCCTTCTTCACTGGATCGATCAGAAGCCGTAAGGGCAAGGATCGGACACGCAGCGCGAGCCGTAAACGCAGGGGTAACTACAAGAAACTGCTTTGGTTTAAACAGCCATGTCAGTCCCCATACCTCATGTCATCATCGGTAGACACTAATTGCTACAGTTCCCGATAACTACACGGATGAAAAGACATTCTTGGACCATCTGCAACGGAACCCGCGACTTCAGCCATACGAATTCTGGTCGTTGATGGCTGACGCTACCGTCATCGTACAGCATCTTGCGTCTGTCATGATCTTTTGCTGTTGTTTTGTTGCTATCATCAACGGTAGAGTCTCGCCGGTAGCCATTGTCGGCTGGGCGAGCTTCTGCACTGTTCTAGGATGGCTTTTGTGGGATCATTGGATGGGGCAAGAGCTGACCGCAGATGCGCCTTCAAATTTGAAACCCAATACAACCGAACCATTCCTAACAGATGCTACATCACTACGCAGACAGCAAAGGATAGCAACTGCAAAATCAGCACTCTTGATATATGCTGCCTTGCTTGGACTCAGTCCAATTCTCAAATCCCTGACGCGCTCAACAACAAGTGACTCTATCTGGGCGCTTAGCACGTGGCTCCTCATGATCAATGTTGCTTTCTTCGACTATGGAGGAGGACCTGGCGCACGGTAGGTTGTTATTTTGAGATGGCGGTGCCCAGCTGACGCCCTTGAGAGACTACCAGCCTCGATTTCGACAAACTCTGCAATGATGGCCTCCGCTGTACTAGCGTCACGACTTCCATCAACGACCCACGTGTTCTCCTTGACTCTCTTCTCCATTGAAATCTATGGCCTCTTCCCGATATTTCGTCGACAACTTCGTACTCGGTCACCATGCGGACACCTGGTCCTTACCATTGTTCTTGTCGTTTTAGCATGGGGCGGCTTGTTCATCACTTTGACTGGTGGTGGTCGCAATGCATTTGTAGCGGGTATCATTCTTGGAGGACTTTTGACGATATTCTCGATGGGCGTCTGCAGCTGGTGGTTGATCGGACTCCAGAAATATAAAAATGAGATCCGTGGACCCTGGGATCCGGCGAGACCCATTATACGGCGACACTGGGACTAATTTTTTCCATGGATTCCGTCACTGAAAACCGATTCTCATATTGAAGAAGAGTGCAGGACCCGGACTCTGGCCATAGTTCCGCTGGACCTTGTTGTGGGGTCGTTCCTGTCCACTCAGCGTCAACGCATCTGAGCAGATACTTCAGCGACACCACTTCCAACTGCAGTTTGCCGTTATGTCTAACCCATCTTATGATTTTCAAGTCGTCAGGGCCTGCAACACTAGCTTTCATTCGAGTTACTAGATCGTCCGCACCAACATTGTCTGCGCCAACAAAGTGAAGAGGAGACCAAGGGGCTCTTCTAGCCATGCCGCTTCCTTTACTAGCGCCTACTACAGTTACTCTATCCACGCCGAGGTTTCCAATTCGTGCCAGTACGTTCCTGAGGAACATCCAGAGACCTGTTCTGGAGACAGGAATTCGAGGCCATGAGTCAAAATTCAGCCGCAAGCACTTGAGATCTGGATTGAAGCGACATGGTCAGCATGTATTCAGCATGCAGTACGCATATTGGACCCTGCTTACTGGGTACCTCCTTGTCAAGGGATCCGCATGTGCGTAGCCACTCCTGCGCTATCTCTGGCTTGTCTGAATCAAGTCTCCGGAAGTCAATTTCCAAGTCTAGGATGTTGCGAGTTGTATCAACCTGTTTGATAAAAGATTGCAGTCGGTCAACAGTCGTGAAGCGGAACACATTCTGGGCAAACAGCGGACGTCGGTCAACGTCGTGGTACAGCCTACGACATGTTTGCAGCAAGGCTATGCCCAATGGCGGATGAAGTTCGCTATCCAATTGAGTACTAGAGGCATTCGTTTTGGGGTCAACTATAGGGTCATTGGCTGTAAAAGCAAATCCGCAGATGACATGCTGTATTTCTGCAGGCAATTGAACAAACGGCGACTGTAGCTGGAGATTTGTGGGAGAGGGAATGGAATGGGCAAGCATTGTGAGCAGAATACAAGAAAACGTCACGTTTCTGATCTTGAAGTAGGTGGCAGAGACTCGTCATTTTATGTACGCAACGGGAAGAGCTGACTCGAGCTGAAAGTCACGGCGTGATAGCACTCTTGTCTTTGCCTGTGCACGAATCGTGACGGACCGTGGGCCGTATTGAGCGGTGGCTTTCTCGGTACTGGCGCGGAAGGGAGTGGGCCAGCCACAGTAGGACTTGCAGTGCCTACAGCGCACTACGCTTCCGAAATGTCATGTCCCTACATCTCGAGGAAGCTTAGCCGTCTACTGCCTATGCAAGTGTGAAGTCTTGGTCACTCTGTCGTGGACCCGCTTTGCTAGACTTGGTCGAGTCTGCCGCCGTGGAAACCCTGTTCCTAATGCCGATCACAGATGGAGCCTTATTACAACGTCGATTGCTCAACAAGGTTGTGTCTTGACCACCGGCACGGGCAGCCTTTTCTTCAGCTCAGATGCTGTGGCGTTTGATGCAAAAGGCCAGGCCGGCATGTTCAGACTGAAAAAAGTCTGGTCAGTGGTGGTCACTGTTGTCTAGCGTCGTGGAGCTGAAGTGAGACGAACTGCATTGATCCATCAGGGCTAAACGATATCATGTGTGCTGCCTGCAAGCACTCAAGGAACTCATCATGCAAATGTATACCACAATTGAGGGGATATCTTCAATCCATGATCATGTCTGTTCGCAATGGCGAGATTGGATAGAGGTAGTCTGCCATGTCTAGCTTGCTGTCCGGGTTTCGGCCCCCAACCCAGAGCGCGCTGAAAGGGCAGCATGATTGGACTTTTCTCGTGCCATGGGGAGGGGGGGGGGGATGGGGCGCTGTTACGGTACCCGCCATCGCAATTTTATTTCCAATGGGCTGAACGGGCACATCAGCTTGCGATTGCGTCTGCAAACCCTCATTCGTGCTTGACGGAGCCTTCCCTTTGGTTTTTTGTTGGCAAAGAAGTCGAGGAATCCGCATCCATGTCCCTTCGGCCAGACAACCAATCGAGGCGGTCCCGGTCCAAATCGCCAGGCCGTCGCGCTCGCGAACGTTCACACAGTAACGCGCGCGAACCACAGCTATACGGCGCAGCTGACACAGCAGCTGCAGCCCCGCAGTATGAATTCAGGCAACCAAATCATCAGCAATATGCGACGTAAGTATAGAGTGTCCAGGTTGCCTGCCTTCAATATGACTCCCTCTTCATGGCAACGAGCTGAAGTATGGCGTCTAGTCAACCTGTCGAGCCCATTACCATGGGCAACTACAGCGACCTCGCGCCAAACGAGCGGCCAGGATATGCTCCGCAGCCATCGTATGCCCATCCCGTGATTACAGGCTACACGCAGACAAGCGCCCCTCAATATCCCCCGAGCACACCGAAGTATACCTACAGCTCGCAACCAGCGCAGAGTGGGCCGGCGCGCACCCCAAGTCAATCCAAGAACGGCAGCGTCCAGTATGCGACTGCGCCGACAAACATCACCTATACTGCAAAGCCCGTTGACGCCAGTACCAATGGCCAGCCGCCCGCCGTGAGACATACGCCCCAGCCCGCGACTGCTTCACACTCATATGCGTCGCATCCGCAGCAGCAGCCCCAGTACACTTCCCTGCCGCATGCCCCGCCGCCCCCTCAGACGGTCCAGCCCGTATACCCGGCGGCGCCGCCACCGCCCATGAGGGACCGTTCCCCACATCCAGAGCATCAGCGCGCATCCTCGTACTCGGGAACACCTTCGACTACCCACGATGGTCGAAAGGTGGTTGAGATGGTCCCAGGAGGAGGTGTGGGGGGAGGACGGATGAATGCGCCTCCATCGCCCGGTCTGCATCCAGACGGTAGGCATATGGGCAACGGCAGACCGGAGAACTTGCGCATGGACAGGCTGTCGGTCAGTGGGAACAGACCCGACATTCAGACCATTGTGCCTGGAGGCTATCCTGGCGGGGTGCTGCCGCCTCCCAGTCCTTTACTGGAGGCCTATCATGGCACCTACCAGTCGATTAGTCCTATGCCAAACGCCATGTTCATCGACGACGATATCGATCATCTTTCCTCTCTAGACGACTATCCTCCGCGATACCCAGATCCGCCTCGAAGCAGCCACGGTCGCCACCGCTCCCGCTCCAACGTGCGCCGATCTCCAAGCCCACTACGCCAGTCTTCGCGCCAAAAAGACAGACTAGCCCTCGAAGCCTACGGCGGTGGTGGTGGTGGTGGTGGTGGCAGACTGGCCCCCGAAAAGGAAAAACGCCGCGTGAAAATCTACGACGCAGAAGACGACGCAAAAGACCTCGTCGAAGCGCTCGCAGCCCGCATCCCCGATGCCGACCCGATCATCGAGATCCTGCCGACGCTCTCGCACGACCAAATACTCGAACTGCGCGCAGAATACAAACGGCACTGCAAAGTCCAAGGCCGGGGCATCAACATTGCCAAACACATCAAACTCAAGACGAGCGGCAACTTTGGCAAAATCGCCTACGTGACGGCGCTGGGCAAGTTCGAGGCCGAGGGCTACTGGGCAAACTACTGGTACCAGTCCAACTCGGCAAAGCGCGAGCTCCTCATCGAATCCCTCATGGGCCGCCCAAACCACGAGATGCGCGCGATCAAGGACGCGTTTCGCGACAAGCGCTATGCGGATTCGCTGACGCGCTGCATGGACAAGGAGCTCAAGGCCGACAAGTTTCGCAAGGCCGTGCTCTTGGCCCTCGAGGCCGACCGGCAGGAGGAAAGCGAGGTGTGGCCGCTCGAGGACAGGATGCGCGACGTCGATGCGTTGTATAGAGCCATTCGGGCCAGGGAGGGCGGCGAGAGCGCAATGTTGGGGATTGTGGTCATGAGGAGCGACGCCCATCTGCGCGAGGTGTTGCGGGCGTATGAGCGCAAGTATCAGGGGAATTTCGCGAGGGATGCGTTGAGGAAGAGTAATAATCTTGTTGTAAGTTTGGTGGTCACTTGTTCCCTTTCCCCCCCCCCCCCCCCCCCCTCCCCTCTTTTCTTCTTCTTCTGGACTTTGCACTTTTCCCCTCCTTTACTTTCTCCCCACCAAAAGCTAATCCCCCTCACAGGGCGAAGTAATAGCCCACATCCTCAACGGCGTCATCAACCGTCCCGCCCGCGACGCCATGCTCCTCCACCACGCCCTCATGGACCTCATCGAACCCACCACCTCTCCCCGCTCCTCATCCACACGACAAGCCACCGCCGCCGCCCCTGCAACCAGCAAGCACGAGCGCCAGCAGCGCTTCGAACTGCTCATCTCGCGCCTCGTGCGCCTGCATTGGGATCGCTTGCATCTTATGCGTGTCAAGGCCGAGTACGAGGACAGGTATGGGAGGCTGGTTGAGGAGGATTTGGAGGAGGCGACGAAGGGGGATTTTAGGGAGTTTTGTATTCAGCTTTGTCAGACGGGGCGGTAGGGTGGGGTGGGATTATGTATGTATGTTGCTGGCTGAAAAGGGATATAGGTTGATACCACCATTGATTGCATCAATTGAATAAATATATCGGTAAATATCGGTAATCGTATTTTTTTTGGTGGGGGGGGGGGGGTATTTCCCTCCTCCACGGTATCTTGTTATCCCATACCCACTCCTACTTCCCTCACTCCTTCAAAGTCCCTTTCCTGCCGTCTACCTCGAAAAAGAATCCATGAGAAAGCCCGGGGCATCCTCTTCAACGCCCAACAGCAAATCAGCAGGCGTGGGCAGATTATGCAGCGTATTCCTCGCACTAGCAGCCGGGACATGGGGAAAGACAATCGTCGGCAGATTCGGCGTCTGCGGCAAACTATTCTTTGCCGGGGCAGTGGCGCCCAGGTGGCTAGGGTTGTTCGCATTGGTGGTTGTGTGTGTTGTCGGCATGGTTAGAGAGGTGGATGGCGTGTGGGTGGGGAGCTCGTTTGGTAGACTAGGGCGGCTGCTGGGTATACATGTGGATGGCAATGCGGTTTTCGAGAGATCTGTTGAGCGGGGTGGGAAGGCGTTCCAAGTGTTGTTGAGGTGGTTGCCGTCCATGGTGTTGCTGGATCGTGATGGTTGGTCTCCTGTGCCGTGGGCGAGGACTTGGTTGTACGACGAGGTGTGGTTTGCATCGGCCCATTGTAAGATGTCTCTGTTGAGGATAATGGGGCTGTTGCTGAATTCATCGTGCTCTAGACTTCCGTAATCGTCAAACATGGCGGGGAAAGGGTTGAAAGTATAGGGTGTATTGTCGTTGGATCTTGAAGTTTGGTTCGGAGGTGAGAGAAACGTCATGTCTGGCAACGAGTCATTTGGCCTAGTCAATCTCTCCACTTCAGATGTGTAGCAAGTGATGCGCTTCGCTGATTGGGGAGAAGTTGTCTCATCCGCCTGGAGAGACTGTGTCTGTTGTTCCCGTTCCTTGTTTGCCGCTCGCTGCTCCGAGATGATCTTGTCGTGTTTCGCTTTGAGCTTATGTCCAGACTCTGCAAACTTCTCTGGGTACTTGATCCGGAATCGATCTCGCAGATCTGTGGGACGACGGGTACCAAGTCCCAGTTCGGCATCATCGCATATCGCCCGCCAGACAGAACCGTGCTTTTCAAACCCCTTGAGTAGATTCAAATCGTCAACAGCGCTAAACTTGCACTGGGGTCGCCGATACTTCTTCGCAAACGGGCCACTGATGCCAATATCCGCCAGCTGCAAGGCCACTGTGTTGGACCCAGATTTACGCTTCTTCTTGGGTTCTGGCTCTGGCGGGGAAAGAGCATCACCATTTGGATTTTGGTGGTGAGGTCTATTTGCTTCTGATAGCGGAGCTAGGACCTTGGACGAAAGATCGTTCTGCGACTCTGTGGCAGAGCTTCTCTGCTTTGACTTGTTCTTCTTGGAAGCCTCACTGGGGCAACATACTCGGAAGCGGTCCTTCAGGTCGACTGCGGTTCGTCCATGAAAATTCAAGTCCGGACTCTGCAGGATCTTTTTCCAGCTACCGATTCCGTAGCGACTGACGCCTACAAGCAAATCTTTCGTCTCCTGCTTTGACCACCTTCTTCGCTGCCTACCAGGCTTAGATGGCACGCCTTCCTGAACCCTCTCTCTTGACGAAGTCGTGTCATGTGAGCCATGGGTTTCTTCCGTATCAGGAATGTTGGTACCAGTCCGGCTCTTCTGTAGATTCTTCTCTCTGCAAGATTCATCGTTGTTCGAAACGGCTGTGGCTGTGTTGAATGCACCGTTAGTTTTCACGGGGGGACTAAGTCTGGTCCCGGCGCGGGAGTCAAAGCTTCCTCTGTCCCTTGAACTGTTCGTGAACGCATTTTTATCGCTGGTGATGGGTGGGAAGAGCCTATCCGAGGGTGGCAACGGTGGTGGCTGATGCAATCCCTGGAGAAGGGGTGGAATCCTCGGCCTTTGTGTTTTTTTTGCTGCCAGTTGAGGCAGCTTTGGAAGCTGAATGACCGAATGGTTGCTATCTGCCGGTCGAGCCTCTGCAGGCAGGTAGTCAACTCTCTCTCGTACAGTTGGTGATGCTGGTGTGTCAAGTAAAAGATCTATCAAGCGGCCACTGAATGGCTTCGTGGAGAAGTTATGGGCTGGATTTGACGGCTGTGCAATATATGGTGCAGGCGCATCATTATTCAAGACCTTTGCTATCGGAGCAGCAGTATCTGAGCCAGTGCGTGGAAATGAAGAGTGCTCTTGATTTTGATCCTTGGATCGGTCGCTCACTAAACCATGGTGGTTATCGTTACCGGTACGCGTCGCCATTGTCAATGTATGCTGCCGAAGATCGATGTGGACACAGCCAGCAGCGTGCGACTTCTGTCCGTTCAACCGAGTTACAGCATGCGATGTGTCTTTACAGGAAATTTGGTAGGTTCATGATATTCGGAGAATGCTCCTTTGTTGGGTTGGAAGAATTGATGTAGGGCTCAGCTCAACGAGCAGGTGACATGCCAAGGATGACATAATTCGTCGCCCTTGTAGTAGAGACGACTCAGCCATCGCCACTTTATGCAACTTCAAATAATCGACTGTATGTATTGCATCAGATGATCAGGCGTATGAAACTGACTTTGGAGCACTTGGAAATTACTTTTGCAAAGTTAATCAGCCAACAGAGCACTGTATCCGCTCCAGCCAGCATCAAGCATACATCGCACTTGGATGTGGACAGAGGTATAATACTATTCAGAAGATTCTAATGGCGCCAGAACAATGCTATTCTATAGGTCGTCCCCAAAACACCACCTTTCACGCCTTGCACCAAGTCACGCACCCAGAGCTACGCAATCAAGAGGTTCCTGCACACAGACCGTCAGCACACCCCCCGGCAGCTCAGCGCGAAGGAAGGGGAGCCGCACCATTTGTCTTGGCCACATCTGCCATCTTGGTATCGCTGTATAGCTTGCTGACATACTCCTTGTTGCCCTCGGGCGTGGCCTTGATACCCTCATCGCCTGGGTTCCAGTTCGCAGGGCAGACCTCGCCGTACTTGTCTGTGAACTGGAAGGCATCAATCAGCCTGAGCGTCTCGTCCACTGAGCGTCCGACAGGTAGATCGTTGATGGTGATCTGCCTGATAATGCCGTTGGGATCGATCAAGAACAATCCGCGGAGAGCGATACCGTCCTCCTCAATCAAGACGCCGTAGTCCTTGCTGATGCTGTGGTTCTTGTCGCTGAGCAGCGGGATGTTGACTTGGCCCAGGCCACCGTCCTTTTTGGCCGCGTTGGTCCACGCAAGGAGGCTGTATTCGCTGTCTGTGCTGGCGAAGACGACGCTGGCGCCGCGGGCGGCGAAGTCGGCGATGCGATCACTAAAGGCGATGATTTCGGTCGGGCACACAAAGGTCCAGGCCATGGGGACAAAACCGAGGACGAGCCATTGCTTGTTGGATGTGTAGGATGTTAGGCTGAGCTCTGGATTGGGACTGTTAGTATGACGTGGTCGGAATGTTGGATGGCCAAATTGTATGAGAGATGTAGCATGTGAACCTACCTTCAAATGCGCCATCAACAACAGCCTGGCCTGAGAAATGCGGTGCAGGCTTCTGCACGCGCGCCTTGGGTGTGTACGCAGGGAACGACATTTTTCCAGTTTTGCAGCGATAAGACTATCCAACCAAACTCTTTCACTATCTTCCCTCTAGGTATATTCGTACAAAGTCTACCTCGAGGTATAATTCGAATCTGCGCAAAGGCACTCATCAGCATTCTCATCTACACAAACCCATAGACTCGCCACAACTTACGCTCAACAAAGATCACACGTACGGGTCAGAAGAACAGTAGCGTACCAAGCAAGCAAGCAAGCAAGTAAGTAAGTGTGACTGATGTGCAAGCCTCGGGGAGGAAGAGCCAACCGTAACCTTAATGCAAGAGCCGCAAGAGATACGGTAGCTAGGCAGTAGGTAGGGTACTTGATCTACTTTAAAAGCACAATCGGAGCTACCATGACTCTCCGACCTCCAGTACTGACTTCTACGTTACCAGTAGTTTCCAGCCCCCAAAAAAAAATCGTGCCAGAAAAAAAACGGACCGCAAAAAATGATTCGCAACTTTGAATCGTTCAGAGCCAGCCCTCTTTTTTTTTTCGTGGCCTGAGCGGAATCTTGGAAAGGGGGGGCAAATCATCCGTTTGTCGGCGGGCTGCTCGGCATGATTTTGGGATGGCGCGACGCGGGTTCAGACTTTGAAGCCTGTGGAGATCGAGGCTTGGTTGCTTATGTTATGAACACAATGTAGGTACCACACCGTAACCTACGGTACATTTGCGCTGGAACCGGGAGTCTTTTCCATGCCATGCGGCCTGCGATAGGATAGTGGTTAATTGATTGTCATGATAGCCGTGCAAGCTTTGAAGAAAAAAGAAAGAAAAAAAAAACGGGAATTACCTACCATCATAGCAATTGATATCCATGACCATAACTCGTCCCTCCTCGATCCAAGACGCAGAGCATCAGACTCAGAGGCAGAACCAAGGCCATCGTTCTTTTCCTCATCAGAGCACATCCCTGTTGCGTACCTTGCATGGCCTCTTGACACGCCGGGTCGCTTTTACACTACCGGTACGCATGTCCTACTGCACTGTACCAAGTACGCCCAAGTGCGACGCCGGCCATCCATGCGCCCCACTCCGACGCCAGTTTATACGCAACAAAGCCGTGGAGGCCTGGCATGCACTTTGAACCCAGGATGCCAGATCACGAGCGAACGCGCAGTGGACGTGCTTGCGGGCGCGCTCGGCGGGACAGGATTGCCGGCATCGGGGTGGGTGTGGGTGGCATGACTTTACTTGGATGTAGAGTAAGTAAGTGCAACGGTTTTATGTAGAGTACGGTACTGTAGAGTACTGGAGGTGGAGTTGTTCGTTCAATCTAGTGTTGCATCATATCATGGGTAGTTACGGATCAGCTGACAGAGAATGGCACGTGTCAAACATGTGTGCGTGTGAGTAGTGCATTCATGCTACCATAGTACATGGTGTGATTCTGTAGCGGTGGCTGGCAATGGTTGCTGGGTGTACTACTCTACATGGCGGTGGCCTGACTAACGCAAGTCCGGTACAGTACCTACTGTAGCTGTCTGTCTGTAGTTGCGGTGTGAGAAGGGAGTGGTAGTGGGTCAAGTCCACGCGTGCGGCTCGAACATGTGCGTATTATTGTAGTAGAGTACAATCCCTTCATCGTTGCATCGCTATGACGAAATCCCACCAAGACACCGAATACCAGACCAGGCTGGAAGCAAGTTAGAAATTGCGCTGTCCATGCCCCGACATCGGCAGAACCGTGTATACAGTCACCATATACGCGGCAAAATTCGCCACTCTATTTCCATGCAACCAGAACTTCTGTATGACTGATTGTTTTGATACAACTAGCAACTTCCATCATCACATGATTTCTCTCCACACACACACACACACTCTCTCTCTCTCTCTCTATCCACTACTGTGCTATCCGCCACGCCCGCATTGGCAACGCTTGTATCCTCATCACCGCTGGCTTGATGTATCCCCAAAAGGTAACTACACCAATGACCACACACAGGATGTTGACAATGTAGTATCCATCCGTAGTAACATTGCAGATACCGCCTCCATCACGGCATATGTGCTTGTCATGCTCGAGGGAGCAAGAAAAAGGTTGTGTGACCAGGGACCCTTTGAGCAAATCTGCCTTGGGCGGTGTAGACGGTGGAATACAAGTAGCAGATGTAAACAGATCCACGGCTTTGAGCACGAAGAAGCGAGGAAACGTGCCGCCGAGGTTTGATACACTATGCTCTCCCATTAGCAAAACTTGCACTCTGGGAGTGAATGAAACAAGGGGGGGGGGATAGAAGACTCACGTAGCAAGCAACGTCATATACGTCCCTCCAATCAGTGGATCCGATATCTTTGCATGGAACGCACTGACGGCGACAAACATGACTGTATTCATAAACGTCGACAGGACGTGCTCTGCAATGACCAGCAGAAGGAAGCCCGTTGTTGCACCCCCGACTGGGAAAATCGACACGACGAATTGCGCAAAGACGGCTGCGACAAGACGGCCGATGAAGGACCAGCACCAGATATGCATGGGCGGGTACGTCTGGCACCACTTGCCAATGTAGTAGCCAAGGAAGACTTCGACTGGGAAATCAATCAGAATGACAAGGGAGAGCTGTTCTTGCTTCAAGCCCTTGTCAAGAAGCTTGAGACTTGTAACCGCGTCGTTGGCCTGGAAGCCGATCTTGGCAATCAAGTGAATGATGATGAAGCTTTGAATGTTCTTCAACTTCAAGATGCCCCACATGGTGCGGTATACCTCTGATATTCCATCGCCGTCCTTGTCGCGGTCCTCGCGCTTCATCACAGCGAGACCAAACGTGACAATGAGGTATGCCCAGCCCCAGAAGGTGAGGTACGAATCGAGTTCCATCAGGCCGGTCGTGCCGGGCGCGTTGGCCGGGCGGAACCATTTGTTGGCAAAGTCGACCGAGTTGAAGGCGAGGAAAACAGTGTAGGAGAGGAATTGGCCGGCTGTGAGACCCACCGTCTGGGCAGTGGAAGCATAGGCGAGGTTCTCGTTGGACAGCAGTGTGAGCGCCCAGCCTGGAATTGTTAGTTTTCGCAGTGCATCAAATCTATGGGTGGTAGCGCTCACCATCAACAGCAATGTCCTGTGTAGCGCAAAGAAAGACGAGCGCAAACCACCACCAGGTAAATGTCCAGACCCCACTATCCGACTCGCCCGCCTCAGTCATCATGCGATTGATATTCTTGCCCAACCAGATCATGGAGAAACCGGAGATTGCCTGAATCGGTAGAATCCAACTCTTTCTTCGCCCCAAGCGGGGCGACCACACGGCATCCACAATCGGACTCCACAACAGCTTCAACGAGTATGGGTATGCGGCGAGTGAAAAGACGCCAATGGCCGAATACGACACGGTATTCTTGAGCAAGAACGGCACCGAGCCATGCGCCAGACCCATGGGGATACCCTGCAAGAAGTACAACAGCACCAGCAACAAGAAATTACGCTGATCCTTCTTGGACAATTCGAAGAAGCCTTTCGAGGGCCCTTCATCCTCGCCCCCGTCGCCAAACTTGGGCACCTCGTCGTCGAGCGAGAAGCGGGAATCGCCCATGAGCGAGGCAGCCTGACTAGAGGGCTCATTGCTGTCGAAAGACGTGTGCTTGCGCCGATGTTCCAACATGACGCCGTTCATCTTTGTAGCGCTTGTATTCGCATTTCCAGTCTTGCCCTTTCCGTCCAGCGAGTCGGTCGAGCCCTGTGGCTTGAGTGCTGTTGTCGAGAGGCGATTCTTGGATCTAGAGGCTCGTTTGCTCATTGGTGGTAGGCTCCGTCGCAGAGAGCGCGAGAGCGCGAGTGGGTGAGATTGAGATTGAGAAGGAAGGTGGGGGGCAACTTTGTATGTGTCTGTGATTTGCAAAGATGGACAGGATTGGCAGGATTGACGTATGTAGTAGTGGGTATACGAAAGGGGGTAGTACGGGGACCCGAACAGTGCAGAAGGCCGGATATTTTATAAGCTGAAAGTCTATATCAAGAAGAAGAGGCAGTACTCCTAGAGGATGTGGGGATGCAGAGAGCGACAGAAGGAAACAACGAAATGTGTCACGAGTCACGGGCGGTGATAGGTTGGATAGATGCGGACACGCTGTACGCAGCTGAAGGATGCCGCGGTCCCAAATGGAGACTTCTTCCTTGACATGGAATCTGTCCTCTGCTGGAGATCGGCGGCGGCGGCGGCGGAGAACGGGTCCACCGGGACTGGTTCGCGACAAGAGGCCCCTGTCACTCACGTGCCCACGCGCTTTCACCGGAACGCCAACCCCAACTCCTCCACGCAACACCAACACCAACACCAACATCAACACCAACCGAACACCACGATCCAAGGCAATCCAACCACCCCACCCAACCACCATGGAAACAACAGAAACCCCCGAAACCCTCGACACCGAAATCGCCCTCCTAAATTCCCACCTCCAAACCCTCCAAGCCCACCGCGCAAACCTCTCCTCCATCCTCCTCTCCCAACCCCACCTCCCCTCCCACCTCCACCTCACCGCGCCCACCCCCCAAACCAACACCGCAACAGCAACCACAGTCCACAAACTAATCGCCCAACAAGCCCGCCGCAACAGCGCAAACATCTACCGCGCCTGCGCCGGCATCACCGCCTACAAAGTACAAGACCCCGACCCCAACGCCATCCACGGCGGCGCCGTCCTCGGTATAAGCATCGATGTGTCGCTTGGTCGCGAAATCGCGGGGACATATCACGTGTTGCTGAATCGTCCGATTGTGCGGGGAAGAAGGGTGTTGCGTGTGTATAAGCATACGGTTCCGCCGTGTATTATGCTTGCGGAGTTGGCGCGCAAGTATCTGCCGGATTCGAGGGCGAGTGGAAAGGATGGAGAGGTGGGGGTGGGGGATGCAGAGCAGGATGTTGTGGGGTTTGGGCGCGCGGTGAGGCGGGAGATTAGGCGGTGGTATTTGCGGAGGGCGGATTTGGTGGTGGTGCGTAGGGAGGCGGGGGTGGAGAAGGAAGAGGAGGGTGGGGGGACGGGGCAGGTATTGAATGCGTATGCGAGTGGGGAGGATGAGGGGAGTGAGGATGGGGAAGAGGGAGATGCAATGCCCACGTCAGCCAGCAAGATTGTGGATATCGAGGCTGATCAGAGTGTGAGACAACTTCATGTTTCGTGGTCAGATGGGAGGATGTTGGCCGCGAATGTCACAAAGGACGGCCAGGTGGCAAAAGCCGTTTGTAGGCTACGAGATGGCAGTCGAGACGAAGCCATGAGCAGAAAAGCCATTGGTCCGCTGCGGAATCTTGTCGCAAGACTCACCTTTCCAGACCGATGAAGAACACGGGCCGTCACCATCTTCACAAAGGGAGCATTGGCGCTCAAGGCGTCTGCTGTCCGTTCACAGCGTAGAGATATCCGCATTTGTAATCTTCCACAACAGACAGAGTCTGAAACATGCTATTTGGAAGCCTAGTGCATCATTGCAAAATCATTCACTCGACCCTTTTCCCAGACTGCCTACTTGTACCAGGTTCCCCAAAATGCTCCACCCGCGTATAGAAATCTCCATATTCATACAAGCACCCCGAACCACGTTCAATCCCGCTTATCCACATCCTCGTTTCGCGGCTCCGTACTCAACTACACCATGACTTCGTCAGCCTGTTCAGAGTCCCACTCCATCCCCGCCGGCACATACCTGATTTCCATTATAAAACTGCTGGTCGCGCGGCTCTCTCGCCCTCTGATCCGCCAGCGTACGTACGCGCACACTCGGTACCTCAGCCGTGGAAGGCTGTTGCTGCCGCTGAGCTTGACTCGAGTGTGAACTCGTTGTCTGGCCAGCAGGAGCTTGCGCGGGGGCTGCGCCAATCCCAATCACGGAACCCAGCGTACTGCCCACGAATCCTACGGTGGAAGAGAGCAGGCCAAAAGCACCGCCGACGAGGCCCGTGGCCGTACCGACGATGCCGCCGCCGCTGGCGCCAGAGTAGGCGTCGGTGTATCCCTTGACTGGCACGAGGACCAGTGTGGCGCTCGGTGCCAGGTCGATGTCGCCCAGCGCCTGGCTCTCATCTCCAGCAGAGAGCTCCCGGCTCGGCTGCGGGGGCAGAATGTGGCGAAAGTAGTAGGGAGGTAGCTGTTTGTTGTTGATATTCGGATCATCTTTGGCGAGCTTGGAGAACTCGTTATCCACCCATGACCGAACCTCCTTCTCCAGCGTCGCCGTTCGTGCGAATGAAGAGCGTATTGTGCGTCCGTCGAATAGCCTAACGTTCAAGTTCACAACCTTGGCTTGTGATCCTCGGGATGAAGATTTGTGGGGTTGATTTTCCGTCCCACTTTGGGCTTGAGTGCTGCTTTGCTCTTGCTGACGGTTTGCCTTGCGCTGCTCGGCTTGTGCTCTGCGCGCAACTTTGTCCGCTTCTATTCGTGCTTTTACGCGGGCTAGCTCTTCTGCTTCCTCCTTTTTCTTCTTCCGTAGCGCATCTCGAGCAGCTTGTTGTGCGGCGCTCACAGTTTTTGTGGAAGGCTCGGACTTGGATTCTGGGGCTGGGGCTGCTTTCTGCTTTCCCTTTAGGTTCGCTGATTGTGTTGTGGCTGCTACAGTCGGCTGTGGCTCGGATGGTCCAAACAGATCATCTTCAGCATTCTCTGGTGCCATGTTATCAGCGGGCTCTGTAGTAGCTACTTGTGGCGCTAATGTTGGCGCTGTACTGGAGCCTGGAATGGGCTCTGCCCCAAGGACCCTCCTTATCGAATTGATAAACTCCTCCTTGGTCACATCGCTCTTCAGTTGAACCTGTAATTGCCCATTCTGTATGACGACGAAAGTAGGAATGTTCGAAATGTCGGAAAAGGCTGCTAGGAAGCCTGCTTCGGTCGAGCCGGCCTGAAGGCGCAAGAGGACGGCTTTCTGGGCGAGCAGGGTTGATAGCTTTGGCGATAGTTAGTATCGCGAGACATTCTAGGCGTGTAGAGAGATCATAGCTGCAGGCTTGAACGAACCCATCCACTTTGTAGCCATTCTTCCTCCCATTCTTTGCTCGTTGCGCCGTCATCTGGCCCATCTGTCAGACAGTCTCCACATTCCGAATCAAGCATAGGATTTCCGTACCGCGCACGAAACAAGCAACGAGCTTCTGCTCCTGGATCGCGAGCGCGATGCCACTCTGTAAAGTGCCTTCGTGGAACATGTTGATGACGCGGTTGGAGGTGTGATTGTGCCTGTTTCGCAGGGTGAAGCAGCAGAAGAGCAGGGATAATGCGCGCCTTGATGCCCGCGGGGTGAGAATTGGTACCGAGGCCAGATAGGTCAGCCATCATCACGCCGACATGAGCTTACTACTAAAAGTCTAATGCATATGCTCTCACGCTTTCATAAATACAATCATTCCTAGGGGATATCTGCAGCGAACGAATCTATTAGAAATGCTAATTTCCCATCCTATTGTGTCCACCGCGCCGAAGGAAAGTAAATGCATGGAGGAAGTCAATGCTGAAAACTCCCCCAATCACCCGCAGGGTGCATCCAAAGGAAGATGCCGCGGAAACAAATGCTGTTGCGTGGGTAGACTGAGCCATATGATGTGACGCGGGCTGCTCCTTCTCCGATTCACTCACAAACCTCAGCATCGCCATACTAGGCCCGGTCCTGCTGAACGGGTATCTCGTCTTAGGCAGAGGTCAGGTCGTCATTTCGAGATAGATGGACGCATATCCAACCTCTGATCCTGCCTTTTATTACTCCCTCTGTCATCCCTCTTTTCGTCGCAGCACTTTCGCATTCTTATAAAACGACGCACTTGCTCTTCTTCTTGTTCGCTTGTTGCTGAGGACGAGGGCTGAGTACAGCACTAGGCAGTGTCAGCACATGAAACTTTGATTGGTAACCGAGATGACCTACCGAATGGCCTCGTCGAATACACTCTTCAAGTTGCGCTGTGTCAGGGCAGAGCACTCTAGGTATTTCTGTGCCTTGATCTCCTTTGCGACCATGACTGCCTGCTCGTATTGGATTGGCGCCATCTTCTTCTGTCTCAACGACTCCTTGGTCGCCTCATCATCCCTCAAATCAAGCTTTGTTCCGACCAAGATGATGGGGACGCCGGGCGCGTGATGGTCAATCTCGGGGTACCACTGATGGACTGGTTAGCCTCTTTTGTGTAACAGGACGAGCCAAGCAAGACTGGATTTCTGACCTTTGCCTTGACGTTGTCGAATGAGGGTGGGCTGACGATCGAAAAGCAAATCAGGAAGACATCCGTCTGCGGGTAGGAAAGTGGCCGCAGCCGGTCGTAATCCTCCTGACCGGCAGTATCCCACAGCCCAAGGCTTATGGGCTTGCCATCTACCATGACATTTGCCGAATAGTTGTCGAAGCTGGACCCTGTCAACCTGTGTGCTTCTCGCTGCATGCAATGGCCAGACTCACACTGTGGGTATGTATTCACCGGGGAAGGCGTTTGTTGTGTACGAGATGAGCAGACATGTCTACGCTGTTAGCCTTGAGGGGTTCCATGGCAGTGGGGATGGGCAATCGAGTCTCACTTTGCCCACGGCACCGTCACCAGTCACGACGCACTGCACTGCTAATCAGCGACCAAAGCTCCAGAGGGCAGAGGCGTGGGCGTCTCTGTATGTTTTGCGGGCGCGCACCTTGAGCGATTGTGTCGCGGGAGCGGCCATCGTGTTGCTGCAAGAGGACTTGTCGGCTTAAGCTCGTCTGCGGGTACGGGGAGGCCCTGCTCGGCGAATCGAGAGAAATGGGGCGGGCGCGGGAGGAAAGAGGCGAGGTGCGGAGGTCGGGGGAGGGAGGGGAGGGGGGAGGGGGGCGGCGTGGTGGCGATGGGGAAAATGGGGATGGCACAGCTGCACGGCGGATGGGTCAGAGGCAAAAGAGGCAGTGAGGCGCGCAGAGGGGTGAAGGAGGCAGCGTGGGGAGTGTTTGCGCGGGAGCTATCTGCAGCGAAGGAGGCGCTCTATCGCTTGGCAGACGGCGGGTTGAGAAGCGAGCTTCGACAGACAAGACGGTGGACAGAGAGAGAGGGATGGGGATGCGGGCGAGTCGAGGCAGCTTGGGCCACTGGCACCGGCGGGGATCGAGTCGTGCGGCCGCGGGTAGGTAGGTAGGTTGGTTTGCTAGTGAGCACTGAGCAGCAAAGCACTGAGGGCAGTGGGCACCAGGCACACTTGACGATGAGTGCAAGTGCGTGCGTGCATGCACCGACGTTACGAGCAGCAGTACGAGGCGATGGGCAGAGTAGCTTACTAGTAGCACACAGTTCCCTAGTCGCGAGGGTGGAGGGTGCAGTATGCAGTATGCAGCGTGCAAGTGTATATGCAGTGGGTGGGCAGGTATACAAAAGAGGGACAGACGGCAGTATCGGTAGGTATCAGGAGCAGTGTCAGGAGCAGTAGCAGTAACAAGTAGCAGCAACAGGAGAAGAAGAGAAACTTGTTCAAACCTCCCATGTGCTATCGGTGGACAGGCGCGTATGGAGCTGCCGTTCTGGAAAGTTGAAACCGATTTGCGACAGCCACACACAATGGTTGTAGGTACACAGGCGTGATAGGCAGACCATAGCATAGGGCCCCCCCCCCCCTCCCTTCCCCCGCTCCCTCCTTTGGGCCGTCGTCTAGGTAGACAGCTCTGGACCTACCAGAGCTTTTGCGCACCGCGAGACTTGCTTTGCGCTGCTGTTCACATGGCGCGCCCCTTGCCAGAAAAAGACATGTCCTGTCTCCTGCCATACCATACTTACAATACCTACTACTCATACGCTATAGTCGTCTCATCCCATAGTACATACGAGCCGAGAGTCTGTTTCTCTGCCAAGGGTTCTCTCTCTCTCTCTCTCTCTCTCTCTCTCTCTCTCTCTCTCTCTCTCTCCCCCCTCCCTCTCTTCTCCCTCTTCTGCTCTGCCGCATCCCATCAAGGGTGGTCATGCAATCGAGCAAATCGAATTCCTCGCCTTCTTCTTAGCCTCGTGATTCGCCCTGCAGCTTCCATAGCTTCCATGTCCCCCCTCTCTCTCCCTCCTCCACTCAGTCCCCCCCATTTCTGCTCGCCAGCTGCACATGGGAACTTCCAGCCCCAGTACCAACACCACCATCTCCGCCTCCGTCCCCCGCTCTTCCTATTAGCCGACGTCAGGCTTGTGGTTCTGCAACACTCACCCTACAGGAGCACTTGCAGCCTGCTTTGCTTCCTGCAAATCGGACCTTCCCTCTCCTGTACCCCTTCTGTCTTCCCCTTTTATCTTTGGCTTTCGCTATCCAGTCAAGTGGCGTGAGTGGTAGGCAGAGTAGGTAGTGGTAGGTACCATCTAGAGTAGTGACTGCGTGCATCATTCCTCTCTCGTCCATTGTTTGGCTGCACATGGGTCGCCTGGCGTACTAGCTGCATCTGCTGCACGCTCTCCACACTGTCCTCACCCTCTTCCGACATGTCTTTTCCAGACTACGCGCCAATCATCAAAACAAGCCATCTTCATTGTACCTACTTCCTAAGCCTTGTTCATGCCAGCTTTACCATGTCGGCTCCCTAAACATCTCCCCACAAACACTCCCTCTCAACACAATCATCTCGGGTATCTCAAGACGCCAATGCAACCTAAATCAGTAAAACAAGAACAAGTCGCTACCGTCCTGCTTCGTCTTGCCAACAAACTCTGGCCTCAAAAGCAGCTTCATCAGCGATTCGTGCAGCTCCTTCATGTCCAGAATACCCCGCTTCTTCTGGTCAATGTACGACACATCAATCACCACTCTCTTCAAGTTCTTGCTCGTCAGCGCTTTGTGTTCGAGCAACTGAACCAGACGATCAGGTGTTCCCACTCCAAAATCAATTCTTTGTTATGAATCAGTACAGCACATGGTACGCTCATCTTGGTAAACATACTTGGTCTTCTTCAGATAGGCCACTTGATCCATCAACTTCAGGTGTTTGGCAAACAACTTGGCCACGTTGGAGTCTTTGACACCGTGCTTGGGCAGACCCGACTTGAGAGACCTGCACACGTCTGCAGCTCGGATTCCAGAGGCGGTAATGATGATCGTGTGCGGTGATCCGTGGGGTTTGGGAGGAGTAGGACTCAGGTTACTTGATAACGAGATGAGAAATTCAGGAAGGCTCTCCAGAGTACGTGGCTTCGTCCATCTTGTACTGTCCTGTACAGTACGAGCTACAGAGGTTAGAATACTTTGGCATACATTGGCAAACTTCGACCTAGTAGACATACCAGATATAAACTTGTCTTCCAGTTCAACACTGCTCAGCTCTTTCCCATACAGACGCGTTCTGGCATTAACATAGTCGGCAAGTAGTTCCTTATCCAACCGCTCAAATGCGTGGTTTACGCCCAGTTCTTGATCCAAATCATCTTCATTGATCTCCTTGGCCTTCTGCTTCTTCTTTTCCTTCCGTTTGGCCTTCTTGGCAGCCTTCTTGCTGTCCTTGGTTGCCTCAGGCTCGGCTTCTCTCTTCCTCTTCTTGGATGACGCCGTCGTATCAAACTCGGCCTCGATCAGGGGTACGCCTCCGTCTGATTCTGAATCAGACATTGTGTTACTGGTGTTGGAATGAAGTGAATGTAGCACCTCGCAGTCGTGCAACAGAAAAAGTTCCAGAACTATCGGTTATCGATAAAGCATGCGCTAGCCTAATGGGGCTTGGCCCGGGCGGACGCTGGGGAAAGCGCGTCCGACCGACGCGTTACCGAATGCCTATCAACAAGCCCACTTCGCATCAAGAAACCCCCCTCCCCCACCACCACCACATCCATGGCTGACTCTGCGCGCAAGAAGCAACGCCTGTCGCCTGAGCACGACCTCATCAATACACCCAGCAACGATGCGCGAACGCCCATAACACCTTTCCGCCGTGCCATCAGTGCAGGCCCCACTCCAGGAAGCCGGAAGACGCCAACATTTCGAACGCCAGGGACTGGGAAAACTCCACGCGGTGGCCCAGCAACTCGACCCTTACCATTCAGGAGAGCGGCGCCCACGACACCCCATGCGATCAAGGCACTGAGAGAGCGTGCCAATGCTGCTAGGACACCCGGCAACAACCGTCGAAGAAGTGGGAGGATGCAGAGGGAGACTCCGCGTGATCTCTTGCGAGGGTTGAGTAGAGGTGGGATCCAATGACTTCTTAAAATCAGTGAAGCTAATCGGATCATAGCGCTTGCCCGCGATAGTCGACCAGTTCAGCCCTCGCCTCAAGTTCAAGCCAAGCCAACCCGGCATTCAGCGCTCGATCTTCCAGATGTAGAAGATGGCCCAGATCCTGCAGCGCCTCGACTGTCCATGGCCCTGGGTGACATGTATGACGACGACGACGAAAGTTACCACAGTGCCCCTCCACGCCAATCGCTTCTCCCTGACCTGCCAGACGATGTTGACGGAGGGACTGTACAATCTCTCGAATTTGGACGCCGAGCAGTCAGTGAAGATCCACGCCACATGTTTGGAGGTAGATATAGTGCGCACTTTGGGGATTTGAGCGAGCTGGGCGCCGTTGACGAAGAATTCGAAATCGACGGCACGTTCATAAACCAACGGCGAAATACAATACTGGACCAGCCTATTGATGAGGCCCTGGAGGAAGACGATACCACGACTCAGTTACGGGCTTTGACTGGTCGAAGGGATGGTCGTCCAAGTGACGTGGATCTAGGGATTTTTGGACGAGACGATGATGATACCGAAGAGCCGACTTTCCGATTCAACATACCGGAACGCATACGTGCACCGGCGAGAACACGGGAGCAGGAGGAGCAGGAGCAGGAGGAAGTTGGGCAAGACGCAGATAGTGAACCTCCAGGTCCACAAGACGAGAGTATGCAATACCTAGAGGATGACGAGCAGAATGAAGCTACCATGGCACTGAATGGCGACGATCCTACCGAACCAGGCGGAATGTTGGGTTGGGAGTCAGAGGATGCAGCAGAGGATGACGCAGCTCTTGCTGCATATCGAGAAGAGGCGTCTGCGGTAGACCGAAGCTTGGAAACGCAGTCACCCGAGCGTCCTGTTGCCGCGAAGCAAGGTGTGAGAGCACCGAAAGAAATGCGCATCTCGAAGCGCGGACTGGACTATCCATCATTTCCGACTGCAAATGTCAAGAAGCTTGCCGCGAGCTTCATGAAGTCTCAAGGGAGTAAGGCCCGATTGGCTCCTGATGCAATAGCTGAGCTGGTGAAGAACACGGACGATTTCTTCGAGCAGATTAGTATCGATCTTTCTGCGTACGCACAGCATGGTGGGCGCAAGATTATCGAAGAGAGCGATGTCATTGCGCTCATGAAACGGTATTTTACACCCTTTATTGTACAGACGTGTACAAGTATCTGCATTCCGGCTCACTGATCATTCATAGGACCCGTAAAACCACTGGCAATACTACGTCATTCTCACTGGCGCAGAAGATGCTTCCCAGAGAGCTGCTTCAGCAGCTACGGATGAAACCTCCCGTCAAACTCAAGGGACAGAAGCGGAGGCGGCTTGACAGTATACGAGAAGAGGAAGATGACTGAACAAAGTCGCAGCAATGCTTTTATGACCAATCGACGCTATGCCGGACTCTTCGTTGGATGCCAGAGATGGGCTTTTTGACCACCATCCAGAACATGACAGAAGTGGCCAAGCTTAGCGCGTACCTGTCTCTTGTGAGCTGGGCGCAGGCTGCGACTGCGCTGTGGGGGACATACCATGTGAAGATGTATTGTGTGTGATTATTCCGCAAATTCACCGTCGGCGGTCTGCCGATTGGTATTCCCTTTGGTTCGCGCTCATAGTTTGTGAGGAGATCCGGTACTGCGCTTTATTAGATACCCCGATTGTTACTCAATATCATCTCCAAGAACGTACCCATTGTCTCTTCCACCCAAATAGGTTGGCTCCCACTCCATTCCGCCATCTCTTCGACACTAGGGAAGAACCACTTCCCCTTCTCCGGCTCATTCTTCGGCGTAAACATGTTTCCCTTTGCTGGTATCCTGAGCAAGCCCTCAATCCTGACCTCGCCCTCTGGCAACGCGCCATTCTTCTTCCTAAACCACTGTGCCGCCGTATCCTTCTTGATCCATCCCCTGCAGCACAGAATCTTGTGTACATTTCCCCTCGCATCTTTGCGCTCCAACGGCGTAACCACCGTATACCCTTCCTCGCCATCCAGTATCCTCGGCCCAATCAACATCTCCTGATCATGCCGCAACACGCCCGTCGCATACACCCTCCTATAATCGAAACCCTTGGCCGCCTCCGGATCAATCCTCAGCGGCAGCTCCAGCGGCGGAAACGTCAACCGATCCTCAAACCGCGCTATGAGATCGGTTTTCCAGCCTAGACGCTGCACCTGCCAACACCCAAGTATGAAGGCGGTGGCGGGGATGGCGGCCAGGATGATGAGCCCGTAGCCGTGTTGCTTGCCCACTCGCGCCATTTTCGCGGGCCGGTCGAGGATGGAGACGAAGTTTGGGTCGAGGCCGGGGCCGCCGCCTACGGAGCGGCGCTGTTGGGGGTTGCGTTGTTGGAAGCGGGCGCGGAGGCATTGGGGACGGAGTGGGGAGCTGTTCGGACGCGTGAAGGGTGAGACATGTTGGGTGTAGTGGCGCCGGAGTAGGGTGAGGAAGGGATTCGGTTTCGACATGGTGGGGTTTGGTGGGGGTGTTGTGGTGAAATTGGGGGGAAAGTCGAGATGGGGGAATATCATGTCGAAGCTCGGGTTAGGGCTGAATGGGGTATAGTCCCTGCAAGTGTACATTGCGTGTGTCGACTATCTTGGTAGTTGCGAGCTCTTGATAACAGCACAACACAAATTACTACTCAAGATTGCGAACATGACGGAAGTTTTGTCATCTAACAACGAGATTGCGGGAGATGCTGGTGTTGCCAAAGGGCAGGATGGCCCACAGAAGGACATTCTGATCGAGGAACTGGACGAGTTGCTCGAACGATACCTCCACACGCTTGACGAATATCAAAGATTCAAAGACGAGCTTTCGAAACAGTTGTCTTCGGTGCGTTTTGTCAAGCTTCAGTTGGTCAATTGCCAAAGCTGACAAAAGATGTAGGGTTTCATGTCCTTGGCTCAAGCAAACTTCCACAACTCCTCCTCCGCAATCAGATATGGCCAGGACTGTTACGATGACCGTATGCAAGCTATCCGTAAAGTGTAGGTAATTTTGTTATTTTCATGCATGCTTATCCCAGTATCGGCTTCCTGTTTTGTCCGAATCCAACTAATATGCCCAGTCACATATCCGAAGGTTCGGATGATGACCCCAAAGCACATTTCTCCATCAAGTCACAGGATCTAGCAAGATCGGCAAATTCGTCTGAGAAGGATATTTCAGAGGAGCAAAAATCAGGTGACTTCTCACCAGACACAAATGAGGAATCTGCAGAAAAGCCAAGACAGGATACAGAAACTCCAAGTAACGGTAGTAGTGTGGAGCCACGGGATCCGCTGCGTTGGTTTGGCATCCTTGTTCCGCCTGCTCTGCGCACCGCACAATCTACATTTATTACGGCTGTCGAGGGACCCATTGCTCGAATAGCCACGGTCGCGATGGATTTGAGAAGCCAGGAGATTGAAATCGGGCGGATGAGGAAGCAGATCAAGAAGTTATCAGCATAGGGTACTTAACAGCATCGCGGTTTCTGGATCAGAGAGGAGGAGGAGGATCTCACGTTATCAACGATAAATTGTACTAAATTAATATTGCGGTCGACATCATATCTGTATAGGTCATGGCAAACATAGATCGTCTGACGCTGTTGCATGACTGTGTCGTGGTTGCATGGGCATGAAAGGTACAGCAGCAGCTTGATTCGATCCCAGTACATGCACAGGCAGTGGGTTAATGGCTGTTGGAACATGAAGATGTCTGACCACGTACACAAGCATGCGCGATGATTTCTATATAGTCAATATGGAGATGATTTATTCACATCTGACACAATTTGACTGGGTACATATCATATAGTAACGTATCGCTCAATCTGTTCTTGTCTTGAATATGCTATTGCAAGGTATGATTTCATGTTGAAGGATTGATATAGTCTCGTCTCACGAAATTTGCTGGAGCTTTACTATTGAGCAACGGACCTTGCCATATTATATACAGAATCGGTGAGTGGGTAGGTCTCTGCCTGCGTCGGACTTCCGAGCCTCGTCAACTTCCCCGCATACCTACGACAACCACAACTTACACTACTTTTGCGCCTGTGAACCCCCACAACCGGGACAGTTACCTATCAATCTTACAAGAAAAGACAAGGAAGTGAATTACACTGCCATGTCTGACGAAGATCTCGAGCAAATCAGGCGTGCGCGCCTACAACAGCTGCAACAGCAAGGTGGGGGAGGCGGCGGCGGCGGCGAAGGTTCAGAGCAAGAATCAAGACAGTAAGTAGCACCCAAATCCACATGATCGTAATCCGCTGAACGACTCGCAGGCAAAGAGAAAGTACGTTTCCCACTCGCGACAATATACAAAACACATAAACACAACCACTAACACGCCCCACCAGACGAACAGCGCAATTCCATCCTCTCCCAAATCCTCACACCCGATGCCGCCGATCGCCTGGGCAGAATACGCCTCGTCAAGGAATCGCGCGCAACCGACATCGAGAACCGCCTCATTATGCTTGCGCGCACGGGGCAGATCAGGCAAAAGGTCAGCGAAGACCAGTTGAAGGAGATTCTGGGAGCGGTCGCAGAGCAGAATGAGAAGGAGGAGCAGAAGATCGTTGTCAATCGCAGAGGAGGCAATTGGGATGACGATGATGAGTTGGAGGAGCTCATGAAGGACGTTTGAGGCCTGGAGGGTTGGAAGCGAGGGGGCTACTTGGGGGAGTGCATTGGAAGGCGTTTTTTTCGAAGGATAATGGCATGCGGAAATATTTCTTGGGACCGATATGATAGCGGTTAGGAGTAAGACAGCAATATGTGAGCAAGGTTATCCGCAGAAGATTGCATCATAGTGAGAGCTCAGTGCATGTGCTATTCGCATCTTGACATGCTATCACAATCCACAGACCCTCCTCCACTAGGCAATCATTCAAGCTCACACCCGCCCCCTCCCTATGCGCTGCCTATCACCTATTACTCGCCTATAAATATTACAAGGACGTCTAAATATTGAATCCAGCGGGAGTCAGGAACATACCAAGCAACTAAAACCGGAAGTCCAAAAGGCTTTGGAAGGCTTAGTGTGTCTTGGGCTATTTTCCACCTGGCGGCTGCTTTTGCAGAATTTGGGGTCCATAACATCGTAACAATCCAGTTGGGTTCGTTGGCTCGGGTTGGCTGTATATCTTGAGTCTGCGTTTGGGGGCTTTATTGGAGATGAGATGGCTTTCAATTGTATCATTTCTATTTTTTATCAAGCGTGCGGTTATATTTCTAGTATTGCAGCGACCGCCATGGCAGACTGTTCCACTTAGTTCACCACCACCCGAGGCCTTGGCGTCAATCGGTTGCCGTGACGGAAGAGATTATCAGGATCATACTTGTGCTTCAGCTCTTCAAGTCGCTTGACATTTGCACCGAACAAGTTCTTGGGGTCAGCATCGACAGCTGAAAAGAGTCAGCATTTCATTCAAGGTGGTACCGAGAGTCGAACAGGAGTACTCACGTGCGTAATTGCTGTACAGCCCCACACCGCTCTTCTCTTTCTGTGTACCGTTGAGAGATTTTTCTGTCGCCTTTGCGAGCATCTCGCGCGAAAAAGTGCGGACTTCGGCGTCGAAGGCTGGGTCGAACCTGGCTTGGTGTTAGTCCTATTGATGCTACTTGATGTCACAATTTGTGATGGTGAGATACTGACCACTTGACCATGGAGGAGACATTGTAGTACTCCCCACGATTCGAAAATGACATCTCTTCGTTTGAAATCTCCATGACCTTCTTATACGGCATCATCTCGAGCAACAACATGCTGGAATTCATTCCCTCATGGGACATGGCGAAATCAGTGAAATCAGTATGAAGCTGCTTCACAAAGTTGAACTGCAGAGGAGCCTTGAAAACGCCACCACCAAACTGTTTGCGTCCGTCAAAACCTGCCCCGTCGTTCAGTAAGGAGTTCAACTTCTTGTAGGGAATCATGGAAGTGTGATTGGCGATTGGGCCGAGCTTGAATAGATCGCCGTAGAACGCTTTGCCCTCCTCCTCAGTGCCGTTGCAGAATAATACCGTCATGATAACGGGAACATTTGCGGGAGGGGGAGCAGAGAAGCCTATTATCATGGCTTGATCGCCATTATTGGTGGCGTGGAATTTGTTTGCAAACTCGACAATTTGCGGGAGCTTCTCTGTGGGAAAGACCAATGGACCTGCAAAGACGGGGTTCTTCTGGTCGTGGCCCTGGAATGTGAAGGCTGTAGTGACGCCGAAGTTTTGTCCGGCACCGCGAATAGCCCAGAAGAGGTCCGGGTGCGAAGTCGCAGAGGCGACGACTTGCTCGCCAGATGCAAGAACTACATTGGCAGAGACGAGGTTGTCTTGATCATGTTAGTCAATGGTCTTTGCCATACATATGATTTGCGCTAGGATCAAGCTTACCAATAGTCAATCCATACCTGCCACTGAGGTACCCATATCCGCCACCCAAAGTAAGACCTCCCACTCCAGTGTGGTTGACCGTTCCACCAACTGCGGCAAGATCATACTTCGCAGCTTCAAAGTCGACATCTTCCCAGATGGTACCGCCCTCAGCTGTGACTGTCTTGGTCTGCGGGTCTACGGTAACCTTGCGCATGCTCGACAGGTCAATGACGATTCCATCCTCAATTGAAGCAGCTCCTGATGTGGAGTGACCCCCGCCACGAACTGTAAAAGGGATGTTGTGAGCTCGTATCTGGGCAAGAGTTGCAGAAACGTCGTCAGCAGACTTGACTTTGACTACCGCTGCCTGTACGCTGATTAGAACGATCTTGATGATGTTATCCACTCAATGGTTGTTCCATACCGCTCTTTTGATACAGTGCTCACTCCATCTTACGAGACTCGACTCGTAAGCTTGGCCGTCGTCTGGCGTCAGTACTTCGGCAGTTGTGTTGCCCAACAACTTCTTGAGCGAGCTGTAGTCAAAGGCGGTAGCAGATCCCATGGTGAATACTGGTAGTCTGATCGTTTCTGTAGGTTCGGATTGTTACAGTCTATATACCAACAATCCCGTGCCTTATATAGGGAATTTGATGGCCTATCTGACAAGCTTGCTTATATACCTCTCATCAAGGCTCGGATCCTTAGGTACCCGGAAGGACATTGAGTTTAGTAATTCGCATGGGCACACCCGATGTGCTTGGTACTATGTTAAGTGGGGTTGCTTCTCCATGTCTCTAATAGGTCAACCCACGCTACCAAGCCGTCCCCCACATGTCACCGCAGGAGGCAGCATCCGATCCGACGAAGTTGATCTTCGTTGTCTGGAAATCGCAAGCATGGGCTGCGTGATAGCCATCTTTCTGTTAAGCATGTAGGACAGCGACAGCCATCACTACCAGTGGTGGGGCCACCTTGTAGATCACCGAGATTCACACGTCTCAAGCCAAACGGAAGATTCATGGGTATTTCGACTATTAAATACAACGTAAGTATAAAATCTGTACTATATGCATAGTATAATACGCGTTTCAATGGTAGAGAAGAGGTTCTGGCCATGGACGATAGACTGTGGTATTAGACGACTTGTGATTGGATGGAAGCGTCGCCCAATAAGGCCCAGTCGAGACCCTGGCAGTGAAGACGCGGCGACTTTTGTCTTCTCCGCGCACGCCTTGCTGAAGAGTGCGACCAGCGACAGTGTATGATTGTGCCAGTATGTTGAAGGCGAGAAGTGTGCAGTCGATTTGTGCACCATGTCGTCTCAACATTGCTATTTCGCGTGCGCGTAATGCACGATTACCAGCACAGGCACAACTCGCCTCGCCGCACCTTCGATCGACTGCCTTGAGCATATCAGCCGCGAGAAGAGATTTCTCTACAACTCCCTTACGAAGACAAACAAGCCAGGAGAATGTGACAATTTCTGAGGATGCACCACCCACGTCAGCCGAAGGTCTGACTCATGAAGTCAACGCACGCAGAGCGAGACAACGATTTGGCGACTCACTCCCAAGGGACCACTTGACTGAGGAGGAATATGTGGTCTATCAGAGACTTTATGGGACTCCGCTGTTTGTGGAAACTGTGGAAGAGCTCGAGGAGCCTGACGCCATTGCTGAAGAAGACATCATTGAGGAAGAATTGCCTGATGGAACCACAGTTCTCTTGAGGAGGGGCAAGGATGGAGAACTAGAGGAGGTTGAGATCGACGACGAATTTGAGGAAACCGAAGCGAATGAGGAGGTTGATGAAGAACAGAAGACGAGGACACCCGAAGAATGGGAGGCATACAGGGAAGAAAAATTGAAAGCATATCACGACGAGGTCTACGAAAGGAGTCAAATGCAAAAAGAAGAAGCGGAGGAGTGGGAGGATATCGATGAAGCACAAGAGGAGGACGACTTTGTGCGCGCCCATCCATTGACCATCGCAGGTCGCTTCAAGCCATCTCCTTCGACGGTGTTCCTTCCTAAAGAAGCCCTCGTAGACCCAACAGCGCTCCTCCTAACGCGCGCGAACCACAAACACTTAGCGGAGTCTGCCAATCGCATATTCGGTGGATCAGGTCTTCCACAGTCTTCGAGCACGCCGCCAGCGCGTTTGGGCAAGCCACAGAAGCCAATACCACTTGACCCTTCGCAAAATGACATGGGACACATCGAAGCAGACGTATACATGGCAGCTGTACAACCAGGCACATATGCTAGTGTGATGAGCGCCTTGGTCGAGGTACGGCGCCGACTGGGGTCTTCGTGGCTGGAGCACATGTTGCATGCCAGGAAGGGTGGCACAATCCTCGACGCTGGATCTGGAGGCGTGGGTGTTCTTGCATGGCATGAGATGCTGCAAGCAGAATGGCAGCGCATGCATGAAGACTCGGGTAATACATCGCATGGCTCTGCCCCACTCGGGAAAGCCACTGTTCTGGCAGCTTCAGACACTCTCCGACATCGTGCGAGTCGCTTGCTCGATAACACCACGTTCATTCCACGGCTACCGGAAACAGTGACCGCGCACGATGCAGCGAATACCCAGCAGCCACGAAAGTACTATGATATGATTCTCGCGCCGCATACCCTTTGGCCTCTCAGACAAGAGTACCTTCGCAAAGAGCAGGTCGAAAAGTACTGGTCCCTTCTAAATCCCAAAGGTGGTGTTCTCATACTCATCGAGAAGGGCCTCCCAAGGGGCTTTGAAGTTGTAGCTGGTGCCCGTGCCTTTCTTCTCAACAAGCACATTTCTTCGCCCAATTCAGAATCACTTGAAGCATCAGTAGACTCCCAAGTCTCGAAACCTGAGGAAGACACGAGATTCACGGAGAAGGAGACCGGAATGATTATCGCACCCTGCACAAATCACAGTACCTGTCCAATGTACCAGAACACTGGCATCAGCCATGGCAGGAAAGACTTTTGTTTCTTCAATCAACGCTACATACGGCCTCCCTACCTCCAACGCATCCTCAACGCTAAAGACAGGAACCACGAAGACGTCCAATTCAGCTATCTAGCCGTGCAACGCGGCCGCGACCAACGCCAACCCCTCCACGACATCATCGGAAAAGGTTTCTCGCAGTCCGAAGCCACCACCGCCGCGGCTTTCGAAGGCCATGAATGGACCACCAACCCCACCACCAACGATCCGGCTCTCGACACCGAAGAACCCACACCAACATCCCCCAACGATGTAAACCCCCTCACACTCCCCCGCCTCATCCTACCAGCACTCAAACGCCGCGGCCACATCATCCTCGACGTTTGCACCCCCGCCGGCACCCTCGAGCGCTGGACCGTGCCCCGCTCCTTCTCCAAACAGGCATTCCGCGACGCCCGCAAGGCCCGCTGGGGCGATTTGTGGGCACTTGGCGCAAAGACGCGCATCCCGCGCAACGTGCGACTCGGCCGTCCCAACGACGAGTTTGACAAGAAGGGTCGCAAGGTCAAGAAGGCGAAGCAGGTTACTATTGAACTGGGAATTGGGGAGAAAGATGGACAGGTTGTTGAGGAAGGCGAGGCCAGGCTGTTGGGTAAAGGCGGGAGAATGTTGGTGGGGGATCGCGATGGGAGGTATACTAGTGATCGGAGGATTAGGGGGAGTGGGGGCAGGAAGGGGAGGAAGAAGAGGCTTGATCGGGACTATTTGGAGGATATGGATTGATCGCGGTGGTGAGAGGGATAGGTGTATTCTATGTATGAACAGTAGCATTAGGATGGCGTTTGAGAGAAGTCCACTCTTGGGAGAAGGGACTCCCAGCTCAATTTATGAATTATGCCGACTTTGTAACGAATTCAGAGCGTTCCGACTAGTAATACCTTGTACGCTAATTAATACATTTCCAAGTGACTTTTGACTTGCCCACTGACAGTATCACAAAGGGTATGCGCAGAAGAGTAAGGGTGAAATATAAGATGTATCATTACTACTCATCTAATAGCCCTTAGGTGTCAATGGCTCAAGTATACTTAGGAGTGGGTACAGACACAGCATTTGATCAACATCAACTCATCTTCCATACATCACCTCTCTCGCTTCACCCCTTTCCCCACCCCCACCCCCATCTCCCCTTGGACGGAACCCCCTGTACTGTCTTTGCCTCACCCTTCCCTGCCTGCTGTCCATGATCTGCGATTGCCCCTTGCCCTCCACTCTGTGTCCCTCCAGACTCTGCCTGTCCCTTTCCCCTTCCAAGGCTACTCGGTGTTCTCTTCGCTGGTGCTGGTGCTCTCTGCCCTCCAAACGAATTTTTGTCTCCGATTCGTGCCCGGGGCCACAGGATCGGATCATTGGACTCGGACTTATCACTTCCAGCTGATGGGTGATGCGGAAGTGCGGCTTTCTTTGACTGTCTGGTTGATTTTGCGAGCTCATCTCCTGTCCTCTCGTTCTTCTGTGATCCAGATCCGGACTTTGCTGCTGGCGAGTTCGTTGCACTTTGTCGCGGCTTTGAATTGGAAGATCGTGCTCCTTCTGCCCTCGAATCTGCCGCTCGCGAGATTGGTGCTGCCGTTGTCGCTGACGATCTTCGATCAGCTGTCTTTCTTGTGCTGTCATTGACTGTCGATGTTCGAGATGGCGCTGTTGTCGTTCGTAAAGGTATTGTTCGCGAGGGAGGTGAGCGTCCCTGGGTGCTTGCATCTGTATTTGACGATCTACGCTGTTCTCTCGATGTTGCAAGCGCAGTTGATGGTCGTCTCGTTCCTGGTGAGGAGTCTTTTCGCGCTGTTTGGAGATGCTTTCCAGCTTCTGAGGCTCGTCTTGCAGTCGTATGACGGGTGAGTGCCCGCGGGAGAGACTTCTCTTGCTCCGAATTCGTTGTTGAGGATCGCCTTCTGTTTGTCTGGCTTTGTGTTGATGCACGTCTGCTTGTGGTTGAGATGGACTGGGCGCTCTCTCTCGGGACACCCGTTCCGGCTGTTGACGGTCGCCATTGGATCTCAAGGGATGGGCTACCATTAGCCTCGTCGACACTGTCGCTGACGGGAGTTTTTCCTTCTTGCGATGACTGTGCGAAATTGTCATTCCCATAAACTTTCTGTGAGCTTGCTTTTGCGGTAGTATTTGGGCTGCTTGGTTCGTTGCCTCGTATAGGTGATTGGCGTTTTTGCTCTGGTTCTTCCTGTTCTGGCGCTTGTGTTTGCGGGTTTTGAACAGGGACCCCAGAGATCTTCGACGATCTGCGGCTGGCAATTGTTCTCTGTGCTTTTTCACGGGTTGCTCTCCCTTCCAATTGCTGCTCTTCTTGTTGCGGAAACTGAGAAAGTTCCTTTTCCGCGGTGGGCGTTTGCCTGTCCCTTGTTTTTGTTGCTTCTTTCCCCGCCACCACTTCGTCTTCCGACGTGCCGCCACGGGCATCTCGGCGGGCAGTCCCATTGAAATCCTCTTCCTGCGGAGACGTTTGCGTGAAAGAGGGTTCCTGGTGATCCTGCGGCCTACGTTGAGATGAAGCCGCTTTGGAACGAGGAGCGGCTCTCTCTTGGTCACCAGAGACTTGTTGCTGTCGATGTTGACGGCGAATGGGTTCCGGCGTTTGGCGACGAAGGGGCTGCTGGCGAGGATTGTTGCGATAGGATGTAGCTCCTGACTGAGCTTGTGGGTAGTGTCTACGTGGTGGACCGTAGTTGGGTGTCGGATGATCTCTGGGAGCTGGGGCCGGGTAATCTCTACGAGCGGGAGCTTGAGCTTGGGAGTACTGAGGCTGGACGTCTCGACGGATGGGTACCGGTTGAGGTCGTGGCTGATTGTTTCTGTGGTCACGTATGATCGGTTTGAGACGGGGGTAATAGTCATCCTTCCGAGCATAGATCGGGGCTTCACGGGCTGGATGATCGTCTCTTCTGATTGGGATTCGGGCTGAGTGATCATCTCTTCTGACTGGAATTGGGGCGGGTGTTCGGTGATATATTTTGTTTGCAGGTCGGTTCGGATAACCTCTTGGCCTTTGTAGCGTTCCCCCAGGAGGCCCTGGTACCGGTCCTGGTGCCGCATGTCGAAAGGGCTCGACTGACTCTCGGTCAGGATGTGGCTCAGGTGGACGCTGGACTGGCTTGCCTGTTGCCTTGGGTCTGATCCCTAAAAAGCGGCGCTTTCTTGGTTGATCTTCAGCTCTTGGCTTTGGAGGAGAGGTTTGGGTGTCAGGTCTCGTCCATGACGGCGTCTCGCGATGAGGGTAGGCAGGCGCGGGGGGATATTGATGTTCAGGCGGGTAGTTTGCCACCCTCTTGGACTTATGCGCAGGAGGCGTAGGCTTAATAGGACTTGGTAGTCCTTCTGGAGCTGGTGCTACGATGCCGGGAGCCGCACTGCTTCGTCGGCGATCTCTCTCGCGGGGCACGGTAAGAACTCTGGGGACGCGCTCATCCACTTGAGGGTCGATTCGTATCCTTTGACGATCTGTTCGAGGTGGCTCTGTGACTGGTGTTTCTACCTCTTTCCTTGCTAACGAATGTGCGAAAGATTCGGGATCGCGCGAAAGATCAGCTGTAGGAGCTCTGTCAACACGGCCAGGCTCTTCTTCCGGTATTTCCTCGACGGCGATTATGGATCGCTGCTCGGGATGAGAAGACGTGATAGTTTGCTGCCGTGGAGGTGTAGGAGGTGGAGATGGTGGGTAATCAGCTACTGGTCTATGGACAGTGGTTGTTCTCCGAACCGCAGGTAAAGGCTCATCAGACAAATGATCTGGAGATTGCACGAGCGCACCACGATACACGTCGTAAGCAGCAAGAGGATCCCCCAAAGATGATGAACGAATCGGATGTTCCTCGCTATCAAGTTCTGGAGTCTTTTCGATTTCACTGTCGGAGTCCAAAGCGCTCTGTACGGGATACTGTGTGGATGCTATTGGTACCCTGGTTGGCTGACGAGAGGTGCGGGTCGATTCAAGCCGAACACTTGCTTCTTGGTCATCTTCAATGTATGTCGGTCGCTTGGTAGGAACCCGTGTCGGGTTTCTTGTCACCTTCACGCGATCTTCATCTACAAATGCTCGACTCGACTCGGTGACTCTGGCGTCCGAATCGATTTTGGACTCTGAACTTGTTTCAGCCAATGTGCCCACCGTGGTTAATTTAGATGGGCTCCCTACGCGAAAGGTAGTAGTTCTTGACGACTGCGTGGGTTGCCTTGACGGTACTTCCGTCGGTAGATCATCCCTCACCGTGGATTTTCGCGATATCTGAGTAGGCTGACGCGAAGCTTTTCTTGTCGCTGGAGCTGGCGATTCTTCGGCTGGCGACTCCTCAACTAGTGACTCTCCAACATCCGGTGAAGGTACTCGCCCACTGATCGTGGGCAATTGTGACCCTACCGTTAGTCGCCGCGTGGGCTGACGTGTCGGATGTCGTGAAAGCGCGGTAGTCTTGCGAGATAATGCCGTCGGTGGAAGCTTTTCTTCCAAAACAGCAGCTTCTGTAGACCAGGTGCTCTTCCGGGAGGGTATATTGGGGCGGCTCATCTCCGAATGCTGAGTCGGCAGTCGGCGTATCGTACTGGGCTCTACTTCATGTGCTGGATCAGATTCACTTCCAGAAGACACGAGTGCTTCTTCGAATCCCCCGGGTTCGTCTAATTGAGTCTCTTGCGTCAAAGTTTGACGAGGCGACTCAAAAGCAATAGATGTTGGCGCTTTCGCGATTGTCGACCGACGAGATACAGGCTGTGGTTCTGAAGCGACGGGGTTCTCGGGCTCGCTAGGTAGAGCGGTACGCAAGGTATTCACTCGTCGAATAGACTTCGTTCTGGAAACAGGCTCTTCTGGCTCCGACTCAAGTTCTGAGTGGGCCGAAACACTTTCGACATATGTCGAGAGTTTAGTCGCGTTCCGCGGTAGAGGTTGTTGTGTAGTAGCGGTAGACTCGCGCCTCGTATTGATTCGTGATGGCCCCTGCAGCAAAGTGGCTGATCTGTCTGTCGTCGTCATCTGACGTTCGCGAACAGAGGGGGCTCGGCTTGACATAGGCTGAGTTTCGAAGCTATTGCTGCTTGATGAAAGGGCCACTTCACCTTCAGAAGAGGCGCGTTGGTCAATCTGAATCAGTGTAGATTGACGAGTCGGAACGCCGGCTACAGTAGTCTGTCTGCTCGTTGTGACAGGCGTTTCCAGAATATCTAAATCTTGTGGCATGGTTTTCTGCCTAGTCGTCTGACGGGTTATAAGTCCGGGCTCCACGACGACTGGCTCGGTAGGCTTTCTGGTTGGCTTCCTGCCAACACTAGTCGGTTGTCTTGTTAGCTGTCTGGAAAGTGTAGGTTGGTGCTCATCAGCCAAGTTGTCTCCATCTTGTAGAGATGGTTCTGACAGGGAGTATGTCGAAGAGTGTCTGGAAAGCGACGGTGGTCTTGGGACGGTTGACTCCCTGGAGATAGGAAGTGGAATAGTATTGCCTTGAGCCAATCGTCTAGTAGGGTGGCGTGATATAGTTGAATACAGCTCTACTTCAGGCTCTTCAACATTGCGCTGTCCTAGTTCGAACATATCCGAAGCAGTTGTTCTTCGAGATGGAGCTTCAAGATTGTGCATAGTTGACTGCCTTGATATTGGCAGCGGTGTTGACTCCGGCTCCGTTGTCTTTCTTGTAGGTCGCCTCGAAACCTGCTCCGTACCAACTCGTTCCAGTGTAGAAGGACTTAGGGTAATGACCCTAGTAGCTAGGCGTGGAGGTATGTCGATAGTTGTAGGATCTGACATGATCGTTGCTCTTCTGGAGGAGACATTCAGAGCGTCTTCGAAAGTCGTCCGTCGCGCAGCAATTGTAGACTGCCTTGTAGGGCTTGCGATAAGTCCTGTCATCGATGGTGACGGTCGAAAGCTGGATTTGTGCGAAGAAAGTACTGGCTGCGGATTGGTTTCCTCAAATGGAGGCTCATACACCGTAGTCGGCCGTCGTACCATTTGACCTGAAAACCCAGAATCTTCGGCTTGGGGGATCATCTCGGTTACAGGTGATAAAGATCCTTCAGATGGATTCGACAAACTGGACTCAAAGGGTGTAAGCTGGTCTGTCTGGACAAAAGATTGTCTTGCAGCAGGTTGACGAGGCGTTGAATCTGTGCGCCTCGGTAGGCTCTTAGGCGCCATACTCTGCGCTCTAGACACAATGCCTGTTGCTCGAGTCGCAGGTACAGGTGGCTTTACTTCATGCATGACATCCGGCTGCCTCTCCCGCGTAGTGTCCACGCGAGATGGCAAAAGCATCTCAGCCTCAGTCGAAGGCGAAGACGGTGGTGCAGGAGGATCTTCTAAGGATTCAGATTGTTGACGTGTCAACATTCTTGTGGTGACACCTGTGAAGGGTGGAATAAATGCTGTCCCTCTTCTCGTCACGATCTCGGCTTCAATTTCTGGTGATGGTGGAGGAGGTTGTGTGGTTGTCCTTCGCACCCACATCACAGGAGCCTCGAAGTCTTCCTCTGGAGTTTCTATGACCAATTCGGCAGTCGACTTGCGTGTCATTTGGCGCGTAGGCTGACGAGTCGTAGCGCGTAGCAGAGGTAATTCTTCGACGGGCTCTTCTCTTAGTGATGGTGACCTAAGCGTTGGCCTACGGCTCTCTCTAGCCAGAGACCTAGCTGCGATCAAGCGAGGAGGATCAGATTCACTCTCAGCCTCAGGTATAGTCGTTTTCCGATTGGGCTGAGCGATCGAGCTTGTCATATTCATTAAAGGAATCTCCGAATCAGTTTCTGGAAGGCTAAGGTTGCCAGTCGCCCGCCGAGTATTCCTTCTAGAGCTCCCTGCTAGACCAAATGTCTCCGTGGGAGCACGGCTCTGGACCGAGGTCATGATTGAGAGCGATTCGTCAGGTTCAACTTGTGGATGTACGTTAGTACTAGTTGTTGAACTGTTAACGCGCTCTACAGGGAGTTCAAAATTGGCCTCTTCGTCGATAATGGACACAGGCTCATCACTGTCTTCCCGCCATGGCAAATCGGGCTCAATAGTAGGCTTCCTTGACGGCACAGAAGCTTTCCTTGGCGAGTTGACTAATAGAGAATGGACAGATTCCAGTCGTGTATCGACATTGGTACTGGTCATTGACCTGCGAATATTCTCAACAGGAACTTCGAACTCCTCTTCTTCTTCCATTTCGTCGATGATTGACACAGGCTCATCACGATCTTCCTGCCATGGCAAGTCAAGCTCGATGGTAGGCTTTCTGGATGGCATAGAAGCTATTCTTGACGGCTTGCGATGGCTAAATTCCATTTCAGGTGAACTTGATATGGGCGGTGTTGCAGCACGAAAAGTTGCGTTACGTACTGGCGAGGCGATGACTGACGTTCTTCTCCTTGTTGGCTGTCGTACTGCAATATCAAACCCCATATTGGCAAGCTCTTGCGGTACATCATTGATGGGTTGCCCAACTTCGTTCGGATCCTGTGAAACGAAAGAGAACGTCCGCTCTGGTTGCATGTGAGGTTGTGCAGATTTGATAGTAGACGTGCGACGATCACTGCCGTGTTCGATGATGGGCGGAGTTTCAGGCTGAAGCAAGTTCTCAGTTTCTTCGCGGTCGAACCGTTCGGCATGGACACTTTCTTCGCTGTTAGACTGCTCGCGAAATGTAGACCTCCTTGATGACGACAATGTCAATCTCCTGGTCACCGCTGACTGGATAGGGGAGTATCCAGCATCTTCTATGACATCCTCAGCAACCATCGTATGCACTGTTGGCCAGTTCTTGGTGCCAGTGGAAGAAAATTTGCGCTCAAGAGGCGTAACAAAGTCATCTTGCTCAATCTCAGGTGAGGCAGTCCTCGACGTCTCCCTTCTGAGCCGGCGCTCAAGGTCGGCGATTCGATTCTGTAGTTCATTGATAGGCTCTGTGTATGCACGACGTGGCGGACTTTCAGCGTAGTCCTCGTACGGCTCGTGCTCGAAAAGTTCATACTGTTGCTGTGGATCTGTATAGTATCGCGGTTCGTATCGTTCCTCGTATTGTGGTTGCTCCTCCAATTCATCGGCGGACTCGAAGTCCAAAGCTGGTAAGGTCTCCAATACGGTAGTGATTGAGTCAATAGCGGCAGGTAGTTCGGTTTGGGCAACTACCAGCCACTCCTGTATTTCTTCAGGTGGAATCTCGCCAATTTCCTGCATGTTCTGAGTGATTGCCGACATGCGTCTTGACTGTGTTGATATACGTGTGAGGACACGACTCAGTCGTCTTTCGTCAAGATGTTGATCGATCATCTTGGGTATTTCTTCGGCCACAGAGTCGACAGACTTATTCCTGAGGCGTGTAGATCTCCTGGATATTCCAGTTTTAACTTTGCTGAGTACCCTCTGCACATGGTCGACCTCCGACTCAGAAGCATGCCTATCCTCAAGTTGGACACCTAGGTCATCGGCAATCGAGTCGAGCTCATCCATCAGTTGCGTCCGTGCTTCTGAGAGCTCGGTCAGATGCCTACGAGTTTGTTGCAACCAAGGATCCTCTGAAGGCCGATCTTCTTCGGTGAGTCTCTGTTCTATATCCTCTAAAGGGTATGCATGTTGTGACGAGACGGAAGCGCGAGGTGTCTTTTCGTAAGGTGCATCTTGGAATAGCTCATCGTCCTTTGCAGTTGGTCGTCTGTCCAGATCAAGACCTAAATCATCTGCAGCGGAGTTGACCAGGTTGACCAGCTCAGGTACTGAATTAACCGACTCGTGGAGACTGGCACGAGAATCATTGACATTGGGTACAATCTGGCCAGGGGAGCCTACATTGAGCTTCTCGACAGCTTTTGGCGGGACATATGGACATGGTGGCATCCATTCACATGTCTGAGGCTTACCCACCGGTTCGCATATCTGCTGACATGCCGCTTGCTGGGTACACTGGGGACGACAAGCTGTGTGGCGGGGATTCGTGCAAATACCAGTTGCTTGGCTGCGTTGAACAAGGTCCTGGGAAACCCTCCGGAGCTGTATAAGGCTGGGTTGACTGTGCTTGATATTATTGATGACGCCTTGCAAAGTGCTCGCATGCTCTTCGAGAATGGAATCAATTATTAGTCCCAGATCCTTGGCGAACGTGTCTGCGCATTTGTCACTTTGTATGCACTCAGAATGATGTCTGCGACGCCTTGGAGTTCGGGCGGTAGAGCTTCCTAACGGTTTCAAAGATGACGATATAGAATTTGAGGAATCAGTAGCCGCCTGCTTACTATTGCGGCGAGACTGGGTCTGTTGCGGTTTGGCTGATGATGAAGATATGACTGAGCATTGCTGACAGCGTTTCTTGGTCGCAAGCTCAGGAACTTCGCCTTTGCTCATATACGAGAAGTGTCCGCAAATGCGCTTGACCCAATTGCTGGGGTCTTGCGGTGGGTTGTAAAGTCGAACGGTACGTCGTGGTTTGATACGAGCACCTGGATAACCAAAGTCTTGTGTCTTGCGCCGACCATATGCTCCTCGCGAGTCCACGTGGTCAGGAACCTCGATAGTATCGTAATCATCTTGTACGGCGACATCAGCCGTAGGCGTTGGTCCAGAGTCGGTACTGTGCTGGGACAAGCTGTACACAGAACCTGATCCGTCATGGCTGAGACCTCTTGCTGCAATGGCTTCCACCTTTGCACGAACGTCACTGGACCTGCCTGCGTCCGGTTGATATGCACTCGTATCTGTTGCTGATGACTTTGAGCATCTACGCCTGGAATTCCGCACATTCTGATCATTTGTAATGTTCATGTCCGCCAGAGGAGCACTGCGTGAGCTTTGCCGCCGAAGCCGCTGAGAGGAAAGGACGTCACCTTCCCCAACAGCACAAGAGCTATCGTGTACGATCCGTGAACGTCGAGGCTGCCGCGGCGTCCCTGGTTCCCTTGTTTCTCCCAACGCTTCTAGGTCGCCAATAGACGGGGACCGTCCTGCGTGATGTCGCTTGACAGTCTCTTCGGAACTTTGGCGCGGCTCTGACCGATGTGAATGGTCCCTGATGGCGGGCGTCCCCGGGTCATTGGCATAGTTTTGTTCTGAAGATAGTGCAACATCGCGCGGAACACTGACAAATATGTTCGTTGACCGTCTATGACCCGTTGCTCCTACATATTCATCATCGGCTTCTGCCTGTTCATCTTCAAAAGGAGGATTGGCCGAGATCGTAGTAGCTCTCCTTACAATGACGTCTGGGTGGGATTTGCCAGCTTTCACTGGTTTTGCAGTGCCGGCCGGCTGGGATGTCTTGGCCTGCTCAGTCCTATGTGGGCTCGATGGCCGCAAGGAAGAGTCTGAGGTTCGCCTTTTCAAGACTCGTGCTTTGGTTGGACTGAGAGGGCGTGCGAGGTGATCTCTAGAGCGCACAGAGGACTGTGGGTTTCTTAATATTTCACTTGACGCTATTATGGCTGCTGAAGCAGGCGGAAGAGGAGGAGCTGATCCGCTTTGAGAAGCTTTGGATTCGAAAAAGTTTTTGGCAGCTTGTACCGACACCGATTTCGGGGCTTGTCTAGATGGAAACTCTGGCGGTTGAGGATTCGAAGCAATGCTTGTTCGCTCTGGCTTAAACGACGTTGGCCGTGCACCGTCTGGAACTGCGCCAGATCCACGCAGCGTACCTGGGACATCGGTACCAATCTGAGGAGGGCCAACTGATTTTCGTCCAGTGGCATCCGGTTCCCGGTATGGATGTTCAATGTTTGCCAAAACTTGGCCGTACGGGTTCTTCCCCTGAAGATAGGCAGGAGGCTTCCGTGATGTTCCAGACGTCGGGGGTCCACCCGCCGGGTGGGAGATGTCAGAGGGTCTCGGGTCAGTAGGCTTACGTGGCGATTGTAGTTGCTTTGACTCGCCAGTAGGTTGTACTGTAGCTGAGATCCCGTAGCGACCTTGTCTTGTTCGTGTGGTTGACGATTGCGCAGGTTGTTCGCGAGATCCCGTGTCAGTCGTACGGGACGCGGAGCTTGACGTGGGTTGGTCAAAGCCACGGGGCATGGGTGATGCTGAAGTGGTGAATAGCACTGAGAGGAGGTATGCTACTGTGTGTGTGGTTGCGGAATGGTTATGTGGTAATAGTAGGGAATGAATAGGTTGAAGTTAAACGGGAGGCTATGTTAGGAATAAAGAATATACGAAGGTTAGGTCTGGTGGTGGATTTGAGTGCACTCAATTCCAAAGAGAAGAAGAAGAAGAGAACAGATGAACGAGGCAGAAAGGTAAGTGGATTGCAATGTCTAGTTTTGAGCCTGTGGAGCGCCTTCTACCCATTGTGTGCGGAAGGCACACATGCTCTTCACCTGATACTATACATACCACACGCTATTTACACAATCACTTCATGGCTGCCTGCAGGCTCTCGAGGACCTGTGGAAGTTAGTATTCTTTCTTCGTTTCCAACTTCGTAGTACCTGCCTCGAGCTCAATCTTGGCCTCGGCGATGTCAGCCTCGCTGCCGCTTCCGCTGGCAATTTTCTGTGCCTCGGCCATCTGGTTCTTGACAGCCTGTCGCATGGTTAATCACGGTTGCTTGCACTCTTTGTCGGTGATCATACTTCGGCGCTGAAGTCCTCAATTGGGTATCCCTCCACGGCATTGATGCTCAGGACGGAGTTGGGCTGCACAACGGCGAATCCACCAGAGAGGAAGAACTGCTTGCTACCACCCTGCTCCTCAATGACCTCGACTAGGCCAGGCTTCAACTGCTCAATGGAGGGAACATGGCTTGCCAACACACCCATGTCGCCAGTTTCCGCGGGAAGGTTCACCTGAACACTGTACGAGGTCCCATGTCAGTTATAGCGCATTCACTCCTACGGAATCGGTCGGACTAGCGGGGGAACGTACACATCCTGTGACTTGTAGATGGACTGTTTTTTTGTTGTCAGCCTTTTGTCTTCTTATACCCCCAAATCTACCCGCGCCTGTCCAGATAGCGTCGCAAGTCCTGGGTGTTGCGTACCTGATGCGGAAGGGCCAGAGTGAGCTTGATCTTGTCTGAGGCGACCTCGGCGTATCCTCTGCGCTGGAAGGGGCGGGCAATGGCGGTGGGCCTCGCGCGGAGGGCGGCTCTGGCGATGCGGAGGGAGCTCATGATGGACAGAGTGGTGGGGGAGATGCAATTGCTGGTCTGTTTGGAGTTGCTGGTCAATCTGTGAGGGCCCAAGTTCTGCGCTTGGCACACTAGCCGACATCCATGCCGTTGCGGTCCCAGTTAGCGCAGTACCCGGATAGTGCTTCAAGGTGGTCTGTAGACATATTCATTCAACACCGCCATTGGGCAAGACTGGGATACGATACGGAGTATTTCAGCAAAGAGCAAAGTAGAAGAATTTTAGAAACTGCATCTGTTCGCTCAAGGGTATCGAAACAACAAAACGCCAAGCCCGATCGTTCAACCACCATGGCTACGGTACTTCTGCCCCCCATTCACGCGTTTCCGACTTGCTTTGGGTCAAAGTACACCATTGTAGCAAAATTAATCGTCGTAAAGCTGCTGGGGCGCTGCCATGGACATTCGCAGTTGCCTTTCCCTTTGTTTCGCTTGCATCTCCAGAGTCTCCACGGCATAGCTTAGTCTGTCCTTTTTCGCCCGCAGTGCCTTCATTCTTAGTTGTTGCTGAGCGCTCATGCTCTTTGCACCAGCAGGTCTCTGTGCATTCCTGCTGCTTGGCCGGGATGATGAAGCACCCATACTGTCACGTCCCAGCCGGCCATCGTTGAGGTCGCACTTGGCCATCAAGGACTGTTCGCGTCGCTCGAGCTTGTCCAAGTAGTTCTCTACGCGTTTGAGGAGGTTGTCAACTTCAGGTCGGATCTCGGAAAGGAGCGCGGATTGGGCGGTTTGCAAGTCGGATTCAGAGATGAGCTCGAAGTGCTGCAGAGCCAATTAGACAAATGCGAACAAGTCAGGTCTTGCTTGAGAAGCCTACCCGTGTCGTCTGGAGTACTTTTCCCAGTCGAGGCAGGTCGCTTACACCCTCGTCCAAGATGGTGATGGAAGAGTCAAGCAATTGCATACTGTTGCGCAGGGAGGCTACGCATCCTTCTAGCGGTGAACCCATTGCTGGGCAGAATGCTCCTTTACAACTCGTTGATTGCGACTTGATAGTAGGTAGAGCAGCCGATTGCGCGGGGTCGCTGTACCATCGTCCATGGGCACTGTTTACAAGTCGGCCTAGGTAAGGTTGCCACTGCCGACGTGCCAAGCAAGTCGAAGTTCTGCAAGCCGGGTGACCGCAGCTCAACCACCCTTCACCGTCCATCGCCCACCCCAATCGCACCACGAGCCATTGCCCCTCTATTACAATCAAAAATGTCTCTTCTCGGAAAGAAGTTTGGTGGCTCCATTGGTAGGTTGCCTCCACTTCGCCGGCGTCCCGGGCCTACGTTAGATAGAATATGGCTAACAAGGCTCTCTACAGCCCGCCCAATGTGGCCCTTCTATGTTTCCGGTATGTCGCGAACACCTACATAAAGCTTTCTGGATCCTTTGGAAAGCACGAGATGGATCCAGTGGCGGTTGCGCTTCTTTCAGAGGCACGAATATAATGAGCAGTATTGATGGGATCATTCAGGCCTTGTCATCCTCTACGGAGTGAACTCTGCCGCGAACGCCATGGCACAAGGTTCGTTATATCCATTCTGGCTGTTCCATTATCCATCTGGCCAAGATGAGAGACCGCATACTAAATGAGCCCAGCCGACGAATACAAGAACGACCCCAGGAACCCTCTCGTGAAGAACCAGGCACCGAAGCACTAAGTCAGTCACTGGAATCGCGGGTGCCATGGACAAGACGAGCAATATGAGACGCAATGTACAATAGCCGTGCAGAAATTACAAATGATGGGAGTCTTACTGCGGGCGGCTGTATAGATCTTTGGCAAATCAAGCTCTGACTTGGGACCCCTCATTTTCAATTGTTGTATTGATCCCAGGTGTGATACGACGCGGACCAGAGCCCGGCTGGCCACTAACTCATTTGACACTATCCATGAAGATGAAACGTCATGGGGGTAAGTCTAACAAATGCAAGAAGACTGCATCTAGACTGAATGTTGGGAAGCAATGCACGCAGTCTAAAACAGGCCGGGTAGACATGGCTTGCCAGTATTAGAAGTAAAGAATTCGTCCACTGCGTCGGCCATGGCGTGCCTGAACAGTAGAAGTAGAGTAGGGATCTGAGTTCAACGGCGACTCGTATCTGATTGTTCATGACCAGGAAACGGGCTCGTTCTGTAAGGTTGACTGACAAACATGGGTTGCTATCTGTGTGAAACAGGGATTGCAACCGTCATCACACGACCGCACGAATGCATTGAGAGTGGGTCGGGGGTAAAAGTGAACACGAGCAAACAGCGGTTCCTCACTGCTACATACATGCTCATACATGCCATACCTATTGTGTTCGGAACTTCCCATACCGGCCTAGATGCAGGGACCAGAGTTTGTGCATACACAGTAGGTACCTACTCTACTTAGGTAGGTAGATACAGCCAGGGCGTGCCAAGAGCTACCAAGTATAGCCCTCAGTCCCTCCAGGGCTCAGAAAATGACGCGCAGTGCAATGTGACCTGCCAGCACAAAGTCATTCTAAGACAGTCTCCTTGGGCTTCAAAGTGCGGTGCGATTTGCCCAATGCAGTAAAACCGCTTCCTGGATGGTGTCACTCGATGGCAGATGGCAGTCTGATTGATGATCCATTGATGATGGATTGTGACCTGCAGCCGCCATGTAGGTACAGTATGTAGAAGGATCTTCCCAAATCTCGGTTTAGATGCAAGCCTCGTCGTGGTCGCCATAGCTGTCATGTAAGTACATACGGTGGCAGGCAGGCTAAGCGATGGCATGCATGGTCCTGTCTGGTGCGTGTACTCTTGGAACTCGTGCAAGAAGGAAAAGGAAGAAGGGCTATCTTGGCCGGCTGAACCTTATGTACCGGACCAGTGCCAGTCATGCTGGCGCCATGTCATGATTGTACCTATGTAGGTACCTAGTACTCCTAGTACTTACTGCCTTTTCGTAGCCGGCACCTGCATAAAGGGGCAAGATCTGGAATGACAAGGTGACCTCGGCATGATGCAGCAGCGCTCGGTGAAGGCATTTGAAACAGCTCCCAGGCATCCGGATAAGAGCACATTCTGGCTGGAGTGCACAAGCTGTACGCAGATGCCGCAGTCTCCGAACATCAGGGTTTCCGTGGTTGCGCGGCGTCAGGGCGCTGATACACCGCCGCACTGCGCAGTGAAAGATGCTGTCTAGCGCGCCACGTGACGAGCTGCCAACAAGGCCATGCCCAGCTGGCTCTTTCGCCTGCACCCGTCCGTCAGTGTGTGTGTGTGTGTGTGTGTGTGTCTCACTCACTCTCTCACTCTCACTCTCACTCTCTCCCTTCAGCACCACACTTCTTGCTGCGTGCTTTCTTTGCGAGGCTCTTTTGCTGTCCTCGTAGCCTGCAGCTGCCTCTTTGCACCCTCACTGTCGATTGCATTGCATACCTTGGAACCCGTCCTTCCCCCTCCCCCTACCAAAGCTTTTCGGTGCCCGCTGTGTTCGTTGGGCTCATCCACGCCCTGCCACTAACTTACCTACCTACCTACCTACCTACCCACACACCCAACCCACCCACCGGTGCCCAGGTGAGTTCTGCCCAGCACATCACTCTGGAGTCCCGCCCTGCGCGTTACCCGCCCACGCACTGCCCTATTTATCTCACACCACCGCCATCGCCATTGCCATTACCACCACCATCACCATCACCATCACCATCACGACCCTCCTGTTGCCATTACAGTTTACAGTTTATCGGCGCACTCCCCTCCTTCCTGTCACGCAGCACTTGCATTCGCTCACTAGCGGCTTTCGCTTGCCCGCCGCGCTTACTCACCGCCTGATTGGCAAAAGCCTCCTACTGACCGGTCCACCCGCAACAGGCTGAAGCTCATATCATCACCACCACCCACCGCCGCCACCCCGAATCACGACCCCTTCCTTTCTCCACACACCAAACCACCACCCTCCTACACTCGAGCTCTGCCGTCTCTGGAGTGAGCCCGCCGCAAGCATGACGACAATGGTACGCTGCAGCCCCGCTCGCCGTCATCACCTTGGCAGCTGCACCACTATCGAACGTCAGGCTGACAAGCACTAGGATCTCCGTGTCGGCAACAAGTACAGAATCGGCCGCAAGATTGGTAGCGGCAGTTTCGGTGACATCTACCTCGGTGCGTACTGGATAGCTGCCCGACCGCACTGCCTGCATTCCAACTAACCGACCGTGGACAGGTACCAACATCATCTCGGGTGAGGAGATCGCCATCAAGCTCGAGAGCGTCAAGGCCAAGCATCCTCAGCTCGAATATGAGGCCCGCGTCTACAAGTCGCTTGCTGGAGGTGTCGGCATCCCCTTTGTGCGCTGGTTCGGAACCGAGTGCGACTACAATGCCATGGTCCTCGACCTGCTCGGCCCCTCTCTCGAGGATCTCTTCAACTTCTGCAACCGCAAGTTCTCCCTGAAGACTGTCCTGCTCCTCGCCGACCAGCTCATCTCCCGCATCGAGTACATTCACGCCAAGTCCTTCATCCACCGTGACATCAAGCCCGACAACTTCCTCATGGGCATCGGCAAGCGCGGCAACCAGGTCAACGTGATTGATTTTGGTCTGGCAAAGAAGTACCGCGATCCCAAGACCCACTTCCACATTCCATACAGAGAGAATAAGAACCTGACTGGTACCGCCCGTTACGCCAGTATCAACACTCACCTGGGTGTCGGTAAGTAGCCCGATTGCAAATGATGTGCAGTAGCTTACTTGACTAGAACAATCCCGCCGTGACGACATGGAGTCTCTTGGCTATGTCATGCTTTACTTCTGCCGTGGTTCCCTCCCATGGCAGGGTCTTAAGGCGGCCACCAAGAAGCAGAAATACGACCGCATCATGGAGAAGAAGATGACGACGCCCACCGAGGTGCTCTGCCGTGGCTTCCCCAACGAGTTCGCCATCTACCTCAATTACACTCGTTCCCTCCGCTTCGATGACAAGCCGGATTACTCGTACCTCCGCAAGATCTTCCGTGATCTCTTTGTCCGCGAGGGCTTCCAGTACGACTACGTCTTCGATTGGACCGTGTACAAGTACCAGAAGAACGCCCAGGCCATTGCACAGGCTGCCAACCAGGGCCAGGGCGAGGAAGACGACAAGGGCCGTGGGCGTCATGTCACCACAGCCGCTGCCACCGCTGGTACCGGTGCCGGAACCAAGCGTGGACCAGTCAATGCACGCCAGGAGGGCACCGGAATGTGAGTTCGATATATCTGATCCTCGTAAGGGACCCTCTCCTTTGCGTTTTGTGTTCGATAACGCTCAGCGCGGGAGACATCAGATCAAGTTTACTAACCAATCTTCTTCGTTCAGGCAGCTTCGTTCGGCCAACAAGCGTGGCGGGGACCAGTATGCATCTGGCGGCTACTGATTCTTGATGCGGCTTTCGATTCGTCATCTCAACTCTCATGCGGGACCGCTTCACTTGACTCGGCTCCGCACCACGAACGGGAAATGCGGCACTGCCGTCCTGGCAACATATTGGACGGCGTCGCTCCTCCTTGATCAGTTCACAAGGATCCAACTGTCGGTTACTCCGTACGGACCTGGAAAGGCACCTGGCGTCGCGTATCTACGACGGCCTCGGTTTCTCGGCGAGGATCCTGTATCTCTGGAAGCTCGACCCATACGGCAAATCAAATTGGCACAGCACTTTGTTAGCGGACAGCACATGTCGACAGATCGCTAGCACTGACGGCCAATGGACTACTTGGGCATCTTGCACGACTACCCTTACTGGGCAGCTTTTTCAGATGATGACTGGTCTTAGTTTGGTTCCACAGTTCTTACCTTTGCATTAATCACCCCTGCCCCTTGTGTTTTTCCTTGCGACTCTTGCACCATTTCCTTGCGTTTTCCCCCTTCGGACGTGTCTGCCAGCTTGTGGGGAGGTAAAGCTTAAGGGGGACGTATATATCTAAATTGTATCTCGAGGAGAGTCGGTAGTCAAAGCTGGGCTGGTGGACTTGGAGGGGCAGCAAATGGCGGGTGGCTAGCTTCTGGCGATGGATTTTTCCCTCTGAGGGGAATCCTGCTTCCGGGGACGGAAGACGGACAACTGGCTTGCTGCCATTCTGCTGGGAAGACCAAGACGGGGACGGATGGGGTGTGTTGTGGTTCACAGTGCTCTTAGTTTGCTGGCTTGTTTTTTCTCTCTTCTTCTTTTAGAAATACACGATTTCCTTGTCATGTTGGACCTGTCTCTTGCCTTGTATGCGTGTGCACGTGTGCATGTGAATTTGATGATGGATCAATGAAAAAAAAAAGAGAGACGGCCTTTGATCATGGGCAATGATGAAGAATTGCTTCTTTGTCTCGCCAAGCATGAAGTCGTGTCAAAGAAGACCAAGTCCGCCTGCGCTGCTCGTTGCGCCACTTGTTTACAGTGGTCAATGTATATTGTTTGGTCTGAATTCAGCTTGGTTGGACTAGGGTTGGACTAGGGTTGGAAAGAGGTTGGAAAGAGGGTTGACGGCTTGGGGTGGGTTTATTCATTTGAGTAGTCTGATTTCCATTCCTCTTCCTCTTCTTGATCCTCTTCTTCATCCTCTTCCCACCCTCACCCCCTTTCCGACCTCTTCTCCTACTCCCATCCTCTCCACCGTCTCCACCGTCTCCACCCCCTCCACAACTCTCCCCAACTCTGCACAACTCTGCACAACACACAACCCCATCTCCCTCCCTCGCACATGAATCCAAAATCCGAAAAAAAAAAAAAGAATACAGACAGCAATCGTGCCAAAACAGTCATTGATTACAATATATTTCACCATGATTACTTCTCTATTCATCCATCTATACATGTGTATGCGTCAATATGCGTGAGACATGAGCCACGAGCCACACACACCCGAGTAGCCCTGCTCTCAACTCAACTCACTCACTCAATCGCCGTCGGGGCGGGCCAATAAACTACACGCGCGCGTGTGTGAGCAACGGCAAGGTGCAGATGCACAATCTTCGGCCGCAAATCAACTGGGGTTTATTGTGTCGACGCTCTTGGAGGCAAAGAGTGCAGAGAATGGAGTGTGCAGTCGTGTATGTGTGGTGGGATACTCTGCATGAACCATAGGATGCGTGCGGTGCCCTGATGAGAGGGGCCTTTGGCTGGGTGTTGCCGATGGTGTGTGCAGTGGGTCGATTGCCTTTCGAGGGCTGCAAGTTGATGGTAGGTATGGAGATGGTGTGGATCTGGGTATTGCTGCTAGCCTTCAGGTTCCATTGTCTGTGCTTGGGCTTGTGCTCGAGCTTGAACTTGGTTCGGCCTTTAAATCTGTTACCGGCTCAGACTCATGCTCATGCTCCTGCTCCTGTGCCTGCTCCTGTTCCCGCTCCCGTTTCCGGTCATGCTCCCGCTCCCGCTCCTGCTCCTGCTCCTGCTCTTGTTCAGGTACAGAGCTAACGGAGCTACCTCGCCTGAGGGCGGCTAATTGTTTCCTCAAATCATCCATCTCCTTGTCCTTTTTGCTGAGCAACTCATCCCGCTCAGACACTTCTTGCTTGAGCTGCTTGATATAGTCAATCGCACTCTCCACTTTGGCAGCCTTTGAATTGTTCGACTGCTGGGCGGCTGATTCGGGACTCTTGGCGTCCGGTGTGGGTGCGAGCAGCGGAGAGGGAAGAAGGGCTTGCATTTCTTGCAACGCCATGTTGATTCGGTTCCTACGACCCTGTTCGGCAATCTTGTGGGAAGTCCGTTTTGAGGTAAGGTTGGTCGAAAGGGAAGTAGGGTACACGACGCCGGGAACCGTGGTGCCGTCCAGAATGTTCTGATAGTTCGACTTTGAGGCCAGTAACAGTGCGTGTGTGTTGTCGGTCCTGCCTGTTGGCTGTTAGTATATTTAAACCGACCTCATTTGAGAAAATGTACATACTGCCATTCGCTCCCTCGGGGAGCAGGGGCTTTATCACTGGCGAGATTTTGGGCCGTAGGGCAGGGCTGACCAGATTGGTGCTGACACTGTTGCGCTTCTTTGCATTACGTGCAGCCTTCGTTTCCTTCTTTCCGTTCGTCGTAGAGTAGGCTGGACTTGTGGGTGTGGACATGGCGTCTAGCATGGGGCTTGGCCTGCCAGACATGGTTCCTCCTCCGGGCGTGCTTAGGGGATTCAACTTGGGTGTTTTCCGTGAAGTCACGCGCGGCATGTCTGCGTCCAGGTCACGAATTGCCGTGTCTAATCTCGACAGCCCTGGGCGATCCAACGAAGGTTCCGGAAGCTGAAGATCTTCGAGTGGGGGAGGCGCCTCCGTTGAACCGCCAAAGTTTGGAGAGGGTTGGATGCGCATCAAGGAAGCCGGTGTAGCGGGTGCGGTGCTTGGACCGCTTTGCATAGCCACCATTGCAGGAGAAGCTGTCAAGGAGCTCGGCTTGGGGGGTGGCCGCATCTCTGATAGCATTGGCTCTGGAGAAATAGAATCGGTCTCGGAGTGGTCACGGGTCCCACCAGCGGCCGGCCGTATTGATCGCGCCTCCTGCATGAGTTCTGTGACTTCCTTGGGTGGAATCAACGACGACACTGTTGCTTTCCGTCTGTTCGGTTTCACAATGGGTGATTGTCGCACGCGACCGTTGGCATTGGCGCTGCGAGGTGTGGTCCGCTTGTTGGTACTCCTCAGCTTCCTGGCCGGCTCTTGCGAGACCATGGCCGGCTCGCCCAGCATGTCCATGTCGATGTCGATGGGCGAATGTCCCGTCGAGCTAACCGAGGGCGTCTGCTGCGTCTGCTGCAGTGCCTGCTGGCTGATCTGTGCATTGAGTGCGGGTGATGTGAGGGGGCTGAAGTAGGCCGAGGTCATGGGAAAGTCGGGGATCTGGAAGCGCGCATCGTGGGGCGTGACTGCTGGCGAGACAAGTGGGGTAAAAGACTGTGCTGGTCAGTTGGATGCGTGTTTGGGAAAGGGGGACTGAATGGGAGTGCCGTATCGGCCGCCACGTACTGCGTCATCCTTCCTCCTATGATATCGCTGGTCGGACAGGTTGTGCTGGGTGTCCATATGCTGCTGCATGTAGCGGTGCGGGTCACCGTGCATCTCGACGCTGTTGGGCGTGGGTGGGACGCCATGGTGGGGGTGGTACATGAGCTCTTGCGCGTGGGGGAATGACGGGGTGCCTGCCTGGCTGTACTGGCCCATGCCATAGTCGAAGAAGCCATTGTTGGAAGAGGCAATGTCATTGTTGTGGTGGTCATGGGCAAGTTGCGTGGTGAATTGGGCATGCAGGTTGAGGTCGAGGGAGGAGGAGGAGTCGACCAGGTCGGGGAGAGGAGCGGGCCCGGCTTGACTGTATTCGCCATGGGTGTAGGTGAAGTCGCCGAGGCTGTCCAGATCAAAGTCAATCAAGTTGGCAAAGTCGTCATTCGTCGTGTCCATGGCAAACGGCTCTGCGCCGCCCGCCCAAGGCTGCGACGTGCTGTCCATGTCTTCTCGGGACCCTGTGCAGGGTGGGAAGGGAGGTTGTAGAAGAGGGCGGATTCTTGCGACGGGCAGTTTTCTGCGACGGTGGGGCAGTTGCGAGCCGACTACTACTGCGCTAGGTACGACTGCGGGATCTGGTCGTTGCGCATCGGGAGAAGTCGTTGGCTGCAAAGAGAAAGCCAGGCTGGGGGAGAGAGATGGCGTTCCAAGCAAGTGCTCTCCCGTCTACTCTGTGCTGTGCAGTGCAGCAGTGCAGCAGTGCAGCAGTGGAAGAGAAGCGTGAGGAGAAGACGAGTCAAGGACCAGACGTTGAGGCGCGGCACAACCAGGCCATGCAGCGACGGCGAAGTTTCCCTCTCCCCCCACGATGATTTGATCAACATGGGGGGCCATACCAGTATGCCCACGATGATTTGATCAACATGGGGGGCCATACCAGTATGCCCACGATGATCTGATCAACATGGGGGGCCATACCAGTATGCCCACGATGATCTGATCAACATGGGGGGCCATACCAGGTATGCCCACGCAGGTCGCGACCAAGGCGCGGGCTGACACTCATTTTGTGGCTTGCGCGCTGGGAACCGCTTCGTCGGCCGACAGTGTCTAGGTAGAGTGTGTACTACGCTATGTGCGAACAGTCGTTTTGCTGTTGACATGCTGACATGCCATCCCACTCTCCTCCCAAAGCTGCTTTCCGACCCAGCGTCAGTTGCCCTCTACAATCTGCGGCTGTCACGTCCTTCAGACATGGTCGTCGACTCGTGCCAATGCGGGGGATGCAGGAACATGATCAAATGCGACTCCTGTCCTGTACCTACCTAGCTACCATCCAATGCCATGACACAGTAAATAGGGTAGATCCATTTCCGCGGCCTAGACTCATTTACCAGCACATTTTCCCATTACACTCAAGCTTGCGATAATCCATCTGGCAAAAGAGGTGCGTGCTTCTTTGGACACTTTGCCAAAAGGTCAGACTGCCGTGTGGTGTGGACTGTAGGGAGCCAATAGTCTGGCGAAGTGGCTGAGCCTTTCCATTCTTCGGCGCCTCTCCGTGCCCTGTGCCCTGGCGTACTACAGTCTCTTCGATGGAGTAGATGGAGTGAACAAATAGGTGGACGAGAAAGGGCGTACCGAGAGCGCAACAACCGAGCCGAGTGTGTGGGCGTTGGCTGAGTGGACGGCCTCGCAAGTCCTTGCACACGTCTGGCTTGGTGGCCATTGGCAAGCCCCCCCCCTTCATCAGTGCGTCGTTCGCCCACATCTCTGTTCTCTGCCCCCCGCCCCAGCCCGACCATTTCCGGCGAGCTGGGACAGAACAGTCGACCCATTTCCATTTCCATTTCCATTTCCATTTCCATTGTTGTCTCTTGAAGAACAAGACGCTGTTGATTCTCCTTCTACTCCTTCTTCTCCTTCTTTATTACCTGCCTGCATCTGCACAGTGCTCCACCTGCACCTGCACGTGATGATTTCCGTGCAGCCAGCCAGCCGCAGCGGGCCAAAAGCCGTCGTTTGCAATGGTGGAGAGAGGCAATAGATTGCAAATGCAAGTCGTCGGTTTCCTCTCGTTTGGCTCGGTAGCGACCTGCCCCTTCGAGCAAGCCTGGGCCCAGGATGGTGTACCCTCTACAGTAAATACCATGTACCTACAGTCCTGGTACCTGTCGCAAACATGGCTAGCAAGCATTCTTCGATCCTTCCATTTTGACACTGTGATTCTTGTCGCACTGGGGAATGAACTGGGTAATGAGACGGCTTTTTGATCTCGTGATTGGATACATAGCAAGGCAGCAAAGGCCGAATGAAGAAAACAGGATGAAAAGAAAGAAAAAAAAAACCCCCCCGCCACCGCGCTGCCCCCCGCGCTTCCCTAATTTACACATTGCTGAATAGTACACGAAACCTGGTCGATGGACTTGCTGCCAGGTCTGCTGGCATACCATGGGTATTATCAACCTCCTCCAAAAAAACCGGTGAATGAAATACTAAAGACTTGGCCGTAAAAGGGCCTCCCCCCCGCCTCCCCACAGAACGCCGTGACACAGACAGAACAGAGCCTCCAGTATCTCTGCATCTTCCTTTTCCCGTCGTTACATTACGATGCAGCAGCCGCTACTCTGTTGTGGCGCGTAAGGGTCGTCGCGTTTGTCAATCTAACCAGTGGGTCAGCAGTGGCGCAGGTGAGCGTGTTGGGGACAGTCAGTTATCGTACCGTGCCCCATCGTGATGGTACCATCCAGTCCTTGGGTTCTTTGTCGGTGAAGGCGATTAAACTGCAAGCGCGACGTTAGCGAAACCTTCTCTGAGAGGTGCTGCCCGACCACCGGCAACACCCAACATGGAGACGTGGGGCCTTACTCTAACGCAGCCTCGGAGACGGGTATCCTGCGACGCTCCAGGTCCTCGCGCAGGCGCTGGTTGAGCTCAGTAAGGCGTCGCAGCTTGAGCTCGGCCATGCTCTGCTTCTTGCTCTTGCCGTCGCCGCCCGTCCGTATCTCGTAGGGCGCAGCAGCCATGATGGCGGGCATGGTGAATTAAAGGGTACGGTGGGGGTAAAGAAGGGAAGTCGTAAAAAGGAGTGAACGTGGCCGCCAGGTGAGGAGAGCGTGCGACGTGCAGTGGAGCAGTGCTGGAGGTGTGGGTTACGCGGTCGTGCGACGTACACGGTGGTGCGGCGTCGACGTTGTCGTTGTAGCAGGGCAGGGCAGGGTTGCGTGAATCCAAGGAGCGTCAACGGCCAGCCGAGATGGGAAGCCTGCCGCCAGTTGTCCTCTGCGCGAGTGACGGGCTGCTGTTGCTGCTGCTGCTGCGACGACCGGGCGAGGGCGTTGGCGATGGGCGAGATGGGAACAGACTGGCGAAAGGACGACGTCGACGACAACAACAACAAAGTGGAAGCAAAAGGCAGCTCGGGAGTCGGGAGGGCCAGGAGAGGTTGGTAAGAAGTTCTAGTAGGAGGATGGGGTGTGCTCCCCTTGGTCTGTGAGCAGCCAAAGCGGCCTAGTTGCTTTATAGGCATCAACTCAGCGAGCGCCCTGGACTGGCCCCCCTCAACTGCTGCCTCACCGACTCTCCACCAACTAGCGACAACCTTTTCTGCCCAAAAGCAAAAGGCTCTATGCAATGGTAGAGTATGCAGCTACCTGCACAGAACAGTGGATAGATACAGAGAGAATACAGTTCGTCTTCTGCTCTAGCTTGGGCACACAACGCCCTTTGTTAGGCGCAATGGCGACAAGAGAGGTCACTACCACATGCGCCGCTGCTACATAGTACATAAGTGTACCCTACTGGCTGTGCGCCGTCTGAGTTTTTGCACGCGTTGCTGCCCGGGCGCGCTATTGCGGGGGAGGGGAGGGGAGAAGAAGGTTGCAAATGTCCTGTCTCGCCGCGACGGGGGGGGGGGGGGGGAGGAACACTATGTGCTACTGTACGGCGACCACCTCGCTTACCTAATATTGCTGCCACAGTCCTTTTTGCAGCCCCCATCCGTCACCACACATCTCGACTTTTGGCCGTGAGATCCTGCGACAGCAACCCCCCCAACAACAACCTGCTGCCTCGCCCAACCTCGCCTGCTCTTAAGCCCTCGCGCCCTCCGTGACTCCTGCAGTGGGCACCACCGCCCTCCCTCCAGCTGCCCAGCATGGCGCCGCCGCCACACAGCAAGCCTGAGAATACTCTGTGCGCCCCTCCTCACGCCCACCACAGCCACCCATAAAAAATATACTGTGCTGTGTGTACTGACAACCGTGACAGCAAGCGTGCCCAAGAACTCATCGGAGTCGAGCAGCAGCAGGCTGCCCTCCAACTGCTGCACGAACATGTGACCTCGAAGCGCACCCGCAACAGCCCCATCGCCTCGCTCGAGCCGGTGATGATCTTGTTTGTCGAACTGTGTGTCGATCTCCGCAAGGGCAAACTCGCAAAGGATGGTCTGTACCAGTACAAGAACACGGCACAGAACACCAATGTGGGCACCATCGAGGTACGCTCACTACAGGAAGGGGGGGTTGGGCCGGTCATGTCAGCTAACACCACGTAGCTGGTCTTCAAGCGTTTCATCGAACTTGCAGAGCAAAAGGTCACCGAGGCCCAGGCCAAGGCAGATGAGGTCCAGTCCTCCCTCGAAGGCACTTCCTCGCAGAATGTCGATGATCTCGAGGCCTCCGAGACCCCCGAGTCGATCCTCCTCTCCACCGTCTCTGGAGAGCAGTCCCGCGACCGCACTGACCGCGCCATTGTCACACCATGGCTCAAGTTCCTGTGGGAGACCTACCGCACCGTCTTGGATATCTTCAAGAACAACGCTCGTCTCGAGTTGATGTACCAGTCGACCGCCCACCAGGCCTTCCAATTCTGCTCCAAATACGCCCGCAAGACCGAGTTCCGCCGTCTCTGCGAGCTGCTCCGCAACCATTTGCAGAATGCCGCCAAATTCTCCTCGCAGATGCACGCCATCAATCTGTCTGACCCCGACACGCTGCAACGTCATCTCGACACACGTTTCCAGCAGCTCAATGTGGCTGTCGAGCTCGAGCTCTGGCAAGAGGCTTTCCGCAGTGTCGAGGACATTCACACGCTTCTCAGCCTGAGCAAGCGGCCCGCCAAGAACGTCATGATGGCCAACTACTTTGAGAAGCTCACCCGTATCTTCCTGGTCAGCGAGAACTACCTGTTCCACGCAGCCGCCTGGTCCCGATACTACAATCTTCTGCGCCAGTCTGCCGCTGCGGTAGCATCTGGACAGAGCCCAAAGAAGGACAACCCTGCCGTGACCGAGGCTGATATGACCAAGGCTGCTTCTTTTGTCGTTCTCTCGGCCCTCGCCATTCCCGTCATCAGCACATCCCGCTCACGAGGTGCCCTTGTCGATGTTGACCAGGCCAGGAACAACAAGAATTCTCGTCTGACCAACCTGCTCGGCATGTCACAGGCTCCCACTCGAGCTATCCTGTTCAAGGACGCTCTCAGCAAGGGTCTGCTCAAGCGTGTCCGTCCCGAGATCCGTGACCTCTACAACATCCTCGAGGTTGACTTCCACCCCCTCTCCATTTGCAAGAAGATTTCTCCTATTCTTGCTCAGATTGGAGCCGATGAGGGCATGCAGAAATATGTTGGACCCCTCCAGCAGGTCATCCTCACCCGTCTGTTCCAGCAGCTGTCTCAGGTATACGACTCTGTTGAGATCAAGTTCGTTCTCGGCCTTGCTCAATTCCCAGAGCCCTTCCACGTCAGCGCTGGCACCATTGAGAAGTTCATCATGAACGGCTGCAAAAAGGGCGACCTCGCCATTCGAACTGACCACGCTACTGGCGTTCTCACTTTCGACTCTGACGTCTTCTCATCTGCCAAGGCCATGCACCCTGGTTCTGGTGCTGGTTCAGCAGAGACGGAGTCGCGCTCTGTACAGCGTCTACAAAGCACACCAGCGGAAATTGTCCGATCTCAGCTTACTCGTCTCGCCAAATCGCTCTTCGTCACATGCCAATATGTCGATCCATCCTTCAACTCGGAGCGAATCCGGGCCAAGGAGGCCGCACAAGCTAGGGCGAAGGAAGGCTTCGAACAAGAGCACAAGGAGATCCTCAGCCGTCGGGAAATCATCTCACAGAAGAAGGAGGCTGCGCTGAAGGCCCAGCAAGCCAAGGAGAATGAAGAGCAAACAAAGAGGATGATTCGTCAGCAGCAAATCAAGGAAGAGGAATCCCGCCGTCTGGCTGAGGAGCAGAAGAACCGTGCCGAGCAGCGCATCAAGGCCGAGCAACAGCGCATCCAGCGTGAGGAGATTGAGAAGCAAATCAAGGAGCTCAAGGCAACCACCAAGGTTGACATTGAGATTCCCGATGACCTTACCGACCTGGACTCGCAGAGGATCCGCATTCTTAAGCTCCAGGCGCTCGAGAAGGAGAAGAGCCAGCTTGGCGAACAGCTCCGTATCGCGGGTAAGAGGATTGATCATTTGGAGCGAGCCTACCGCAAAGAAGAGGTCAAGTACCTCAAGGCGGACTACGAGAAGCAAATGGAGGCCGACAAGGCTGCATATGAGAAGGCCAAGGCTGAGGAACTCAAGGAAGCAGAACAAAAGCACAAGGAAGATGTTGCGCTCAAGCACCGTCTGTCAAGGCTGGTGGCGCCTTACCAGCAGTTTGTCACTACTGTGAAGCAGCAGCGCAAGGCCGAGTTTGAGAAGCGCCAGAAGATTGCACAGAAGGAGCTTGAGAGCAAGAAGGCGGCGCGCGTCAAGGAGTACAAGGAGCGTTTCCTCCGAGAGAAGCGCGAACGCGAGGAGGCTGAGCGTCGTGCGCGGGAAGAGGAGGAGCGCGAGAGGCAAGAAGCCGAGGCCAAGGCCAAGGCTGAAGAGGAGAGGATAGCCAGGCTGCGTGAGGAGAAGGCCAAGAGGGATGAAGAGCGAAAGTCAGTACATCACTCGATTTTGACAGACAATACACTAACCATTTACAGGGCCCTCGACGAGAAAGCTCGCATCCAGCGTGAGAAGGAGGAGGCTGCTGAAGCAAGGATTGCCGCACAGAGAGCTGGTCTTGGTGGCAGCCGTATTCCAGACCGTACTGCCGCACGTGAGCCGACCAAAGAACCTGCTGCTGGTCCACCACGTCTTGCTCTCGCTGGCAGTAAGCCCACATGGCGCGAACGCGAGGCCATGAAGGCTGCTGGCCAGACCGTGCCTGCTGAGAGCACATCGCCTGCTCCTGCTGCTCCTGCGGCAGCGGAGGCCGAAGCACCCAAGCGAAGCGTTTACGCCCCCCCCGCTCTGCGTCAAGCTGGCGGTGCCGCCCCTGGAGGAGGATGGCGTGAGCGTGAGTCTAGCGGTAGTGGTCGCGCCCCTCCTGCACGCGCCGAGCGCCCTGAACGAACCGAGTCTCCCGCCACTGGGGGTCGTTTTGAGGCTCGTGCCGGTGGCAGCGGCCGATGGGGAGATGCGGGGGAGAGGAAAGAATCTCCGGCGAATGCTGGCAGCTACGCTCCTCCTGCCCGCCGTGGTGATGCTCCTCCTGCCCGCGAGGCTGATGGAGAGCGTGAGTCTAGGCCTCCTACGCAGGCACCTGCTCCAGGCAAGTATGTACCTCGCTTCCGACGTGGCGAGTAAGGAAGAGACGATGGAGGAGGATTCTCCTTCAAAGATGGTATTCGGTTGATGACGTATTCGTGTGTATGACACACGAGGGAAAACGGCATGGGGGTAATGGGCGTTTTGGGTATCCTTTTTCGCCAACACTGTTATTCAAGTGGTGACGAATATGAGCCCATGACATGGACGCTGTATGTAGCCCCTCGAGTGCATGAAAGCAGTTTGACGTGACGACTGTTGATGTCGATGTTGATGTTGAAGAAAGAGATTTGATTTTGTCATTGTGTCTGGTGGCTGTGATGTATGTTTTGTGTGCATGGATTCATGAGGGAGTGTTGAGTGTTGAGTGGTTGGGACAGTGAAGATGGAATACATGAATGTCTTCCAATCATGCCGTGAATTATAATTTTTAGGAGAGGAATTGACATGACCAGCAACGATGAAGATTGAAACTCCATTGCCAAAAAAAATCATCTCTGGCTTGTCTTGTCCTTGTCCTGTGCTGTGCTAGCATGCTTTGACGTGGATGGTTCGGTACAAACCAGGTCTACGCAGAAAAGGCAGGGTAGGGATGGACCATCTAGCCAAGTAGGTCTGCGACTTTGTGCGCATTCGTGTGTTTGAAGTGTGGTTTTTTCTATCTCTTTTCCTTTGGGACGAGGGGGGGTGGGTTGATGAGTGGGTTTACGGGTTGTGTGTCTATTCTCCATCCATCCTAGCCATTCATCTTCATCTATCCATCTACCCATCCTTACTAAAACTACTTATCCCTCCATTCCCCCCATCATACAAAGAACCACGCATCCGCCAAAACCCCTACCCGGTCTTGAATCCCAAGTCCATCCATCTTTCCCAAACAGGACAGCGGGGTTTGCGCTGGCTTGCTGGCTGGGGTAGGTTTGTCGCGTGTGGATGTGCGTGCGTGCGTGTTGTGTGTGGAGAATGACCGAGTTTGAGAGGGGGGGGGGGAGTGCAGTGCGTGTGTGTGTACCTGTGCTGACGGCGATCGGAGAGATGACCGGGGGGTTGGAGATGGGGATGACGATGATGACGGGGATGACGGGCAGATGGACAGGCACAGTAAGGGTTGATCTATGTATGTGCAGTGTTGTGTATCTGCACAGCTGAGATTGCCGCCGTTGGCTTTCTTGTTCATTCTCTGGGCAGCTTTTGACTCGGTGGAGGGCGGAAGAAAGTTTGTAGAGTTTGGAGGTAGGTTGGGTGTCGGCTGTTTGATACCCGAAGCTAGGCAACTCGTTATTCTAGGGGCACAGATGCTACGTATGTAGTAGGCTTGTGATGATTGTTGTACATGATATCTGGGTAGAGTATTGTCTAACAAATGCCCCATCCCTCGTCATCCTTTTGTAAGCCCACCAAAGTCTCAACTCGAATGCGTTTCACCGGGTAAGATGATTGCGTACGAGATCTTTGCCAAAGACAGCCAAATTCGAGATTGACCGCACGAGCCCCCGTCGTTGGAGAAAGAAGGAAAAGAAGGGAAAAAAACCCGCCAAAGCTTCGCTCATCGGTGGACGGAAGTTGACTCGACGGTCGATCTCGGCCTTGGAGGATAGGTTAGAGTTTGAGGACACGCCGCACACGGTCGAGTGGGCCAACCCAAACGGCAAGGCTGAAGCTTGTGGCGAGCTTCTAGAAAGGGCTGGGTTGTGGCAGCCCTATGTGCTAGGTACTATGTACTAGGATGGTGTGTAGGTAGTATGTCTGTATGTAGGAGTACTACGGGTGGGTCATGTATGTGTATGGGGCGGTAGTAGGAGTCAGCTACTAGAGTAGGTATGATGACGGTGAACATGGTGAAGATTCTAGGCTGGGCGATGGTGAAACACGACGAAGAGCATGTACTAGAGTAGAGAGGAGAGAGAGAGAAAGTTGGAATGCAGAAGAGGCGGGGAAATGGGGTGGCGTAGAGCCGGCAAGCAAAGTACTCTACTCTACATAGTAAGTTGGGTGGTGGTGGCAGTGATGCCTGGTGGTGGAATCTGTGGATCATTCGGGCGCACGTGTCGGCGAGATCTGGAACGTGGTCTCGACACTGGGGGAGGGGGCCATCCCTGACGCCCATTTGATGTTGCCCGCCCGCCTTTTCGTTCTTTCGCTGGTGCCCGTCTCGGTGGTAGGCAGAGTGGTGGATTGGGTATGGTGTTGAGGTTGTGCGGCCAGCCCAGCTGATGGCGACGACTGACAATGGCATTCATGGTTGTATGTGCGAGTTGGGTAGGACCGACTACTTCACCCACAATGGCTCCCACCTCGGGCAGAGGAGGGGAGGCAAGGTGGGCAATGTGAATCTCGTCTTTCCACTCCTCCCTCCAGCTTGCCTACTATGGTATATACATGGTTCACGGTAAGAATAGTACCGGTAGGACTAGTACAAACAAGTAATACCCATCTACTCTACTACCTCACCCGACACACCCACACACACACACACACACACACATCCACACTACCACCCACAATAGCTACCTCACTTCTGACAAGTCTGACTGTGCGCGATTCGGAGAATCTTGTCCTGACCCCCAAGCCGCCAGACGCACCGTTCACCGCGCTCATTTCGCTGCAGTCAGCCACCCCTGTCAGACAGACTGCTCAGCGCCCCAAGTCAAAGCCAACAGCCTCCCCCTCTCGCCTTTACCGCCGCCTTGTGTGGCTTTTGTTGTATTTTTCTACGGAGTACTTCTCTTCTCTTTTCGTTTCTACTAGCTATTGTCTCTGCCGTGCCATTTACCTACCGAGCTACCGACCATTTCTTCTTGTTTCGTTCCCGTCCTCCTTTTGCCAACCAGACCGGACCATTGGGCGCGCAGTGTGGCTGGGCCCAGAGAGTCTGAGAGAGCGAGAATCTGACAGTCTGAGCTAGAGAGAGAGAGAGAGAGAGAAAGAAAGAAAGAAAGCGAGAGTCTGGAAGAGAGAGTCAGAGAGTAAAGAATACCGTCGTCTGCAGTCTACTCTAGTCAATCTCTCCCTACTGTTCAGTCCGGCCAGCGTCGTCGCACAGTCCAATCCTGGCTTCCGTTTTCAATCCAGCCCGGCCAGCCCACGACCATCGCTTCATGACCGCTTTCGTATCGGTGCGCAACCACCAGAATAGAAGAAGACCGACTTGCGGGCCCTGCAAACGTCGCCCCTCCCCCCCCCCCATTGTCCTTGTTATACATAGTCCTTCATTCACTCTGGCTCCCAAAAAACATAATTCAAGACTGAGGCGAGAGCAAAATTCCACCCAATTTCGCTCTTCCTTCTCGCATCCGCCGCCCCTCGCCTCCGCCTCTCCCTTCCCGCACCACTAAAACAAAATGGAGCCCGCTACCGATCCCGCGCCTCACCAGCCCTCTCCCTCATCGCGATCCCGCTCCTCCAACAATGCCAGCTCCTCGTCGTCTTCTTCTTCTTCTTCTTCTTCTTCTTCGCCCGCAACCTATGGCTACCACAACACCTACCACACCCACGCACAATTACCCATTGGATCACCGCCACCCTATGCTCACGCAATTGATCCAAAAGTTCTGCAGCACTTGGACAGGAGAACGCAAGATGAAGTCGTCACCGCCCACACCACCCCTCTGCCACCGCCTTACAGCTGCTCCGTAGAGATGGAAGGCATCGTCGGGATCAAGCAAGAGCTGGTGTCTCCCTTCCAAGTGTCGGCCCATCGCGAGTGGTGCGATGCCTATGCAGTACTCCGAGGCACGCAACTGAGCATCTACCGCCTCAAGAACCCAACCCTCTTCAGCAGGAACCAAAACCCCACCAAAGGAAAACTCCTGCGAACCTACAGCCTGCAGCACTCCGAGGTTGGCGTGGCTGCAGATCTCAAAAAGACTCCCATTATACCCAAATCGCCGTTTGCGCACCTGGTGCCCGCCTCGGCTCGACCCAAGCTGTACGAGACGGATCCCCACATGTTTGAACCTGTGCGCGAACATGCCATCCGGCTGCGATTGGAGCTCGAGCAATTCCTGATATGTCCTGGGAACGAAGAAGACATGCTGGATTGGATCGAGGCCCTCACCGCAGCCATTGACATCAGCCCTCCCTTGGAAGACCGCAGCGAGCCCCGCTACCGCAGCCTACCGCGAAGAAACCGACGGCAGCGTGTCTTGGACGGGCCTTCATTCGGCGAGAACCTCGAGCAGCTTTCCGATGCGGAAGCGGGTCGACGCATCATCGCACAGCAAGAACAAATCATCCGCACCCTCTACCCCCATCTCGCAGCCTCAACCCGGGAGCCAGGAACCAGCCACTCGTCTCCGGCAGGCGAGAATGAACTCGACGAATTCGACCCAGAAGACGTCCGCTTTCCCTCCCGACCGGCACACGACTCGCCAAGGCAACCCTCCTCGCACGACCAAGACCAACAGCCACAATCCGAAGACGAGCAAGTGGCTGGCTCCTCCGACCCCAAGAATGCACCCCGCATCCGGCACTCGCACGCCCAGACCCTACGCTACCGCCGCCGTTGCGCACCCGTCCTCCTCGCCTCGTCCCCCCGCGTCAGCGACGTCATCTTCTGTCAAGGCCAACGCGTCCGCATCAGCGTCAAGGAATCCTGTCTCGTAGAATACACACCCCACCCACCCCGTTACGATGCCCACCCGTTCCCAAAATACAAATCCAAGCGGCCTTTGCGCGTCTCCACCACTCGCACGTCCGCTCGCACAGCGGAAGCAGCAGCAGCGGCGGCGGCGGCGGCGACAACGACGACGGTGACGGAAAAATCAACACCCCCCACCACAGCCATGGCACCTGCTACCACCAGCACCACCACAATCTATCGTCCCGGCTCCCCCGTGCGCGGCATCAGCGACGACTCCATCAGCTCCATTTCATTTGGCGAGGATCTCGCGCCCGCACGGTCAGAATCGCAGGCCGAAGACAGCGAAGTCGCAAGTTCAGGACCGCCATCACCAAAAGGACTCAAACACGTCCAGGCGGATACAGCGAGGCAGTTGGAGCGAATGGGGAAGAGGAGGGCGAGTGTGGAGGGGAGGGAGGAGGAAAGGGAGTTACGGGGTGTAGTTTTGGGTGAAGGGATAGCGATTTGAGTGTTTCTTTTTTTTTGGGGGGGGGGGGGGTTGAAACGGGGATCTAAATGGGTCTGATCTTTTTTTTCCTCATCTGTCGATTTCACTTTTTCTTTCCATTTTCCACTTTCTTCACTTTTCAATCTCGCTCAATTCTGCGTAGACATGTCCTGCTTTGCTTTTGCCGCATTTACAAGGGCGTTTCTTTATTTTTAGTCTTGGTTTGGGATTTTCTTGGCATCCTTCTACCGGGAATAGGGAAAATTCGCCCGGCGAGGAGGGAGAGGAGCACTGATAGCGCATCATCTCGCGGCATTTAGAATGGGATAGGCGTTTGGGTCGGGGGTATTTTTCTCTCTTCTTCTTCATCTTTTTTTTTGTGCTGGAATGGTAGTTTTATATTCACTCTTACTGTCTCTCTCACTCTCTCACTCAGTCTCATATATTTTCTCGCAATCTCCTTTGTCATTACACATTTTACATTTTGCATAGCCATTTAGCCATAGCCATAGCCATAGCCATAGCTATAGCCATTCCACGCTGTCATATCCTCGCACACTCTATGGGAAGCATCTCAGACACTTTTTCATCTCCATCTCCATCTCCATCCCACATTTTCTTCATTTTCTTTTTCTGGATAGCAAGGAACGGGCATGGGTCTGGCATGCCATGGCATGCCATGGCGTCGTTGGATAGGATGGAACTGGGACTGTGAGATGCGAAACCGGGGAAAGCTGTGGGTGTATAGGTAACTGGTAGCTCGTAGTTTGTATACAGAGGAAGTCGAATCGAAATCGAATCGAATGCAACAAAGAAACCGAGAATCAAAGCGAAGAAAGTGGGCTTGTTGGACTGGGTTTGTCGCTTTGATTTCATGGCTTCTCTTCATTTCCCAACTCCACTCCCTCCTCTTCCCCCCCGTCAGCTAGACCTAGACCTAGATCCAGATTACACTTCCATCGACCTTGGAACCCGCAAATAGCAAATAGCAAACCGCAAACACACTACTCATCTACCTACCGTACAGCTTCTCTTGGCCTACATCCATACCACCTATCCACTCAGCACACCTCTCATCTCTCACATCTATATACACCCAACAACCCAACAACCCAACATCACCCTACAGCTCCGTAAAAAAAAAAAAGTATAATCCACTGGCTATGCATCAATCAATGCCGTCTGTGTATTATCTGGTTTCAATTTTTTTTCTTCTGCAAGCAAGTCCATACAAATTATACGTATACCCATCTTGTTCTGATCCTGCTCCGACAAACACGGCGAGCGCCACATAGCCACATATATTGTTATAAAAAGAAGAAACCATTGAAGAGAAGAAAAAAAGATATTTCCACAAGACTACCGAACATGGGTCGAAGGTGACGACTCTCCATGGTATCCCAGATACGCCATGCTACAAAACAGATATAAATAAACACGGGAAATTAACCCTCAAACCCGATTATTTCTCAGCTGTTCAAGGCTTCACCAATACCTGCATAGGCTTGGGACTCAAACAGCAGGCGTATGCTCCTCCGTGCTGGCAATTGCGTCGTCGCCCTCGTCCGTCATGGCAATGGGTGTCGGTGCAATCCGCCGCTTCTTGTGCTCGCGCGTCTCTTCCATCTCCGGTACCGACTGAAGATCCCTCTTCCTCGAGCCTGCCAGCGCCTCATCGCGATCAGACTCGCTCCTCTCGCTCTCTCGTCGGCCAACGTGACCGGTGTGCGGAATCCCGCTGACAGAGCTGCTAGCGCTATGTGAGCCTCCTTGTCCGTGCGCAGGTGTGAGAGGCGGTGTCCACATGGGCACAGGGCCCGAGTTTGCGGCTGCTAAGCTGGGTACCGATGACATCGCTGGAGTGGGAGCGTTCATGTTGCCTAAATCACCTGCACCAGGCGCAAAGGATGAAGCAGTGGCGATACTAGAAACCGAATTGCTTCTTGTTGGGCTGCCAGGTCTTGCTGGCACAAAAGAGCTTGGCGAAGCCGGGAAGCCAGCTGATGGTTGCCTCTGCATTGGTGGTGCTGTGGCAGTGGCAGCTGCAGACATGCTTCCCGTAGTGGGAGTAGGAGTCGGAGTAGAGTGATTCGAGACTTGGGTCGCCGATGTGTTGATGGCTGAAGGGGTGTGCTGTTGTCGGCTGTGAATCGCCAATGGCCCTGTGTATTTCTCTCCCAACTCTCCAAGCGCAAACGTTATCGAAGAACAGAACCCGTCTGAAGACGACATGAGCAGTGTGCTACCATCGTTCGACCTTTGCGCAAGTTAGCGATGACATCCAAACGGCACCGAAGGATCTTTACCAGGTGATGTCGGTGAAAGTAGCAAAGTGAAGATTGCTCACAATGCACAGCGGTTTCTGCTGTTGCGTGTCGTAGATGTGAATGGCATCCTGCGTCGCTACGGCGTATATCATACGGTAGGGAAGGCTGAAGGCCGGTGTCGGGCCGGCAGGCGGACCGGCAGTAGTATCACTGTCAACAGGCTTTGGTGAGGGCGCCGACATACTAGGTGAAGGTGAGGGAGCGCTTGTCGGTGGTGGGGGATCCATTGAGGAATGTGAAGTCGGTGGCCTTGATGCCATTGCACCCATCATGGGCTCCGGTAGGGAAGGAATCTCATCATCGACCGACGATGTGTCAATGGTAATCTGCTTAGTCGGCAGAGTATGTTGGCGTATGGTGTAGTAAACTGGTGAGCATCGTACCGCTACCGAAGGCTTCTTGTGACCAGGGAGGAAGGCAACAGGAGGCTTGTTGAGCCCGGCACGTGTATATATGTAGACAGTGTTGGTGATGTCTTCTGCCGGCTTTGCCTCGCCAATGGAGGGGTGCAATGCCTTGTACTGTCCGGCAGGGGTGAAGAGCAAGCTACCATCTGGAGCAAAGGTGAGACGCCTAAAGAACGAAGTAAGAGTTTCGTTGTAGTAGATGGGGGCATTTCTGACACCCGTAGTGCCAATACTGCCAATGCTCGGGGAATTTGGCATGACAGCTGGCAGAGGCATCGATGGAGCCGGCGAGGCTGAGCGACGCATCGATGGGGAGGAACCAAACGACGTACGGCGACTGTGTGATGTGGGAGGGGCGTGCATAGTGGGCAGAGCTAGCGACTGTGGGGTGCCGGGCATTGATGGGACAGGAGAGCCAACTGCGTACGAGTCTCCCGCAAAAGAAGCTCTACCACCAAAGTCTGGTGGTGCAGGGCTATTCGACGACACACGACGAGCTGGCAGATCCATCTTGGTGACTTTGCTGTGCTGTGCAAGCGAGAACTGGCCATCCTTGTTCTTCAAGGTGTAAATGTGCACAGATCGGTCAGACGATTGCGTCGCGATGTACTCATTCATGGGATCCCATGCCACGCCCTGAACGTAGTGGTTGTGTTCTGCGATTTGCCGTACAATACTTCCTGTATGTCATTGAGCATGTTATCGGGAGCGGGGATGCCGCAGGGGGGAGGTCGTACCAGTCTGCGCGTTGTAGATGCGAGCAATGTTATCCATGCTGCCTGTGATGAAGAAGACACCGTCGGGAGACCAAGCAAGATCGTAGATTTCCGATCCTATCGACCTGCACATTGCCTTGACTCGCCATGTCTCTTTGTCTTCCAGGCCCTCTTCGAAGTTGTGTGTGGTCTGGTTTTCGGCGGGAACCCATAGTAGAACATTGCCGTCGTCGCCCGCGCTGGCAAGCATCTCGCCTATACGTTGTTAATCGCACATGCTTTGCGTGATGGTCGAGGTGGGTGTAAACGCACCTCGTGGACACCATCGCACGACGTTGACCGCCTGGGTGTGCTTTACAAGAGTGGAGAGATAGGTGACCTTTCGCTCGTCACCCTGAGACTCGACGTTCCATAGCTGCAGCCGGCGTCAATGCATGGTCACGGCTGAGTACAACATTTTTGGGGGAGAGAGGGGGAAGGAAGTGAAAGACATACTCGAACATTGTTGTCGCCGCCTGCAGTGGCCAGCCGTCCCTTACCATGGGGCTCGAAATGGGCCGAATATATGGGAGCGTTTTCATTGTGCCAGGAGACGAGCAGCGGAGCAGCCTTCATGCTGGGGTGAGGATACGCCTTGGAGGCGTCTGTGTGGGCCTGTGTGTGTATGTGTGTTCCACCGTCTGGTGAGGGAGGAGGGAGGAGGGAGAATGGTTCGGGTGCAAGGCGCTATCAAAGCACCACAAGCCGTTATGTGCGTGGACTTTGTGTGAAGAAGAAACAGGGCTACTAGGCCGGTCTTCCGTTCCCTCGAATTCGTCGTCTTTTTGTGGGAGGGAGGGGGAAGGACAATTGAACAGAGGAGGGTAGGGTAGGGTAGGGTAGAGTAGAGTAGAGTAGAGTAGAGGGCTTTGGGTGGTTGGCACCTCTCTCGGCGACCTGCACGAAGCGCGAACGTTCCGCGTCCCTGCTACCCCAAAGAGGAGAGCTTATTGGATTTTCGTTTCACCGCGCGCAGCTTTTACCAGTCCAGAATCCAAGACAAGGGCACACACACACACGCACACACACTGGGCCGGCCGTTTTGATCAACGAGAATACCTGTCTTTTGTCCACCTGTCTGCTGCTCTACCTGTCCGCCTTGAAATGTTGGCAAGAAAGGCTGTTGCGTCAAGATGAGCTACCTTTGCTCTTGATCTGCTGCTCCTTCGTCCCATCACCCCGGTGATGACAAGGGAGCCTGAGCCATGAACGGGGGGGGGGGGGGGGGCGGTTAATATGCAAGCACATGGCATAATATTCAGTATGATAGATTGAAAAACCACATTCTTCAAAGACCATCGCTTCGCTTTATTTTCCACACTTGACTCTGTTCACGAAATCTGGTCCCCGTGACAATATCAATCTTGGTGACCTTGGAAAGGACATCTCCATCAACTTCGTGTGAGCACGGGCCCTAGTCAGGATCGCGATGATGGCTCTCCCCAATAAACCCGGCAAAGTACATTCAACAACATGTCCAATCAAGATGCGGGCCGCCTTGAAACAGAATTGGATCTCCTCGACGCCATGTATCCCGACCAGCTTCACTACGACTTCCCCTCACGCGAGCTGAAGTTTACCCAAGGCCTTTCGTCGCTGCATCTTCGGTTACCGGAAAGCTACCCGGATGCAGGCTTGCCGGATGTAATCTCAGCCACGGACCCTTCAAAGACCGATTTGCGCGTGCAGATCAAGGACGCAATCAAGGGACTGGGTCTGACCGGTGGAGAAGAGGCACTAGACGCCTTCCTTGCCGCCTTTCAACAAGTCCTGGAGACGACCAGTACAGGCCAACAGGACGACGAATCCAGCACCAGCTCACTAGTCCGGCAAACTCATGGTGCAACGCTCGGGCAAAGTGTCCATCAGAAGCCCAAGACTGTAATCATATGGCTCCATCATCTTCTCAACACCAATAAACGCAAACTTGCCCTCTCCCCTCCCCCATCCTCTCCACCCGTCTCTGGCATCACCAAGCCGGGCTATCCAGGTGTTCTCATCTACTCTGGCCCCTCGTCCACGGTCACAGAACATGTCAACACGCTCAAAGCTCAAAACTGGCAAGCGTTTCAAGTCAGGTATGAGGAGGAAGAGCTGTGGACGTTGACACATGGTGAAGGCGTCAAGGAGGTGGAGAGCATGAGCCATGTCGTCAAAGCTGTCCAAGGAATTGCTACACAAAAAGAGGAATTCTTGAAAGCAGTTGGCATCAAGTAGTGAACATGTCCCTCCAACAATCGATAAAAACTTGGTGTGAGTCAATAAACATGTCTATACATGAGCTCTATGATGCCCATCGACGATAGTACATGTGCCGGTAATGTACAGCGGCCCCGTAGCCTTCGTATTCGTACAAATCATAATAGCCCCTTATAATACAGTCACATCCATTGTGCTTTTCTGAGAGCACAACATGCTCAATCCCACCGGGTCGCCTTCTTAAGCGGCTTTTCCCAGTCCTTGATGTGGTCTGAAATCACCCTTGCGGCCTGCTCGGCGGTGAAGTTGCGGCCAATGGCTTCGACAAAGTCGCCTTCGGGATCTATACTTTGTCAGCATGGTATCCAGGCGCAATTTGCATGTCCCGCGACAAAACATGGCGGAAGACAGTCGGCTTACCCATCAGGTAGAAGTAGATGCTATGATCCACAAGGTAGTCCTCGCCAGGCTTCACACTTTGAGGTGTGCTAAAGTAAACTCTGTACGCCTTGCACACGTCCTTGATTTGCTCGTACTTGCCAGTCAGACCAATGAAGTTTGGATGGAACTCTGCCAAGTACTCCTTGAGGACCTTGGGAGTGTCACGCGCCGGATCGCATGTGATCATGATGGGTAGTAGCACTTTGCCACACTCCGCAGTCACCTTGTCGTACATGAGTGCCATCTTGTCCAGCTCGTCAGGGCAGATATCAGGGCAGTGTGAGAAGCCAAAGTAAACCTAGGAGTCATCTCGTGAGTTTTCATGCTTTCCCATGTGCTCAACCGTTCACATACCAACGAGTATTTCCCTAGCATGTCCTCATTGCTGAAAGGCTTGCCATCTTGATCCATGAGCTGGAATGGCCCTCCTACTTTAGGCTTGCCAATTCCTTTGGTTTGTTCAGCTATTCGCTTCCGCGCCATGCGTTCTTTTTCGTATGTGAAATATGCCCATAGTCCTGCTCCGGCTGCGACGAAGAGGATGGCCGCTGTGAGGTTGAAAGGCTGCAAGTGATGTCAGTGATTGTTCAGTCCCTGGTATCTTTTTATCCAGCCATGCGGACAGCTGTGAAAGATGCGCGACACTCACTCCACCCTTGTTTCGTGCGCGAATTTGATCAATAGTCTTGAGTTTAGACCGCGAGGTGGATTGCGAGAATTGTCTCATCTGGCTCTGTGGACCAACAATGGTCTTTCGTCTTTTATTTTGTAGTACCCGAGATTCCCGCACGCATAGCGCATTTGACCGTGGTGCTGTCCGTACTGATGCAATGGATTTTGACGCACTCGAGGCGAAAGATCGCTGCGCAACACGCGCAATTGGTGCGCTTTGGAGGCTTTTTGAAGCCGCAACCATACATCGAGTAGGCGCAGACATGGTGATCGCTAGTCTTGAGATATTAAAGCGGCCTACAGTGACGTGATGTGGTGGGTTTGGCGATGCGGGAACTTTTGACGGTGTTGGAGATGAGAGCTCGGACCACATTCAAGTGATGACTATTACGAATCAACTGCCTCATTCATGCTGGAACACTACAGACCACTTCTAACAGAACTAACCTAACCAGCCCCAGTTTACAAATAAAGCGCAGGAATACCTCCTCAAGACATTAGAAATAATGGGTAGGATTTGAGTATCCAGCCGGTCCGGACATCAAAGCACACGTCATAATTCGTAACACTACCTACCCACTCTCACGTACTCTATCTGAACATGCGCCTATCCTGCAGCATATTTAATTCTGGCTCTCAGTTTCTCCCCATAAAACCACAGCATGAACGGTGCCCGAATGCCCAGTATCAGCGCCTTGAACCCAAGGAGACTGTTGCCCCAACCGAAATCGAGAGCCTGGTACATTGCTGGAGCAAATAACGGAAAGCCACAGCCGGCCAGGCATCTTAGGACTGTCGCTGCAGCAATGGCACTAGCGGCATACCGTGTATAAGAGTCGACAAGGTATGTTTGAATACATTGGAAACTGATGATCATGCCTGCACAAAAGATCGCAGCTCCAATGTTGGGCATGATCCAGTGTACCTGAGCCTGAGCACTCCATCCGTACCATAACAGACCAACAGGAACCATAAGGCTTGCTGGAACCATTAGCGGACAGCGGAATTCTGGTCTATCGATGCCGTAGTTCTTTCTTTTAAGACGGCGATAGAGCATATCGTTAGTCGGAGCCGTGATCTGCGTTCCGAGAAAGAACCCAATACCCATGGACAAGAAGTTGAGGCTTCCGTTCCGATACTCGTACTCATGCCATACCGGTCGTTCCAGAGTAGAGGGAATGTAGACAGCATGAGATACATCAGTCCATACAGGTATGCCATGTACACTGCAAGGACCTGGACGATCGGCTGAGCGTGAGCAGCCTGAACGGCCTCTGCAAGGCAATTTGGATTGTAGCCGCCAGCGGGCGATTTGGGCTATCGAATTCAGTGTACAACGCCATATCTCCGGTCTCTTTGCGAAGTCTCTCACGCTTCCACTGCAGGAGTTTTGGGGCATAGGTCTCTTGCAGGAAGAGAAAAATCTAAAACACTGGATGGCAAAAGTAAAGCTCGTTGTCGCCCAGAAGCACTATCGCCATGTGGTATTTTGAGCTATGAATCCGCCGGCTATTGGGCCAATCGCGGGTCGGAGCAATGGGGCAAGACTGTAAATCGAGATTGCAAGTCCACGCTGTTCTGTATGGAAGCAATCGCTGAGTAGACCCTATAAACGTTTCAATTATACATAATACTTTGTGCAGAGAGACTACTAACACCACCAATAGCTAATGGCGCAGAACCACCCAAGCCACTAAGGAACTGAAAAGCATCAGTCGACCAGAAGTTTGTGCGAAGCTACATCCGAGATTCCAGATCAAGAAAAACCAGTTCGATATTTGCAGAACAATGACTCTACCATAGATTTCGCTAAGAGGCCCGAGGAATAGTGGTCCAATCGCATATGCCAAAACAAAGATCGACAAAGTGAGTTGAGCCTGCACCTCGTTTGTGATGTTGAATTCTGCGCTGATGGATGTTAGAGCTGGCGATATCATAGATGATGAGATGAACACTGTCATTTTCACTCGTCTCTGAGTTTCTGTCTTGTGGAGCGAGGCAGCGTCTGCACTGACATGAATTCTGTCTCCTTCTTTTTGATGGAAACAGAATGATCATCCGGAAATTGACTCGAAAGTATGCGGTTCAAGGGAGGGCCTTCAATTCTCGCGCGAGAACGCGACCGGCTGCTGGAAGCTCTGCGTATTCCTCGCGATGTTTTATTCTGCATTGGTCGATGGGAGAGTGGGTCTCAACGCACTCGGTGTGACACAGTTCCTGTATTATCTACACAACGATATGCACTGGAACTTCACTCAACGGCTTTGGTTTGGAAAGCCTCGTCTGAGTGTTATTATATTCGAGGTGTTGCGTACGTTCGGAGGTGGTCTCGAACGGTGACAGTGAGGGATTCACAGGCGAGGAGTGAAGAAATGGACGTAAAAGAGGCAAATTCATCGGTAGGGCTCGCCTGTAAACCGCATCTATCATCAGCATCTCCGAGTTTAACATCTCGCATGCTCTGGAAACTCCGGATATATGTCGCGTGCCCCATACGGTTGACTGCTCCAGTGCTACTACATCATAGGCACGTTGGTCTAGATTTCTTCTCAGACACCATGGGTCTACTGGCGACATGATTTGTTGAAGAGACGTTGTAGCTGTGGCGTACAAGACATCCCGTGGGTGCTGCATCTTTAGAGGACGATGACGTGAGTAAGTCGGTTATCGGCATCCGTCATTGGTTGCACTTCCCGAAATGGTAGGTAGGCTTGCATTTAGATATGTACTGTGTACACGTGCAGAAGTCAAAGAGTGAGAGGATGTAGATCAATGAAGGTGCGTTGAGTAGCTAAAACTATGTGAAAGCCACGACTACGACTACGATTGTTCAAGGTTTCGCAGGGCCAACACTGAAAACACTGAAGCCTGGAGTCCCTTGACAACCGTATGGAAACTTTGCGTAGTGCTCGGAGCCTTTTCGTGCGATTGTTAGGTACAATCAAGGTTACTGGAAGCACGACGGAGGACAAATCAAACGTGGGGACCATATTTATTTCCGTTTTGATGTATGATAGGTCACGACAGCCAGCACCTGTGGCTAGTAGCCGACTATGAAGGTGTACCCATGCTTATATACCGTGCGAAAAATCAAAGCTCGACTTTGAGTTTGAAGCGTAATGATTAAGGGGCCCGCTGGCGTTCAGCTGACAGTGTGTAGGTAGTGTTGAGACGAAGATCATGGACATCCTGCACAGCTCCAGCACTTGGCTTTCCTCTTCCAGCAAAAATAGTATGGCAAAGGGATACCTACCGGTAGGCGTAGCAACTAATCATGTTGAAGAGCATAGGTACTGTACTCTATCATTACCAGGAGATGCCAGCTCGGCACACTGATCTTTACGACTTGTACCTTGTGTGTACAGGGCAAGCATTGTCGGAACATAAAACGATTGGACGGCTTACGGACCGATGGAATAATGGGAATTCAGAAACGAACCGATATTTAGAGTACGCATTGCCCAAGTTTGTGGAGAAGTTCACGCAGGGTGTCGCATGCACGTGCCTGACAGCTTGCTAATGTGCCCCGCCGCCCATCACCGACGACAACCGTCAACGTTCGCGCAACCTTGCACTCGACACACTGATAGCCCTCCAAAGACCTTGAACATGCAATCGCTACCAGATGCGCGATCTCAGTCCTTTGAGGAGCTGTATGGCCCGCCGGAGAACTTTCTGGAGATTGAGGTATGCCCACATCCCCCTTTCCCCCCGCAGTCTTGGCATGGATATTCTACTCAGCCCGGCTCACACTGTCGCGTGCGCAGGTTCGCAACCCTATGACACATGGTGAGTTAAGAGAGAGGAAGGTTGCGACGAGCTGTGCTAACAAATCGCAGGCGTTGGGCGTGGCATGTACACAACATACGAAATCGTAATGCGAACGAACATCCCCGCCTTCAAGCTCAAGTCCTCCACGGTGCGCCGTCGATATAACGAATTCGAGGCTTTCCGCGACATTCTCGAGCGAGAGTCTGCGCGCGTGACAATACCGCCGCTGCCCGGCAAAGTCCTCACCAACCGATTCTCCGACGATGTGATTGAACATCGGCGCGAAGGACTCCAGCGCTTCCTGCAAATTGTCGTCGGGCATCCATTGTTACAGACTGGCAGTAAAGTACTGGCGGCCTTTGTACAAGGTCAGTGTCAGTTCAGAGCCTGTGCTGAATGTGGACTGACAGTACCAGACCCCAACTGGGACAAGCATGCTTGGTAGTTGTGTCTACATGCCCCTTGCCAGTAACGAGCACATGTGTTGAAACGACATGGCGGGCGCGACAAAGGATGCGGTCAAACTCTTCACTTCTCTTTTGCGGCATTGTTTTGCGATCTGGGGCGTATAATCAGGCGTTTTATTGAAGTCTGTCTGAGAAATCCATGTCTTTGAAAATGGGAGCTATGGAGATGTTGTTCGTACGATAGTGATACAGTTGTAGTAATCAAGATTACTTCGTCCGGCAATGTAGAAGCGCTTACAATCTCCTGAAAGTTCGAACCCGTCAGTCAATCATAGACCTAACCTGAACTTTGTCCGATGCTCCCACTACAAGCCTAACGTGAAATTACCCCCACGGACACATGCATGCCAACTTGAGGATACCCGGCCGGCAAAACCATTGCTAAGAATTTGACATCATCAACGGCGACCCCTCCGAGCTGCGCTAGTCATGCAACGAGTAAAGCGTGGGGTTAGCCAGAAGCAAAACTTTACGAGCGAACTGCCTTAACCCTGCACCACATCCCGAAATTCTGGCTCTGCATCTTCAAACTTCTCTGGACCACAGCGTCGAGTAAATCTTTTCAGAAATGGCCATTCCATCTCAACCGGCGTCAAACGCCATCATTTACCTGACCTATGGAGTCTTTCTGTGAGTGGAGACGGACTAGGTGGATAGTGTCACAACCCCATCAGACTAACACGTTGAAAGGTGCTTGGGATGCTATGTCGCATGGCGTTTACGGAATCAATCTAAGCTTCAGTGGTTGTCCAGCAATCGTACACAGAAGGGTTAGATGCCATCAAGCCATTGTGTCGCAAGCTCATTCCCAAAATGACACAATGAGCATGAACCCCCCGATATCTTGGACCTGATGACTGACTACGTACAGGCGGTCCGCTCGCTCTGAATTTCATTGCATCGGGTGAGTGCATCCGTGCACCAGCGCTTTGCGCGTGAAGAGCAGCGGCAGTATCGATAGCATGACATCACAAACACCATGTACTCTGATCATGTTGCCAGAGAGCGCATGCTATCAGTCGAATACTTGAAATCTTCCAGGTTCGTATTTGAGATCTCTCACAGGAGCTACTCTCTTGTTATTACATCGATACCACAATGGTATTTGGTATAGTGACAGGAGGGTGCTTTTGTGCGGCTACACTGCGGGCGCGAAACCAAGGCTGGGCTGGGATACTTGTACATGACGTCTCAAGTTTTCAGTCTAGCCAAGGTGAAGCTGAGAAGTACCGTAAGAACTCGATCAAGATAATACTTGCGTGAGGAACGTGCTGCCGCTACTCTACCCCATTTTCCGCTCATTTGTCAGTCTGCTAACCTAGGTTATCCTAACATACAGCTCTCGGTTCTGGTATCCTCTTCACGTATCCACAGATTGCCACCATTGCCGGTGTCCAAGGTCTGTTGGTCTATGCACTTTCTTCGGCCTTGCCACTCCTGATCTTTGGGGCATTGGGTCCCATTATCAGGCGTAAATGCCCAGAAGGATTTGTTTTGACTGAATGGACGAGGCAAAGATATGGGGCAGTCGCAGGGCTATTTCTCAGCGTCTGTACACTCATCACTATGTTCTTATACATGGTCGCCGAGCTCTCCGCGCTCCAGCAAATCGTCACTCTTCTGACCGGACTCAACGGTCTTCCCGTCGTGATTGTCGAGTGTACTATTACCACCATCTACACCTGTAAGTCACCTCCCAATGCTGCCATCCTTTTTTTTCTAACCAGAAATAGCTTTTGGTGGTTTTAAGGTGTCATTCTTAACCGACAATATTCAAGGAGTTATGGTCCTCGGTCTCATCATCATGGGCGTGATTGCAGTTGGTGTCGAAACAAACATTGACCGTTCCCTAATCGACCAGTCTGGATATCTCAACCCGAGTCTTCTTGGCTGGCAGCTCATTTACATTTTACCGGTTGCTATTCTGACCAATGACTTCTTCCTCTCTGGTTTCTGGATGCGCACTTTTGCAGCAAAGACGGACAAAGACCTATGGATAGGAGTATCCCTTGCGAGTGGCGGGGTGCTCATTATTCTGACACTACTCGGTGTGGCTGGTCTTCTCTCTGCATGGTCGGGAGCATACACTATAGGCGATCAGGAAAACGGGTCCTTGGCGTTCTTCTTGCTGCTTGAGAAGCTCCCAGCTTGGGTGATTGGCATCACTCTCGTCATGACGGTATCGCTCTCTACCGCTGCATTCGACTCCTTTCAATCGGCCATGATCAGCACGGGTAGTAATGACTTTTTCCGTAACAAACTGAACATATGGGTCATCAGGGCTTGTGTTGTGGCTCTCATCTTCCCGGTCGTTGTCGTGGCACTTCGCAGTCCGGACATCCTCCGAATCTTCTTGATTAGCGATCTTGTCAGCGCGGCGGTTGTTCCCTGCTTGGTACTTGGACTCTCAGAGAGGTTTTACTGGTACCGTGGATTTGATTTCGTTATTGGAGGTTTGGGTGGCATCTTCACAATCTTCTTGTTCGGATTGGTGTTTTACGATGGCGACGTTACAATGGCCGGTAACTTGTTGTTGCTCGAGAGTGGACTATATGCCGATGATTGGAGTGTGTTTGGTAAGATAGCTCAATGTGTCTGACTTGAAATGTAGTACTGACCTTCACAGGCGCATTCGTAGCAGCCCCCTTTGGTGGATTGCTGTGGGCTATGGGCGCATGTGGCCTTCGTATTTCTTTCCTCTGGATCATGGCCAAGGCGAGAGGACGCCGCTTCGACGCTCTTGACCGCCCAATTCCACGGCAGATTGCGCGACCTGGCGCATTGGATAGCCAGGACAACGAAAACGAGGCTGTATTGCAGCAATCCGTCCAGGCTGGCAGCAAGGGCAAGTTCTTCTAAACCACATTCAGAGAATTTGACATAGGACCTTGCAACATAGGTCCTATCAGATGTATAGGGTAGGATGTCTACAAGACAACTATATGGTAGTGGTAGAAATGGGTGTCGAGGTGGTTGAAGTACACTAGATTGGATTATCGGAGATGAGATGAGATGGGCTCTAATGCAATATCGCGTTCTGGTACCTGTCAGCCCTGTCGGAATCTTGAACAACTATATGGCTTCCTTTATGAATCTATCTGGACTGCATGAATTGCCTCGACGTCATGCCGCATTCCCACAAGAAACCCAAGCGGGTAAGTGGGGGCGGGGCAGATCGTCAGGGTCCATGTTGAAGCGTGGGAAATAGTTGCTCAGAAAGTCTCAACACATGCCTAGGCAACGACTTTATACAGCTATTGCCATTTAAGCCTGGCATATTCGAGGCTTTGCTACATATGCGAATACAAAACAATCTACGCAAGAAGTCTCACATCAACACCGCCACCATGCAAATGCCAGACATGCCCGTCAACGTCCCCATCGACGACCCAAATGCAGACACAGAATGGTACATGAAGACCCAATGTATCTACTCGAATAATCCACTCACACCCAAAACAACAGGAATGATATCCTCCGCAAACACGGCGTAATTCCCGAAAAGCCGCCCTCCCCAACCCCCATGATCCAAGAAGCGCTCGAACAAGCGCGTGCCCTGGCGCACGAAAACCGCCTCGAACACAAGGACCTCGACGAGCTCGCCGCCCTCGAAGACGAAGAAGACGACGACTTTCTCGAATCATACCGCCAGAAACGCATGGCAGAACTCTCCACCATCACCGCGGCCTCCGTCTACAACCAAGTCTACCACATCCAGAAGCCCGAATACGCGGTCGAAGTGACGGAAGAATCGAAAAAAGCACACGTATTCGTACTGCTAGTGTCGTCACAGGGCACGAATACAGAGTCGCGGGTGCTGATTGAGATATGGCGGGAACTCAGCAGGAAGTTTGGCGACGTCAAGTTTTGCCAGATGAGGGCGGATTTGTGTATAGAAGGCTATCCGGATAAGAATACGCCGACGGTGTTGGTGTACAGGGATGGCGATATCAAGAGGCAACTTGTTACGTTGAGGGATTTGAATGGGCCGAGGACGAGTCTGGAGGATGTGGAGAAGTTGCTGGTGGATGTTGGGGCGGTCAAGTTGGGGGATTCGAGGTTGAAGAGGAAGAAGGAGGATGCGGAGGAGAAGAAGGGTGGGATTAGGCAGGGGAAGACGGCGGTCGAGGACGAGGATAGCGATTGGGATTGAGGGGTTGTTGTTGACACCAAGTGATGGAATTAAGATGGCAGAGGTTCGCTAGATCGATGCATTGGAGCGGCGTACGATTATGAGTACTGTTGGCTGCTGAACATTTACCAGCAATGGCTATCATCGAAGAACAAGGGGGCCTTATCACAGCCAAATATCCATGAGATGGTAGATGGTTACCTACAGATGAGATATATAGTGTCTCTCGGTTTGTCGGGCCGTGATGTTCTGATACTATGTAGCTGAGTTCCCCAATCCAGTCTCATTTTGCGAGTTGTACTTTGATAGTGACCTTGTCATTGATTCATTTTTCTTCCATGGTGAGCATACGCATCTATCATATGCTCTGATTGCCCCAAAAAAAGCCATTTGTATGGAGTTGTCCTTTCCCCCTATGCGCCAAACTCTCAAAAATGTAAAAACAAATCAAAGGAGTAATGGCACGAAATCCCCAAATACTGTATATCTTCCTCGAAGGATATTAGCCCAACTGAGTGAAGTGTTGTTTGTTTCCAAGAAAAACCCCCGAACGCACTAGCCATCATCTTAGGTGCTCAGATGAGTTCATCCCCCCCACACCGTCTCGACTCTTCGACTACTTTGCAAATCGTGCTCTCCTCAAACACCGGCCCATGGCCATCGCACTTGGCCGCGCCCTTGAGCCGCTCACAGACATCCGCCACATCCACCAGGCCCTGCTTGACCAGCGGATGCGCCTGTATGTAATCCCAAGCCTGCGACGCAGGCACCTCGCGGCTCTTATTCTGCGGGCCGCCGGGGCGGGAAGCAGCATGGTCTTTGCCAGCGGTGTTGATCACGCTGCCATTGTTCAGCGCTTGAATCGTGTACGCGTCGTCTTCTGGCATGCCGTCCTCGTCCGAGCAGGAAGAGGAGAGACACGGTAGATGAGCGCCGGGAGAAGGGTAGCTGACGGACGAGGGCCGGGCGTGCGACGGCGAGTGAGCGTTTGTGGTGGCGCGCAGGATTTCATTCTCCATTTGTGCGCGCTGCAGCGCCAGCTTCAGACGCTCGTTGTCTGATTGCAGACTGTGTGTGCTGTTTTCGAGCGCGGATAGCTTCGTCTCCAGGTCGCGGACATGGCGCTCTTTGCGCTCGCGAAACGCCCGTTGGCTGCGTGACCCAGACTCTTGTCAGTAAAAGGTATACGAGAGTGAAGAAGAGGAGGATAAATCAAGATCAAGGTAAGAAAAAACAACAAAGACAATGCGGTAAGTATCATACGATGACGTACGCTGCTCGATTCTGTGCCTTGCGCCTACTCTGCGCAGGCGTGAGATTCTCCTTCTCCTCGCTGCTACTACGCGTGCGACTCCCATCGTCGAGTTCGCCTCCACTCCCGCCAATGCCAGAGTCTTCGCTTCCAACGGGCATGGCGACAGCGATCGAGGTATCCGGTGAGCGAGAGCCCTGGTGCGGGGTCGTCGGCAGGCCGTGGACTACCTCTGACGAGCAGGCATCCGCATCATGTGAGGTTGGGAAAAGGCCCGAGGCGGAGGCAACGGGGTCCTGTTTGGCAGAGCGAACACGCGGTGAGATTAGTCATTTTGTTTCCTTTGGGTTCTAGGCCAAGCTTTCTTTTTGTTTGGGGGGGGGGGGGGGTTCGCTGGGTGTGATGAAGGCTGGGAACTGGAACTGGAACACGTAACGTACCACGCTCCGTGTTGCGTCTGTGTCGACGCTTGTGTGGGGGAATGGGTTGGGGACGATGGCTGCGAACTGGTGGTAGGAATGTGGGGTGGCGGCAAAGTATGAATAGTCGTTCATTGTGAATTGGCTTTTTGCTAGTGGATAATGGTCTAGGTGGATTTGTAGTCAAAGCACAAGGTCGAGTATCTCGTTGGTAACGTTACGGCAATTAGGCGTGTTTCGCTATTCTGGAAATTGGATATAGTATGGCACGCTCGAAGATCAAACAACGAACAAAAAAGGACTCGTTGCTGACACTGGGGAATCCCATTTATTTCCTCACGGGCCAGAGGTCTAGACAAAGAGCTGAAGTCCACCAGGTACGGTAGGGGTTGAGCTTGGGCATGCATCTCGATGCTGCTGTGAAGCGTGCCAACCAAATTGGGATATACTAGACGAACCATGTAAGTTGGCGGTGTATATTCCATCGTCAACCGCAGTTGCGGACGGCTTGGAGGCCGGACGGGCTGCTTGACGAGAGTACCTCTAAAAATATCTCGACCTTGTGCATACCGGTACAAACGTACCTACCGACTACAACACGTAGGGCATCTCTGCCCAGGTCATGTATTTCATACTGGTCTAATTAAGACGCACTTGCTACCTTACGGTAGACTTGGAACGACTCGTTCACTCTGCACCTCTACACGTGTCCATCCCGAACCCGGCCCATCCATGGTGTTTGACCTCTTCAGCACATCCGGCCTCAGCCGCCAATACCAACGGAAAAACAATTTGTTCCTTACAGGAACTAGTACATGTTTCATGGCTTATATGTCATGACCTATAGTTCCTAGGTATCATCACCTCCTCGTATATAAATGTATAGATTGCATGAGTCACGAGATGAGATCAACTATGGTAGCCTTGTCGTGTAGGTACTCTACAATATCTTCACTCAACATCAGCATTTTGAAACTTGATCAAAAACTTTATTAATTCCGTACAAACATTTAAAAGCATCCAATCGAACCAGAGAATGAGACTTGCCTTTGCAAACCACCCCCAAACTTTCAACATCACATAGGTACGTACCCCTCTCACCTCCTCCGATCCACCCCCTGCAATCCCACCGTCTTCCCCGCACCCCCGACAACCCACCTCTCCACCTCCTCCAACCCTCTAACCGCCTCCCCATACCCCTCCCAAACACCCCTCCTATATCCCTCGCAAATCTTCTTCACAAACCCCTCCTCATTCCACCTCTGCTCCAAGAAATCCTCAAATTTCTCTCCTGCATTACGCTGAACACCCCACGCCGCCTTGTACGCGGCACCGAGCGCGCACGCATTACCTCCAATTTCGAGTTTGTACACACCATCGCTGCCACCGAGGACTTGGCCTGCTAATTCGGCAATGGCATGGTTGACGGCGCCGCCGCCAACAAGGTAGACGCGTCGTGGTTGAGGGGGTAAGGAGCCTTGGGGGGAGACGAGGGATTGGGAACGGAGACGGAGTGAGAGGAATTGGGATTCTAGGATTGCGCGTGCGTCGTCTTCAGGGATCGACCATTTGCTTGCGTCATCAGAGGTCAGGGGCGTGAGAGTGTTGTCTTGCCAGAGGAAGCGCCATGTTCCGGCACTGACGTTGGGTACGATTTCTGGGCGGGGGAAGAAGAGGCCCAGACGCATGGGATCACCTGGTGTCTTTTGGCCGAGAGGGGGTATACTAAGTGCTCTTTCGTTGAAAGTGTCCCATGATTTGGAGGATTCGGCGCCGGAAGTCTTGTTGATGGCGTCGCGAATGTGTTCACGTGCTAGACCGCCGTTCTTGTAACACAACATGAACATGTAGAGGCCGGCTGTTGTGGGATGATTCATAAAGTGATAGGCGGAATCAGGCTTGTACTGCGGTGTGGACATGAGGAAGGTCGTCGAAGTTCCTAGTGAGACAATGGCATCTGAGGCTCGAAGCGGGAGGGCGAGGATAGTAGATGGGTTGTCTCCTGTAAAGGCAATGATTTGAGTAGAAGATGGGAAGCCATAGCGTTTGGTAAAGTATGGGGAGATGGCACCGAAGCTGGAACCACCGTCTTCTGGGACTTCGCCTAGTTTTGACTTGAGATCCGCAACACCGTCGTTGCCACCTGCTGTGAGAGCGAGGAGTTCCTCTTGCCAACGGCCTTTCTTGATGTCCCATAGGTTGGCACCGCATATGTCACTAATGTCCATGGGCGCAACCTTGCCCAGGAAGATTGATGCAAGGAATGAGGATATCAAAGAGATGCGTGCGGTTTCTTTATAAGCTTGAGGATGCTTCTGCCGGAATCGTTGAATCTGAGGTCCACTGAAGCGCTATCATTACAGTCAGTGACATCTTTGAACAGTTTGGGTGAACATACATGATGTGCGCTACTCCCCGTAGCCAGTGCTAAATGCTCCGGCCCACCCAACGCAGCATCGAACTCTTCACACTGCTTCTGTGTGCTCGCATCCTGCCAATTCGGACTAAACGGATGGCTAAACGCACCCTTCCTTTCCCCCTTTGCTCCCCCCTCCAACTGCTCAAGCAGCGTCCTTCCTGCATCCAAATTCCCAAGCAACGTCTCCGCATCTTTACTCCAAAATACGGTACCATGCTGCATTCCCGCTCCAGAAATGCCCTGGACTTTGGAGAAATCCGCGCCCTGCTCTTTCAGCCGCTGCAATACGAGGTCGATGGCTTCGAGGAACAGTGCGACGGGTGCAAAGACCTCGCCCTCTTCCGGGTTGGTGAGAACACCCTTTTCAATGCCATATTTCGAGAGATCCGCATCAAAGTCGACTTTGGCTTCGTGAATCAATTTCAGATCTGAACCCACAACAATTCCTAGAAGTTCGCACACTGTCAGCTCAGTTGTCGTTGTACAGGTATCGTGGTGGGGTAATTCATGTATGGCGGGGTAAACGGGTAGGTACCTTTGAGCTGCTGGGTGCTCAAGTCGAACCCAAGGAACTGATCAGCCATAATCACGGTGTTTAGATGAAGAAGTGGACAATGAGCAAGAAGACTGGGAAGACTGGGTCGACATGGGATAAATACAATGTAAGCGCGTTGCGGGTAACTGCAAGAGCCTCATGGCCATCAATACAGGGCAAATCCAGGGTCCACCTCCGATAGTAAAGACGACCTCAAGGTCTTTTACCGGCGGTGTCTACAGAAGCGCCTTTGCGTCATTGGATGAGCGGATAAATACACTCACGATATCATCGCTTTACACAGTGACTTGTATTTCTGCACATGTGTATTTGTGTTTTTTACTGTGGTCGGCAGCATCGGAATCGGAGCAAACGCCGAATTTACGCGGCCGCCTTTGAAGCTGTTAGTTTTGTCAACAGCTTCGAAGGTAAGGGCGATGAGAGCTTGAGTGAACCACGTTCTAGATTTCTGAAATTCCCTATGCTAAGATGGCCCAGATGAAATCATGTGTAACAGGGGTAGTCCCTTTCGTCAACTCCTTAGCGCCACTGTGATATCTCAAATGCATCCATCTATGAACAATGTAAACAAAATCATTTCTTCTCTCCTACGCTGGCGTCCGTGATCTCGCTATGCTTGGCTGCATGATTGTGGGCATGGTCGTGATCATGATCATGATCATGATCCTGTTTAGCTTCTGAGACTGGCGTCGAGGTTGCCGAAACATCGCCAGGAATAAACTCATCCAAGAAGTCTGGATCCCTCGCCGAATTGGTTACGAAGCGTACGCGTACCTTCTTCACGCCCCTGACATTGGCACCGACACGTTCCCGAAGCACACTTTCGACTTCTCGTGCTTGCTCAATCGTCCAAGTGCCTGGCACACCGAGTTCGACATCCATGAGGTAATTTTGGCCAGCCTTGACTCCCTGAATAGCGCGTACATTGATCGGTTCCGAGACAGTCGTGAGACCCTCAAGCGCAGTAGTGGCAGCCTTTCGCACCTTATCGCGCATCTCGTTGTCAACACCAACGTCGGCCAATTCCAGCAGCGCATTCTTGGTGTTGCCCCAGCCAGCCTGGACTACCATAAGAGAGATTACGAGACCACCCACAGGGTCCAGCCACTGCGCGTTATTGAGGACGTTGGAGCCGGCGATGAGAAGAAGAGCGACGAATGCGGTGAGCGAGTCGACACGATGGTGGTAGGCATTGGCAGCGAGAACAGTCGACTTTCGTTCTTTGGCGACTTTGAGTGCTGTGAGGACATACAGTGTCAGCAAGTGTGGCTTGGCGTTTGAGCCCAGGGGGCCTACTTACTTGCTCGGTACAGCCATTCCTTGATGACTATAGAGCCTGCAGCAAGCCATACGGCGTTGATGTTGGGGCCGAGGCTATCCCCGCCATGGTGGTGATGGTGGTGATGTGGCAGGAGCCCCCATTCAGAAGCTATTTCTGCCGCGCCCGGGAAGAATTGCTGGCAGAGAGCAATCAGGGCCGTCCAGCCCATCAAGAAACCGCCGGTGAGCAATATGCCACTGACGCCCAGCGAGCCCAAGCTCTCAACTTTTCCATATCCACTGGGAAAACGCGCCGAGGGCGACTTGAGTGACCAACCGACCGTCGCCAGCGTCATGATGTCACTGACGAGATCGGTGAGACTGTGAATAGCGTCGGCGACGAGAGCTATGCTGTGTATCAGTCTAACGTGTTTGTGGCCCTGTTTGTGGCGCAACTCTCACCCTGACTGTTGAAGACGTAACCGCCAACCCCTTTACTGACAGCCATGCCCAAGTTGACATAGAGGCCGATTCTTGTGATGCGAACACCGGCATCGTTCTTGTTCTTGGAGAGCAAAAAGGTGTTATCATGGTGATGGCCATGCGAGTGGCCGGCATGGCAGCGCGTCTGCATGTGTGAGGTCATGACGGGCGGGCAGCTGTGTCGTATGCGATGGACGGTGGAAGACCAGTTGCGCAACGGAGCGGTGGTAGCGCAGCCGACGTGGTGTGCGCCTGTAGTAGCGGCTGCCTGTGTGCGGAGGACACGCAGTTGGGACTGGAAGCAAGACGAGACGGGCGTGCGAGTGCAAGATGATTGCGCGGCGACGCAGGCGCGTGGTCGAATTGAGGCGGCTGCTGTCAAGTATGGGGAAGCGCTATGCCCGGCTCTTGTTTGTTGTTGTGCGTTTGGCCATGGTGAAGGTGGCCTGTATACGGCGTCGCGGCGGGACTTGCTAAAGACACGTATGCCATCTCTGCGGGCGCGCAGTAACATGGAGCTTGGTTCTGTCAGCAGTGCGTGTCTTGGGGCTGTGAGAAGCCAATCCACCTGCTGCTACAATATCTTCTCCCAGCGTTTTGAGCCTCTCTTGCGGTTGCCGCCGGTGGTTCCCGTTCTTGGCCAAGCTGGGAAACCAAGCTCATGCCGCCGGCCTTCACCCTGCGGGGCACTCCCCATGATCCATTGCCCAGTGCATACGGCTTCCTCGAATGACAGTGGTATAACATAGTAGGGTACATACATCTTCGGCGACCCTCACTTTGAACTGCTTTTCTCCATGGTCATGGGCCAACAACGAATCTAGACATTGGTGCAGTGTATCAGGTACTTGTGCTCTTCGATTTCAAGAACTACAGCATTCCCTCGTTCGTATTCGAGTCAAGCCTCGATGTTCATTCATCAGCATGCGCATCATCAGACTGGAGGCTGGAATGCGTCAACTGCATCTGCCATTACTCTCTGCGTTGCCCAGATTGCTTAATGGCTATTGGCAAGACATGAAAAAGTAGGTAGCGCGCTTGAACCTGTTGCCAATCTTCACTTGTAACTTACCTGCCTAATGCGGGCTGGCACACATGCACAAATTCAGCACTCGATATCTTCATTGGAGAGTACGCATTGCCGGTCTGGTCTGACATTTTTGATCATTAGGGGAACACTAGGTGGATGGTAAAAGACACCCTCAACGCTTACCGTACCCGGCGACTCAAAATCAAAATCAAAATCACAGCTTCGACTTTGTGCCATCCATCTGCCCTTGCTCCGTCAAACGAGCCAGTATCCAGTTGGCAACATCGTTTATGAATACTTCTCCATCCTGTCCCGGCTCGTCATGTACTGTACATGTTAGTTTTGTCGCCATGCTATACCCATCCCATCAAACTTACAACGATGGTAGTAGCCTACATAGGTCTTGAACTCCTTGTCCTTGACCTGCAGAGCGTCAAACAGTCGCTTCGATGCCCGATAGTCGGTGATGCCGTCAGCGTCACCATGACCAAACCAGATTCTAGTCACTCCACCCTCTCCAGCATTGTCGGCAATCACAATCTTGCCAGTTGCCAACTGTCCAGTCCGGTCCATTAGCCCCGCCAAACCTTCGAGTGTGCCTGTATCGTGGCAGAGCTCGTCAATGGCATAGTTCTTACAGGCCTCGGTGTTCCTAGAGATGAGTTCTGGCTTCAGCTTGTTCGTCATTTGTCTATGGGGCAGCAACTTCGCAGCCAGTCTCCCAAGGAAGACCGTGACGGGCGATGGCTTTGACTTGGGATCGAAGTCTATAAAGGGTGATTCCAGGAGATATCCGCGGATATGCTTGCGGACTTCTTCAGGGCCTTGGGCTGCATAACACAGCACCTCACCACCGCCCATGGAGTGTCCCATCAGGAATAGGGGCACTGGACTTGGAATCACCGTCTTGAGGAATGACGTGATATCGTCTAGCACTTGGGTAGTGGGTCCAGTATTGCCTCGCTCGGAGCTTTTCGTCACTGATCGTCCCCAGCCTCTTGGCGGCGTCAGTCATGCTTGACGTGTACAAAGTACATAGGCTTGCAACCTGTACGAACCTTTGGTCAAAAGCGTAGACCTCGATTCCTTTGGACGCCAACGCGGTGAAGAAGTCGTCGTATTTGTCCACTTTTCACATGTGAGAGACGGCCCTAGACGGTAGTAGAAGGGTCTGTGCGACTCGGGCATCTTTACCATGCTGCAACGACCGTCAGTTCCATGGGACAATGGAAACAGCAGATGGGCATTGTTTCCCAAGCACAGTGTAGGCAGGAATGCTACTTACATCTGAAAAGCCATGTATAAAGACTAGGCGTGCTTTTGCCGGCCCTTCCGTCTGCTCGCCTGATTTAGTGCAGCTCGTGGGTCATGCAATCTTGTTTACACTTGGAGTAGTCATACCTTGAAGGTCAGTGTGTACAGCTTGGTTCCATCGGCTAAAACGTGCGAGCCTTGTTCACGAGCCATGATGGTGATGAGGAGGACGACGATGGCGGCCAGAGGTGCCAACTAATCATGCAAGGAGGGGGACAAAGATGTGAGCGAGAAGGTCAATGTCAATGTGCATTCGAATCGAACGAAAGGACTCGGGGTTTGGCTTCGTTAAGAATCACGCCGTCGGCCGTGGTAGATTGGGTACCCAACACAGCAATCTGGTGCTGGGTGAGCCTGTCGGAAAGCCGCGGTCCACCCAGAGCGTCATAGCTTCTCACCCATCAAGACCGTCTAAGCTCCCGCGCAACGGCTAGTTGCTGGGATGTGATGCGCAACCTGCAGGAGACGCCTCGACGGTGACCCCACTCACATACCGTCCCTTTTTTTTTTCTTTGCTGGCAGCTGGTCAAGATCCTTCCTTTTGGCCGTTTCGACTGATGCTATGCGCGTATCCGCTGGTCGCTCTCTTTATCAGCATTTCCCTACCCTCCGCCGCCCCCAGCGAGCGTCACTGAGCAGCATGCCCCAGACCCGCTCTGCCAAATCCATTCTGAGCCACCAAGAGCGGACGTCGAGCGAGCCTCGCGAGAATGATATCCACGCGGCCATTGTCTCTAGGGTGACGACAGTCAACGACCGAATCAAGACGTTCAGATTCGATATCAAAGACAAGAACGGCTTCAACGTATGACGACATCCATCTCCGCTTGCGACCTGCGCTGATGGATGAGCCAAGTTCCTTCCAGGCCAGTGGCTTGACGTCTTCGTGCCCGATGTCGAAAAGGCGGGCGGCTTCACCATCACATCGTCGCCGCGAGAGGCCCTCGCGCAATCAAATCCAGACCACGTGCCCTATTTCGAGCTTGCGATTCAGAAAAGTCCCGAGAATCCGCCTGCGGCATGGCTCTGGAAGCCAGAGGAAGAGATACTCGGGCAAGAAGTACATGTGCGCGTGGGCGGTAGCTTTGTCTGGCCCCCCCAGGGCATAGACGTGAAGAAGATAAAGCGCGTTGTCTTCATCGCTGGAGGCGTTGGCATCAAGTAGGTCGAGCACAGCTCGAAGCAGGGGATGCTGCGTCCACTAACTTTGACCCCGACAGTCCCTTCATGTCGATGATGTCGTATATTAACCAGAACTACGCCAACCTCGAAGTCCGCCTGCTTTACTCGACGAAAGTACCCTCGCGCAAGACTGATCCCAGCGAGATATTGTTCCTTCCTGAGATTCTAGATTTGTTCCGTATACCACGTTCGGAGACGACGAGAGATCGGCTCGAGCTGTTCTTTACAGGCTGTCGCGACGGGTCCGAGATGGGCACAGCAGAGGGCGATCTCATCCACCCACTGATGTCGTTGACCCTGCCGAAGATTGATCCGGAGACCGAGGTGCCCGTGACTGCGTGGACACACCGCATCGACGACATTGCCCTATCGAGCGCGGTGGGCAACAAGAAGGAGGCGCAATCCACCCTCTTTTATGTTTGCGGACCGCCAGAGATGACGGACGATGTGGTCCAGCATCTGAAGCAGCAACAGGATGTCCTGCCAGAGCGGGTACTGTGTGAGAAGTGGTGGTAGTCGGCAGCGGGAAAGCACGGCCGTGCTGGGTATGTTGCTGTTGAAGGAGGAGCTTACTGCAGATGACTTGCTCTCGGGCTAGTTGGGCTGGTGTATGTTGAGACGTTGCAACGATACGATTTGCTAGTGCTAGTATTTCGATTGGTATACTCGAAGCTTGTCCAAAGTCATACTCAAAAGCTTGTTTTAGATCATGCCTGCCCACTCCTTGCACTGATCAAGTTGCCCGTTGCCCGTTTACCATGGATCAGCCGAGCATGATTTCCTTTTGCACATGAGACTGTGCGCCAGGTCTTTTCCCAAGAAGGGCTTCTGGCTAGTAGCCTAGGAGTGCCTATTGCGTGTCCGATGGATGGGTAGAGTACGCACACCATAACCCGAATTTACGCGCGCACAAATGACGGCAAATACACGATACCCCACATACAGATCCTTGTTCACGGCGCGCGGACGAGTCGGCCTCGATACGGCGCAGTGAGGATGCTTTGGTAGGTAGCTAAGCAACATGTACTAGCAGACCACCTGGGCAGTAACCGGTACGGCAGAGGGGCACAGAAGACAGGGCCCAATGGCCAGCATTTTGGCCGCCCTTGTCGTCCCACCACACCCCACCATTGCGCTGGCCAGCCATTTTTTTTATTATTATTTTTTCTGAAGCCAACCACTTGTATATTGGATTACCCAACTAGGCAATATTTACTGTACATTCTTTTCTGGACACAGGCTAGAGTAGTAGTTGAAAGTGACTTGACAGGCACAGGGTTCGGTCAAGGGACAGGCCGTTGCCGTCTACTTTAGCTCCCCGCGGCCTGCCCCCTCCCCTTTCACCCCCTCCCCCGTCCTGCAACTCTGATTCGCCGTCACACTGGACGAGCTGTGTGATCGCGCAGCATGCGATGTGCCACTCAGCGGCTGCCATCGCCCTTTCGCCCCTCACTCGTCGCCTGCTGCTGTCGGCTTGCGGGCTTGCAGGCTGTTAAGAGCCAACATGCTCCCCTCCTCCCCCCCCCCCTCTCTCTCTCTCTTCCGACCTGCTGATGGGGCGTCTTCAGCAATCCACTTGACGGCTGGCCGACCGGCACCATATCGTGTACCTAGTGAATCCAGTACTGGAGACGAATTTCTATATCAGCTTTCCCCTCCCTTCTTCCCACGACACATCATCCATTACACGGAACACGGACACGGATTTTGCAATCGTCTCTCTGTCTCTGCTTATGTACACGCACCGCAGTATATACACGCTTGCCTACACTGACGTTGGAATCCCCGCATCTTGGAGGTCTCAGCCTTGTGAGCAGGCACACCAAGAAGCAAGGCGCATCCGACTACTCAACCCAACGACGCCCCACCAGGCTGATATCATTCATCGCCCACCATGGGTCGCCTCCTGATACCGCGTACATGGCGACTGTCAAGCATCGTCTGGTTCCTCATGGTCTTTGAACTGCCCTTCACCATCGCCAACCTCACCCTCTTCGGTGTCGCATCACCCAACCTGTATCGCACGATTCTGTGGAGAGAAGGAGGACGGATGGGCTTCAACTCTGACCCGAGTACGATTGTTTATGCATATGCAAATTATCGGCCAGTCAACATTCCATTGATCTGGAGTTCTTTGTAAGTTGTCGCCCCATGAGTTCTAGGGGCTCCAGCGCACAAACTAATACAGGCTGTTAGTAACACGGAGTACCATCTGGTCATTGGAGTAGTCTGCATGTTCTTCTGGCTTGTCAAGGCCACGCTGTGGCTACTTCACGTCTTCTACCCAATCGTCTCACTTCTTCTACACATCGGTCTCATGTCTATCTGGGCATATGGCATTCATATCCAGACCTCGCCCGACACCATCGACCCTAAGCGCATCAATAAGGGTGTGCCCTGGTACCTTAAGAAGAGCTGTGACATCGTCGACGATAAGAACATCCGAAGCTACTGCATGCAAGCGAAGAGCTCCTTTGCTGTCAGCATAATCATGTTGTACGTTGCCTTGACCTGCATTTCTTCCGATCCATCCACTAATCCCAAGCAGCTCCATTTACGTGTTCTTCATCATCCTCTCTGCCTACTCCCTCGTCCCCACCGCGGCGCAGAAGCAAGCCCACGCCGCCAAACTCGCCGCAAAGAAAGCCGAAAAGGAAAAATGGGCACAATACTCCGACGACTACGAAACGTCAGCAGAAGAACAATGGCAACACATGTGGGAGCTCCAACAACTACCCCGAACCCCGGGAACATCGGGGGGCGTAAAGAGTCCCATGACTCCACGCACACAAGCCTTCAACAGCTTGGGCGGCGACGAGACTGGGCACGGCGGCTACTACAGTAATGTACCCAAGAATCCAAATGCATGGCATCCTGGGCACGGTGGCGTGACAGTGCAGGCCATCAGCCCAGTGATGGAGCAAGATGAGTACATGAGTCAGTATGGCAGTGAGGGCAAGGGCAAGGGCCATGCGTCCTGAGTTCTAGGATTGACTGCAGGTGTCTTTTCTCTTGTCATGTGTTTTCCAGGCGTTTGAGCGTGTTGATTGTTTCATGATACCAGGGTACTTTCACTCCTTTGCTGTCGATTGGGTGGATTAGTCAGTCGGGATACTTTTATGTTTCAATACTGTGAAGGAATACATGTATCTTGTTCATGATTTTTTTTTTTGCAATTCGCCTGTGTTTGCGGGCTATTAACGGCTAAGGTGTTTTTTACCAACACGCGCAATGGAACCAGCAATCGCGACTACTTACCTATGCTTCTTTCTTACGCTGGAGAGTTGACTAACTGGAGCCCCTGCATAAGTGCAACATGTGACCATGTGACTACGTGCACACGCTGATCTAACAGTACTTAACCCACGCGATGAACGTCAACTCCAGTGCTAGTCCGCTGAGATTTCTTCAACATACTGAAAATGTCACCGCAGCTACCTCAACATGTCAAAGAAAATCACATCATGTGTGTTGGTGCAGTATACATCGATACGATCCTTACAGTTCCTCACTTCCCACAAGAAGACTCCAAACTCCGTGCGAAGAGAATTACGCGTCGGAGAGGCGGCAACACCGCGAATACATTGGAAGTCCTCGCCCAGCTTGTCGAACATGACCCTGCTCCGTCATCAGGACACAAATGGACGTCCGAAGAACCAGGAACACGGCTCCATCTCCAGTCCGTGCTACCTCGCTCGTTGTCAAATGCTACTCGCTTCATCATGGATTCCCTCCCCGGGATAAACTTTGAACAGAGCCTGTTCCGTCAAGATCACGAGGAAGCTGCGTCTAGCTACATTATTCAGAGCCAGGCAACGCTCTCTCGGACGATTGTCAGCATCAACGAACTCCCGGAGATGACGGCCGATGATTTTATATCGCGTATTGGCACTACGGCAGAAGATGATGTAGTCCAGCCGCCGCAGAAACGCTGGGTGCATTTCGAGGGCCGGATCCCCGACGTGACGCTCGAGTGCGTGCAGTACCTCCGCCGTGAACATGCGGCGTTCAAGGTCAGTGTAGAATGTGAGAAGCCGGAGCGAGAGGGCATGGTTGAAGTTGCAAAGTTGGCGGATGTGGTGTTCTACTCGAAACCGTGGGCGGAGGAGAACGGTTTCCAGGATGCGAAGACATTTCTTGGTGTTCAATTAGGTAACACACGGAATGGCGCCCTGCTGTGCTGTACCTGGGGTGCTGGCGGTGCCACGCTTGTCCAGAATGATGGGAAAGGTGGTCAGGAGTGGGCAACTGTCGGAGCATGGAAGCCATCAGGGGTAGACAAAGTGGACGTTTTTGATACCACCGGAGCTGGGGGTGGGTTCTACCACACCTTCTTTACATAAATGGTGACACTGAGCTGACGTGGTGGCCAGACACTTTTATCGCTGGTATGCTATTCGCCATCAACAACCACGAAGAATGGACGTTGAAAAGGAAACTCGAATTCGCAAATGAACTTGCAGGTCGTAAGGTCCTCCAAGAAGGCTTTGCCAACCTAGGGCATAAGATATGGTAGGCAGATGAGTGGATGGTCTTTCTGACTCTTTTCGAACACGCCTACACGGCCCACGGATGTGATTCCAAAAAATAAAACCCATTGACGCACTACCTCGCTCCACTAATAAGCACCAACACATCAATGGCACAATCATGGCCACGATTGTCGGCAAGATGGAAGCTAGAAGCGGCTGCGGGGTGGCATACAAGTAACCTCGATGGCATAGCTACATCAATCTACCTGAGATTTAGGATCCAGAGGACGCAGGAACCATAGAGAAACCAAAAGTCAGCATATGAGGGACACCCAGAGTGAAACTTCGACCCATGGGTCAGGCACCACCGTACTGAAGACAGCAATAATGGCCTAGTGCCCTAGCAAGACCGAACCGTCAAGGCTGATGAACAAGAAGAGGAAAGCCCCCGGATCATAACATATATCAAATAGGATGGAACCAGGGTTGAGAAGATTCAACAGGGCGTAAGACGGAAAGACCAAAGAGGTTTTTGAGCAGATGAATAAATTTTTGAATGTTGATTTTAAACATGCCTCACAGGAGGACGCAAGGCATAAGTGTATTTAATCCACGGAAACATCCATATACTTCATACTGTGTACTTCCTCTCCTCTCACAAAGGCTAAATGTAGAATTTCACTGACCGAAATCAGGCATGCGGCGAGGCATACAAGGCTGCATCCTCACCTACCGGTACCGTACCAGCCAAACCCAACGTCTACATTTCCCACCCCACCCAAAAAACCGTCTCCGCATCTCTACGCCGATCCCGGTCCACCCGCCTACCACCCAAGAAAAGCTTATCCAAGCTTATCCTCAGTCTTCTGGAAAATATTGTATTCACCGTGTACGCGCATGTCCGTCCTTCATGATAGGTACCATAGCCCATTGCGACCTTCCAAACCGAATCTTCTGTTAAATCGCCTCAGATCAGCTGCAGAAGCGTAAGCCCATTGCAAGCAGTGACAATGGCCGGCCTGCATACTAGCTGATGAAAGTAAGTTGATCTCGCATCGGCAAGGCAGTCATGGTTGGAAGATAACAATATCGCCGGTATTAAATGCTGACCATGCCATGCCCACCAAGGTTTTGGAGAAGCTGACATGTCGCATCACCACGACGCTTCCCATTGGAACAACAATGTAGTGCACTTTGGGGCGACGGACACGTTATGCTATGATTGGTGATTTAGGTGCAGCCAGTGGATGATTGCGTGATGTGTGTACTTGGCTTGCGAGAAAGATTGAGCAGGATATTTGGACCGAGTCCGTGGCGCTAGATTGCATGGAATCGGGGCTTTTGGACGACATGTTCGCCATGGACATTGGTCGATGACTTGCCTCGTCCTGTTGGCCTATCGTGGGGTGAGAAATTACCCTCCGCGGATAAGTCAACGGTCCTGGATATCTACTCAGATATGAGCCGCCTAGGAATCGCTTCACAGTTGACATCTACGGATTACTACCGTACGGAAACGAGAGTTTTTCAAACGGTTTCAACACCATGAGACTTTGCCACTTTGGACTTCTCGCCCTCACGGCCACAGGCAGCCTTGCCATGGGCGATGGCGCTACAAAACGACGAAATCACGGATTGGTGGGCTACGGCATCAATGCGTATAAACCCAGATGTGCTTTTGCCTGCCGCGATGCCATAGCAGGAGCGACGCTCAAGTGCTCCACGGTGATGGAGATGGAGGGCATGGATCCCATGGTCATTACGGAGCCAGCATGCTACGCGACGGACGATGCGTTTCTTCAGACGCTGGCTTGGTGTATTTCCTCTCGGTGCAAGCAAGTCCAAGCGTGGGCGTTGGAGAAGTTTTGGGTGGAGAATGTGGCGGGCACGTTGGCGGTTCAGCCTGATCCCAAGGAGACGTATCAAGAGGCGTTGGAGAAAGTCGAGGGGGTTCCGTCTGTCGAGTATGCTGGGACGGGTTCGTTGAATGTGACGAGTGTGGTGGCAGAGGAGCCTTGGTTCGCAGCGTTCATCACTGACACCGTGTTTGGAGACCAGGAAACCATGCAGGAGCGATATGGGTAAGCATTCAATAAATCAGGGCAGGATACTGACTGTGATATGGCACTCTTGAGCTTACAACTCGCAGACTTGTCATATTCTTATCTGGTGTGGTTATCCCGATTGCATTCTCCCTTTTGCGATTTGTCCCTTTTCCAGAAACACTGCGAGCAAAGTTCCACGCCTGGATCATTGACGCGCCGCTCTTTGGCACAAAGCATGACTCCCCCGTCTTCTTTGGACTGTTCCAAATGCCCACACGTGGACAAGGACTATTCATTTTCTACTTCATCGCCATCAACACTGTCTTGTCTGCTGTAAACTACCAATCCGCCAGCCCTAATACCTGGTTTCCCGACAACCCATGGCGCTGGATGGTCATGTTGGTGTCAAATCGTCTGGGACTTTTGAGCTTTGCGAACATGCCGCTTGTCTTCTTGTACGCAGGGCGCAACAATGTTCTTCTCTGGATGACGGACTGGTCACATTCTACATTCCTTATTCTCCACCGTTGGATCGCGGGGATCGCAACATTACAGGCCATATTGCACAGTATTATCTACCTGGTCGCCTTCGTCAAAGCGGGAACACATGCCACCGAGTCCGAGAAGCCCTACTGGTACTGGGGCATCATCGCAACTCTAGGCATGACAATCCTGTTCCCTACTTCCATGCTCCCCATTCGCAAAAAGGTCTACGAGCTGTTCCTGGCATGGCACGTCATCATTTCCATCCTGGTAGTCGTAGGATGTTACTGGCACATCGTCTTTGAATTCCAACACCAATGGGGCTACGAGACCTGGATCATCATCTGCATGGCCATCTGGGGCTTTGACCGCACCGCACGGCTGCTCCGACTCCTCCTCAACGGCGTCAAGACTGCGAACATCACCGTCATCGATGACGAATACATCAGTGTTATGGTACCAAACGTATCCGCCTCCGGACACGCATACCTCTACTTCCCAACCCTCACATGGCGGCTCTGGGAAAACCACCCCTTCTCCGTTGCCTCAAGTATTCTCCCCATTCCCCTCCCCTCCCCACCACACTCCACACACCCATCCCGACTCAGCAGCAGCGCCGACATTGAAAAACAGCCCACTGCTCTCTTCTCCTCACCCGTGTCTCCTTCACCTGACAACCCCCTCCACACTGCCACAGGCATCACATTCTACGTGCGCACCCACACAGGAATCACCGCCCTCCTTCGCACCCGCACCACACTGCCCCTCCTCCTCGAAACTGGATACACATCTCACGCCCCCTCCGCCCTGCACACGTCCCCCACCCTCATCGCGCTCGCAGGCGGCGTGGGCATCACAGCCGTGCTGCCGCACCTGCGCACGCACCCGGGTCGCGTCAAGTTGTACTGGGGCTGCAGGACACGGGGTCTTGTTGACGCAGTGAGGAGCACGGGGGCACTGGATGGTGTGGATGTGGAGGTTGTTATTGGGAAGAGGGTGGGTGTGCAGGAGGTGTTGGATAGGGAGATTGGAGGTCGGGGGGAGGTGTGTGTGTTGGTTTCGGGGCCCGGGGGGATGGTGGATGAGGTTAGAGGGGTGGTGGGGAGTGTGATTAAGAAGAGGGGAGTTAGGGTGAGGCTTGCTGTTGAGTCGTTTGGGTGGTGATGAGAGTTAGGGGTTGGATTTGGGATGGTATGTGCGATTGTTATGATTTTGATCAGATTCTATGACCAACTGTTTGGGTGATTGGTAGTGTCTTGTATATGACACAGAAGATACAAAATGTGTATAGGAAGTTTCGGGTACGATCTTTGAGGATTGGTGTGACGCCAACTGGACAAGGAGTTGAAGATGTAAGGGTATGGGAATTCTGCTACTTGAATCGACCTTTGACACTGCGGGTTGATTGCTCCAAGGGAGTTTTCCCCATGGTGATCCTGACACTGATCTCAAACGTTCACCATCCCTCGAACACGTGCAAAGCAACAAACACTATGAGCCCAACCCCTCCACAGCCTTATCCACGATATCGCGAATCTGTATCCACCTCCTTAACAACGTTCCTTTATGCGCCGCCCCAAACCCATCACTGGCTTCATGCTCACCATTTGACTTCCTCCTCTTTGCGGGCCTGACATTCGACGAGTCCATATCCACGCCCTCGACATCCTCTAGAATTCCTTCAATCTGCTTTGAGAATTTGGCCAGAACACCAGCTAGATACTCGTCCAGACGGCCCTGATCCTTCGCTCCATCGTCCTCGTCGTTGCCACCAACAAAGGCAGCATATCGCTTCGAATCGAGCACAAGGAGCCGCAACACCGCTTGTGTCCTATGGCACATAATTGGCGCCGTACCCGACAGCGTGTAATTCCCGTAGAACCCGTCATCCTTCAGCGCCGTGACCTGATGGGCGTCCAAAAGCGGCAGGAGTACGTCATCCAGCGGTAAAGAATCATTAGAGTTCGCATCGAGAAGGAAGCCGTATTCCACGAGCAAAAAGTCGTTGGTATGCGGGCCGTAGCTAACGTAGACTTCCTCGCCGGCTCTGTATGCGCGATCGGCGAGGACGGAGTAGCCGTGTGCATTGTGTTGGGGTTCGCAGCCGGAATCGGAGTGGTTGAAGTAGTCCATGAAGGGGCACATTGCATAGCAGTCGGCGGATGTGAGTTTGGCTCTTCTCTTGGGTAGCCGTGGATGGGCGTTTGACAGATCCGGGTAGTCCCAGTAGAAAGTCCGCGTGTTGACGACAAGCCAGACGTAGGTGAAGAGGTCCTTGTCGATGGATGGAATGTCGGCTTTGACATCACTCCAGTCTTGTTCGAGATTGTCACGCTGGTTTGTGAGATGCTTTGCAGCAGCACGTGGCAAGAGGGACTGTAGTTCCTCGCAGTAATACAAGGGCATGGTACTTTTGAAATCCTCCCGAGTCGGCCAAACCTCGTGCCAAAGCTGATAATCATGTGGTTTCCGATCGGTATACCATAGTGCTAGCGCAGCGGCAAGTCGTCCATGGACAGTGACGTTTTCAGGCAGCTTAAAGTCCCTAATAGACGGCAAAGCAACATGAACGAGTGCGGTATTCTTCACATGCACTATCTGGGCTCCTTTCTTTAAAATTTAATCACCCAAAATAGTACTCGGAGTCGAGCTGGACTGACTTTGATATCTCGTGAGGCGACTATGCCCATGCCACGGCCGATGAATCGCGCGGGCGCAATGCCATTGATGTCAACACCGTTGTTTTCTGCCCACTTGACGAACCGAAAGTGCTGTTCGCCTGGATCCAATGCTGCCGCCATTGCTGGATAGCGACTATGATTTGGTGTTGTTGCCGCGCCCGAAACAGTGCGTGTGGGTGCGTTGTGAGTTCGACTGGAGCATACCGATAACGTGATCCACCACCGAGCGCCCACTAACACTAAAATCCACCACCCACTAAATAAGGATATTGCGCCACCTATAATAGCTATTATTACAAGATTTTTTAGAGTTATAATTATTAGATCTATTAGAGTTAATTAAATATTTTAGATTATATAAGTAGCTTTTTAGGGGGTCTAATTAGGCGCCTACGCTATAATATTGCCTCTACTACTATATCCTCTTCTACTAGCTCCTTATTAACTACTTTAGCTAGTATAATAGTAGGAGGCTTAAGGATTTACCTCTTACCTATTTAAGATATTTTAATATTATTTTAGAGTTACTTTTCTAGTTACTTAGTAGTTTTCTACTTATTATATATAGTTAGGGTAGTAAATAGGTATAGGTTAGGTTAGGGTTAGGTTAGCTTATGTTAGACCCTAAACCTAACCTAAACCTAACTACAAATTTTCGCATAGGCTATAGGCTTAGGTTAGGTTTAGGTTACATAGGCTATAGGCTTAGGTAGGGTCTTATATAATAGGGTTAGGGTTAGGGTTAGGTTATGTAGACCTAGTGCTTAGGTTAGGTTTAGGGTCTTACTAAGCCACACGCTTTACCTAATAAGGTTAGTTACTATAATTAATAACTATAATAAATAGTTATATTTCTAGGAGTATAGCCTATTAATACCTACTTACGTAAGACCCTAGTTAAGCACTAGGTCTATATAACCTAACCCTAACCTAAGCCTATAGCCTGTGTAACCTAAACCTAACCTACGCCTATAGCCTATGCGACCTAAGCCTAACCTAAGCACTAGGTCTGTGCGACCTAAACCTAACCTAGTACTATAGCTAGTGTATACTAACCTAGATTTACTAGCCTATATATAGTAGCTTTCTAGGTAGCTTTCTTTTTCTACTTCTTCTTAGTAATTTCTTAATTTAAGTAATACTTCTTTATAAGTTAAGCTTTAGTAAGCTTCTATTACTTATAAAGCTTAATTACCGTACTTTTTTAATAATAAGTTAGTAAAGCGCAAACTAGGCTTATAACTATAGAAATTTAGATTACTAAGGTTAGGAATAATTTAGGAGATAGATTATTAGATTATATCTACTATAATTAGACTTATATATATAGAGCTTTAGCTACCCTTACTAGAAGGTGTATAATTAGTAAACCTTCCTTACTAGAGCTCCTTTTTCTATTAGGCACTTAGTAGTAAGCTAGTAGTAGATTAGATAGTAGATTAGCTAGGGGTATAGATTAGGGATATTAATTAGGGTTTAGATTAGTTAATTGGATTAAGATGCTCCGTGATCCGGTTGTTATCCCTCCTGCAACAGCTAATAATGCCTGAAAAAATGTTAACAAATTACTCTCTGAGATCACAGCGTCTGATTTTGTTATGTTAGAGAATGTCCTACAGCAGAAAGCGTATCAAGCAGCTGTTTTCGCGATTAAAGTTGCTTTCGCATTTCTAACATCGGCTCGGAGACGGATAATCTAAGTCGAGGTGATGCGACATGCCTGAACCAAAGGATTTTTTGCTTGCGCTATGGACGTGCGTTTGGTACCATGTTCGGGAGTGGCTGTGTGGCGCGGTGTGGCGTACATGGTCACTATCGACAGGACGACGACGAACGATGGCATGCCATCTGTACCTGATCTCTTGATCTCACAAGAAGGCGAATAAGTCGGGGTGTATCCATGGCGAAGCATGTGCACGCGTCACAGCTGGCAAAACTAGCAACCCAAGCTTGTTCCACACAATTGCATACCACACAAGCATACCGCGCTTTCTCCGTGCTCAACAGGCCAGCACCAAACTATGAGGGTCACATACCATTGACACGTCTCGAGAGGCTCGGGCTAGCTTTGGGCTCTGGAATTGGAAGCTTTCTCGACCCGAGGAGAGGAGGTGTGTGTGTGTGCTTCAGATCCCATCATCTGTCTTTTAGAGACCTACCGTACCGCTTGCTCATACAAGATTGTACTCAGATCTAATCGCCTCCTTTGGCGAAGCCACCGCACAACCCTACTTCATCTACAAACTCCGCGACCGCATGCTCCTGAATCCCACAGGCCGACGCATCCTCCGCGACCGCCCACGCCTAACCTCCACAACCCTGGATATCCCCCGTCTGCGCAGCCTCGCACCCAACACACTCGGCTATGCGTACGCTGCCTGGCTGGACGCAGAGGGCGTCTCGCCCGATACCCGTGCGGCGGTCAAGTACCTTGACGACGAAGAATGCGCATACGTCATGCAGCGATACCGCGAATGCCACGACTTCTACCACGCCCTAGCCGGGCTCCCCGTCTTGCGCGAAGGAGAAGTCGCGCTTAAGGCCTTTGAGTTTGCAAACACGGGTCTCCCGATGACGGGATTGGCGGTGTTTAGCGCCCTTACCTTGAAAAAGGCAGAGTGGAACCGGTTCTGGAGTATCTATGGGCCCTGGGCGGTGCGCAATGGAGCCCAGAGCGATGATGTGATCAATGTGTATTGGGAAGAGGAGCTCGAGACTGATGTCGATGAACTCAGGACGAGACTGGGCATGGAGAAGCCGCCGGATCTGAGGGCGATGCGGAGGGCGGAACGCGAGGCTCGGAAGAGGGAGAAGATGGCTAAGGAGGCCATGGCACGTACTGCTGTGTGAGTACTACGGGTATAGAATATTGAATAAAAACCGACTTCGGGAATTTCCTGCCTTGAAGCTGTCATCAGTTGCAATACCTTGTCTGCTTCCTAATCCACCAATACAGGCGGAAGTTTGAGCAGTCAAAACAGCCAGAATTCCAGCCAGCAGCCACTTTTCATGGTCCAACGCAAGAGAAAAGAGGTGTATATTAGTGGTCTTTAGCACGTTTTGGAAGCTTTTGCATTGCACTAGAACCAGCTTCCGGAGGCTTTGCAAATCATGTCATGGTGCGAGAGACTTGAAGTCATACTTCTATATTGCCACCCATAGGCACATACCGGCGATATATCACAGTATGCTAAATACATCCCACAGCGCCCCCGACTTCCTCTCTTCCTCCTTCCACGTCCATCCTTCTTCCAAAACTCCTCTCCCCGTCCACCTCACTCCTTCTCATACAGCCCATCCACCCATGGCTTCAACGCACACAGCCCAAACTCGACCGCCTCTTCTGTGCGAATCGTGCGACTCCCCTGGCCCGGCACAAGATTCACCCACGCATCAAATAGCTCGTGCGCGGTCGCCTTGCCCAGTCCCTTGGCCACCAGTTCTGGATCATTCGCAACGGCGGGCTCGATGCCTGCTACGCCGCCAAACACAATGAGCAGGTGGTTAAACGACGCGGGCGCCCTGGTCGTAGGACAGGGTTTTGCGCCGCCGGGGAGGATGGAGTGGACGGGGACGCCGCGCTCCGAGGTGCCGATTGTGTAGTCGTAGCCAGCTGGGTACTCGCATTCTGAGAAGACGGCACTGAGGGAGGGTGCGCGGCGCACGGTGTAGCCCCAGTAGTAGCCTGATTCTTCCCGGGGGGTACTAGACGGGCAGGCTGTTGCGGAGAGGTTGGTACAGGCTTCGGGAGAGAGGTGGGGCCATGATGGGGGTTCGGTGGCGTTAGTGAAGCGGACGGTGGTGCGCATGCCTTCTTCGATGGGCGACTCAGGCGGAATGGGGACGCGGACTGGGTACGGTAGACCGCATTTGACGTATGCGTATTCCAATCCTCCGTCTCCCGCCATTTTTGCCTTTTTACTGCTCTTCGCTGTTGAAGAGGGCGTGGGTGCTGGCGCAGGACCGACTACCACACCCTCACGGTACTGACACCATTCGTGACTTCGCAAATGATGCGGCATGTCCATACTCGGCAGACACCCCGTCCACTTCAGATTCTGATGCTCCTTGAACAAACTCAGCCCTGGTTGGTCGCGATCGTATCTCAGATGTGGCGGACACTCTGCAAACGCCAGCAAATGGTAGAGAAATTGATCTGGATTCTGCCACAGCTCATCTTCCTCGGCAATCGAGTCGAGAATCTCTTGTTTGGACTTTTTCTGCTGTTTGCCACGGCCTCCTTTTGCACGCGTGTATTTTTCAGACACAACTTTGGGGTCAATGTTGCAAGGGTCGTCATCGTAGACTACGATTTCATCGACGGAGAAGACGGCGGCCGCGCGCGCGATCCGACCTACTTGCATGGTCTTGTGATCGGGTTTTTTGGCATTGAGGGTCCAACTACCGGGCAGGGCGATGCTGACGGTCCAGTCTCGGCCTTTGGTGGGTTTAAAGATTGCAGTGGGACGAGATGTGTCGATGTCGAGGGCTTGGTCTTCATTTCTCTGCCTTTTGGCTGGGCTTGTGGAGGTGTTGTTGTCTGCGGAATCCTGGCGGATGACTGAAGCTTTGCGTTTCTGGTTCATGTTAGATATCACAATAGTATTCCATCGGGAGTACTGATTTACCTTGCCTGTGTCAGTCAACTCACTTTTATTAACCATAACGTCGCGGTCCCGTGCCAGAATGAATAATTTTCGGTTTTGTTCTCTTTTGGCAGAAGTTCTCTTTAAACTCGGATATTTATTAAGAATATCGAGTCTATCTGATTATCAAGGCTTGGGCGCAGGATATTACGGAAACATCGATTGTTAGATGTCGATACAGGCAATTCAAGCATGAAGCTCGAAAAGTGTTCCGTCAGGGTCCCATCCTGCACTAAGCTAGCGCGCCAGCCAGCGCGAATCCCTGCAACATCGCCTTATCGCCTTTGCGAACATGATGACATTCAGGCCAACAACCAAGCACTACATACCATCGATGCCGCAAAAGTAGACAACAACCACATCTGTCTTCCTCTCAACCATACACAACACCCATACCCGCCCATCAAAAGAGCCCATCCCTCAGCTCACAATGACAACCAAAGAGTACGTTGCCCTGCCACCCCACACGTTCTTATACCTCCTTCCAACCCACTACCCCCAAACTAACACCTCACTCCCCTCAGTACCTCCAACCCATCCAAAATCCCATCCTCCAGTTCATCTTCAACATCTTCCTCCTCCATCCTCTCAACCCTAACAACATTCACCCTCCTCTACCTCACCACCCTCTTCTCCCTCGACTCCTGGGCCGCCGCGCGCGCCTCGCCCCACCGCGCCCCAGGCAACACCGCACACCAGCGCCCTTCGTCCTCGACGCCCGCGCCAGACAGTTATCAGGGTGGGATGCATGGGCGGGGCGGTGCTGGACTGCGGGGTGCGGCTGAGGGGGAGCTGGGTAGAAGGGGAGGAAGGGATGTTGGCGTTGTGGATTCGAGGCCGCCGATGGGTATGGGGGGCAGTGCGGGGTGTGGTGCTTGTTTGATTTAGGCGTGAGGATGGGGATGGAGTGGTGGTTTGGTCATGGTATGGGGATCACGGCGTTGACGCATGTCAGGCTGTTTTGTCATTGGGGTTGGCTGGCGAGCGCAATGTTGCGCTTCAAAAAAAACAAGGTCATATCACTGAGCTGTGGAAAAGTTTTTGAGCTGTGGAAAAGTTTTTGAGCTGTGGAAAAGTTTTTGAGCTGCGGAAGAGTTTTGGGTTGGTCGAAGCGGTGATTCAATACTTCTAGTGTACAGACTGGCCCTCCGAATGCTGGTTCGCTAAAAGATGTTCAAATGTGTTCCTGACAATCTTTTGCTCCCAGTCCACCCATCTATCCAGTCCAAATCCTTTTACCTTGTATACATCCAAGTCCTCTAGTACTGACCGGCCGCCGCCTGGCAAGCCTTGAGCTGGTCCAAGTACCATCCGCAAATTGTTAGGCTGCCCTGGTTCTCATCCATACACTTGCGGAAGCTGTTGACGTCGTTGGCGCAAGGTCCGGTCGCCTGTTGCATCTGCGACATGGAGGATGAGGCGTTCTGGTGTTGCGCAGCGAAGTCGGCGTTTTGGGGAGATGCTTCGGCAGGCGCGGAAGAGCCGCCGCTGAACCAGCCACCGACAGCGTGGCCGATTGAGGATCCTACTGCTACACCGCTGAATGGATGTTAGTACAAGACCATGAATGTATCGGATGTCTATTGTCTCATGGGCCGATGAGGATGCATGGTGAATTAGGCAGCAGGGATTCATCGTGCTTTTGGAGACTTACGCAGCAGTGCTAGCCATCTGTCCAAAGAGACCGGGGCCCTGGGAAACAGGCGCCTGTGCTTGCGCAGCAGCTGGTGGCGGTGGGTGAGCTCCAGCAGCGGGAGCAGCAGCGGTAGAGTGAGGGCGCGCAGAGGCGGGTGCAGGCGCAGGCTTTGCCGCAGGGACAGTTGGGCGACGGGGCGCAGTTCCTCCACGCTGGCGAGCCATTGTGATTGATGTATTTGATGGTTGAGACTGGGGAGTGGTGGTAGGTAGTATACGAGCTGGACGTTTACTCTGCACGGGCCGGTGATGAGGGAGCGATGGCGACGAGGAAGACAAATTGAAGATGCGAAGAGGTCCGAGGTTCGAGAAAGGTCGGCGTTAGGGTATTTGCGGCTTGGCGTGTGGACATTGAGAGGCTGCTGATTGGAGGATTTCCCCTGCACTCACTTCCGAGCACGTGACCATGTATCTTGAGCATGGTACTACGTGATTGTACTACTACGATAGGCGTGGGAAGCAGGAAGTACATACATGATGGTCAAATTCCCATCAATCTCTTTGCGACTATTATCTTCCTCCTCCTCCCCCGTCAATACTGGCTCAGAAGTATTAAGATATTATACCCACCCACACAGTAGGCACACGTCACCTGTCACAGAAAAGACTCACAAGTTCCGACGATTCCCCATCTGCTCCCAGATGATACCAAGCAGTCTATCAATGCATCATCCAGCCTCCAATCTTCAGTCTTGGGGGGGCCTAGAGCCATCCGGCGACTTTGACGCAACATTGAATCCACACAAGGTCGTCGCAAAGCCAGCTTAGTACTGCTAATCAATAAATTGCTGCTTTCCACACCCCGCACCCTTCCTGCCGCATCGGGCAACTTTGCTCTCCCCCCTCCACGCAATGCGGACCGTCGCAAACACTATTGCTTATTGAATATCAGAAGCAGAAACAAGCTTCACAACGCCCACTAATCTAGTCACACACACACACACACACACACACATACACACACACACACACACACACACACACAAAAGTGCCCATCCCACCCTCCAAGGTTTCCTTTGCAGCCCACATCAAGCTTCAACATACCACGACAGCCAAAAGACAACACGTCAGTTCAGTGAATGTGGAATCGTCATTTTTCCTTCTCTCGTTCCTACTCTATCCCAGACAACCCCCGACCCAAGGGTATCACATAGACACGAACCGACTCCTTCCCCTCCCCCATGACGCACCGGAACAAAGCGGCGCATGCCATCACAAAAGCCCCAAATCTCTATGCTTTTGACATGACACTTCATGTCCACCTTATTTTCTGGCTGCAAATGCTGCAGGTAACTTTTGGTTGTCTCGGCAAGATGGCGCATAGACACAGTAGATACTAGACCATGTCTGCCCCCGCCCGCTCTTCCCTTCACCGCCTTCAGCTCTCGATGCGCTGGTAGAACAAAATGTAGGCCACCTTGTTGTCACGCACGTTTTCTTTCGGTAGCGGCGTTCTCTTGCCGGTCGAGTTGGGGGTCGCTGTTCCGTTGACAACACCAGTCCACTTCTTGGTGCTGTCCTTCTGCTTCTCTGTGCCATTGACCTGACTCCACGCTCCCTTGCCCGTCTCCTCCTCATCCATGTCGATCTGTGCAAAAAAGTTCTTGCTCTTGCCAGCATCGTTCTTGTGTTGCTCAAGCGCAGCTGCGAGCACCTTGGGATCTTCCTCGGCGCCCCCCTCTGCAACGTCTTCTGCGCGAATCCGCTGAATAATGGTGTCATCCATGCGGATCCACTCTTTGCCCTCTTGTCTGCGAAGGTCCACAGTGTAGTGCCCTCCGCTTGCGTTCTTGCCATGATGGTAGACAACACCCGTAAGCCTATAGCGTGGGAATCCGCCTTGTTTCTGAAAGCTTGCCCGTTTATGTTGGGCGAACACCTCCTTGGGAAGCTCCAGCTCTAGCGGGTACCCGATCTTCTTCCAGATCTTCTGTGGTCCCTTTTCATCGTAGTGAAAACGCTTCAAATGAAGAATCAGTACCGGCGGTAGAGTCTCAATGTGCACCTGCTTGGTCGAAGCACGCGCACCGCGGGCAGCGCCGTCCAATGTCTCAAGACGAGTTAAGTTCTTCAGCGCATCCGAAATGTTGTTAATGTGAGGCTCGCCAATGTCCAGCTGAAGCGGCTGGTATGGCTCCAAGGTGACCGAAGGCTTCTCGCCCGGCTTCTTGTACTCGGACCTCAGCTTACCACCGAAGATTTTGGTGATTGGCGTTTCGAACTCGATGGTGCCTGATGACTGAGTAACGGCGGTCTTTTGCTTGGGGCCCACTTCGTGCCATCCGCTTTCCCCGGAGCCTGGCTGCTCGCCTGTGGCTGACGCCAAAGGCTCTTGACTCTGATTCTGTCGGTCTTTCTTGATGAGCTGTGCACATTCGTCGTGTAGCCCAGCTAGCAAGAATCCCAAGAATTCTTCAGCATCTTCTTGCTGTCCTCGCTTCATGTTATCGAAACGAGGCAGGCGCTTGATCACATCATATACATATTCCGGTGTTAGCGGATCGCCATATTGTTCCAGCTCATTGTCTTTCAAGCGTAGTCGTAGCTGGTCAACAGAAGCCGCCGAATCAATCAACTTGAAGTCGCGCATGAACATGATCCTAATCTTGTTAGTCATGCCACGAGGGAGAGGTTTCCCTTTACGAACATTGCATCGACGAGAGGTGTCTCAGACTTGAAGCTATGTGCAGCGCGCTTCGCAACTTGATCCAGAAAGTCGTAAAAAGGAGCGCAGAAAAGAAGAACTTGCAGAATCTACAGTCCGGATTAGCACAGACATACTTGAGTGTCGCATATGACCTACAGAATTCATATAACACAGATTGCCTGTATTTACAAGACCGCGTGGCTCGATGAAGGCAACCTTCTTGTTAGCATCAACAGAGAAAGAAGCCAAAACATCAGCAAGCGTGTTGCTCTTGGCGACTGTTGGCCCGCTGACAGGAGTAGCGACAATACCGTTGGATGGAGAAGGAGCTTGTGATGCAGCGGGGGCATTCTTTGCCCTCAGAAGCTCTGCCCAAGATTTGGGTGCTACTGACTTGGGCGGTGATGCTTTGGGTGTCTCCTCCACAGTCCCATTCACTTCCGAGAGAGGAGCCGCGTCGACGCTGGCAGATTCTGGCTGCGTAGTCGCAGGTGATTTAACCGACTTCTGTGTCGTGGACGCAGCACTTGGCGTCTTGCTTGACTTGATGGGAATGAGGGGTACAGCCGGCTTGGTAGTAGTACGAGTGTGCTTCGTTGCATGCACAGTCGCGGCTAGCTGAGCAGGTGCTGGAGTGGCGGATGCTATCGCAGCGTGGACCAAGTCAACCTCGGATGGCGGGTGAGAGGTCGACGGGGTCTCAACCTCAGCGTCCGACTGGACTGCAATGGTCGATGCCTGTGATTCGGCTGGCTCCTCGGTTGGAGTCAATGTGCCATCTCTATCCTGCTCGCGATCCTCCCCCTCCTCGACGACTTGCTCACGCGAGGGCAGAGCCAGGCCCTCCTCGTCAGTAGACACGGGAGCCCTCCGTCGCCGCCGCCGCCTCGATACTCGAGCAGGAAATTCTGTGTCGGGGACTGAGAGCCAAGGGAGGGACGGGTAGAAAGGCTTGAAGGAGGTAGAGGGAGGGGACGAAGGGACACTGGTGGCAGACTTGGATTCGATAATTGGGGGCGGCGGTGTAGCTACCGTGTCATTTGAGGGAGGGGTCGAGATGGATGGCTGTGTGTGTGAATGAACAGAGAGCGTAGACGGTGCTGGTTGGGGTGTCTGCATCCGTGGCACAGGCGGAGTGTGTGAATGGACAATCGGTGGCGTTTGGCCCATCGAGCGGTTAACCGGAGGAGCCATATGCAGGTGCGAAGAGACTACGACGGGCGAAGCATGAGGTTGGAACTGGCGCGGAGGCATGACATACTGCTGCGGTGGTGGTGGCGGCGGCGGTTGCTGGTAGTACCATTGCTGCTGCATGTGCTGCATGTGCTGGGGGTAGCCGTGAGGGGGGCCATATTGCTGCGGGTAGTGGTACTGCGCATAGGGGTTGTGGACAGGTGAATGGGCGGCCTGCGGATACTGATAGTGATGATACTGCTCAGCCTGTCGTCTCCCAGGCGGGATATGGCCGGGCATCATGGGCCTGTGTTGCCTGCGCAATTAGTCGCTGGCCGAGGACCAACGCTAACTTGCGAGGCAACCGAGGACGATGCGGAGGGCGACGAGGTGCGATGTCTCGGCTGGGTCAGGGCGCAGGGCAATGGCCGGGGTGAGATGTGGGAATGCGCAGTCTAATAGACGGGTGTGAATGCGCAAGAAGGTCGCGCGACAGCGGGCGGGAGACTTGCTGCGGGGGCCGAGATGACGCAGGAGAACCACAGGGCAGTCATATCAGCACGCCATGAGCAAGTGCTGCAGGTCGATGATGTGCAAGCGTTGGAAGGGTTTGAAGGGGGGAGACGGTTTGGGGGATGGGGGATGGGGGGGGGAGAGGGGGAGAGGGGGAGAGGGGGGAAATTGTTCGAACTTCGAAGCAATTGTCGCGATGTTGGAGTCATGTGGTCAGTGCGTGCTGGCTCGAATCACTTCCCACCGGTACCGAGCATCAGCCGTAGGTGGGCGGTACCAGCAAAACATGCACTGCCAGCTGGTGTGCTTGGTTAGAGGGCTGTTGTTTTCATCTGCATCAACAAATATTCAAGCGCTCATCCTTCTCCATCATACAGTCGCAAACTCTGAGAAACAGCCGTGCGCTAGATGCATCGAACATACGATGTGTACAATGTGGACAATGTCACCAGCACTCTGCCTACGGTGTGGACATTCATGTTAGTTGCAGTTGCCACGTGATGCGCGCCCGCGTCATGACGATTCCCGCCACTCGATGCTGACTCCTCCTCTTCTTCTTCTTCTTCTTCTTCTTCTTCCTCCTCCCCTCTGTGGCACCCTTCTGGGCCTGCGACTCCGCAATATAATCTACCTTACTACAAACCCACCCCCTTTCCCTTTCGCCTCCTCGTCTTCCTTCTGTTCCCTCCTTTCATTCTCGTGTTAATCAGCACGTGAGACCGTTCGCTTCATCCATTCGTGGACCCTTGATTGGGAGCCATGTCTGCGATTCCACCCCCAATCGCTTCGTCGTCCAAAGCATCCTCCTCTTCTGGTCCCGCTTCTCCAGCGCAGAACCAGCCGGGCGCACTCAGTACCAGCAACTTCTTCGGACAGCAGCGGGGAACAGCACCAGGAGGGTCAACGCGATCGTCTACCCCACGAGGCAACCAGCAAAGCAGGAAGCAGCACAAGGGCTCCAGACGTTTCAGGCAAGCGGATGAGGATGCCATTGACGAGTCTGTGAGTACGAAACTTGCGACTGTTCTGCGCCTCCACTAATCGGGTAGCTCGCCATGGCTCCCTTTACCAATCGCAAAGGCCAGACTTCCATCACTCACCTCATGAACTTTAGCCTTCCTCCTCGCCCTCAAAACCATCAGTCACATAGCCATGGTAGGCATTACCGACGAAATCCGACTTGGGGCCTGGGATCAGGCTACCATGCAGTCGACAAGGCAAGGTATGTAGTTCATTCTCTTGCAGCATCTCAACTTGCGCCTGTTGACACATGCAGATATGTCCATGCGAACTATCGCTTCATTGTAGATCCTCGCGGTGACTATCGAGCGCAGAGTGTTGACGCAGATATCCACCTGGACTGGAACAATGTCCTTCAGATATTGGCATCTGAACTCTCGCAGGAAGCCTCCTGTCCAATCTGTCTTGGGGCTCCGGTAGCTCCAAGGATGGCCAGGTGCGGACACATCTTCTGTCTTCCCTGTCTGATTCGATACATGCATTCAGAGGACGAAGGCAAAGCGCCGGAAAAGAAGGCACGATCAAAAAAGTGTCCGTTGTGCTTCGATACGATCTATACGGCTGAGACGAGGCCTGTGCGTTGGTATATCGGCCAAGAGAATGAAGCGCCTCGAGAGGGAGGCGATGTGGTACTGCGTCTGGTGGTCAGAGCAGCCGGAAGTACACTGGCAATGCCGCGCGATGGTGCGGATGCTTTGGCCAAAGATGAGGACATTCCGTGGTACCATGCGGCGGAGGCCATGGATTATGCCCGCGTCATGCGAGGCGGAGAAGATTACATGATGGAGCAATTTGACTTAGAGATTAGCAAGCTGGAGCAACAAGGCAAGGAGGATGAAGTCATGTTCGCAGAGGACAGCATGGAATGGACGAAGAAAGCCATACGAATCATTCGTGAGGCCAAAGAAAAGATGAGAGGTATTGGCAACCCGCCAGAGGAGCCACCAAAGCCGGTCGAACCAAAAGTCAAGAGAGCGCCGATCGTTTTCGATGAAGAACCCGGAGCTGCACCTGACATGTACATAATGCGCAACTTTCTCGAGTCGGGACAGGATTTTGTACCACAGAACGCTGCTCCAGACACCAATGCCGTAAATCACAAGGAGCAGAGGGCAATGTCCACCTCTTCTCATTCATCAAAGACAAATCATGCTACTGCATCAACATTAGCGGAGATGCGCAATCGCCAGCAGCATGAACAACACAAAACTCCTTCTGAATATTTCTTTTATCACGCATTATTACATTACTATCTTTCGCCCCTCGACATCCGCATCTTGAAGGCGGCGTTTGGTAATTTTGCATCATTTCCATCCACGATACTACCACGCGTAGAGCGGATCTCCACTGGCCACGTTGTGGACGATGAGCTACGGAGACGGACTAAGTACCTGGCTCACCTTCCATATGGTTGTGAGGTCAGCTTCCTTGAATGCGATTGGACTGATACTGTTGCGCCTGAGGTATTGGCGCAATTCAAGTCGGAGATTGAAAAGAGACGGAAGAAGCATACCGACAAGGAGAATAGGGAAGAGAAGGCGCGTCTACGAGCGGAGAAGGCTGAGTACGCCGAATTTACGTCGACACGTCGAAAACGCCCAAGCATCTCGGAGAGGTTTTCAGCAGACGACTTCCGACCTTTGGCATCAGGTAGCGGCTCAGACGCACAAGCTGATGGTGAGCATACATCGTCCTCGCCTCCATGGCCGTCTCGACGAGGTGACGGCTTCGAATCGTTAGCTTCACCTTCGACAAGTCCCTCTGCGCCACGAACCGTCTGGGGAACTGCGGTGATTGCAGGAACATCTCCCATCATCGCACCGCAAGATCAGAATGATGGAGAGGATGGTTGGTTACAAGGTTGGGAAAAGGATCTACTACAGGAAGAAGACATGCTTGCTCAAGCCCAAGCGTTATCGCTGGGTGAGGGACAAGAAGCCCCGAAGAAGCAGGCTGGTGGAAAGAAGAAGAAGGGAAAAAAGATAACTCTCATGAGCACAAATGTTCGAAGAGGTGCATAATTATTGATATTTAGTCTCGTTAGCATCACTGAGTAGCATGGCGCGAAAGGGAGCAATGAAGAAATGTTAGATGCTAGACTTGATCCCCGTAATGCACCTCGGGTAGCTTGACGGCTTGGTGCTTTATTGTGCTCGCGATGAGGGCGGGTCGTGAGGATGTTGTTGAGCCAGTCATTCTTGTTGCCCCTTACCCTTACCCCACTACGATTTGCCCCACTAACATCCCAAGGATCCAGCTCGCATACACGCGCCATCAACAAAGACACCGAAAAGATGCTTATCCAGGAAACTCACAAAGATGTACCAACCAAGGCGGGTGGTGATATGAGTGCGTAACATGCGAGTTGATGCAAGAGAGTCTCTGTCGTGACTGAGCTGATGTGGTCTGCGTTAGGGATCTTTCTCTTTCACCCAACAATTCCAAATTATCCCAAGGCCAAGTTTCCGGGTGTTGTTGTATTCTCCGAGATCTATCAAGGTAAGTGAGAATTGAGGGAATGCACTTGATTGTTTTTTTATCTGCTGCACCTCTACGCGTCATTATCTTGCTGGTCAATCAGTACTTGGGCTCATATTCATACAGTCACGGGCCCCGTTGCTCGATTTGCTCGCCAAATAGCGTCTCAGGGGTACATCGTAGCAGCGCCGTCATCTTACCACGAGTTTACCGGGCCAGAGCCACTTGCTTACGATGGTCCTGGTACGGACAAAGGGAACGAATGGAAGATCACCAAGACGGTAGAGGCCTATGATGAAGACGCTACACTCTCAGTAGACGCTTTGCTTGCTCTGCCAACCTGCAATGGAAGAGTCGGTGCTACGGGTAAATATGGGATCTCCTGTGATATTGGTACCGAGAGATCCATACTAATGAACTACCTCAGGCATGTGCCTAGGTGGCCATCTTGCATACCGCTGCGCCCTAGACCCACGCGTCGTCTCAGCAATCTGCTACTTCGCAACAGACATCCATAGCAAGACCCTTGGTGCCGGTAAAGACGACGACTCTCTTGCCCGTGCCAAAGACATCAAGGCCGAACTCGTCATGATCTTTGGCAAGATGGACAATCACGTTCCACCTGAGGGCCGGGACTTGATCAGGAAGACATTGCACGATGCCGGTGTGAACTTTTCATTCTATGAGCCGGCTTGGGCCCAGCGTGAGTACCTTATTTTTTGTGACGATGGGGAGGAGTTTTGCTGATGTTTGCTTGTGTAGATGCGTTTATCCGTGATGAGTCGAGCAAGGGACGATATGACGCTGCGCTTACTGGCATCTGCTTTGAGATGTTGAAGGAGCTGTTCAATCGAACACTAAGGTCAGATCTGGGACCGCGTGCTGGTGGTGATGTTGAAATTGAGGATGTATGCTAGAGGCGAAGATGTCGGATATCAGATTATAAAAATTATTCAGCCACGGGATATATGATCCAAAGAACCTTGTCATTCGACCGTACAAATTGGAAGTTGACAAATTCTAACATCCAAACTTCCTACCTCATCTGTTGCTCACTCAGAGACCCCTTGGCCAAGCAGGATTCGCCCTCCGTATTAGCAATACTGACACAACCGGTCAAAACTCATGATCCATATCGAATTTAATAGCTTTGCTACCTGCAGTCCCCGGCGGCTTCTCACTCCTACAACCAACCGGTACCACATTCTGCGGTCCCAACATCCGTCTTATATCCTCGTACGTGACTGACATAACAGTTCGCTCGCTCAGCATCTATTTTTAATTTTGTCTCTCGGGAAAAAGTTGCATGAGAAAACAAAGTTTCAAATGCCCGCTTGATATCTTGCTAGTTTTGGTCTTGTACTTCTCTATTATTGAGATTATTGAGAAGAATGTACCGCACTCATTAATTCGCTGACAAAGTAACAAATAACATCGCAGTCTTCGTAGCTACAAGCACCTCCTGTACGGTAACGCTCAATATCGCAGCTAATATCTACCTAGTTTTGCTTGCAGACTCTACCGTTGATTAATTTATAGCGAAAGGCGATGTCATGAATCTGGAACCCGGGCTTATAAAAATTAACACATATACTGTCACAACGCCAGAAGAGGATTGAAAGAGAAACGGGCCATTATGGATCCAAGTCGACCATAGCAAGTTGTCTTTCAAGCGAAATTTCTACCTTGCATCGCCCTCAACCTCTGCAAACCTCCTCCGATCCACATCGATATCCCCAACCACCTCTGGAAACTTCTCCGAAAACTTTGGGTCCACGGTCCAGTACTGTAGGTCGTTGTGATAGCGCTCGAATAGGGGGCTTGGATAGTAGGTCCCCGTAGCCTCATCTTGAAAGAAGGCGTCCTCAAAGGGAAAGGGCCAGTCAAACTGTACATAGTCTACGTAACAGCGGGAGAATTCGCTGTCTTGGAAAAATGTTTCTTGGTAGGCGATGAGGCGGTCGCGAAGGGAGGGCCAGGCGAAGAAGTCGATGGCGACGGGGTGCTTTGTAGCTGATTGGCCGTGGCTGAGCAAAGTTAGCATGGTCCTTATACCCGATTGAATCAGTCACACCTAGGTTGTAGCCACTTGGGTACTTTGTCGAGTTCTTCTTTGGTGGCCTTGAGATAATACTATAACAAGCACAGTCAGCAAGGATTCCCTTTGGTAAAACGCGGTCGCTCAATGGCATCGTACCTTTAGTAGCTTGAAGCTCTTGTATGCAATTGCCAATCTGTTCATCTTCGGTAGATGGTGAAACAACGACACGTCGACCTGTTTTTGAATGACGAGCGCGGGGCTCTGCGTGCAATCGTCAGAAAGCATATTCCACCCATGTTTGATGCCAGAGTACAAGAGACCGGCTTCCTCGAGGGTTGTGAGGGTTCCAGTACCTGGGCGGTATTTGAACACATTGCCATAGAGCTCGTTGGCTTTGTTCCAGGTCGGACACTTGTCGTTTGGGCTGAGGAATACTGAAGACCCTGGGTTGCCAATGTGTAGGACGACAGGCGAGGGACAGCGCCAGTCGGGCCCGAAGAACTTTTGGTATCATCAGTTCCTTTTCTTTGTATGATTGATATCACAATATACTTGCCTCTTCCATCAAAGGGGCCCAGCTTGCTGTTGCTGGGCTGGCGTTCCAAGTATGTGCCTCGTCCCCGACCTCTTCTTCTTGGCATTCAGCAAGTGGCTTTAAATTGAGATCTGTTTGGATAGCTTGATCTGGAGCCGTGGAACTGGTCACATCTGCCATCATTGTCATGCCATCGAGATCCAGTGACCGCGTTGTAGCTGCGACAGGCTCGATGCCACTTGGTTTGGGTAAGAGAGCCTGAGTTGAAGGTTTATTATCATCTTGGATAGACGTTGCTCGACGCTTAGGTGACCGTTGCTCTGTAGGCCTGTAAGCTACGATGTCAGTGTAGCCTAGGTGGATCTGCCGTACCAACACTGCTTGCAGCTGACGAGTTGCCTGTATGCGTAAGAGCAGAGTTGCGAGACAACAAGCCACCTCCTACGACGCTCCTGACACTCTCAATAACATCTCGTAACCGATCGTTTTCTTTGCGCAGATCCTCGATTTCCGAAAGGAGATTTGCCGTTGCCCCGTTACGGTCCTGATCTCTGAGGATCTGTATGGTGCGCTCAAGCTCAGCAATGTGCGTCTTTGTCTTCTCTCTCAGTGACCGCTGGGCTTCTCGGTCAATTGCTCTTTTGCGTTCACGACGTTCTTGCTCGCCTAAGCAGGATGCACGGCGCTTTCGCTTCACGACGGGCGCAGCCGGTGTCTGAAGTGGAGCAGCATCACTAGGGCCCCGGTTCACCATGGCGGTATGATGTCAAGATAAGATAGTCTGATTGACTCGATGTTTGTCTGTCAATGTATGGAGACAAAAGACTTGTCAAAGTAAACGAGTCAACCTCTCATAGACACTGTCTCCGGCGTTATATTTGCTTCATACGCCAGCCGAGGAATCCCATGCCCCCCAAGACGCATCATCATGAACACTTGGTCGCTTTTTGGTGCTTCCGGTAACTTATTATGCGGGGGAGGTGGAGAAGGTATCGGCACCCCATCGCAAGACTGCTTCCCACTGAACGGCTTAACGCTTTCGGGAGTGGTCGGCTATTAGAGCATGGTGGCGTTCTAACTCACTCGGGGGTGGTCACATGCCTAAATGGTGCTAGTTGGGTGTTGTATCGGCTATGTAAGTATAGTCCAGTTACGTGTTGCACACTGGAATTCGCCATATCTTGCCTTGCTCTCTTCACTTTTCATGGTGGAACAGAAGCCCTTGAAAAGACGAGCCAATGACTATGGACTTGTTTACATGAGAACTGGGGTTGGGATGGCGTGGATGGCATCCTACTACTATATTAGACTCGCGCATCAATATTGGTATATGTTGACCTGATATCATCCCATATATTTGTCTGAGCTATAGCCTTGATGGCTTCCAGTTTGGTTTACGCTTCTCAGCAAAAGCCTGTAACCCCTCTAGGGCATTCTCGCCTGCATTGAGACCATTGCTGAACTGCTCAAGTGTGATCTGAGTAGCTCGCTCCACACTCGCTGTCTCCAAAGCCTCCTTCAAAGCAGCTCTTGTGACAATGGCAGAGTCTGGAGAAATGGCAGCGATTTCATTCGCAAGCTTCAATGCCTCGTCGACAACAGTCTCCTGCGACGGCGCTATCCGGTTTATGATGTTCAGTTCTTTGGCGCGCTGTGCACTGATGGGCCGTCCTGTCAAGGCTATTTCAGATGCGACTGGAAGACCAACGATACGAACCAGTCGTTGTGGACCTCCTGCGGCAGCATAGATGCCTCGAAGTGCTTCTGGTAGACCGAATGTTGCGCCCGGTGCTGCAACTACCATATCACTAGATATCTGTCAGTCATGATTCTTGCAGTGAAAGCAATGACCTACCAGCCAAGAACAATCTCGAATCCACCACCAAGAGCGAAACCATTGACGGCAGCAATCACTGGTTTCCTTCCTGCTCTCCTGCTCAATCCCCCAAAGCCACTAGTTGGATGTCTCAATAATGCAGGATCCTTTTTCAACGCGCCGCTCCTAATCTGTCCCAATTGTATCAAATCCTGGCCAGCGCAGAAGCTCTTCTTTCCAGCACCAGTAATGATAGCCACACGTAGGTTGGGCTCACGATCGAACCAGTCAAACACTTGCCCCATTTCGGTATGGCCCTCATAGGGAATACTATTCATCTGCTTTTCACGATTGATGGTGACGAGGAGGACATAGTCGGCTGGATAGGAGAGGAGGACATGGGAAGTAGGCGGTGGAGCAATGACGGGCGTGACGGACGACATGCTGGCGGTGGACGCGTCTTTTTGGCGGTATAGGTACGGCTGCAAGGAATGATGTGATTACAAGGCTATCGGAACATGTAAAACATATGTCTTGCTCAACTCTAGCAAAGTGAGAGGAGTTTACATGGCTTCTATTTCATACTCTAGGTCGGGGCATCGCGAGCCGAGGTTCGCTGCAGCGCTGTCACCAAACCCCGCGTAAACCGCCGGGTATTAGTATTAGTAACAAGTGACCGCCCGTCCCTAAAGACCGAGAATGATCAAAGGTTGAGAGCTGATTGTTGTGACCAGTTTCCTTGCACACGCACTTCCTAGTGCATTCTACCGGTACTATTCGAAGATTGTCGTGTTTGCAGCATCGAATTGTTTCCTGACCAATGTGCATGAAGCTGTCTGCACAAGACGCGAGAACATGGACTCGTGCTACGGCACCGGTACCTAGGTACTAGAGAGATGCAGTGGTAAAATGCAGAAGACTCTTGATTACTTCTAATAATACACAAACCCAACTATGTTTCACCGTCTCCCAGCCGGTCATAACAGCAAATGGTTCAATCAGGTCCCCCAGAATTATCCGGTTTTCCATAAACGACAAAGCTGCTTAGGCATCGTAGGTACCTGTTCACTTTGGTCCAGGCCGAAAGATGTATGTCGCACACAAAACCGCCCATGCGAAAGCTCCAGTCACGAAGACGACACCGATGCAATAAGGCACCGTCCGTTGACCAGCAATCAAGCGCCCATGGCCTGATATCTTAGGCGGCAGAACACGATACTGATGGCGATGGGCATAGCCTGACTCTGGCTCGATAGGACTGACCTCAACGCCAGAGTCTACGCGATCGGGAATCTCCGCATCGATGGTGCCATATTCGACATCTCGATAGGGCTTGGGGTTTGCGTTGCTTGGTTGAGGGTCAGACTGCATGGGAACGCATGGTAAGTAAGAGGATCTTGAGGAGCGAGCGTGGGTGAATAGTTACCAGATCCGCCATAATGTTGCATCCCCTATAGATAAGTTATGGTGTACCGGTAGTGGAGTCTAAACAGCACTTTGGGAGTCGAACAGTCAACGTGACTGTCTGAGGTCTCGTCTGCTCTCGCGCGACATCAACGGCCATGCCCAGGAAACCCGCCGGCAGCCGGTGAGACTGAGAAGCGCCGCGTCGTTGCTCAGCCTCCTCTCCTGAAGCTTCGTGTATCAGAATCCTTGGGAGGGTTACCGGTACCGGTACCTGTGCAGGAGGACACGCCTTAAGATGGCCAGGATTGCTCACAATTGCACCTTACACCCACCCACTTCCACTTGTACTACTGTCCGATCTATTGAAAACTGCTGTTCCGCCGACCGCGCCCACTGCTGACATGCCGTAGTAGCCATCAGTGTTTGCCCTCTATCTACTTACATGCATACCATGTGCATGCATGGTCCTTTAAAACATGCCTTCAACAACCCTTAATACGAATGGCCAAATGGTTAGGGTGCAGA